TAAGGAATTTGATTTTTGAAATATAATTGATATGTATCCTTATAAACCCCTTAATTTGAATATTATATTCTTGTTTTAATTTATTAAAACATTTAATATCGAATAATTGAATTAAATAACTTAAATACAATAATAGATATATATATAATATTATTTTCTTTATAATATAATTGAAAAAACTATGGATTCATAACTTTTGTATTCATTTAACACCAGTATTCGATATTTGTCTACTCTACAATCCATTATATATTTATTAAAATATTTTAATCATTCCAATCCTATTTTATTATTCATTTATTTATTGTTAATAGATTTAATAGCTTAATCTACAGAAAAATCGGTTTTCATATATTAATTAGAGAAGTACATTTATCCTTAAACTACTAGAAATAAAGATATAATTTCCTTTATATTATTACTATATATAATTATTATCGCCTATTCCTTATTACCTAATTATACTACTTTACTCCTACCATTTCTCTTGGCACTAATAATTATTATATTAATAATTATAACTTCTATTATAAAACCTATTTCATCAAAATTCCATATATTACAATTTAGTATACTATATTTCACTTATATATTTAATATAAGATGAAACCATATTCGAAAAAGTTTAGGATTTTTGTATAAAACTTTTTGAAAATTATAAATATAATTAAAATATATTTTTAATTTTTTATAACATTTTCCAAATCAATGCACCCAAAGCTTTCTAATCGCTTTTCTATTTTTTGATTCAAAAATATGATTTGCTATATCTTCTACCCCTTTAAATTTAAATAGAAAACCTTTTGAATTTATATCAAGAATATATTAAATAATAATGTTTTTTTCTAATTTTGTAAGGTTATATTAATTTATTTGAATTTCAATATATAAAATTAAATCATTTATTTTATAATATAATATTGTAAATGGTATTTTATATATCTTAATAGATTATTGTATATTAAGTTTTTTATTTTTTTGAATAGCCTTAATAGTTAAGAGTATTTAAGTTTCTTTAGTAGTTGATTTCATAATAATTGATTAATAAAATATATATTGAATTAATACATAAAAAATTGAGGTAAAAGTGATTTATTTGATGATATAATTTACTCGATGATAAACCACGTTATAGGATATTATATAATATTATAGTCTTTCGAGTATTTAGCTTCTTATCTTTCTGAATAATTATAATAACGAGTAATATATGAGTTTCTTTATTATTCGAATTTATTATGAATTGTTAATAAAACATATATTGAAATGAGGGAGTTTAATTGAAGTGAAAATAGGCCACCTACTGATATGGGCTACGTACTAATAAACCACGTTATATATATCTTTTAAAAGCATTCAACCTAATATGAGCGTATTATATAATCAAATCACATGATCGTCGATTATAAGCTTCCGAAAACAGTCATAAATACGAAAACGGTCATAAATCCGAAAACAGACTACGAAATAAAGAATAAGAAAAAGAGCTTTATTTCGAAAGAATGGTCGGATTAGGAAGAGATCTACAAAAGATTAACGAAAGCGAGAAAGCTAGATTAGTAGGAAAAAGTATAAAATAAGACCTTTTCCTCATTGAATGTAAAATAAGAAATTGAATATCGATATACAGATTCTTTAATATCACGTGTTACACTGCTTATATAATCCATTTTAGTTGTTAAACCAAGCTAGCTTCCATATAATATTATTAGCCTATGACCTACGATAAAGTGAATACTCTTATTTATACAATGATTACAAAAAAAAAATTCTAAGCTTTGTTTTATTAATTTTTTTACTTTTTTAAATTGAAAGGTTAAATTAAATGTGAAATTTTTTTAATAAAAATAGATAAAAAGAAATTGTATATATATATAATTTTTTTTATATATTATTAATTAATTAATTAATAGCTCGAATTATTTTTATGTAAAGTTTTTATAGGTTGATGTTTATAGTTGTATCGTGGTAGTTATTATATATCATGCTTCGGTTTGTAATTTATGGAAAAGTAAAGATATGAAGTTTGTAGGGATTGTGTTGTGTTGTGGAATATTATGGTGTGTAGAAAGGGGAGTATGTGCGATTACTCTTATGTGTGTGTGTATATGTAGTGTATATTGTGTGTATAGTGTGTAATGTATATTATATAGAATATAGAGATAGATAGGCAACTAGATTATGAATTGAGGGATAAATAGATAGATAGGTATATGAGTGAGTGAATGGATGGATAGGTAATAGAATGTATATAGATAGGTATTCTGATAAATGAATAAATAAATAGATAATTAGATATTGAGAGAATATTGAGGGAGTATTGAGGGGGTTGAGAAGGGTAGGAGGGTGTAGGAGGGAGTATTGGGGGGTGGAGGAGGGTAGGAGGGTGGAGGAGAGTATATGAGGGTATTGGGGGGGTATTGAGGGGGTATTGGGGGGATAGAGAAGGATAGGAGGGTAAAATAGGAGAGTATAAGGCGCGTCATAGAAGGGTAAGGGTGTAGGCGGTGGAGTGGAGGGTGGAGGCGGGTAGGAGAGTGGCGCTGGCTGGAAAATGCGGAGCTGGGAGGGCGCGGGGAGAGGGGCGGTTCTGCTGGCTAGGCGGGTCCGCGGGGTCTGGCGGCTAAGAGGTATAGCGGATAACAGAGTAGGAAGGTAAAACGATAATAATGAATTGCGAAAGATACCACTATGTGGGTAGTGGTGCGTGAGTGTTGCGTGGGTCTCGAGACACAGGAACATGAAGAAAATATTAGACAGATATCGAAGATTAGGAGAATAGAGAAGGATGGGAGGGTGGAGGAGGGTCAGAGAGGAATGGAAATTGAGGAGCTGGGAGCTGAGAAAAGCGAGCAAGAAAGGGAGAAATCAATTGGGATTTGGGAGACGGAGATTGAGGGGAAGAGATGAGAAGAGAGAAAAGAGAAAAGAGAAAAGAGAAAAGAGAAAGAGATAAGAGTAGATTGATAAAGAGTATAGATGAGTAAATATGCGGAGTAATATTCAAATAAATGAATGTTGAATGAATGAATATTAGATAAATACAGAAAAGAAGATAGTAAATAAATAAATTATAAACAGGAGAATAAACAATTAAATGAAAGGTTACGTAAATAGACATATAGATAAGTTAATAAAAGAGAGAGGAATAGATGAGTGGATAAGTAAGTGTTGGTTTGAGAAGGATATAAAAGATATAGTATTCATGTATTTATAGATGATAGTTATTTATATTATATTCTATTCAAAGAGCTAGCTATATATAGAAAGTATTAGGCCCTTATATAAGGGCTATTGAAAAAACTAATCTTTTTTGTATTTGTTTAAAGTTTAATATAGTGTCTATTGAATTGAAGTTATTTATTTATATTTATATAGTGAGTGAGTAAGATAAATAGAGAAATAAAAAGAGAAAGAATTAAATAGATAGATTAATAGAGAATATAGAGAATATGAATAGAGTAGAGAGTATAATATATAATATATAGTAAATTATAAGTTAATAATTTATATCGATTTGTTTATTTGTTTATTTATTATGAAATAGAATAGTAGAGAGGAAAGAGAAAGATAAATAGGTGAGTATGAGATGGAAGGAGTAGATAGATGAATAGATGAATAGATGAGGAAAATAGGATAGAGTAATAGAAAGTAGAGTAGATTGAATTGAACTGAATATAGTAATGTAAATATAGAGATACGAAAATAGAGATTAAAAGAGAATAAAGGGAAAGGGTTTTTGTAATGTATTTAAGTAGATAGATATTAAAAGTATAGTATTGGAATTAAGTTTTAAGTAAATGAACTACTAAATAAATAAGTGAGTATATAAATGAATAAATAAAAGAAGAGGAAAGAAAGAAAAGAGAAAGGAGAGTAGAGTAGATGAAAAAGAGAGGAATAGATGAGGGAGTGGAATGAATTGAGAGAATAGAGACGAAATAATTAGTTTAGTTTGATTTAGTTAGGAATGAAGAAAAATAAAGAGAATATAGATAATGAAAGATGAAGGGGATAATAAGGATTAATAAATAGATGGGTGGGTAGTGTTGATATGAGTGGAATACAAGTAATATAAAATCTAAATGTATAATCTAATTATTAATATTTAGCGAATATAATAAGCTAGCTAACTTAACTACGAAGGGAATAGCCCTTATATAAGAGCCATTAAAAGGACTAGTCTTCGCTTTCGCTAAAATAAACTATAAAGGCCTTTAACTTTAGTCTATGTTTATATACACATTTACTTACGTAGAAGAATGATTAAGTAAATAAATGAATAAATGAATGAATACTTTAAAAATGATTTAATATATTTGAGGCGAGAGTCTGGATTCTGAATCTTGATTATCATATAGGAGTGAGGAATAATGTGGAGAGGAAACTAGAAGGAGGGAATGAATAACTAAATAACTAATTGAATGACTGAATAAACAAATGAATGCTTCGAGGAATTCGAGATATTCGAAATGAAAATGTGAAATCTAATAATAAATTGAGGAGGGAATAATGAAGAAAGGCAAGGGACTGCGGTTGGGAATATATAAGTAAATGCTGCAAAAAGATCTGAGATCTTGCGGATTTGAGTATAAAAATGATATAATGGGAGTAAGTAATGATGTAAAGGGGAAAGCAGAGGTGGAGGGCATATATATATATGAATGTTAACTTTGATGTGGAAAATTCCACTCGAGGAGAAGTCTCATCCTGATCAATACCGGCATTTGAGCCCTAACCGGAGTATCTGAATCACATTCACATTGGAAGGCACCAGAGATCTCTTCCCCCACCCCCAAATTTGACACTTTCACCAGCGAAAAAAAACAAGGATAATGATGAAGACAAAGACATTCATGGTATTCTACAACATCTCCTCTGTTCTTCCTCTCACACACATGTCCTACATCATCCCAAACAATTCAACATGCATTCCATGATCCCCAAAACGCCAATCTCAGATTATCCCCTTGATACTTTTTCCTTTCATATTAACCACACTATTTCTTTCCACCTGCTCTCCTAGCCTTTCCAGGTCGAGATTTGGCACCACCCTTAGCACCACCTCCTTTCATCTTCTTGACTGAGAATCCAGACAAATCCCCACTACTCATGGCATCACCACTCTTCTTAAATCTCTTCTTACCACCATGTCCGAATTTCTCGTCTTTCTTCTGTCTCTTGTTTGGTCCTCCCTTGCGATCATTTTGACCGCCAGTAGGTTTGGTTTCTTCTTCGAGAGCAACATCAAAGAGATCTGCTTCATTTGTATTTTCATTGTCGGCACCTTGACGTTCTGTTATTTGTTAGTATATGTTATTAAACTACCTTGAAAATGAATTGCGACATACTTCTCTTCAAAGTCTTAATTTTATCCAATGTTTGCTTCCTTTCTTTATCTCTCTCTTGTAATTTGGCGACTTGAACTTGCTTTCCGAATTTCTTCAAATCTCTCTGTTTCCTTGCATCTGCAGATGCCTTCTTTCCAGCAGCTTCATCGATCAACTTTCTCTTAATCTTCTCCATATGTTCATCGGCCTTTACCATTTCCGCGAAATAATCGGTAGGTCTAGTAAATGAAACACCTTCTGCTTTTAGGAGCAATCGCGCAGATTTAACAGCCTCGAGTGACTGAGAATAGAACGCCAATTCGCGCTTCAAATCATCAGAGACATCTTCGATTTCCGTAGGTTTAGCAGACGTAATAGATTGATGTTCTGAGAATGGGAGATTGGCGACTGGAAGGGCGATTCGTTTGAGAGCTGCGGTGAGAGCAATTGTATTGTTTATGGTAAGACGTTGATGAGGGATCATATCTTCTCTTTCTTCATCTTCAAGATCTTCAAGGTCGGACATGGGGATATCTTCATCATCTTCGTCTTCGTCATCCTCTTCTTCATCGTCATCTCCACCAAGAGAAGAATCACTATCACTTTCGTCGATTGCTGCGAAGTCAATCTATATGATTATTAGTATTGGTAAATAATGGATTCGAAAGCGCATATACTTCAGTAGGACCATTTCCTTCCTCCTCTTCCTCATCTTCTTCACTATCACCCTCTTCAGCATCATCCTCTTCCTCATCACTTCCTTCCTCAACATCTTCCCATTCCTGTTCAACCTTTCCCTTCTTCGAGCTCTTCTCCTCAACCTTCGCAGGCTTTCCCTTTCTCGCAAGTTTGGCCTGTTTCTTTTGATGCTGTTTTTGGAAATCGATTTTCTTATCGGCTGCAAGCGCCATCTTCAATTTACTTTTGGTAACCATTTTGACGGTGTTGTGCACTGTCAATTGAGGATCGAACGTTTTGGTTACTGAGCTTGTGAAATTCGAGATTTATTTTTTGATGCGGGAATCTTTTTTTCGAGCTCGGACAAATTATGATTGGCGCTAAGATCTCACCGCCCTGGCATATAATTGTGCAAATTATGAAAGATGTGCTCGAGGATATTCATTACATTCAATTTCATCTGTTAATTTGTTTCTATGCAGTATATGTTCTACTCAATGGCATGTTCTCGTTGATGTGGACGACGAAGCATGAGTAAAGTACATGGTTTCGTGTTATCATATTACGAATGCAATCTTCTCAATGAACAAAAATATCGAGTGCTGTCTTATCAGCGGATACACATCTGAGCCAAAGAGTCAACTTCACAACCACTAACACATTATTTGTTTTCCTTCTTCCTCTCACGAGTAGATAATTTTGTCCTTAGGTATTGCATTCGCGTGAAATCCAGGGACTTGATTCAACAATCAGAATCTCCAGGCTTCTGCATCAAACCGTTCGGATTCTGACGGCGAATCTACATCCCCTCTAGTACCTGTTCGACATGCAACGGCGTACCACACAATCTCTAAATGGTAAAATAGTCATCATCTTCGACATAATGAAGAGAGTAATGAATATTCCTCTGCAAGAACAGCGAAAGTGTTTTCTTCGTATCAACGGTAAACGCCCATACAAGTCCCATGATAGGACCCAGCTGAATATGGGTATTCTCCCGCACACGAATACTAGGAGATCGAAAGGCAACAAGATGTTTATTACCAGACTCGGTGATAAATTTGATGGTACCTATAGCTCAACGATGATCTGTGATATCAGGTTCATCAGACCATAGCCAGCCCTCCACTTCTTCTTCGGATGAGAGCTCTATACATGAAGAGAAGAGTCAAATAATTCATGTGCTCATTGATCCTTTATGGTGATTCTGATTTCCACTGTATTTTCAACATATTCATTGATTGTCGTTTGCTTTGCAAGTCAATTTTCACTTGACGTGGTCATCGATAAGAGTTTTTTAAAACCCCTTAAATACACCTTCATCCGTAAATTAACATTATCATTAAATATAGCATTTCAATCTCCACTAATTTTCGCATGCCGAAAGTATTTCATACCAACCCAAGCAACAACTACCCAGACCCAAGCCATTACTGACGTCAAAATAATCAGTGCAGGATAATATCCTACAATCGGTAACGTTGGATCATCCTCCAACTCAGGAGGAGCATAAGGAGTTTCTCCAACATCCCAAGCCCAACTCCATACCCCTAGACATGAACCCATACCAGTAACAAACACAATCCAGGTTACAATTAGTATAACCCAACCCCACCATTCAGTTTCCGAGTAATCCCATTCGGCATCTGGTAAAGGAAGTGGACTTGCGGCGAGTCCACCTATAGACAGTGGAGATTTTTGTTTTTGAGATGGCCGACGACGAATTGTAGAGCCTGCACCAGGTGGAAAGTATGAATCTGAACCAGATGACAGTGGCCCGCCACGAGCTGCAGCTGGTAGATTATGTGATGGAATACTGAGTAAGTCCTCTTCATCCGTAGTAGATGTATAGGTTAGAGTTGGACTCGTGGCTGTCGTTGGTGATGTGACGATATGGTCATTAGCACCCATGGGAAGAGTTTTGATAGGTGGCAGTAAAGTGTTATTATTTCTGTTGGCTAAGCCATCCATGGAAGGACGAGGAGTTTCGTCAGATATGCCTAATCCAAGACCATTCACAGGTCGAATACTCTCGGGTGAAGCGGGATTTAGTATTGTATTATTGGAATATTGACTGTGTTGCGTGGAATCAAAAGGAATGGCTTTGGACTCTTTCCTTTCTCTTTGAGCTCCTCGACCAAGAAGTGCAACCTTTCTCAATGAGCCCTTTCTTCTTCTGGTCTTCTGCTGTTGGACTGCAACAGCCATAGCTCTACTAGTCGATCTCTTTGGTGACATTGGTTCGTCCCGAGGCGGAGACTCTGGACTGTGTGGTCCTGATAAAAATGATAGTTTAGACATGATGTTTCCAGATAGTGTTCTTCTGTGCCCCCCTTGTTTGGGTTCAACTTGTATTTCTTCGGGTTCGTTGACTAATCCCCCAGCATGGTCATGTGAAATACCATTTGAACCAACTTCTTTCTCCATAATTTCGTAAATGACTCTGGTAGCAAATGTTACGAAAGTAGATTCATGCCGGGAATATATAAAAGTTTGCGCTTCTAGGATGAGTTCTCCACGCAAATGTTGAAGAACGCAAGCTTCGTCCACAATTGTCTGATGGTCGAAGGACACGTGGTTTCGTAACTTTACATCCCAACTTGTGATTGACTCTTTTGTAGTGACAGTTTAAACAAGTAGACGTAGTGATCTAATTGGCTTTCCCAGATGGTTGCTGAGCGTCTAAGCGCTTGAGGAAATTGAACGTGTTGTACCGAGGATGAGAGAATGTCGATAGCAATCAAAATACCGAGTTACGATGTCCAAGTAGATCTGACAATCCAGGGCCTCATAGACTGCCGCATCGAAGGGTATTCATGAGGATATTCAAATGAATATAGTTTTGATGGTTGTGATGGAGAAAGCTTTGGCTATGGGGTCTGTTGGGTCTAGAGCTTTGCTTAAGCTTAATATCAAACGAGGTTGAATTGAGGTAAAATCTAGCTTACGTAACTCAACCGTCTTGCATAATGCCGGGCGGTGACCTTTATCCCTGGTATAGATATCCAAAATAGGAAGCAGATAGATTACCAGGTCCATTTATATATCACAACCACTTTCCATGACGAATTACGAAACGTTTCGTACCAATTGCCCATAATAAATGGATGAATTGATGATATCTTCAACCAATTGATGAACCGTGTTTTCATGAAACCCCAAATTTATTAAATATCAAACCATGGCTTCGAGTCTTCCTATTCCAGCACCCCCGAGGACACCCACTCCTCCAACTCCTATTCCACAAGAGCAAGGCAGATATACATGGGAACACCAAGATGGCACTTCACGAACCGTGCACTCAGAGATCCTTTTGGATCCCAATGCTCTCTCACCTACATTCTCAAACTCAGGTAGATTTGGTTCAATGGGAACCCCAATGTCTCCTCCTTCGGGCTTCTCAAGTCCCAACCTTCAACCAGACGGAATGATGAGTGTACCACCTGCCAGAGGAGCTGCGAATCCTTTTAACTTTCAGACTCAAACAATAAAAGATGCGCCAGTTGCCAAATCGGTATGCGAACGTTGAACATTGATATTAGATCTCTTAACTAACACAATGTACCAGAATATTGGCCAGCGAAGAGGTCATAGATATAAACACAGTAGTGTCTCAACTCAACATCAAATCTTCCTCGAACCACCTCCTCGAGCACCCCTCGCACTCCCCGCCTCTCTTCCCATACCCACCTTTAAAGAAGCATGGAAAAGCATGTCCAAAGAACAAACTACTCGAATAGCCTGGTGTCTCTGCCACGCTTTAATATCCGCCTTCGTTCTCTATAGCGCCCAAGGTTCTCTCGCCCTCACCGCACTATCCCATCTCATCTTTTTCGATGCCGTATCTGCCACAATTTGTGTCGTGGTGGATGTATTCTGCAATTTCGAAGTATGGAAACGATCTTCTATCCGTCATCCATTCGGGCTCGAACGTGCAGAAGTACTAGCGGGATTCGCCATGTCGGTATTCCTACTCTTCATGGGCTTCGATCTGATATCTCACAACCTAAAACACGTTTTGGAAGGATTAGGCGACCATTCCCCTCATCACCCTCATTCTCATCAACGAGTTAGTCCCGGCTCGGTTGACACCGCCGCTTTACTCTCAATAGTAGCGACTCTCGTCTCAGCAATTGGGCTGAAGAACCACGCACGAATCGGAAAAGCAATGCGTTTCGCCTACATATCATTTCTCCCTTCCGTTCTCTCAAATCCTTCACATTTCCTAACTCTTAGTTGCAGCACCATCATGCTTCTCCTCCCTCTCTTGACCATCTCTCTCTATATCTGGCTCGATCGTCTTCTCTGTACCGTCATCGCGGTCTCCATGTTCCTTCTCGGTGTTCGTTTAGCTACCGCTCAGGGACTCATGCTTTTGATGTCCTTCTCCGGTGCTGGAGTTTCAGAAGTTATGAAGGAAATTGAGTCTGAACCAACAGTTTCCACTGTTGAAGAAGCGAGATTTTGGCAAGTACATTATGGATTGTGTATGGCAAATCTCAAATTAAGAGTTAGGGGCGATGAAGGAAATGTATTAAAACTGAGGGAGAAAATTAAGACCTTGATTAGAAATAGACTAGGGGGTGGATATGGAAAAGGTGGAGGGATGAAGTGGGAAGTGACGACACAATTGGTTGTTGATGGTAAATGATTTTATTGGGATACCTTTCATGTTTTATTCTTGTTATATGAGCCAACGATTATGAGTATTGGTCGGATAGGACAATTGGCAGCCATTAATAGATATCTAGTTCCAATTCACCTCTTGACGTACCAAGGCGCATCCAAGGTTTTCATGAAAAAGGGGGCAACGATTTGTAGCGCATATAGCATTGATCGCCTCAAATATACACTTATTTGCATACTCATCACGATATACTGCTCTAAATCTTCATCTTCTCCCGTGTATTCGAATCTTTACATGCGTGTCTGGGACATGTACACGTGAAACAAAATGGACGTGAGGTAAGATTGAGAATATAACCAGAAAAAGTCGTTGCATTCATCATCATGTCATGTAGAGCGGATAAAGGAATAGGTATCTCCTTGACAACCGCCACCAAACAACCATTAACCCAAACAAGGATATACATATTTCGTACTATTCCTCTTCAAGCAATCCCTAACGCCGTAATCATTCATTGCTTGCTTTCGCTTGCTCGCCTGCTAGTAATTCTTCATCAATCCAACCTCCCCTCCACATTCCATTTTCGCCAAAACGTTCTATCAACTAAAATAAACTCCATCCACCCCTTCCGTTTTCTTTTCCACCAGGTCCTCTCACACCTTCCTTTCCAGGTCCTCCTCTCCCATTCTTGGGTCCCCTCTGAGGTCTTCTTGCCTCTCCGTTATCCAACTCGCGTAAATCTCTCAATCCTTCCATTTTCCCCAAGACCAACTCCAATAACTCTTTCCTCCTAATAACTTCTAGATGTCTCTCAACCTTCTTATCCTCTCTCGCAAACTTCTCAACTTCTTCTTTTGTTAAACCTCTACCTAATCTTTGATCCAATTCTCTAGGGAATTGGTAGAAGAATTCGGAGAGAAGTTCGACGTTTAGAAAAAGAACAGCAGTTGAAGTGAGTTTGGTGGAGACGACGTCGAGGAAGACTTCGGGACAATAGTACTTGTTCTTGAGGGAGGCGCATTGGGTAGATTTAAGGGCTTTGAGTCGAAGAGCGAGGAGTGTGGAGCGATCACGGAGAAAGACCGCTTCACGACCTGATAAGAGTGTTAGCCATGTGCATAAAAGATGGAAGAGGATATGAAAATACCTTTTTGCAATAAAGCAGAACTGAATCCACCAGCACCACTAGCGTCGCCATCAACAATAATTTCACCCTTTCTAGCTTTATCAACAAAACTCATCACATCTCTCAACTTCTTTCTTCCACCAACATGTTGCTCCAAATTCTTAGATGCATCCTCACAAGCTTTGAGTTCATTCTTCAAAACCGAGGTAACATTTTCTCTACCTCGTGACCATTCACTATCTTCAACATCGATTTCAAACTTATATGGCTTTATACAATTCTCAACTTGATCACTTGTACTATAGAACCTCTCGTTCAAAATGCCAGCTGCAGCATCCGTGATGGCTTGACGAGCGAATGGGTGAGCTGCAAACGTCGATTGGGATATCAAACGATCCACATGGCTTTGAATTGCATTGGCTACAACTTGGGTTGCAAGACGACCAATACCGAGTTTGGTAAGGGCAGAGGTAGAGGCATCAAGTTTACGGTGCCAGAAAAGGGAGTCTGGGTCAGCTGTTGGGAGCTCGGCCAGTGTATTGGGTTCTGGTGATGAAGGTGAAAGATCCGAAATAGGTCTGTTCCAGTAACGTGCTGCTAAAAGATCCAACACTCGTTGATCAAGCTCTTCTTTCAGCATCTCACGAACTTGTGGTCGTCCGAAAGTTTCGGCAAATTCCTTGAATGAATGCTTGAAAGCGTCTAGACTCTCGGCAAGGTAAGATTCTGCAGATAGAGGACGGTCGTTATATTGAACCTTGAACTCATAAGTTGCTTCTTCAAGCTCTTGGTGAATGGCGTCGCTAGTAGTTTGGAGACTCGCCGCCATGGTTTGTTCGAGTACATGCATAAGCTTCTTACGGAGAGTGGTAGTGCCGACATTTAGTCCAGCATCAGGTCCATACTCCATAGGATGAGACGAAAAGAATGCGTGCTCGTTCTTGATGATGGCTTCCGAGATACTTCCATTTCCTGCTTTGAACAATGATCTAGTTTGTGATTGTTGTGGTGCTCGTGACACAACACCAACATAACCGAGTCTTAAGGGGTATTTTCGATCATTTAGGATGGAGACTCCTCTGGCAGGATCAACAAGATCCATCTTTGTGATGACGCCAATAGTACGTTCACCTCGTGGGTCAACTCTTCGGCTTGCTCGTAAAGCAGTTGAGTTGGCTAAATCCACGTCTGCGGCGGAAATAGCAAGAATGACATTAGGAGGTTGAATATACTTGTCGCACAAATCGGCTATTTTTTGCTTCAGTTGCGCAGGTTGATCTTCACCAACAACCTGTATATATCCAGGCAGATCGATGAGGGATAAGTCAGGAACATGGGGGGAAGAGATGGTTAACTGAATTGGGTCATCGGAAACACATTCTGTGTCAGGAACGGCCAAATTCAGTTCCGTCAATGTCCTTTGGATATGCGAGAAGTCGGTGATTTTTCCTAGACCAAGAGCAGGAAATTCTCCGTATTCCGCCTGTGAATCAGGGGTGTTGACGAGGGTCAACTCTATGGGTCGTCGTGTGACCATATTTGAACCCTTAGGTAAGAATTCGTGTCCTACGATTGCTTCTAGCACAGAGCTTTTCCCCGATGATTGTGAACCAATAACCACAATTGATGGTAAAGTAAGAGCATTTGACTGTCCCACAGTCTGCAATATAGTTCTGATCTCAATCATTTTTTTGGTCAGAACCATCATTTGGTCATCCCGGGCAGCAACTGCTGGAGTTCTATCGTCTTCTGAATATTGATCATATCCGTAGGCGGCAGCACTTCCTCCTGCAGCTGCAGCTCCCATTCTACTTTGTTTGGGTGGTTCCCCGCCAGGGCCCCCACCCCCACCTCCACCATTCCCTTCCCCAATCTCTTCATGAATTCGTAATACCTTTTGCATCCATTCCGGCAATTCGACGGATTCCTTTGTTTTCTCCCATCCTGATCGTGTTTGATTTGCAATATCTTTTGCACTGCCGAACAAACCACCTGCTACTCCGGACACAGTATTCGTTGTTGTGTTGAAGATATCTGCAACATAATTACCAGCCTCTGCAGATGTCAAAAGTTAGCACGCTTCAGAAGGAGGAGCGGATAAACTAACGGGTAGCCTGGTATTGAATATATGCTAAACCACCGACAGTCACTCCAGCGAAAAGAGCAGGTATTCTTGCAAACTTCAACAATATGTTTGGTAGGATGCGAACAAATGAAGCATTTCGAACGACTACAGCATTCGAGAATGGTGTATGTCCTGCTGGCCATAATCTTCCTCTTGCAATACGAACGGCGGATTCTGATCTGAGTAGACCACCAGCGGTAGATACCGCCTTATGATGGAAATGTCTGGCAGATTGTGAGTTGATACGTTGAGCCGCGGGCAGAAGCCTCGCCGATAGCAGCCTCCCACTCATACTGGGCAAACTGAAGATCGTATCAATCCTTTAGGAAGATGTAGGATCATGAAGCAATAAATTTCATTCTGCTGGTTTTGTTGTCCACTTAGTATATGGTTGTTTGAATTCCACATGTTCTTGCATGAATAAAGGTCGAATCAGAAGTGGCGTGCAATATCTGTGGCTAGTGAGTTGTGATTGTGGCTTGATAACGAACTTCAATTTTGGCGGGCGGCTGAGAGGGAATGAGATCAAAGGAAACCCCCATAATGTCCAGCCTTGAGTGGTTATCAGACGATAACAACTCCACAACAATTATCATATTTTGTTTGTTAAATTTCTTGTATATATCCTCAATTTCTTGTTGTACATACTCTCGGATCTACATATTACAAACGAAACTACTGCCGAAATTGGAATTTCTCAACTTGCTTCTTCTATCCGTTGGGCTTGGATCTTAATTTGTGTCTCAGCACCCAACAGATTACGCCATACCGTTATTTCCCCTTCAGCCTCGCGATTGCTCCCTTGAGTGTGAGCAAACAACTCCCAACGTTCCTTGACTTGTTAGCAACAGATATTGCACGATCATATCCCATTTGTATTCATTGAAATTCCAGAGAATTGCCCCCAAAATATCGGAGTCGCGAGAAACCAATCCTCGACGAAAGACAAGATGTGTCGCTTTCTGGTGAGCCAAACAACCCCAACTCTTGCATAGCAGCAGAATACTCATGAGAGTAAGGTATATAAAGGCTCAGATGCCATCTTGCTTTCTAAAATCATTCTGGAACCCACCCACTCAATTCTTAATCAGTCCTTCGACTCTCGCCTTCGTTTGGACATGAGAAGACCTCATAATGGTTAGTAGTTTCTGATCTTCATGATTTGTGAAGACGGTGACTCATAATATTTGCAGGCGATGGATTTGGTATTGGTTATTACACAGAACCTGAACTTGGACCTGAACCATGTATCTTCACATCTACTATTCCTGCGTGGAACTGTATCAACCTTCAACGAATTGCTTCAAAGACTGCTTCACCACTTATATTTGCTCACGTACGAGCTACGACCGAAGGCTCCCTCAGCGATGATAACTGCCACCCTTTCTCCCACGGGAGTTTGATGTGGATGCATAATGGTGGATTAGGTGGTTGGAAACACATAAAAAGACGCCTGGGCGAAAGACTGGCCGACAAATGGTATCTTGGAGTTCACGGAGGAACCGACAGTGAATGGGCATTCGCATTATACCTGGATACACTTGAGAGAATGGGTCATAACCCAAGTGCTCCACCAGCTGAGGGATTTGGTCCAACTGTTTTAAGGCATGCTATGCTAGCCACCATCAAACAGATCAACGATTTCATTGCCGCAATCCCAGGAAAGACAATCGAGGAGGAAAATCTGGACATTCGAAGCTTGTTGAATTTCGCAATAACCGACGGGCATAGTATTGTCTGTACTCGTTATGTCAGTAGCAAAATCGATGAGGCAGCTAGTCTGTACTACTCCTCCGGCACTACATGGGAGGACAAAAGTAACAAAGGCGAATATCAAATGGATCGTCGTGATAAGGGTGCTGATATCGTCCTCGTCGCAAGTGAACCGTTAACATTCGAAAGAGGTAATTAATCTCCCGTTTTTCCTCTTTCTGTATCCCATACCCCACTACTTCATCTTGCCAAGGGCAAAGATAGAAAAGCGGTAGGTATTGCCACAACCGAGTTCTATTGACTGAAGGCTTCAGTCCCGTGAAGATTACCCAAACGAGAACTCAGCATTTAGAAATTGTCTTTATGTTGCACATCAGCAGGTACGCGAAAATTAGACAAGGACTAAAGCTCGACTAGTTCGTATGGTGGCTAGTGATTTATTTTTCAATTTTCTTCAGGGGCTCTCGTCAGAATCCTGCATTGTCATTCACTCGCTTGTCTGATTGCACTATTACTGCAGCTACCTAGTATGTGGAGTAGACATTTCTAATACATTTACAGAAAGCTGGGTGACAGTTCCAACCAACTCCACTTTGACAATTCACAAGCAAACTGTTATGGTACATCCAATTATCGACGAGTATTATAACCACAACCCATATCATTCGCGATCCTCTCAATTCGTTACCGATAAGGGTCTCGTTACCAATGAAAAGTCAACGCCAGCTCCTACGCCAGCTCCTACTGGATCTACACTATTACATCAATCACTTACCAGAACAATCATCCCATCATCAGCCATGTTATCACCAAGAGAAAATTATGATCCCAATACGGTGAATAACGCATCACACACATCAGCAATCTCAGATATCAGACATGCCACACCAGCAGCATCTCGTCCCTCGATTTCTTCCAACAAGTCTGGAGAACAAGGCAACACCAAAAAGAAGCGAGCTGCGGCTCCTGCCCCTACGATCGTACAAATACCAGCTAACACAATAAATGCTGGAACATCCAATGGAACATCAGGAGTCGATTACATAGACACGCCTGATACACCAGAACTGACAAAAAATTCTGACAGCAGAAATAAAATAGCGCAGTATTTCCCAGAGCTGGATAGTATTGATCGGAATTGAGCGAGAGGCTAGGTAAATCATTACTTTCAATTGGGTTGCATTTTAGGACAGGCTGAGCGAGGTAGTGGTATTTGGGCTGGCGTCAAAATTAGAATGGGGAGCGCATCGGTTGCATATAGGAGGGCGTTCAGTGTGTGATGTAGGATTCCCCTTTAGTAGTCGCAAATTTATGTTGCTTTTGCAGATCGTTTCTGTTTTTTAGGTTGTGTCATCTTTGTCGTACATATTTTTTCTAGATTGAATATTTGTCAATACCCTCAAACTTTCGAACTTTTGGATGTGTTGAGTGAACATTCAGTATTGAGGATCCCAATGGCAACACCCCCAGTAGTAAGGAACCATCGTATCGTAGTGATACAACAATGAAGCAAATCCATCCTTTAAATCACTCAAATGCTCTTGAACGGATAATCACAAACTAAAGTCACATCACAAAACGATTCCTCATATTCTTTAAAACAAAGAACCGCTTGTGTTATTCCTACAATTTTAACAACTATAAAACACATGCCATAGAGACAATCATCCACGCTAATCAGTAAACCCAATATCCAGCTCTAAAGACCCAGACCCAGACGCAGAAACTCAGAAATAATTAGACCAATCACTATCATCATCACTATCCTCACCATAAAAATCATCCGAATCCAACGATTGCTGCGGCGTCAAATCCCGCTCATTAACACTCCAATCAATCATTTCCACCGATAACCCCTTATGTAAATTGAAATCTCCGCATTCGTACTTTCCCAATCCGTCGTAATCCAAGAGGGCCTTTCGAGCCGTCAAGATTTTGAGATACTGCTGATCGCACATATCGACTGCCGTGCTGAACTTCGTGATGAAGTTGCGGATCTTGCCGACTTGGTGGTCTGTCATTAAGTGCTTGATCAGACGATCGCGTGGTAGGTTTTTGTAATGGCTGTTGTAGAGATGACGTTGGGAGTGGATCTGGGCTTCTATTGCAGAGGTTAAATGTCTTTTGAAAGATTTTGCGTAGCGCTTGAGATATACTAAAGCGAGACAGATCTTTTGTTTCCTATCTGGATCTTGCATTACCCATGTATTGTTTGAGAATCCCAATTGTTCATTCTTTCTCTCAACAGCGTCGAATATGCCGCCGGGAACTTTCTCTTTCTTTATAAATGTCGTTAGTCTATGATTGGCATTCATGATTTGGTTCCATTGTCGCTCGAGGTGTGTAAGGGCGTGCTTGCGATGTTCTTTGAATGTCCACTCATCTTCGCCTGAGTTCATGACGGCGTCTTGACAGTTGCGAAGTTCGAATTCAAGTGGGTGAAGGGTTGGCTCGATAAAAGGATTGAAAGAACCCGTATCGAGGAACTCGGCGTACTCGAGACATCTAGAATCAATCCGTGTGATATCCTCTCGTCTTAAGCCCATTTGCATTTTGTAAGGCCGATGCCGCTCAAAGGTTCGCGCGTAAGCCACGAGGTTCCTATGCATCATGTGGTAGATATCTAGGGATTGTTGACCGGTTATAAGTGTTTCCATCTTCATCTTCAAATCTGTAGGAAGTTCCCAGTCTGCTAGAGCTCGATCTCCCTCTGTAAAAATTTCGACCAACCCATCATCAGCGAGTTGAATGATATCCGGAACGTCGGCTGCACAAGCTTGATTGATTGCACATGTCTGGATATTGCGGAGGATTCTCAAAGGTTTCAAGATCTGTTCGTAGCTATCGAAAGAATAATTATTGTTCCGACCATAGTCCAGGCCGCAAGGCAAAATCAATAGTTCCAAAGATATTGGAGGATCTTGAGAGATCACTTCGCAGAATTCACGTAAACTCCAAATTGGATCCCAACTACCACCAGCAGTTGTGAGTCTGCTAACTATCACACGCCATTTGCGAACTCTTGACACAGCAGAGCAGTTACCAAGATTTGGAATGAGAAATGGCATTTCGCTTTGGTTGTTCTGATATCTCGTAAGAGGGCACAATTCTACAAGAGGTCCTTCGACGGACTGTACAGCATTTGGATTCTCATCATCACTCCTTGCACCCAAATCCATATCCATAGAAAGGTGATTATCAACCCGAAAACATGCGATGTAGAAGGTATTCTCTTTGTAAAGAACATCCAAGGCCTCGACGTAAATTTGATGGCAGACTCTCAATACTTGTGGTGATAAGCCGTAGTTGATATCAGCTCCATAGCTCGCACTTCTGGATACAGAATCTGCAGTGCCCAAAATCTTTTTGACTAGTAGTTCTTTGTAGATCTGAGTCCTGATTTCAAAAGGGAAATCATTCAAAAAGGGACAATCGCTGTTGGAGGCCATATTTAGGATTTTGAATGTTGAATATTATTGAAAAAATGGATCGAAGTATGATTGGAAGAATGGTTGTCGAATAGAGTTGTTGTAGTGTTATGAGAGAAATTACGAGAAGAAGAGAATCAATGTTTCCTGTTCTGTAGCTCTCCACCATTTCGGGAAACAGCTCTGTTGGTGAAAAAGAATGGTAAGAGGTTATTTAAAAACGAAGAAACGTATTCTTACCTTCGTCTTATATAGTGCTTCATTTACAGTGTCCGTTTATCATTGTATTCCATTCTAATATCAATTTTACAGTGAATTAAAATTAATCTTTCGAATATAAGTCGGTGAGGATAGATGAAGTTATTCGGGTGTCTCTGCAAAAAGCTCGTTTGGAATCTTCAACCAATGCCAAGAGTTTCGATTCACCCAAGAGGTTGAACTCATTCAGACATTGAAATTGTGTAGAATCTCCAAGAGAATTTGCAACTTCAATTTATCTCCACCAAGGGAGACTTCACTCAAGTGAAAATTTGAACTCCTTGGTAAGTTTGTAATCGTCAGAAATCTCCAACTTCCCTTTTGCAAACGTCCGCTAATACAGAAATGTTTTGCTTGCTCTTACAGATTCAGCTCACTTGGAAGATTGCATTCATGTCAAGGATGAATCCACCGAAGACTTTGAGCCTCTTGAAAAGACTTCAAAAACCATATACCAGAATATAGGTTGATTTTGGGCACTGAGGGACTGCATTAATCAAGCTGGAGCACAGTTGACGTCCCATAAATTGTGCAGTTGCCCTGGTGAAGGTGTATTCGCCGGGCCCATCCTCATACTTTGCTTGCGTCTAGTGAATATTGGAAGATCCAACATAGCCTTACTTGCATCGTGCGAGTTTCATGTCAACTTTTCATTCGCCATGCACGCAATACGCAAGCTCCAGTGCGCAAGTTTCCATGAGATTGACTTAACATCACAACTGTATAGCCATACAATTCAGATTCAACTATTGAAGGGAAGACAAAGGAGACGCGAGCACAACTTAGACAGAACATCTCAACTTCCATCCCAAGGCTCGCCGATGATATTACTCTTCTCGCTTTGAAACGGTGCAACATCAACATTCATTGGCGTCATCATCACTCCTTGCAACCATTCAACATATGCAGGGAAACCAGTCACACTCCCATAAATTCTTACATTCTTCACTCCTCGCACATCCTCAAAGAGTCTCAGGACCTTATAATCCGAACCCCTAAACGCAGATTGTTCAACCATTATTGTCAATTCATCCACCTCGCTAAAAGCTTCTTCTGCTTTCTTTGCAGAGAAGTTCGGATCGCAATCCAGTCGAACAATTATATAGTATTTTTTGATGATAGATATCAATCTGGTGGAGCTGATAGTGTCATATTTCCAACGCAAGCGCGGTAATCCTGTGAGAAGATTGGGATGTGCTATGAAGACATTGCTACCGTAAAGGATTTGTTCGGCTTCATCATGAACTCTTCGACAGACGGATAGAATTTGTTGATATATATGTGGATCACTTCCTAGCGGACGGGGTGTTGATATGGGTGGGATGATGAGGAGTAATTGGTAGATGCTATTACGAATTTCTCCTGGAAGGTCAAGAAATGTGAGGGGCGTCATGGTTTGCGAAGCACTTCTTCTATTGTTAAAATAGCAACCTCGATGTATTGTTGTGTATTTATATGAGGACGTATGAAAAGGTAGAGATTTTCGTTGATACCGATTCGTTCGAGTCTCTTCGAATCATCAACGATGTTCATGACATGAAGTGGTTTGTGAAGTGATACGCGGATAAAGGGATCTCATCAATCTGATAAGATATCAAGTTATCAGCACCGACTTTGCGATAAGATCAAGATAAAATTTCGCGCTACAATCCCGGCAGGAGCCGGGATTAAACTGGATCGTTCATTGTTACTCTAAATTTAGTACGTGCTCACACGTGATGGTCTACTTGGATGAGACCTTGATCATGTTGACTTCTCATTTACAGATTTCTCTGACATCAATACCCTCATTTATAAATTGTCTCCATCCATGACATAGTCTTCATAATGACCACTGCATTCCTTCAGTTTCTTTCCTATTTGTTTGGTTGGATATACACAACATGTTGGTCGCTATCTTTCTATCCCCAGCCAATCTTGAACTTTAGGCGCAAATCTACTTCAGGAGCCGCAATCGATTTCCCGTTCCTCAACGTGCTAGGCTTTGCTGCATACTTTGTATCTACAGTCTCATTCCTTTATGCGCCAGAAATTAGACGTGAATATGCTTTGCGAAATAATGGTCATACGCCAACTGTTCAATTCAATGATCTCGCTTTCGCTGTTCACGCCCTCTTCATGTGCTTTGTCATAATATCACAATATGAACCATCGATCTGGGGATTCGATAAACGAGGTAAAAGGGGACCCGGCGCAAGAGTTAGCAAATCTATTATGGGTTTGTCGGTAGCATGTATTGTTGGAGTCGCGACTTCGGTGGTTATTGTCATTGCGCGACAGGATGAAGATGTTGTAAGAGGGTGGGCATGGATCGATGTGGTAAGTTCAAGTCAAGCTGCGTCATTTGGTTACACTTGTGCTAACATCATTTTTCACAGGTATATGTCGTATCATATGTCAAACTGGTTATCACGACTGTTAAATATATGCCTCAAGTTCTTACGAATTATCGCAACCGATCCACCACTGGTTGGTCAATAGGGGGAATATTACTGGATTTCGCAGGTGGAGTCCTATCGATTTTACAATTGGGAATTGATAGTTATCTACAAGGAGATTGGTCGGGAGTGACGGGCAATCCAGTCAAACTCATGTTGGGCAACGTGAGCATCTTCTTCGATGTAATTTTCATTGTTCAGCATTATATTTTGTACAAAGGAAACGGAGGTGATACACCATTAGATGAAGAAGATCCTTTACTCGCGCCGGATAGGGAGCAGAGAATTGAATAGAGATAGGCGAAGAGAGAGGGAGCAGAGAATTGATTAGAGAGATGAATAGATAGCGAGCATTTCTCTATGGCGTTATAGATACCCAGTGGTTGGATTATGAATAGAGGTGTGACAATGAGTTATTGGATTTCAATGTAAGATATTAGCACTTATCTAGGTAATTACAAATACATTATCTTGGGGAGTTGCAAGGCCAACAGTTCTCATGCTCGCCCAAGTGGCTTGTATAACTGCATCATGATATGCAATCTCAATCAATTGTTACATCGATTTACTGTCGTGCACCGCTCAATGCTTGAAATAAGATTTCCCAATAAAGGTCACTTGTTGAAAATGGAGTCACATTTGTTAGAGATGGTAAACCTAGGTAGTACAGGACGGGAGAGGGAAGTACCATATCGCTTTCGGACCCCAAAAGCGCAGTATGTAAGAAAGGACAACTTCGACCAGGTTTAGACTTCCTATATATTTGAAAAATCTAGCCATTTTCACAACAATCAACACAACACCAAGCGGCTTTAGCTCACTTGGGAGAGCGCCAGACTGAAGTTCACTTCGGTTCATTAATCTGGAGGCACTGTGTTCGATCCACAGAAGCCGCATTCTGCGAGTTGGGGACGACCTTGACCTACTATTATTTTTGCTTTCACCTGAATTTTTTCTTCCTTTTTCCCCTCCAGATTTACTTTAACCACACGCTACGAATACGTTACGGACGGAGCATGCCTACCTACGTTGAAAGAATTTCATAAATCAAACCTTATATTTTGAGTTGAGTCTTGATCGGTTATTTAGTTCATTCATGACAACTCACTACGTTTTCACTAGAAGACGCAAAGAGGGACTCAAAAGGGTAGACAGACAATAGTGGGAGCTGGAGGATAAGCGAAGAAGAAGAATTAGAACTTTGAAGGTACGTGTATTTATCTTTGGGTGGGACAATGGGCTCATATCAACGAAGCTAACAAATGAGAAGTCGATAGATAGATACTCTGTAAATAATGATTTGGAGAGATGGTATTCTAACAATCCGGTATAGGAGCCCATCGAGCCTATCGAGCCCACCGAGTCGTCCATCAAGTCGACTATCTACGGAGTACCCAGGTAGTTAGTATCCAGTCCAGTCACCACCAGTTTCCACTATCCACCGAATACGCAAAGTCGCCGGGGTTAGAACTTTTCATCGAGTAGGTATTATTAGGTAAGCAAAGTAACGCAATTGATGGGTCAACATTCGACCCAATATTTCCTTCATATGCCGAAGATCTACCACAGTATGAAATCATTTCCGACGGTTAGACTGTTGGACTAAGCAAAAAACCTTCGCGAACTAAGCCCAGCCAAGTAAAACCCCTGAATGCTTACCATAAACTTTTTCTCCCGTGCTTTCGTCCTAATGTGAAAATATTACTTGAGAATTTCATTTTTTTGTGGCAACTATCAAAAGGACAGGATAGTCCCCGATGTCTAGACTGAACGTAGGGATTTCTCTCACATTTCGACAACTATCTCAGTGATGGCGTGCTTCCATCAGGGATGGAGAATTTTCATTCAACAGGGAATAAAAGTGTCAAGTTATCCAGACGCGTTGATGTTTCCCTCACTTTTTTCTCATATTCATTACCATTATTCTACAACATCTATCCATCCTTCTCATCCATTTTGAGAAGCGTCTATATCGTATTGGTGAATAGAGAATTGAATTCTTAGCTGCATTCAAAGTATCCACCATGTCGAACAAGACTTACACCTCGCAAGAATTGGGGATCCACGGGACGCCGTCTCAAACTTCATTGGATAATCCGGGAAAACCAGATATCGCAAATGGAGAGGTAGTTCATTCGGCCTCAGGTCATTTGGATGCTGTTTATGGTGTCGGTGGTGTGGGACATACACAGAGAAGATTGAAGGCTAGACATGTTACCTTTATCGGTTTTGGTGGTGGTATTGGTACGGGTCTTTTCATCGGTACTGGTGCAGCTTTAGCAAATGCTGGTCCTTTGGGTTTACTCTTGTAAGTCAACGCCTAGTCGGTTTAGTTATTACGATACTCGAATTGGTATTAACACAATTTCTAGGGCCTATAGTGTTGTTGGTCTTCTTCTTTGGTGTGTAATGGAGTCAATTGGTGAACTGGCTACTCTGGTACGTTTTTACAGATCAATCACCTGACATTCACCAAACACAAGCTTACAAGTCACAGTTCCCAACTGCTGGATCTTTCCCCCATTTTGCAACTCGATTCGTCGATCCTGCCCTTGGATTTACTCTCGCCATTTCTTACGGTTATTGTTACACCATTGCCATTGCTTCGGAAGTTTCAGCAGCCGCCATCGTAGTATCTTACTGGACAGACATCACACCCGCTCTCGTGATCTCTATAGGACTCGTCGCGATCTTCCTCATCAATATCGCCAACGTCAAGTTCTACGGTGAAGCAGAGGTCGTCACTGCTTCCATCAAAATTCTTTGTTTCTTAGGATTGATCATCGTCTCCATAGTTATCACAGCCGGAGGCGCACCCAATCACGAGTCCGTCGGATTTAGATATTGGAAAGATCCAGGTCCATTCGTTCCCTACGATGGAATCACGGGGAGCAAAGGTAACTTTCTTGCATTCTTCAGTGCATTCATCAACGCCAGTTTCTCCTACATCGGTGTTGAAACCGTCGTTGTCGCCGCCGCGGAAACCGAAAATCCACATAAATCGATCCCCAAGGCCGTCAAGCGTGTTACCTATCGAATCCTGTTTTTCTACGTCCTCGGTACGCTTCTCATTGGAATGATCATTCCCTCCAACGATCCAGCTCTCGTAAGTGGCACCGGTAACGCCAATTCTTCACCTTTCGTCATCGCGATCAAGAACGCCGGCATCTCCGTCCTCCCATCTATTGTCAACGCATGTATCCTTACCTCCGCCTGGTCCGCCGGAAACAGTTACTGCTACATTGGTGCGCGAATGATCGTCGCTATGGCAGTTGATCGTCAAGCACCTCAATGTTTCGCCAAGGTCAACAGATGGGGTGTACCATACTGGGCTGTCATCGTATCTTTCGCATTCGGTCCCCTAGCATACCTAAGTCTCGGTTCGGGAGGTGCAGCACAGGCATTTACTTGGCTTCTCAACCTCAGTACGGTTGCGGGTCTTCTTGCCTGGATGACTCTCTGCATTTGTTATATCCGTTATCATCACGCCTGCATTGCTCAAGGTGTCGATCGTAATAACCTCCCTTTCAAAGGACGTTGCCAACCACTCGCCGCATATATCGGTGCAATTGGTTCCGGAATCATTGTCATCTTCTCCGGTTTCGGTGTTTTCATCAAGGGCAATTGGAGCACGGCGGATTTCATTGCTAGTTATATCGGTATCGTCATCTACATTGCACCATATATTTTCTGGAAAATATTCAAGAGCACTAAGGTGTCAAGATCGAAGGACGTGGATTTGTTCTCCGGGAGATTCGATGCCAGTTCTGCGCCGGTGGAACCGATACCCACGACTGCGTGGGGCAAGTTCTTGGATTGGTTGCTGTAAGATTATGAGGAGAGATAGGAGAAAGGAAGAGGAGATGGAACTATGATTTTTAATGATGCATTTTCAACAACATGATACTTAGCGTTTTAACAACACTTATACCCAGTCAATTTTATGTTTATATATTTTTCTCATAGCCACGGGGCATCAGATTTTTGGAGTCATGATTCATTTGAGTGTGTAATGTGAAGTGAGGAGGCTTTTATTGGGTTTAAGCTACCTGACTGATACTTCTAGATTCTATACCTTGCAATATGTTTTTTCGAGACGAGAAGACGACTCTTCAACATATGCCCATTTTGTTATTCGCCAACTTTCGAGACGCGCGCATACTTTCGTTGAGATGGCATTTGGATGTGATTCGACAAAAATCAAGCCTGGGTGCCGAAATCGAGAGATCGCTGGCGAAGCAGGGAAACCTCGCCACCCTCGCCCATAGTAGCACGTGTTTTCTTGTCCAAAAGCAAGTGCGCATACCTCTCTTTCCATTCAGCAACTTCCTTTTTGGCAGAATCAGCTTCTCTTCGAACGCGAGTAAGCTCCTCTTTTGCACTCTGCAATTCACGCTCGGCGTTCTCAAACATCACTTCGAAAGCTTGGTTGTTATGTTCGAAGCGCTTCAAGATCTCATATCTCTGCTTGCCGGTATACGCGCCACCAGCAGCCAAAATTGCCTCGTCCATGTCGCGCTTGATGAGAATGGCTTCTTCGCGACGATCTTCCATGCGCAAATTCTGACCCATCTCGAATTCTTGCTTGCACATGTAACAGTCGCCCTCGTAGGTTTGCATATCGTGGGGCTCGGGACTAGGATTACGGCATTGAGACGAGGTATCCTTTGAGTCCGGTTCTGCCTCCCAGGCTAGATATTTCTCGCATTTCTCCATACCAGCACCGAACTCGTGACCGCAGGCTGCGAGACTATAGATGTAACGACACATGATGTCGAGATGGTCGAGTGCTACTTGATATGCGCTGATAAATTCTTTTGTACGAGAAACGAGCTCCTGCAGATCGCATTAGCTTGAATGCTTTTCACTTCATCTTCACGACTGCAATGATAATTATTTACCCCTCAAGAACGAGAAAGAATACATACCGTTGCTTCTCCAATGGAATGAACTCGAACACGGAATTTCTGCGCGATCAGTTGTTTGATGGAGCTGGAAATTTCGATGTTTGTTACAAGGAGTCGGTAATCTAATGCGATCTATGGAACAATCAGTATTCAATTATTCCTGAAATCTACACTTGAGGTCTGTCGATATTTGTTCGTATCCATCTGTATTACGCAGAAAAAGATGAACTTACCGCTATCGAGATCTTAGAAAGTTTCTCGTGGTGGGATGAAATTGGATGAGAGGAGAGGAGCGCGATTCAAGTTTTGGGAATTTTCGCAGTCGTTATGATCAATCACATCGAGAAAAGACGAGAGGAATGGGCAGAGAATGCGAAGAGAGACAAGATGAAACGAGGTGAGAAATCATGTTAAGATCAAGCGAAAATCCGTTTTGCCGCTAAGAATTTCTCGGAATATATTAGAGGAATGGAGAGAGGAAAAGAGGGTGAAAGTGAAAGTGGGAATGAGGATGCAGAGATACTTGGTAAAATTCGAAGTGAATGAAAAGGTGAATCGTACTAGGTACATCTCCATATAATGATCCGTGATACATGACTTCACGTCGATTCGAGTAAACGTCAAATTATGAGAAAGTCGATTTGTATTGGTAGTACTAGGGAGTGACCAAAGATGAATATATCTCCACTGCTAATAATAATAACCTTCTCTTTTGGGGAAGAAAATGAATGAAGACGTAGAATCGAGAACATGTCGTAACCAGCTAAGATGTTGATGATATTAAGTAATCTATTGGGATTATTAGGATGGGATGGCGAGTGAGCGGATTTTACAGTCAAGTGCTTGTTCTAGGGAGTACTTGGTTTGCATGATATATAGGTACGTTTTCATTCATGGCGATTGCAATTTAATCTGTCATTTCACATGTCACTTGAGGTTCATTTTTGTATATGTGTATTTGTTGAATTTCTATTTTCTAAAATTTTATTGTGTGTTCTGTTCTATAGTTCTATGTTGTAAAAAGCCATCCATTTGTTGTTCCTTTATATATCCCATGATTCCCATATCCTACTATACTCCAATAAAGCAAGAAAGAAACTCGTCATGTCTCGTGAATCTTTAGGAAATTGTTCAGAAAAGATAAAGAACTATGATAATGACAATGGATAATAAAATGAAAGAGAAGACAAAGAAGTTGTTCAAAACAACTATTCATCCTCTTCAAACAATTCACCACGCCAGACATCTCCATCCTCGCTCCCCTCCTCTACTCGCAACCATTCGCTGCCTTCGACCGGTGATGGAAGACCAAAGATACTGCGACGGCCATAGGCGATATTGTCGGGTTCTGCTTCGATAACTCCAACATCCATCGGTGTGACATCAACGAAGAAGGGTTCTGGTTCTGGTGTAGGTTCGCGCCAAGCGCTAGCTTCTTCGACTTCTTCGGCTTGTCTGCTAGCTCTCGCATTGCGTTCATCGTTCAAATGATTGAGCATCTCCATGGCATTCGCGGTGTACTGTCTCACAATCTCCCATTCTGCTTCTGTGGGATAGCTATCGCTAGCTAATTGGTCGTCCAAGAAGCGAATGCATTGGTTGAGATAGGCAGCTCCGGTGTCGACGAGGCCCGGGAGGTCGCGGATGAATTCGTTAGAGGTTTGAACCAGCTGCGCGAGTCCGGCAAGGGATTGCTGGATTCTTTGTCGGGAGGGTGTCATCTCTATTCCGCTGGATTCGTCGTCGGAATCTGATAATGCCATGTTGGAAGGATCGTCCTCGGAATCAGAATCAATGTAATCGCCTAGTTCCAAGGAACTGAGTTCAACATCTTCGTCATCCTGTGGCTGGAGTTCGGTCTGTTCGGGCTCGGCCACGTTTGCTAATGGTGCTGGTTCCGGTCGCCCAGCGAGAGCTCGAAACATACGTGCGGCGATGGTGTTTCGTGAAATGGAGAATAGAGTGGCCTGGGCTGGAGCAACTTCGACCAAATACTGCCGATACTGATTGATGAGTTTATACCAACGGTCGAATTTTCCTGTGAGACTATCTGAAGATGGTTGGTTCTCGTGTTTCCATTCGCAGAAGGTCTTACGATCTTCGACTCTGCCCCATACAGGGATTTCACTCGCCAAGGTGCGGGCCTTGGGATCGAAGTCGAAGGTCTCCTCGTCGTCATGGAATTCGCGCATGACCTGGCTGATGAATTTGTCGATTCTATCATCATCCGCGTTGGCACGTTCCAAGGCGTCGATATAGGAGATGATTTCGCGACGAACTCTATCTTCGGCAACATAGCGGTCCGGCATCTCCGTGGTCCAAGTTCCGAAGTTGTTTCTCTTCGCTGCTAATGCGACAGTTTCAATGGCTCTGTTGAAGTTTTGAGTGTTGCCAACTTCGTGGAATGAAAATCCTTGGTCGGATTCCGTCATGGTTCTGGAACCAGAATCGATTTCGGCTTGTCTTTGAATACACTCGTCAAACATTGCATCTTCAGAGAGAACCATGGAGACGACTTGAAATTCATCATCAGTCAAATCATGATCGACTTCCGCAAGTGCATCTAGGATCTCCTTAGCACGGGCCGCGAGATGTTGTCTGTGTCCTGACATGTAATTTCTATGAATGTCAGTAAAGCCAATACAGTAAGGATGAAGTCTCTCTTTCTTCATGAAAAGCTCAGCGTACTTACTAGAAATAGCTTCATCGGTCAATGGAAGCGGTCGCTCCAATCTTTGCCATTCAATGATAGCTTTGGCCTGTTCGTGATGCATAGTGGTTGATTCAGCTTCTTCTGCAGCTCGTCGTCTCTCAGTGCGTTTGCATTCCTTGCAGCATCTGATTCGGAGATGTCGTCCTCGAATGGCGTGGGTGGCGGTTTCGGTGGTGACCTCGGGGTATTGCTCGCATTTGGAAACGTATTGGATGGTTTCCTTACTGCATCGCTTGCAGCGACTTCGATTTGCAAAACACATATTGATTGATTGATTGATTGATGATCTGTAGCTAAAAAGTCCGGCTTATAAGCTAAGTTGTTGATGTAAAAGTTTGAAGTTGTTTTGATGTGATTGAATTGGGATTGAGTGTTTGAGTTCTTAACGAGAAAGAAAAGGGGGTATAATCTAGACTTACTTCCCGAGAGTTATAGAAACAACAATAGCATTGTTCAATTCCTGTTCTCTGGATTTCTTTGTTGAAACATCAACAAAGAAATTCATTGCTTCTTTGTTAAATCCTTCAGCTTATTTTCACACAGTCTCTGAACAATACCGCTGTCTCACAGCCTGCCCAGAGATCGACTGCAATCCCTATTTTTCGAACATTCTCCATGCCTCAAATGTAATTGATCAATTGCTAAGGAATATTTTTCACGTTCTCTTTGTTCACACTAACGGTCGATTTTATGTCGAACCTAATGGTACAAACTCTGGGCACGGCCAAGCACTCCCTTATTTTCCCTTGGACATAATTGTTCTGGTCGGAGATCTGACTAGTGTATTTGATTCCCAAGTAGGTACCATCGTGAAAAGATTTTCCATCAATCTCAATAATCAGACATAAAAAATGGATCCTAGACATGCTGCGAGAAAAAGCCAACACCATATCGTATAAAAATTGGTAACTCTACCACTTGACGAGAGAACATTTTTACGATTTTGCCCGAAAGTGAACTTGGTCTCTAGGTGAAATTCGATCTTCAAGATCTCATCCAAAGTAATTTGAATTAGAACCCTTCAACAAACAACCTTAGGGGATCGTTCTAGAATCATCATTCATAACACTCGTTTGGATTTGACTGCTCAGCCAAAAGTAAAGTCTAATCTTCAAGTAAATCCCAACTCCAAGTGAATTCCCAAGTGGAGTCTCAAGTGATAGAGCGATATAAACAAATGCCAGCAATAACAAGAAAAATCATCCGAAAATCTCATCTGATCGTCTTCGTACCTCCAAATTCACTTTATCTCATCCGCTGCTTTCTCTGATTCCAAATAAGTTGGATCTGGTTCACTTTTATCAGAGGGCCGTACCTGGAAACCTCTCTATTTATACCTACCGCTTTTTAAAATGCTGCGTCTATATATTTGAATTTGCGTCGAGAAACGACAAAAGGAAATTCAATATTGATTTTCTGCAGCTTTTGGTCGACGCTCCTCTCTGACCTTCTATTTCGAGCAAGATAGATACTTCAACACTCTTCTGCGAACAATTCACGATTTCTCAACCATTCAGATCCAACCATCTCGAAAACTCTCTACCCCACGAAGTTAAATCCAGAAAGAAAAGAGAATTCACATCCACGAAAAGACTTCTCGGAATTCACTTCTAGGCCGAGAATTATGTGCAAAACAACACTCACGCACTTCAACTGTCAATGTACAGCCCTCGTAGTTCACTCATGCGCCCTTGGTTTTCCACTCGGTCGTATGGTCTGTGGTCCACCTAACCTCATCAAGAAAGATATATATGTCTATTCAGACTGCGATGATTGTTTGAGCGGCGCCCCTTTAAGAGAGGAGAAACGAAATAGACTGGAAAATAGGACAAGCGAGAGATGGTTGGAATTTGTGGAAGATGTGATCGCCGATGGCGATGAACATGGTGAGGAGGTGGAGGAAATTAGATTGGAATGTGCGGATGAGAGAGTAGGGGATGAAGGAGAGGGTGAAGTTTATGATGGGGGTAAAGATCGTGATAGATGTTTGGGTGAGGAATGGGAAGTTTTGATGAATAGACAGAAAAGCAAGGGCGGGTACCAGGAAGAGAACGAAGACGAAGATGCACAATTGTTGGCTGCTCAAGAAGCACTCCAATCTGAGATCGAAAACTCCGAAGACGCCTCCGATGAAGATGTTGATTTGGCTGCTGCTGCTCAATTACTATCAGCGCTTAGACAGGAACTCGGGAAGGATGAGATGATTTCGCGGGACGCAGATATTGATGAGAGTGAGGAGGGTAAGGAAGAGAGAGATGATAAGGAATCTAAGGCGCATGTGCAGACTATCATGGAGAATTTGGGGAAGTTGAGAGATAGGAGTGAAAGAGTGGAGGTTGATTCTATGATTGCGGAGCAGGAAGACTGGGGGATGTAAGAAAGATAATTGGAAAGCTGGATTGTTAATGCGCGGCATCATTGTTATCGTTGCTACACTGAACTATGCTTCATGAAGCTAGGTTCGTGAAACTTTCATGGAAAAACTCTTCGAGATGATTGATAGAATTTGTTTGAATGAATTGATGGGCCTTTTTTTGAGAGGTTCTTTCACGGTTCTGGTTGAGGGTATCTTAATTGGTTAACATATTTCTTTGTACGTTCAAGAAGATTTTTTCAAAAATAGGTATTTCCAGTAAGAGAATCTAAATAGCGAAACAATATGTAAGGCTTCAGCTAATTCAGTGCCTACAGGAATTGCGACAGAGCAGCGCGAACAGGGAATAGGAGTATGCTTTTTGAGAGAAGGCATGAGATACATGTAGTAAGGACGCGGAGTGGAAAACGAAAGACGTTTTACCATTAGAAGCAACATCTTGTAAACGTCGAGTGATAAAGCGAAGGAAGATTCCTGAGATTTTGATTCGGAAGACTGATAATCGTAACTATCTCAGATAGTCTCTTCCACGGTGGTGCTGCCAAGTTCTTCATCCCAAACATGTCTACTTGGCACTTATATATTGAATTCAAGTCTTCTCCGAATTTTTGTGCTTCTGGGCCCTTTCTCTTATCGTTTTATTGTCTATATTCTGCAAGAGATTGTTATCCATCCTTAACTTTCTCTACATGAAAAGTACCAAGTCCCATTTTCATTTACAGATTCTCCTTTTCTTGCCCGGACTCTTCTGTCTCTTGGGCTCCATCATCGTCGGTATCTTCATTATCCTCAATTTTTCCTTCTTGCTCAGACTCTTCTTGCTGTTTGGTTCCCTCCTTTTCTTTTTTGTCTTCAGTATCCTCATCTTGCTCTATCTTCTGCCCTTGTTCTATATCTTTCTGTTCTTGATCAATCCTCTCCTGCTCGATCCTCTCTTCTTCAATTCTCTTCTCTTCCATTTCTTGCTCTATTCTTCTCTCTTCCTCAATCTCTTTTTCCTTCTCAGAACCTTTCTCTGCCTCGCCACCGAACTTATTCTTCCAAGTCCCTGCATAATGATGATTTACAAAAACCTTTCCTTTTTCTTTCTTGAATCCGTTTTGCGTCCCCGCGAATGCATTTCCCGGCAAAATCAACACATCATAAATCAACCTCGCACTTCTCAATTCTCCAACATCTCTATCATCAAGTTCTCTTCCCAGAATTTCTTTGAGACTTTTGATAATCCCCCACGTCATTCTTTTTGGTCCCGTTATATCCACCACATCACTAATCATACTCAACTCTATTCCTTCAATTGATACCTCGTTTCGACGTGCAATTTCATTCAGCTCATCCAAAATATCATTGATGACCTGTGTTGAATAGTTAGAGACCTAATTATTGATGGATTATCTACTACTGACCTGAATTAGATGTGGAGATCCAGGCTTCGCCATAATAGTCCAGCTCGCGAATTGCGAATACATGGCTGTATCTTCCTGATAGTCATAATCGAACTCCAGGCCAACGACAAGGTTTGCCTCCCGATGTTCCTCCAATACCCAAGCATCAATGGGAATATCCTCACACGACACATCTAAATCAAACCACACTCCTCCATAAGCATACAAGATCAAATATCGCAACAAATCGGCTTTCAAGATCGGTATACTGAGCGAAAAATAGGTATCTAGAATATCTGGACGATGAGAAAACCATGTCCATACGTACTCGTCCGCGAATGCATCAGTGAGTACTTCATATGTATAGCCTGGGTTGATATCAAGACAGTGATGTCGGAATCGTTTTGCCTCGTCCGAAACGCCCTGAGGTCCTACTTTATACCAAAGCTTTTTGGGAAATCCTGGAGCTTCTGATGAATGTGTCGCGAGGGGCGCGGAGATGACTACGCTAGAGTTGGAGGATTTCGTAGAGATGGGTAGTTTCTTCTTATTGGAAATCTCTTCGTGCTGAATTGCTACTATGATGAGAAGGAAGATAACGATAGTGGATAAGAGAAATGTTTGGTATTGGCAGGAGATTTGTCGATACATTATGTAGGACTAAGTGAGATGCGCGTATGTTACTTCGATGGCCTCCATGCAAACCTCACCGCATAAAAGCGTTTCGAATATCAAATACGATGATTGTAAGGACTAACAAATTTCTTTTCAATCTCTCCTTGATAGTATATAGGCTGCTATCCTCGGCATTTATGTTGATGGTAGGGTTGAGTATCGCGTTTTTGTCCTCATTCCTGTTCCTCCTATCTCCACATTCTTTGCGCAATTTATTCCATTCCACAATCAAACCCCCGTAACTCGAGAATCTCTACGATTTATATCTTACATTCTTATCTAATACTCTTTTCGTTCTGCCACTGCAGTAGCCACTGTCAGCTCAAGCCTCAAATACTTGTATATTTCCGTCAAACCACACAAATTTGATGGAAAAGGTTCTGATAACCATCAGCAAATATTATAAGTACCACACCACTCGAGTGGGTAGTCGAATTAGGTGGTAACAATGGCAATCCCACATTTCATTCGAAAGATGTCAATACATTTCTCTTCAAGGCGACCAAGAGCAATGGTCTAGGATCTCTTTTCCAAAGCTCATTAGTCAATGTTACGACAACCAAGTGACATCTTCAACATCCACCTTTTCAGCTGGAGAATGGGTTTAATGCCCCCTTGTTAGTACAATGTACTGGATAGGTCTTAACTAGGTGATTACGCCAACCAAAGTGAGTCTTAGCTTTACATGTCTACTAAAACACGAAATGGGAAGCGAGAAAAGCATGATTTATTAACACAGACTCATCAGAGAAGATGTATTGAATTTAGGTATCGTTCATTTTGATATCGATGTGTTGATGCGACCATCATGAGTGAAATACCATCTATGAGTGCGCAGGAGAAATGAGAGCAGCTCAGTTTCTGGGATGTTCCAGACCTTGCATTATATGAGCTTACTCGGCGCGTCAAATTTGAGCCAGAACGGCCAGCGGACCGTAGGGTTTATATATAAGCCCCCCAGAAATCTGGTTCAATCCCTATTCGCCTCATAACTATCATGAATTGCAACATCACCTCCGCCATTTCGTTGAGGTCGGACTGGACAAATGCAACAAGACGGCTGATGATAACGATGCCGCACTTTCAAACCAGAGCGTCGCATTATCTTACAATATCTAGAGCGCCAGTACTGACGTTAATGAAGAGAGAGAACCTTCGATCGCGTTGATCTCACAAGGCTACTGCGATAGTACAATGGAAGAGCAGACAGCAAATGGCTGTGTGCTGCTCGAAGCATACACTGATACATTCAAACGCGAGCAGACTTTCGCTGCCAAAGAAGCAATTGCGAGAGTGCGAGCAGAATTTGATGAGTATTACAATTCCATACCAAGAGAAGTAGCCATTAAAAAGGTGCTTCATGCTACAAGAAACTCCTAAGATGGTTGGATCCACGATGCTTGGGTCAGTAACGTAACTTCATCACTGCTTTCGAAAATATGGAAAATCAGCTTGTGGAGATACAGAAAGCTCGAAGAGAGATTTTCAGTTGTGATATTTCATCGAATTGAGATTGTGATATTGATATACGGCTGGAACAGACTAACAAAAAGCGAGTCGATTGGAGTGTCAATGCCCCTGGCATAATTAAATATCATTCGCTGACGATATGGAATGAAAACGGCGAGGCGAGGAGGCCAGACTAGCGAGGCTATTACACATGCGAAACTTTAACACAATAAACCACAAATCAAACAGTGAAATCATATCTCCAATTCTGCCATCCATCACTTCATTCTTCTTTATCAGAGATTTTCCCGGTATCATCGAAGCAGTACTATGGGGAGCATAAATTCAGTGAAGCTAGCTAGACACTGAGCCATGCCAAAACAGTAGCTTGTTTGTGTGAGACCACACCTTTGCCATTCTAATGCTTTCGATCCTTAACTTTCTTCCAGAATTTACGCTAGAACAAGCAAACCTCTCAATGTAGATCTTCATTTCACATAACACCACATCTTCTCTTATCATTTTAGATGAAAAGCCTGTAATTTTCGAATCCGAACCATGCAAAAGTATCTCCGTCTTCTTTCAAATAATCGGAAGACATTGCTCCAATCCCCATCCCCCTCCCATAAAATTCTTACAAGACTCCTCAATCCGTGTGACATGGTAAACTACTCCCAAAGTTGTCGACAATCATTCAATCATCAGGAGAAATTAGACGAGAACTCAACAACTCACTTTTGATTGCACAGTGCTAGATACTCGGACCATTCTCTTCTCTTCTATAGGTCTTTTATTTACAGTAGCTGATTATGCTTTTCCTCTTTCAAATTCACTTGCCTTTATCAGTGTGAAATCAAAAGTCTACAGCACAGTATTTAAACCAATGAAAGTTTTAAATTTTAGAGCTGCACGAGCATTGTACCGAGATTTCCTGTATTTAAGGAGTAAGTTGGTTATGAAGATTTCAATCATTACATCACCAAGCCCACCATAAAATCAACGCCAGCGTCAATATAATCAGTCGCATCGCACAAATGCGAGTTGCTTCTAACTGGTAAACAAAGTAACTTCTTAATTTGTACATGACTGCCGTCGCAATATCCTCCTCACTAACTTGCGGCCACTAGACTTTCCATCTATCGTCCAAGGCAACTACAGATATTGTCACACCAGCAAGCAATAATGACGCCAGACCTTTCTCTCGAGGAAGCGCAGCCAGCGCATGCGAACACTTCCTCTGTCATCGACCTCCTAAACCGACTATCCACTCCTCAGCTACCCAGAAACAACACCACAACGACCTCCAATATTCCTTCCATACTCAACCAACTGTCCAACCTTTCTCCTGTCAGCGCATCGATACCCAACAATAGCTGTCCCTTCATATCACGCCTTTCCACCGACGTTCGCACACAAATTTACTCCTATCTCCTCCTCAATCCCTTACTCTCTACAGCAGAATGTGTAAGTGTCGAAACCGATTTCGGCATCAACCAAAAATACGAACTCGAGCCTTCAATTCTCAGAACATGCAAAGAAGTCTACGGAGAAGCGTCCACCGTTCTCTACGGCCTCAACAAATTCTACCTCGTCGCCATGAAAAGCACCCGCATGTTTCGTTTCACACTTGCAGATTTTATCAGTGGAAGCGCGCTCACGAGATATTGGAGAGAAAATGCTGATATCTTCAAGGTTGCGCCTGAGTCTACTTTGTATCTGTGTAAAGTACGTCAATGGCGAGTCGAAGTAGGCTGGTATGGGTCGCCTGGTCAAAGCGATATATCTCTTCCTGTAGTATCTATGAAAACACCGGAGGAATACAAGTTCACGCGATCTTTACCAATCGATCCAAGAACTGGTTTACCGCCTGTTTCTGGACAAAGGAGAACTCGAAATCAATATTTATTGAGACTTGGAGCGCAAGATGCGACGAGCTCGACCATGGTGAATACACTTTCATTCTTAAGACCGTTGCTCGAATATAGTTTGGTGCCTTTTTGTCATTTGATTAAACTTTGTGAAGTACCACCGCATACTCTGGAGATTATTATTAGAGCAAAGAAGGAGGGAGAAGCTCCCATTCGATCCGAATATCTGGGTGTAGTACCTACGGAAGCTGAGAAATTGCGATTGGTAAGACCACTGGAGATGTTACGAGGGTTGGGTAGTTTGGAGTTCACGTATGGCGAGAAGAGCAGTGGGAATGACGTACCATCTGACGGAAATGCCATCGAAGACACTACACCCGCCGACGAAGGCGCCAATTCAAGTACTACTCAAAACAACACACCACCCGAGATCTCAATCTACCAGCTCATCCAACACTCAACAATCATCCACCTAGCCACCTCCAAGGCAGAATACCTGACAGTTGAATCCCCCGCCAGTATATACAACAACCTTCTTTCCTACGCCCAAGCCTTCGAACGTTACGAACCCTTCAAGCAACACATGGCAACCAACTGGCTCTACCAGAACTACTACAAGAGCACCCCTAATCCCTACAAAACCAAAACTACAAATCCCATTCAATTTTCAAATCCATTCGGTCCTCAAGACAACAACTACAAATCCCACCCTGTAAATCGCCATCTTTCAAATGTCGCAGCCGCGGTGCGAAGACACGATATCATTGCGCTCAGAAATAACCGTAGAGCCGTGATTGAGTACCTAGAACCACAATATACACGTATCCTCTCACAAGTCCAGAGATTTCGAGAATACACCGAGAAGCAAAATAAAAAATTCGGGATCTGGAAGGGCGTTTCGATACTCGAGAAGCAGATACTTGATCAACGAGTGGAGGGCAACAGTGCGCTCAATCCACATCCCGAAAAGAGAACCACAAGTATCGATTTCTCAGAAGCGCTAGTCATACTCGAAGAATACGCAGAGTCATTTACCCGCGATTTTCCGCTCGAAACACGTCGTCAAATTGCTCTTATTCGCTACGAATATTACGGTCACTACGAAATCATGGAACGCGAAGTTGCGATGCGGAAACTCCAGGAAATGGTAGTTGAAATGCCGCACCCATTTGAAGAAGCGGCTGTAGAATTCAAGAAATGGTATATGCGCGCTGCGAATGATATGCAGAGACAATTTTTGGAGATTAGAAGCGCGAGGAGACGCTTGATTGAGGATGATGGTGTGAGGGGTAGGAGGGAATTCCCGGTTGATTTTTTAATGGGGTTGGAGGATGGCGAAATTGATTGGTGTGTGTCTAATGATGAGCTTGAGCTTTCGGAGAGCATTTTAAAGAATAAGAGGAATCAGGCTGGTTGGGTTTAGTATACTAGTATTTATGTAGGACAATTTATAACGCGTGTGTGATTTTTACGCTTAGCGAGTGAGAAAATGCTCTTTGATGATGATCGAACAGAGAATAGGAGACTATGTATGTATACCGATCAAGACAAGCGGTATAATAATCCATGAAAAGTTGCAATCGATAACCAAAATGATGAACTCACAAACCTCATCAATCCAAGGCTTCATTGAAGCAATATAACCAAGCACCACCCCTTTCAGCCCTCAAACCCCCCTCAAACCCCCCTCACACCCACACCCACTCCGTCATCTCAAACTATCATGCCCCTCTTCTTCAACACCGTCTCCTTCATAAACGGAGTTCTCCCTCTAATCACCTTCCCCATCTAAAGACCGCAAACAGCATCGCCACCAATCCTAAACTTCCAAAGCCCGATAGCGAGCTCGCCCACTGGAATCTAAAATCCGTATACATCCTCTTACTTGCTAATGAAATAAAAGCCAACGCGATATTTTCCACCAACCCTACTGCATCAATGCACTCGCCGCATACTTGCTCTATGCATCGACGAGGTAATTCGCATTACTGATAATAATTGCCAAAATTCCAAAGCCCATAAGAAAAAGTCTAATAATGTGGATGAGCTGGTGCAGAGAGGGAAGGGATATCCAACTGTAGAGAAAGATTCTGTTGGTGACTTCCAGAAAGCTGCCAATTACAACAGAGGGATATAGTCGTACTTCGTGGATGAGAGTCCGAGGGAATTCTGTATTTCGGGATATGGAATTCTAGTATCAGGAATTAGTATATAGGTAGATTAAATAATCTATATGTTCTCCAATAGCAATCGAAATATATATTTTTTCAATTTGTAGACGATTTCAAGTGTAGAGTTAGGAGTAGACCTGCTCAATGGATTGGGTGAAGAGTTATATAGTTCCAAAACTGAATACTGCTTAGAGAGTGGTGATAAAAACGACAGATTCTGTGAGGAGCGTGTAAAAGAATCTTTGATAATTTTAATCAGGATTTTATGTATGGACTGTTTATGAAGTTCTTCTACTATATATATATACCTTTCTTCCATCTTTACATTGCTATTTCGCTTTAACTAGTAGAATAGCCGAACTACAACTTTCTGAAAGATAGAATGTAAAAAGGGGAAAGAGTAAAACTCACCATATCAACTTGATATAACCAAACGAATAATAAATATATATCAAAAAACACTAATCGAATCTCAAAATCTTTTACAATAGCAAACAGGATAAGCGAGAAGATTATATTTCTAACTCTTTATAATGCACTAGGCTAATATGTATTTGGAAAATATGAATTAGAAACATTGAATTCGATATTGATAGGATTATATATAACGAATAAAATGATGCCATTCATAGAAGAGATGAAGCTGGCGAGGAGCGTGAAATTGATTACGAGCCATACTTTGCGGGGGAACTAATTGAATAAATCGTGAGAATCGGATGATCCATCTCAAGTGACTATTGTCGGAGGGATTGGAGATCGTGGTGGTTCTGCTGTGATTTTTAGGTACTCATGAAGTGCAGAGGGAATTTGGACGCGAGATGCGTTCAGGGGAAAGGATAGGTACCTAGTTGAAAATCATTCTCGGTTATTCCGAGCTCCTTGATTGTAATTGACATATTTCAGACCTTCACTTAAGATCGAATAGCTGTAAATGATTAAAGTAATAACTGAATAACGAAGAGTGAGGTTGACGCCAAGAAAAGTCGATACGACTAAAGCATCACAAGAGAGCCAATTCGCCATCGTTTGAAACCGAGCAATGTAGGTAATTATAGCAACAAATAGACAAGGTACCTCGGTATACGTAGATAGGAAGGTTGAAAAACGAATCGAAAGTGCTTATCACGAGTGTACTTATCACGTGATGGTATCATCCCCTGCGCCTCTTCATACAATGCTTACCGACGACAAGACGCAGAAAGATCTAATAACTTCTACGACTTACCTACCTACCACATAGCGATGAGGTAAAGATCGAAAAAGAACATTTCCTAATCTTATCCTAGATACTTCATATCCAAGTTACTCCCCTCCTCTCCTCCCTTACCCTACATCTTGCATCCCACGTCGAGTATCCCAAACCTACCTACCTGCATCCAACCCTCAAACCTTAACTGATCAATCACCCCAAACTTCCCATTCTCGGCCCAAAGCCGGTTTCTAACCCATCATCGCTCATCCCACTCGGTTCGTATTCCATCCCTCACACCCCTATCCATCCCCGGGACCCGAGTATTCATATCTCGTATCTCATTTCTCATACTATATCTCTCATACATACCCTCTCAGACCCCTCTTCTCTTATCAACAAAACAACTATGATATCGAAAAGATACTATATCGTGTATACTATTCATCCATCCATCCCACTCACACTCCGTGTATCTACCAATACCATATGTCATATCTTTCTTCTTCTCGGGAGTCGCAATAAATCCAGCCCAAGAACCCTGTCCACCCATCCTCCCCTCCAGCAAATATCTCAATCTCAATCCCGATCCCAATCCAAAGCACCCCGATCAGTAATCCCATCTACATCCTTTAAAGTCCACAACATCAACAACATCCATCCCTCTCACACTCCCAGTACACCCCTGAAACCTCACTAACCCCAAACCAGCTAGCCTCGTCACCCCCAGCCAATCAATCCTCTCTCCTCCTCCCCGGCGAAACCCCGGTCCAGCCCTCACTCTCACTCTCAAACAAAATAAAAGCAAAAAATAAAAATAAAACTCATCACGTCATTCCAGATATTACCTAGTATGTCATCGGTACTTCCCATCCCATCCTTCCCTTTCCTCCTCGCCTATCATTATCTATTTACCAATCAATCCACCACCCAGTCCATCAACCAATCATCTACCATTTCCCCAAAAAAGATGAGACCATACTATACTTCGTACTCCCCTTCGTCCCTTCCCTCCCCGCTTTTTCCGGGTTTATCCGCGCTGTTGAAATCTACACGAGGGATATAAGTAATTATCTATCTGATACATACCATATCATAGGTATTAGCATAGCATAGCAAACTATTTTCTGTTATATCATAGTATATCAATCAGAGCATATCATAATACTTCATATCTAAGGAATCGATGATTATATCCTCAAGAATTCATTCCTTGTCATTCTTACTCACTTCATCCCATTCTATCCCATCTCACCCCATGCTCTCCCATCTCATCCATACCCTTCTCTTCTCACTCAAATCAAAACTCAAAACTTCCAAGCTTTATATATCCAAACACATATATCTACACATACAATCACCGACATACATCCACACCTAAAATGTATCTGCATCCACATCCATCCACACACCAAATACAAAATGTCCCATGTACATTCATTCCACTCCATCTACTCCATTCAAGCTGTACTTTCCTTCCGTTTCCCTTTCCTTTCCCTTCCTTTTTATCTCTATATACATACCTAACCTACCTTTCCTTCCACCTCTATCTCTACCCATACATCCAAACCCACATCCAAAAATCTCAAGAATCGGTTTGCGCATTCAGTGATTCAGTGATTCATTCACACATTCATTCATTCATTCATTCACTGTCATAGTATAACATAGTGAATTATCACGCACCTTATTTACACCTCACACCTCACACCTTACAAATCACACTTCACAAATCACACCTCACAAATCACATCACAAATTGCAATGCGACACACACAACACAGACGATGTGATAGGTATCGCTAATCGCTAAAGATGAAGGGGCACGCCACGCACCCATCTTCAGCCAATACAGTGCGCAACCAATCCGAACTGCAGTATCCAAAAAATAAGGCGCATCGCACACAACACAACACAACACAACACAAATCAAACAATTTCATATGAAATTTGATATTTTTTAATTTTTCTTCATTATTAGAAATTCCATTCTATCTGTACCTTTTCTGACTTTCAATCATTCTCCATTTGATTCCATTCAATTTGATCAGTTCAATAGGTAGTAGTAGTAAGTTGACTTTTCAAGATTCAAAGAGAACAAACAGACAGGAAAACGTGATATGACTCAATTCAATTCATCATAACAAGAAATCCATCTTTCTTCCACCATCCCCCCCTTCCTCCACTCTTCCATTTCTCTATTTTCCCCAAAAAACAGACCAATCCTATTGCAATCCCAACCCAAATCGCGATGAAAAAGACAGGGAAAGAAAAGAACACAAATCACATAGTCGCCTCCATTTAGCAATTCCCCATTTCCCATCCATTCATCCCGTTCCATTCCATTCAACTCCCTATAGACAACCCCCAATGAAGTGAGAGTGTGAGAGTAGAGTTGGATTAGAACCAGATTTGAACCAGATTTGAACCCAAAATCATGGAATCAAAAGCAGTTATTTTTCACAATGAAATATCATTCAAAAATGATAGACAATCTCCTCCGCTTGCATCAAAAGTTGAGTTTTCCTCCCATTGATACATATATCCCCTACCACCAACATACAAACAATTTGATAAAAGAATGTGACACATGCAATTGCTCGCTGGAAAGGAGTATCTTCGAAAATCGAGGTGACGGGGAAACAGTTGAAAGCAGTAAGTGCAAATCAGAAAGACAAAAGAAAATCATAAGTATGTTCATGGGAATCCATTAATCATAAAAGGAGTGTCGAGATTGTATAAAAAGTGTTGAGATGTGTTGAAATGCTCCACCAGTTAAACCAAAGTACAATGATAAAAGAAAAGAGCGCCATGTTATTTAACCTAGACAGGAAAGAAAGAACGGGTACGACAAGATGAAGAAGTATGAAGGCTTTTTTGAACGCTGCGAGGGAGAAATTGTTGATCAAGATAGTGACACAAAACGCTGGCGCTATAAAAGACTTTTGTTCGATATGGTTTTGATGGCATTGGTGTCGCCATGAAGATAATGACCAGTTGCGCGGCAGTTGGTCATTATCGCTATGAAGAAACAACTTTTGGTACAGGAATGTAACCGTGAGGTTATTCAATACTCGAAGGAAGACAATCGAGTCGATGGTACGATGAATTTAAATCACCTCTTTCTCTTCTTACTTTTCTCGAAACTGCTCGCACCACTCGCAGAAAGCGCTGATGGGAATATTGGGACTTGAGGTAGGTCGTCTTTCTTCACAGGTACTCCCATATGACGCCCATAACGACCTTTACGACCGTTCCCTTCATCTTCGCTGACACACTGATCAATGCCAAGACCAGCATCTTGGCATCGGCCACAGGGTCTTTGACGATCGCAACCTTTCTTGCTTTTCCTGCAGCGTTGACAACGTGGTTTAGATGAAAGATCCTCTTCATCGTCACCGAGATGATGTTGATGAGTTGCGGTAGATGCCACAGAGGTCTTTCGTGATTGCGATGGTAAGGAAGTGGGTGAGATGGGACCCTTGCTAGAGGCAGAGACACTGTTGGCTTTCTTGGGCTTGACCGAAGGCGTTGGTCTATTTGGTTTGCTAATTCTGTTCGCCTTAGATTTCAAAGAAGAAGAAGGTAAAGGTTTTCTAGCGGCTTTAGCCTTGACCACCTTAGGTTTTGTTACTTCGCTATCAACAGCATCATCTGTTTGACCTGGCTTGAAGGTTCCATCATGGCAGTCTTCAATGTCACGTTCATCACTACTTGGCTCAGTGCTATCCGTCGGTGGATTCTCTTCCAAATGTGGATGGGTCTTTTTCAAGAACCCAGGTGGCAGAATCGGGCTTGGCTCACGCTTTAGTCTGTGAGAAGGGAGTTCATTTTCACTCTCGCTCTCACAATTACTGGTAGCGCCAGTAGAGGAAGCTGCATCAGCACGCCCGCTGAAAGTGTCGTCAAGGGTTGATGCGGAAATGCGACCGTGAGAAATGTTTGACATGTCGCCAAGTCTCATTAGTTGCAGAGCAACATCCTTGTCTTCCTCTGACATGCAACTGCCGATGGTTGGATCTGGAGTCGGTAGTACATCCGACATGTTTCCTGGAGTACTAATAGATTGACGTCCTGGAGGATATGATGCGCGCGTCCGGCGACTTTGTGCTGCTGGCGTAGAATAGAGATCAGGCTCTCCGAACCCATTGGCATTGCCAAAGCTCCTGGGGGAATGAAGGTTGGGTACATTGGAGAAAGGATTTTGGGAAAACCCCGCAAAAGGAAAACTTGATCGCTGATTTTCCATGCGACGTGCCGGAGAAACGGAAGAGTTCGAAGTCGCAGCGGGCATTTGTGGTGGTGCGAACAAAGGAAGTTCCTGATTCAAATCATGATTAGCATGCGTGTGGAAGACAACATCTGCTTATGCGCAGCCAAGTGAACTTACAGAACTTTCAAACTTAGCTCTTTTCCGTCGACCTCCCTCCACAATATTGTCAAGACTGATCTCGGTGTTACCAAGGTGCTCGCTCTTAGCTCTACTAGTAACAGACCCAGCTCCTCCATCTCCACTGCTATATCCATTTAATCCATCGCTATGAAGTTCTTGGAAGCTACCATGAGTGCTTGAGCCACGGCTTTTGAAACCCGATCGAGATCTACTCTTTTTGGCCGGAAGCGGTTGATTAATGCTGGCAGAGACACTACGACGGCCACGGCCTTGTCCAGGAGAAGTGCTACGCTTTCGCGATGTCCTAGACGTTGGTCTTGAGACAGGATGGCCATAATTGAGAGCTTGGTGGGGTGGTAAGTGCGTCTCGCCAGGATAGTAGGCTTGCTGTAAGCGTGGAGAACCAGAACCGTATGATGATGGCCCGTATGCATCAGAAGGTTCTTCTTGAATGACCCGGACATATACCACCATGTTGTTTCTAAAGTTCTCATAACGTGCGATGAGAGTGTTCCCTTGTTCGTCTTCAAAGCTAACACCTTTCGCACCAGCGCCATCTGCATACAGGCCGTAAAAGTTCTTGACAGTGGCAATAATCGAGTCTGTAGTATCGTGAGGGAATATTTGGACACGCATCGGTAGTCGCGCACGATGCTGAGGTGATTGTGTAAAGAGGAGTTCGAATGCGACACTCTTTGGGGTAGGGCTCCCAGCAGGCGACATGGCCATGGAGTGTGGAGTGTTCATGTTGAATTGAGCAGCAGCATAAGGAGGCGCGGGTGGTGTACCGCTTCGCTCATCTCTATTGTGCATATCCGTACCGGACATGATTATTTTTCGGGTCGGGTACGAATGTGTTCGCTGTGGAGGATCGGTAGGTTCGGCGTTTCGATTTTGTGCGTTTGAAGAAGATACAGACCCAGTTATAATGTTGGCTAATTCCATATGAATGTTGAGAGTATGCTTTTGCTCAGATCAGTCGCAGATGTTTATAATTGAGTGAATGTATGTATATTTAGTATCTGAAATCCCGAATGTTTTGTGGGGTGTACAATCGTTGTCGTCGCCGTCGTCGCAAGTCAGTCGGATAGACGTGGACAGAGGTGGGCAGGGGAGAAATGTTCGCTCTGATTAGGAAATGCTGTTAGCAATAGTCATGATAGACTTGAGGATGACATCCTAGGGACATTTGATGAAGGGAGAAGTGAAGTGATGGCATTGTCGTCCGATCTAGTGTCGCTGAATGTACACCCTCCTTCTGCGACAATGATCGGAACGATCGGTTGTATTGGAATGGAGATATAGCAGCGATATTGAACTCGATTTTCCCGATCGCATAGAGTAAAAGTAGGATTGAAACTTACTGGTGATGGGAAAGAATGTTGTTGTGAGCCCTATCGAGGCATTGGAAATTGTCGTCCTGTAGAATTGGTGTCTCTCACAACCTATAAAAAGAATGGTTAGAGAGAGAGGGGATATGGTTGAGAAAATGACATTTCGAGATAATTGACTCTAATATTAAAAACTTAATGATCCAATATCATACTTACTTGAAATTATATCAAGTCGTATGTTTTCCGTGGTGTCTTGTTCTAATATTGAGTGTGTGGTTTGGAAATGGAAGAAGTCGGTCCTCGTTACTCAGAATATGTTAGCTGCTTTGCATAAAATAATATGATTTGGAGAGTTGAATAACTTCTATGCTTTGCTTCAATGGCACAACCAAGAATATCAAATCTACATATTTTCATCATCATTCCTATTTTAAATTGTCTCTGATGAATTTGGCTATTTAATCATTACACCTTGATTTCTATATCAATGAGAGAGAAAAGGAGTAAATTCTCATAATACACATTGCATAATTGCATATAAATCCTCGTGCCCAGTAGTAGAGACGGAGAGCACGATGTATATATATGTATATCTATGAGGTATCTCATCGAGACTCTGTCCATCCATCCTCGATGCAAGTGGTTTCACGCTGACACTGACATTCACTGATGGATCTCATGTGCCTTGCCTGCTCAATATGGCTATGCATATTCGATATCATGACTTGCCTACGCAGGTTCTCTCCGCAGTCCGTTGTCTCCAATCCTCACACAAGTAAGTCATGTTATGCCACCATTGGCAGCAGAAGAAGTACCTAGGTAGGAATGATATTATCTCCGCTGGGTGGTAATGATTAATCAAAGCTTCATCCAACCTTGTTTGGAGGATCTATCCCAACATAAAATGTATCGAGCATATCAATGGACTGGTCAAGTTTCGGCTCTTGAGTATATTAAGACATAATTCGAGTCGGATCCATCCCGTTTTCGGGCTGGCTATGTTCATCAATCCCTCTTTATCTTGGAAACGAAACACACGGAATCTTCGCAAGTGTGCCTAGTACTTTCATCTATCAACATTTCGCAACAATCATGGGAGATGATGTCCACCCCCTCCCCCCTGTATGTATAAGTTCATCAAAGTCCCCAAGCGCAAATGCATGCGACTCAGAAGTAATAAATTGTACCTTGAGAGAACTCCATACATGTACTCTGTTTCTCCTCTAGACAATACTTGATGGCCAGCACCCATTCAGCTACACATACTCCGTACTTCAGAATACACCAGTGCGGTCGAGACAACTCACGGAAAGCAAAGGCCAAGTGCTTGAGTAAATCTTGATAATCAGCCAATGATATTCATGCGTCAACGTCTAAAAGCAAGGATGATTTGAGAATGATCATGGATGTAATGTTCGATTTTCCTTTGACGGTGCTCGTTTGACATGTTCGAAGATTGCAAGGAATGAAATGCGGTGCAAAATTAGATTGAATAAAGGGAAATATCTTGGTGATTGTAGCTAATCAATAGAATCGCGCATTTCTCCTCTTCTCTTCCAAGTTAAGATATACTTTTCAATTGATGATGGTGGCTGTCGGTGTAGAAATACATTTGGTGAGTTGTGATTTCCCCTTCATCTTGATCGCGAAAGGAAGATTTGCGATCCGGGATCATGGTATGCGTTGGCCACGAGTTTCAAATCGCATTCATGCTCCAAGCTGATTAGAAGAAAATTACTCTTCCACGCTCTACTTAGGTCCTCAAAATAGGTCCAAATGATTATGACCGCCACTAGAAAAGCATCAAAGTACTAGCAACAAATCAACAACAACTGACGGCGGCGTAAACAGGTAAGAATCCTAATTAGCACCTGTTGAGTGGCTTATGAATGGAAGTCTCGATGTACCGTGTGCACGATGTAGGTAATACTCTTTTCTATCCAACGTTAAACATGATTCATGTCAACCTATCAAGAGTGCAGCATTCCCATGCAAGCTGTTTTGTTCTTGTAATGTTGCATAGGTAGATACATATACATATTCTCTCTCAATCGTGTGCGACATAGTTTGGTCCAAAATTTGAGTCGAAGCATTGTAACATCATCAATCATCAAATCATCACATCACCAAGCCGTATCGATGAATTATGATGAGGGGCTTGGTGAAGGAAAATGCAAAAGGGTGGGGATTACCTAGGTTAATGCTGGAGAGGATGATGAATGCTAGACACTTCCATGATCCATCATCGCAAACACATCAATTTTAGACTTTAGTGTGCAGCACAAAACCATTCGAGGACTTATTTTAACAATACCTTGAGAGATAAACATTTCAAACCTAAAGAGAGTAAGTAAGTAAAGATACCTAAACCAACACAGATTGGTGCAAGGCGCAATGTGTTGTGTCCACCGTCTGCACATTCGTTACTGTGGTTGGATCTGTGCAATAGCCATCTATCTGTCTGGTCTGGTGGTGTCGCAATCGCAATCGCAATCCCAATCTCAATCCTAATCCTTCAAAGTCAACTTACTGCCGTTATTGCGTAGATGAATATCATTGTCCAATGAAGTCCGCGGAACCCTTCCCACCACGAAACTGTAAGCTTGGCTAGTAGACCGCAGACCCTGACCTTTGGAAGTACAAGCTCGCAATAAGAATCCGAAGTCATTTTCCTCGAGTAAACAAAAACAAAAACAACATTTCGCGACAGACCTGCCTTCATTCATCCGGGAAAGTCGCACGCTGATAGGAAGATAATAAATAATTCAATAATATGAGCCTGCGCCATAAGCGCATAGTTCCCCGATTGTTTTGATTTCCGATTCGTGATGCGTGTTCCGGCTCGAAATACTATATTGTTTGGCAAATCAAAAAGAATAAAATTGCCCCTCTTCGAGTACGAGGTTGATTTTCACCCGTCGAACACCAATCGCGGCACTTTTGAGTTTGAATTTTCGAACTTTTATCTGAAAGTGCGTGAGGAGAAAGAGTTCAAAATGGGGTTTCGTTCAATCCTGCATGATTCATTGTGGAGATATGGAGATATGATTGATAAAAGGTCGAACATCTTTTGTATTCGTGGCACATCGTTCGGCCTTTCACCTCCCTTGAGTCTGTCATCCACCTTTTAAAAAGGCTAAAAATTTTAAAGACCTAATGCATAAGACGAATACCAGACCTTGGGATGTGTTGCGACGCCCAGATGAAGAATGGGAGTATGAACTTGGTCCCTGTGTAGAATATGAGGGGTCCGAGGGGTTTTCGAGGGGTTCGAAGATTGATTGAACAAATCTATTTTTGATGAATCTTTATCAGCACGTGACGGGGCGTTTCTCGACTGATAAAGAAACATCGTGGAGAACAACATGATTGAGTATTTATATGTGCGGGAAACAGTTGAGAGACCGGCTCGAGAATACCAAAAAATTGAATAGAGTGTTTCTTCGTACTTTGATAAAACATTTGGAATGGTACTTATATAAGATTTCACTTATATGTTAGTTATTCGATCCAAATTCATGATCCTGTCGTGTCTTTGGGAGACGTGTAGGAAAAACGCGATGCCATAAGATAATTTGCCTTACCAAAGCATAATCGTACGCTAAGCTCAAAGAAGAGAAGTGTAAATAAAGCTAAGAGCACCACGCAAGGGTCATGTTGTTGTTGTGCTCCAACGGCCAATGAAACTGCACAGATTCTGGTCCCCGCCAACCAGACAAAACAAAGAATTAAAATTGTATGCACCTCTCTACCTGTACTCCAACCAGTTATTATACAAGAGAGAACTTTTTGGTCGAGACCCAAACATCAACAACTTCATCTTCGTCGCTCTCCACAAATCTTCCTGTCTCCCTCACCTTCTTTTCCATCTATTCCCCTCTAACCCCTCCTTCGGACCCCCATATCATCGTATCCATCTTCATGCTTCGAGCTATCATAACTCTGCAGGGACTTTTTTGACTACACGATTTCATACATTGCATATCGAAGCAAACGATTGGCATAATCCTCCATAATTCTTGATTCATTGTCCAATTGAAACTAATCCCTTTCACCAAACAACATTCCTGCATGACATCTTGATCGCGATAGCTTCTTGACGCTTTTTTTGATACTTGGATCACTTCAGCAAGAATAATACACAGTACAGTCATCGCAAATCAGCTTCGGCTCTTGCTATCGTGTACCGTGTTGGGAGGAAACAATAGCTTCAATCATGGACGCTCGAGTAAGTTCTTCCCTCTTTCTTCTTGCTACTGGCATTATTACGACTATTGTGGCGGCGGTGGTGGTGGTGGTGGATCGCTCTTTCCTCCTTTCTTCCCGAGATTCATTATTTGCTGAGTACCCAATTTGACGCAATCTTCTTTTACTTTCGTAATCTCCTCATACTCCGATCTACATTCCAATCCATCACCCTGTCAACTTCATTTCAATCTTCTTAGATTCTATTCAATTGCAGACAGATCAAACTGACATTAAATGTTTTAATAGCCCCAAAGACCTTCACGATCGACTCAAGCCAATACTAATGGTGATGAGAACGTCGCACCTTTAATTACCAAACAACAATCAACTCTACATCAAAAACACAAGTCCACAGGAGCCTTAACCAATATGTTAGCAGTCGGAGGACTCAAGGCTGCTGCCAAGAGGACTGCATTTGGAGATGTTAGCAATACCGCAAAGACTTTGACTACTATTCGGGACGAGTCTGCCGTTAATGGCAAGTCTGTCGAAACCATTAAGCCTATTGCTACTCAGGATAAGTCAGCTGCACTTTCAAAGCCAGCACAACGACCACTCAACAATGCCCTCAAAGCACCATTAGCTACATCTACTTCCGAACAACCTTCTATTGCTCCACTTCAAAAACAACCTCAAGCAAATAACACCAAGCGCAATACTTTGGCTAAGAAGGGTGCTGTTTACAAGGATAGCGAAAATGAAAACATTCAACCGCTTGCGCAAAAGCCAACTGCCTCGACTAGTTCAGCTCAACAAACCCTCGGCCCCAGACATGCTAAGAGTCAACCTGAGATCAAGGCCGAGCAACCGCTTTTACGACGAACACAGAGCAAGCAGTTGAACAATGCTGTCGACAATGCCGAGCCCACAATCTACCACAACGCTTCGGAACATCCTCTGAAGGAGAACGTCAACGAATCTCACCTCCGATCTATCAAGGAAAAGGATGAGTCTGCTATCGCCGAGAAGTTGAAGTCACAAAAGCAATCACCAGCTGCACCAATTGCACCAATTGCACCAATTGCACCAATTGCTTCCGAACCCGAAGAATATTGGCCCGAGGACGAAGAAGAGACCTATGACGACCAAGGCTATACAACTGCCCATTCCTTCCGAGGGGAGAATACCACTGGAGGAGCGACTACGGTTATCGTCCCAAAAGTCACAAACAAAGTTAAGAAAGAGCTTGAGGATGCCAAGATTCTTGTCGAGTCTGTTCGAACCCAAGATGATATCGAGGACGAGATGTGGGATACCAGCATGGTGGCTGAGTATGGCGAAGAGATCTTCTCATACATGAGAGAGCTTGAGGTTAGTGATTCTAATATTCATTGTTATGCTTGAGAAATGGTCTTGGTCTAGCTCATCATAGAGCATGGGACAGCAACAGCGGTCACTACTGAGACCTTTTTTGTTCATGCTGCCTCTGATTGATATTGTTTTACACTTCGCTGACAAATCTTCAACCACAGAACAAACTTCTTCCCGACCCACACTACATGGACACACAAGCAGAGATTCAATGGTCAATGCGATCTGTTTTGATGGATTGGTTGATTCAGGTTCACCAACGATTCTCTCTACTACCCGAGACCCTCTTCCTTTGCGTCAACTACATTGATAGATTCCTTTCGAAGAAGGTTGTTTCGCTTGGCAAGCTTCAATTGGTTGGTGCTACCGCCATCTTTGTTGCTGCCAAATACGAAGAAATCAACTGTCCTTCCATCGGAGAGATCGTCTACATGGTTGATGGTGGTTATAGCAGTGAAGAAATTCTCAAGGCAGAGCGATTCATGCTCAGTATGCTTCAATTCGAGTTAGGATGGCCTGGACCAATGAGCTTTCTTCGTCGCATCAGTAAGGCTGATGATTATGATCTTGAAACTCGAACATTGGCCAAGTACTTCTTGGAGGTCACCATCATGGATGAAAGATTTGTCGGTAGCCCACCAAGTTTTGTTGCTGCAGCGTGCCATGCTGTTTCTAGGTTCATGCTCAGCAAAGGTGATTGGTCTCCAGCTCATGTTTACTACTCTGGCTATACTTGGAATCAGTTGAAGCCAGTGGTTGCCTTGGTTATTGAGTGCTGCGAGAATGCTCGAAAACACCATGCTGCTGTCTTTGAGAAATATTCCGATCGCCGTTACAAGAGAGCATCTACTTACGTTGAGGATCAAATGATCAAGGGCTTTCAAATTCCGGGTATCAATCGCCGCCGACAATCTACATCTGTTCCAGCCCCTCTACGCCTCGATTCTCAATACCAAAATGTTACATTTGACCCATTGTTGTCCATCGAGGAGAACTCTCAGCGAATGGTTCAGGCAAGAACCTAAGAATCTTAATTACAATAATCCTTTATAACAACACATCACACAACATTCAATTCACTGTATTTTACTGGACCAGATACGATTTTGAATCGACTACCATTCCTTTGGCATTTCGATTTAAACAACATCTGGATCCACTTTTACCATACCCCTTCAATAGACCACATTGCTTCACAGTGGCGTTGGCGGCGTTGCATACAAAATCAATTGGTTGCCGTCATCACTTTGCACACCGCATAATGGTTGGCTTTTGTTTTACTGGTTTTGTTCTTCTCCTTCCTGGTTTTTTAGTGAGGGAGAGGGTTTTGCTCAATGATATGGCTTTTTTATTCTCTTCTGGAATTTAGGGCAGATACCTTTGCAGCATCACGACTTTCATGATCTGATGATACCATGACTTTTTGAGTTATTTGCTTTTTACCTGGTGCAGGAGGGACAATGGATTGAGAAAGGGGAGGAAGATCAAAGTAAGTGGGCGGCAATATATCCATTGATCGGATATGCACTGCTTATCATCTTACATCAATATGGGGAGTTTAATGGCAGGGGACAATGCTTTATTTTTTCTTTTTCTTATTGCAATTGTTTTGTCGTCGGAGTTCTGGTTCCCATCTACGGATGGGATTGGAATGAATTGTATTCTCAAGATACCATGAAGAAGTATTGGCATATGATAAAAATACTTCATATCCAAAAATAAAATTAACATAAAAGATATTTGTGTATTTTCTTGTGACTTTTGTAATGAATGAGATTGTGACTTTTTGAAGATTACTTCAGGTAAAGACGTAATAGCAAGATCCATGGATAGATGTAATGAGATGAAGTATCCAATAAAGGGATGCAATGTTGGTTTGAATTATTCGAGGGGTATATGGGATAGGTTGAATGGAGGACTCGCTTCTTTTTGAAGTTTCCCCTGAAAATTGGGAGATGGTTGATTGGTTGATTGATTGGCTGGTAATGGGTGGTGATGATGGTTGAGATGGGGTTGTACTTGTTTTTGATGAGATGAGATAAGTGAGGATGAGATGTTCTGAGATGGTTTGATATAGGATGAGAATGAGATGATATAGTGGATGATATAGTGGATGATTTAATTGGATTGCGTGATTGGATTATGAGAGAGAGAGGGGGGGAAAGCAAAGAGGAAGGGGATAGGAGGATGGAGAGAGGGAGAGGAGGTGAAGGAGAGGAAGAAGGGGGGGGAAAGGAAGGGGTAGGATTATATTATGAGGGATATGGATATGGATATGGATATGGAATATGATTGGATCACCTTCTGTAAATATGTATAGATAGTAGGTGAGTAGATAGTATAGATTATAGAAAATAGACAATTAAAATGAGTAGATGTATATAAGTTGTAAATATTGTGTAGGTAATATATATTATAAATAAGTAGATGGATAGATAATGGGTTATAGATAGATTAGGTAGGTAGATGGTGTATATAGGGGTATATAGATTTATATAGATAAATAGAATTAATAATATCTAATATCGAGTATTAAATGCAAGGATTAAATAAGATGACTCTGTTTTTATACGGCTTTGAAAGTAATAAGTATAGTTAGTTGATTGGTGTATGGGGATTGGTAGGTTGGTAGATAATAATAAGTAATAGGGAATAGCTAGAGTAGTGGGTGTAGAGTAGGGAGGGAGGAGCTCGAGATTTTGCTGGATAGTGGAGTACTAGGAATGATGGGTAGATTTGGAGACTTGTGGGCTTGTAGGCTGGTGGGTAAGCCGGATACCAAGGCCGTGGAAGAGATGGGAGGGATGGGATGGAGTGATGGGAAGGCGGGAAAGCGGGAGGGAAAAAGGTGGGATTTTGAGGGGGGATTGGGATGGATATTGGAGTTGGAGTTGGAGTTGGAGTTGGAGTTGGAGGTGTTTGTATCTTTGATTGTGATGTGGAATTTTGGTGTTCAGCTAACTTGCGGAGGAGGGATTGTAACAATTAGGGATTGTTTGTGGATGGTTGAGTGTGATAGAGAAATGGTTGGATTGGATTATATTTGTTGAAATTTTTATGTTGCAGTATATAATGAGTGATTTAATGTTTATCATCAGGTATGCACCCTAGGTAGTAAGTAGAACATCCTCTATCAAATTGATATAAGTGATAGGTGATCAGATATTAATAACCCTCATACTCTATCGGTAGTTCTTCAAAGATAGCCGAGAATGAACTCCCTGGTCTCCTGGTCTCCTAGTAACGATAACAACGTTGTATTACTTACAGAGAAGTTTGATAATTGTGGTACCTTTCTTGGGATACCCAGTGTTGGGGGGCGGGGGGGACGGGACGAATATATGCGCACGTATCGAGTAGTATTTGCGGCCTGGCAGAACTGTGGCTGTTGGACCAGTAGTGGAGATGGAGGAAAGGAAGATAAGTTGAATGGGTTGCCGAGGAGCGAGCAGAGAAGATTGATGAGGGCATTTTGTAGAATCAGTAATGTCAGGGAGGTAGAGTTACATCTACCATACCTACTCATGCGACTTGGCAATACTTTGACGTTTTGTTCTGATGCTCATACTCCATACATCAGATGATATTTTTGAAAGAGGATTAGTCTTTACTCGGGCTTCCCGGCAGTGTGTGTAACGGTAGGCAGGTAGGTATTCATCAATAGTCAACATCGGACTGTATATCAAATTTGGAAACGAAGATATAAATATTCTCTCTCTCTCTCTCTCTATATATATATATAAATATATATACAATTATAGAAATAGAAAAGAATAGAACAATTTAAACTCGACCTACTCTTCACTCTTCATTCCCAATAATCACATTCATAAGTCGGATGCCCCACTTTCGGGCCACCCCTCTTTTGGGCCACCCTTTTACACCAAAAATCACTTTTTTAATTTATCAATATCTCTATTAATATTGAATATAATTTGATAAGAATCTATATATACATAATTCAAACCATTTTGAATTTATATTGAAATTTTCAGATTTTTAGGATTTTTGTAAATCGATTTTTAAAATCTTAAAATATCGATTTTCAATTTGTATAGAAATTATATATAAATTTAAAATTCTATAAAATCTATAATAATTTTTAAGGAAAAATAATTAAAAATAAATTATAAAATTTTATAATAAGTTTATAATATATTTATTCTAAGAGATTCTGAAAAAATAGAAAATTTCTTATAAATAAATATTTAAAGAAATACTTTCAAAATTATAGGAATTATTTATATTATTCTAAATTTACTATATATTATATTTCTATATCTATTTATTTTTTTGAATTTTTTTTTGAATTTCTATATAGATTCAAATTTGAAATCTTCAAAAAGATATATAATTTTCTTTTAATATTTATTGTTAAAAAGTTATTCAAGATTATATAAATATTTTAAATTTGTATGTGATTTTTATACAAATTCGAAAATCGATATTTTAAAGTTCTAAATCTCAATCCAAAAAAATCCTAAAATTCTAAAAATTCTATCATAGATTCAAAATAACTTGAATTATATAGATATAAATTTTTATTAAATTATATTCAATATTGATGGAGAAATTAATAAGCCAAAAAAGTGATTTTTGGTGTAAAAGGGTGGCCCAAAACAGGGGTGGCCCGAAAGTAGGGTGGTCGACTTATTCATGCATTAATCAATTGACGATGAATTTAAAAGTGGGTGAAAGTTTTCGCACTTTCTACTCTTCTGGTGAAATTCGGTATTATGTATGAGTATCATTTATTATTTATTAATGAATAAAACCCGGCACTCTTCGGAACCAATCCCGACTCAAAATTTAATTTTTGTTTTCTTTACTCTGTACAGTCATACCAGCCCAGATTCGCCCCCATCTTCCCCAGTATTAATTTCCTCTCCAATTGGAGAAATCGTTGAATGGCTTGGAGCTAGATAAAAGTTTGGTTGGTCCCGTTGTCTTATTCTTTTTAACTTCAATTGAGAAGAGAGAGAAAAAAAAAGAAAGTTGACCGTTGACCGTTGACCGTTGACCGTTGAGATTTGAGATTTGATTGTCGCACGAAGAAGTACCAATTCACCAATTGTCAGCTCGCTCACGATATCCTCCAACAAGAAAAAAAAATAAAAAATTGTCCCAAGTCTGACAACTCGACAACTCAATTGCCTGTTTGAGTGCGGAAACTCCAGGAAACTCCACAATTCCTCGCAGATCTTCCTCCGAATTTCGGTCACTCTTTCAAAAGAAACTCATCCGAAGTACACAGTATCCATTGGACGAATTTAATACACGATTTGGAGAGTCGCAGATTCAAAGGGTCAAATCATGACAGGGACAGATCTCACAACGGCGAAGGAGGTGGTGAAGGAGTCATTGTTGGGCTCAACGGTGGCAGGGGATATTCAACTTTCCGCCCAATCGAAAGCTACTTTTGAGAAGAATTCGCGGAAGGATGAGTCTGGAGCTGAGGATTATATGACCGAGGAAGATTTTGTAAATGCCATTGCGCCGGAAGGAGAAGATTATGTGAGTCAATGTTTTACGTTTATGCCATTCTGCCTTGTCAAGAGTCATAACTAATGAATTGATTTCCTTCTAGCATAAAATCAAACGAGAACAATATGCAATTCTATTCCGTGTAGCTGATCAAAGAAATACCGGTAAAATCAGTTTACATGATTGGGGAACTTTCGAAAACCTCCTTGCCAAACCCGATGCCGAATATGAGATCGCATTCCGTCTGTTCGATGTCGAACGAACCGGCACGGTCAAATACGATGATTTGAAGAAGTTATATGAATTGAACAAGGGACCAGATTCCATACCCTTCGATTGGAGTTGCGAATGGGCGACTTTATACAGTGGAGGAAAGAAGAGAAGACACGATTTGACTTATCCACAATTCTCGCAGATGCTTCGAGGTTTACAAGGAGAGAGAATACGTCAAGCTTTCCACCACTTTGATAAAGATGGAGATGGATATATTGAGCCAGAGGAGTTCCAAAGAATTATTCTCGAAACAGCAAAACATAAACTCTCGGATCATCTTCTCGAAAATTTACATACTCTCTGCAATATCTCGGCTGGTAGCAAGATTTCATATGCAAATGTTAGAGCGTTCCAAAATATGATTAGGGAGATGGACTTGGTGGAGATGGTCATTAGACAGGCAACTGCAGAAAGCACCGATGGAAAGATTACCAGAACGGATTTCCTAAATGAAGCTGCAAGAATTACTAGGTTTTCTCTCTTCACTCCTATGGAAGCTGATATTTTATTCCACTTTGCCAGTCTGGATAATCCTTCTGGCAGACTCGGATTATCTGATTTCGCAAAGGTCCTCGATGCTTCATGGCGCAATCCATTGTACAATGCCTACGAAAAAAGGGCTAACGGCAATGGTGTGAAAGTAGCTGGGGGAAGTGTCCTGTATAGCGTTCTCGAATCTGTTCATCACTTCGCATTGGGAAGTTTGGCAGGAGCTTTTGGCGCATTTATGGTATACCCTATCGATCTCGTCAAAACTCGTATGCAAAATCAAAGATCTTCAAGAGTTGGAGAAATGTTGTACAAGAATTCTTGGGATTGTGCTAAGAAGGTTGTGCGCAATGAGGGGTTCAAGGGTTTATATTCTGGTGTTTTACCACAACTCGTTGGTGTTGCTCCAGAAAAGGCTATTAAATTGACAGTCAACGATCTTGTTCGTGGTCATTTCTCCTCCAAGGATGGCAAGATTCAATTGAAGCATGAAATTCTTGCTGGTGGTATGGCCGGTGGTTGTCAAGTGGTAAGCTAATATTTACCCCTCCGCCCCACTTTTGAATGTATACTAAAATCACGCACAGGTCTTCACTAACCCCCTTGAGATCGTCAAAATTCGTCTACAAGTTCAAGGAGAAGTCGCTAAAAGTGTTGAAGGCACTCCTCGCCGCTCAGCTATGTGGATCGTTCGTAACCTTGGTCTCGTCGGTCTCTACAAAGGAGCATCAGCGTGTCTCCTCCGTGATGTTCCTTTCTCCATGATTTATTTCCCTACATATAACCATCTGAAGCGCGACTTCTTCGGTGAAAGTCAGACCAAAAAATTGGGTGTCGTGCATTTATTGACTGCAGGTGCCATTGCTGGTATGCCAGCTGCTTATTTGACTACACCTTGTGATGTTATCAAGACCAGATTACAAGTTGAAGCCAGAAAGGGAGAATCTCAATATACATCTCTTCGTCATGCCGCAAAAACCATCTTGAAAGAAGAAGGATTCAAAGCATTCTTCAAGGGTGGACCAGCTCGTATCCTTAGATCTTCCCCACAATTCGGTTTCACATTGGCTGCATATGAAGTCCTTCAAAATCTTCTTCCAATGCCAGGTCATGCCAAGGATGAGAGACCTCATGTGGGTGTAGCTGGTGCGGCCGCATTGCCAGGCCAGGAGGGACCACTTCATTATTTGAGAAGTAGAAATGCGTTGAAGATTATTTTGGATTTGGATCAGGAGTTCGGAAGAGTGAAGCTTCCTGGAAAGGAAAAGTGGATGGGATTACCTAGAGCGATTGGTGGAAATGGTACTGGAAGTGCTTAGAGGATAGAAGGGGAGTGAAAATTCTATGAGTTGGGTGAATGGGGGAGTGGAGTGAAAAACAAATAGAGAGAGAGAGAGAGAGAAAGAAGAAAGAAAGAGAAATTTATGACCTATATGCATGTATTTGGATTGATTGGATGGTGTCTGATTTGATTTGATTTGGGACCTAGGCGTGGGTTTAGACTGATGAATAGATATGATGGGATAGAATCGATAGAATAGAATCGATGAGTGAGTGGTAGGAAGATAGGTAAGTAGGTTGGTGGGGGGAGGGTGAAGGGGGAAGGGGTTAGGGGAAGGGGTAAGGAGGTAGCGGGGGTTAGATTTAGATCTTTAGATCTTTAGATCGCTGTCTTTGACGAATGGATGAATGGGAAGATTGGTGGATAAAGGGAGGAGAAAGAAGATGAGAGGGAGAGAAGAGGAGAGGGGGATAGCGAAGAATGGATGGGAAGGGGGAAACATATAATAAGGAAGGGGTTATCGTTATATATTTAGGCGGTTAGATGAAGGTAGATAGTTAGATAAATGGATATTTATTATATGGTTATATCGGTACATGGTTGTATGGTGCATGGTTCATTTTTTTTGGTTTCATTTTTTTGGTTTTATAACTTGGTTTTATGACTTGCTTTGCGGGAGGTTGATTGTGTGAGAGGGTGAGAGGGTGAGAGGATTTTAGTGATTTTTTAGATAGGCAAGATGAATGCGTGGATCGGTGGGTGGATGGGTGGGTAGATAGGGGGGGAAGAGTGAAGATAGGAGATTGGAGGAGAGGAAAGGAGAGAAGAGGAAATGAGACAAGATATATTGATAAGCGTTATATATACTTAGTTAATAGATATTAGGTATTTGGTATGGAGTGTTGGGTGCTAGAGTTGGAGATGGGAGGTAGAGCTGGGGATTTATTTATCCAGTGGTAGCCCGTATTGAACGATCTCATTTTCTTATATGTTATCTTTTGTATTTTGTGTTTTATATCTTGGTTTTTGGTTTTTGGGTTGTTGAGAGCGTGGGTGGGAGTGGAAGAGTGTGAGAGTGTATGGATCTTCTACTGATTGGGAGAATGTGGATGTGATGGATTTGGGAGGAGTTGGTTGGCTAGTGGGTTATTGGTTGTGTAGTGTTTTGGGAGAGGGGGAGAGGTTTGTGATATGTAATATTGTATACTGTTGTTGGGTTTCTGTGTTCGTGTTGATGTTGGGCGAGGGGTTTATAAAAGGATGAAAGAATGAAAGGGGAAGCGAGGAGGCGGGGGAGGAAAGGGGAGGGAGGGGAGATTGGGAGATAAGGAATGAGATAATATAAGATAGAGTGCAAGTTGAAAGAAAGGAGGGGTATAGCAAATAGATGAATAGATAGCGAGCCAGGTAGATGAGTAGAGGCTTATTCGCTCTATAAAATGTCTCGAGCTTTGCAGAATATTGCCCGGTGTTGGATGGAGGTTTGGATGGAGGTTTGGATGCAGGTTTTGCGCTAAGTGGTGGGTTTTATGCGGGAGTTTTGTGTGTGGGTTCGGAGGTGTATCTTGTATACTCACCCTTCAGAAGTAAAGAATTGGGAAAGAGGAGAATCAGAGGAGGAAATGCGAATGGGAGGATAGAAGATCGGGGTCAAATTAAGTTTTATGTGGTTGTATGTGGTTGTATGTGGTTGTATATGGTTGTATATGGTTGTATGTGGTTGTATGTGGTACACTCGAAAATCATGTGTGTGGTCTGGTCCATATGGTAGTGGGTAGCATATACGCAAAGTAGATTCTATATCTACCTACATAGGTAGGTAGGTAGGGAATGCTTGCTGGATTTTGGGATAGTTGATGGATGAGGATGGAAGGAGGAAGTGGAAGGTGGGTATCACGTGGTTGGTGCTTAGCTTGTTTTTGTACCTGCCTAGTAGTTTGGTTTACTTTTATTCGTTTGTCTTGCGTGCGATTTTTCATGAATCATGAATAATTCATTCATCGTAACGGTGAGTATCTAGGTGGGTAATTGTACAGCATGGATTTGGGAATGAAGACGGTCGAAGGATCTACATGGGTATTTTTTTCTTCGTCCATTTATTCATCCAATTTACGATATGATCTCATTTCTATATCGCCGTTGAAATGTTTTCCTATCAGAATTCTTCGGTGCAAAGATTTTATGAGGCGTTTCGTGCCCTGTAAGCCACAGGCGCAGTTCCAGACTCAATTGCAAAAGTCCCATGCAGACCTCGGGAGTGAGCAAAAGTACCATGTCAAGGTTTGCGTTACTGGGGTTGAAAAACAAAAGGACCACGCATGAGGTGTCAGCAAGGCTGAGGAACTTCTGGCGGCTGCGGTGGATTGGGATATATAAAGTCTTGCATTTCACTGTCTTTTTGATGGTGGTATTATTTGATTATTGTTTTGTATTGAATCTTTACACTCATTGTGTCTTTATATGTTGACTTGACGTCGTTGAGTTTATTTGTCCTACCGAGTTGGAGAGCTTGTTGAAATGGCCACCAACTTCGACTTTGCCCTCGATGGTGATGCAATGTCGCAAGAAATCTCAGGGATTCTTTTAGAGGATTTCAATGTATCGGAAGTTTTCAATAATGGTACTGAACGATCGGAATTGGAAAATAGCGCTCTCGATCCATCATCAGCATCATCTATACACTCGTGGCCTTTACCGTCTACCAGTCCCTATTCATTCACCCAGCCTTCATTGCCTTACAATGGCACACCCATCGTGCCTTCAAATACCGCAGCTCATGCGAATCCATCTATGGTCAAGCCTATGGTACCTCCATCGAAGATTACCGCTGGACTTGCTCCCAAGGAACATTCCGCAGAAGAGTGGGAGCGCCAGAGAATAACTTTCACTAAACTCTACATGACTGATGACAAGCATCTCGAGGAGGTGATGAGAATTGTGGAAAATGAATATGGATTCCGTGCAACGTAAGTTTTTCTGGGATTGGTGACTGCTACCTATAACAGCCAACTAATTCGAAACGGCTGGCCACGTCAATACAAGCGACGAATTGAACAGTGGAAGCTAGACAAGAATATTAAGGAAAATGACATGAGAGTCATTCTACTCAAAGACTTGAAGAGGAAACGCGAAGGAAAGAGCAGCGAATTCTGCATTAGTGGCCGGGAAGTTGAACCAAAGAAGATTCGACGCTTCGCGCAGAGATATAAAGTGACCGAGGAGTCAATCTTTGAGTTTGATGTTGGTATGCTAATTCTGGAGATGAACATGTGATTCCTCTTTGATACTGATTTATCTAGAAACTCCTTGTTATATTGATTGCGATACCTCGGCACCGATAATTGAGGATGAAAAAATACGGCATCATATGGGAGAAGAAGACAATATACCAGACTCAACAATACTAACTTCAACAGTGGTCGAGTCAGACCAGGACCAAGAGATTCGGAGACTCGATACTGAGACAAGATTTCTGATTCAGTTAATTCGAAGATTTGGTGCTGCCGTCCCCATTGATTCTACATTCGACCTCTCTCTCTTCAAGTATCCTCCTGATATAGACAGTCTTACCAACGAAATGTTTGAAAGATTTATCTTCTACGTAAGATAGAATACTCGCTATATCTAAGACTGTCAACGTTGATTTTCTTGATCACTAATATTTATCGTAGAAACTTGACGTATACCGACATTTGTTAATGCGCGATAATTTTCTCTCTTGTTGGCTTCCCGCCCCTAAAACATCCCCATCGTACCGTTTTGCTCGCTGCAGTTGCTCTTTTACACTGGAGAGGGTACATCATATTTCACGCAGTACCTTTCTATTCATATTGTATCTTCTCGAAGAGAGGCCCCTTAAGATTGGGTTTCTATCCGTCAATGCAGTGTGTGAGGGTCACAATTTTGAGAACATGTTGTGTTCTAGCATTGTATCCTACTGGACAGAGAGATGCTCGGGAATAAGATTATGTCCGCAGTTGTACCTTCCCCTAAAGCCCCTATGTTTCTCACATTCTGTGGAGTCCCCGAATCTCGATGGTTATATGCTTCAAGTGATGGTTGAAATGATAAGATCTCTTGATGAGGAAGTTTTTGTCACGAGAAAGTTCTCTTTTGATGCCTGGGATAATTTTGTGAAGAGAACAGAAAGGGAATTGAAAGATTTGCATGATCTGGATTGGATTGATTTTCTTGGGGAGACTGAAGGCATAACTATCGGATATTCTGGGAATACAGCATACTTGCATGACGATGCAAGAGTTGCGTTATGATGGCCATGCTATCGTTCTCAAAGGATGATAATCTTCGAATCATACGGTGTTCAGCGAACAGACAATTTCGTGCAAAGGATCTGGATATCTATTGGGACAAAATTTTCATCTCTATGACACACGTATTACGACAAAAGTTCGTCTGAACACTGAGACATTCGAACATATATTTTTAATTTTTCTTGGGGGGGCTACATATTCATGCTCATGGTATATGAAGTTGAAGCAGGGAATGAAAGTTTTTCGCTCGGTTGACTCGGTCTCAGAGGAATAAAGGTTGTTTTGGTTTTGTGGCATCGAGATTTGGGACTTCAAGGAGGAGTTTTTTGGGGGAGGATAGACTTGAGAACATGATCGGGGTATCTTTTTTCATTTGTGGTGTGAGTCGGAACTTCTTAGAGGGTGGATGGAAAGAGAAGCGAGGGGAAGAAGGGTAAGGAGTTCTGTTGTATTTTCATGACATTTGATTTCTGATTCCATTAGAGATACTACTAGTTAAATCTCTATTGTCAGAAATATCTCATCCGGTATTTCCTTCCGCTCATCATCTTCCCAACATCCTTTTATTTTACCAATCCCTTACCCATGACTGCATCTTTTTCATCTGATCACAAAGCTCCGTGATACTTTCCTCCTCTCCTTTCTATTGCATCGATATCTCCTCTGATGTTCATTACGAGAGGGTAGAAACTTCCTCCACGTTCGTATTGCATCACAATAACCCTTCTTTTTTCATTTTACTGCCTGATGTCGCTTTTCTTATAGCATTTTTGCGATCAATGATTTCATCTCATCTAATCACAGAGCCTCGACACTCTCTGGGCAGGTAGAGGAGGATGGAGGAATTTTCTCTGCGTTCGCAATCCATTTCGTCCTTAGTACTTGTCAAAACCGCAGAGACATACATCCCCATCTCCACCATTTCTCATCCTCCCATCTACAAAGCCCCGTAACTCCTCCCTCCCCTCCTCTCAATCGCATCAGTATCCCCACTCACATCTCTCACTCCCCTCTGAAACTCCAAATCTGCCTCCGCCAACACGTCCTCCTTTTTCCTTCCCGATGCCTCGCCTAGTTCCTCAGCATCCGTAGCTTGCGCTATCTTCTCCACTTTATCTTTTTCGGATTCGGATACGGATCCCAGACCGGCGAGTTGAACGCCGTCGGTAGGCCAGGGCTGCGAGGAAGGGAAGAGTGTGTATGGCGAGGAGGAGGAGTGGGGAGGAGTGGTAGATGTAGGGGTCGTAGGAGATTGTGGGATAGAAGAGAGACGACGTTTGGTTTCTTGGGCTTTTTTTCCTGCGAGAATAAATTCGGTGTCGGAGGGGTGGGGGGCAAATCCTACTTCTTTCTTTTGGGGAAGAGAAGAGGTGGTTTTAAGGGAGGTAGGTGATTTGGGGGAGCTTGGGGAGTTGGGGGTATTGTTTTTATTTTTGTTTTTTAGTTGCGCGATGGGTGATGTGTCGCGCGGGCTTATACCGATGGTTTTGCGGAGGATGTAGAGGGTGCTCCAGTAGATGAGGAGGAGAGTGAGGAGGGATACAAAAAAGAGACCGAGGAGCGTGGAGATGAAATCGAGGGCGTCTTGGAGTTGGGTGAGGACTTGTGGGTGGGGAGGGATGTTAGTTTGGGTTTGAGGGGTGGGGAGGTGGTTTTTATGATGAGAACTTTGGGAGTGAAGGGAGGGAAGATGATAAGAGGGAAGTGGGACATACGAGATATTGAAGTACTGGTAGGTGGGGGAATAGCAATTGGAGTGGCAATTTGTAGGAGAGAAGATGGTTCTGCGGATAGGTGGGACGGGGAGAGGGTTTGAGAGGCTGTGTGGTGAGATGGGGGTGTGGGGATTGCTGAGGAGGAGGGGATTGATGGTTGTGAGAGTGAGGGTGAGGGTGATGATGATGGTGATGAGGTTGAAACGGAAGAGGAAGAGACGAGTTGAGTTGAGGAAGAGGTGACTGTGATAGAGGAAGAAGAGATGACTGGTGCCGAAGAAATCGAAGATATGGTAGTTGAAGAGGAAGAGACAACTGGAACTGAGGAGGAAGAGACGCCATGCGCCGAGGAGACAGTGACAGTGGTGGTTGTACTCGAAGCGGACATCTTTAGACTTTCGTGCGATTTTCGCATCGACAACTATTACTGAGTGGCAGATTAATATTGAACAACTTCAACTAAAGAGAATAATCAATCGATAAGATGACTCTTAAATAGCAACTCCTCACTTTAATCAACCAAAATCGTTTGAGAATATGTGAATCATTTACAACTTCGCAGAATATAAACCAAAGAGAAGGAAAATCCCCACAAGTGAAAGGAAATGTACGGCACTAGGTATGCAGAATCACAGAGACGAAGAGAAGAATGATGCGGAAATGAAGAGCTAAGCTTGATGCGGTGATCCGTTACAAGGAAGGAAATAACAAAGGAAATATAAGAAGTAGAAAGCTTGCGCGGGATTTCTTTGAGATGGATATTATGTGTGTGTGTGTGTGTGTGTGCGATGATTTGTTTTGTAGGGTTAATTGAAACGTGAAAGAGTATGGGGAAGAGCGTGGATGGAGTTCTAGATTCTTCTAGGTATGCCAAGGGGTTGGGTAGATGTGCAACAAGAGTTTTGGGGGGAAAGGATGGGGAGGGATTGTTAGGTGGGGTTGGGATGGATGTTGTGGAGATGGTTAGGTCATGCAGATGTAAGGATTTTTTGATTATCGATTTTGGTTTTTGTGCTTGTGAGACTATGCCATGAAATTCGGTCTTCAAGCTTGCTATATTCATTCACGATTTTGATTGCGGTAATGATGTCTGGGTGAGATTTACACTTCAAACTTTCACCCTTCGACTCGCTTTATTCCCTAGTATTCATATCCTCAAACCTGGGAAATTCCTCCACCTCACCATTTCTCAATAAAATCTTTGCTGCCTCTTTCGCTTTTATCTGTTCCTCTTCGTCCCAGTATCCCGCCCTTTTCCCATAACCCGCTTGATTTTCCAATTTCTCAAGTGATTCTTGGAGCTCAATAGGTGATTGAATGATCACCTCATCTTCTATCCATCCTTCGATTTCTCGATTCTCATCTCCTGATCCTTTGCCTTTCGATGCTCTGGAGAATTTGTCTTCTGGTTTGGACTTAAAAGATGACGAGTAGTTCTTTTCATCTTCAGCTAAATCAATTCCATAATCCATTTTTCCAACTCCCCTCTTCCAGGCTACTCGTCGCACTGCTTCGCGCATTTGGGCTCGCTCTCGCTCCCCTACTTCGTTACGTTCGCGAAGTCGCTCGGTTCGTGCTTCGGCGTATTTGCGGCGGAGCTGGCGCCGTTCTTCGTAGATGACGCGCGCTTTGTGTTTTACGATGGAGGGGAATTGGTTGTAGAGGTAAGATAGGAGTTGGGTTAGATGGGTAATAGAGGAGAGGTAACGGACGCTGCAAAGAAAGTATGTTGTTATGAGGAGAGCTAGGTAGAATAAAACGGCGGAGAGTTGAATGAGGGCGTGGATTAGGGCGGAGAAAGGAGAGCGGAGAAAGCTGCTAAGCATAGTAGTGACGGGCATGGAGTTAGAAGTGGAATTGGGGGGTTGCCGATGACGAAGATCGATGTTTATATGGATTGGTCTGCGAGTTGAGATGAAGGAAGCTTCGTAGATGGTTTCGGGATGGAAGTAGGATGTCATGGGCTGTTGGGATATGGAGTGAAGCTGGTAGAAATGTATGATTCTTTAAAAGTGTATGAAGCATGTAGCACCTCAGTAATAGTATGAGAAATATTATGGTAAGTCCCGACGATGGTTGAACGCTTCTCAGTAAACACGAACAAAGCACTTGAGAAGAATCGTCCCACTAAGACAAGAAACTTGCGATACTAATTAATCAGGTCGATACACAGATACAAGTAGACGCTCGATTCAAAACTACTTGAACTCTTCTTTCCTCAATAATATATGATCCCAAGAATCAAATCATCAATCATATTTTCAGATAAAGGAATAAATTCCTGGATCCAGTCACAGGACTTCCTGCCTCAAATATTCCGAAAACGGAATAGTGGGGTTGAGTTCCTCATTGTTCGCAGCTTTGCGATAATCCTAAGAGGAGGCTTTTTCTCGAGTAGATTAAACTTTGCATCTTTACTGCTCTGTGTTTGAATTGAGCTTTAATCTTGTATCCTGAATTCTGGTTCATGACTTTGTGTAAACAAAACGATAGGGGAGGAAATGAGGAGTCGATGCTTATATAAGCCGCTACCAATTAATCATTCTGCCCAAAGCGGTATCGTTTCACGTGATATTATCTCGAAAATAATTTTGTTGCACATCTGAAAAAAAAAGTCGGACTGACAAGTTTACCAAACCACACACCACGATATCCTTAGCGTACTTTTGGGAAATATTTTGGCAATTGCAACGGCTGGGAATAAAAACACTAGCGTGGTTTTATTTCCGGTCCGTGGAAATTGTGAAGACCGGTAATACCTAATGTTTTTTCGTGCCTCAGTACTGGTTTGTCAAATATTGACGCCTCTCGTTAAAATTGTTTGACTTTTATTGAAATATTATGTAAGGATCATTTGACTTGCACTTGAGGACGTTGCTGTACTGATATATCACATTATGCTGTCGCTTGCCCTGGCGGAAAACCCTTGACTATGTAGGCGTGTCGTATTGATCTCTAGTCGTCTCTCTACGACTGGAAGACTGCATAAACTACCACAGTAAGGGTGATTGCCACATACCCAAGTTCCTGTCCACAACTTCATTAACTGTCAATCTGGAAGTAGGGCCCGCTAACGGGTCGAGACTTGGCGTCTCACCGATGCCATTGCAGTCTTTTCACGTCACTGTCTTCAGGCGCTGCCGAATAACTTGAAATGCGTAAATCAGTTCCACCCCCAGGATTTAAAGCAAGCTGATACTCAAACGCAAATGATCTGCTTGGTGTAGACTACGGCATAGTATACCAACAGAAAGTGATGTAGATGTTGCTAATGGCAAATAGGCTTGGAAACCTTCTGGACAGAACGGATTGGTATGAGTTTGCTCTCACAATCTGCGGACCTTTATTCATTCTGGATGTAGATCATGGCTGCCATTCGTAGGGACTACTCATTTTCAAGGTGCAAGTAGATCATTATAGCATTGACTTACTTGACCCTGCTAAATTCTTCTGAGAACACAGAACCTGTTTAGACCTTACATGTCAAGGCTATTGTATCAGGAAACTATCATGTTATGCTGGAATACTTCGAGCAGCAGGTCCTTGTAAGATTTATATTTATGGGAGTGTCAAGTTTCCTGATTTGCCATGAGTATGTTATTCATGACATTCATAATAACAATTTTATCTGCCAATACTGAGGGGGAGAAACTCATAGGCATCTGAGCACGAATACTGGGAAAAGATGCTCAGTTTTTCGATGATCTAAACACATATTTCCCTTTATTGTGCAGAGAAACAGATTTTACTGACAAATAGTAGGGAGAAAGTCTTTGCATTATATCCCAAGGTAGATTTTTGAATTCTGGGGCATGCATTTTCAGAGACCGAACTATGAGAAGACTGTGAATGACTTTGAGAAAGCAATCCCCCATTACTATCAGAGGACAAAAGATTTCTATGCCATATATCAGCTTGACCCATAGATTGTCAGGAACTTCATGATTTATGTCAAAACAGAAACCTTACAGGATTTCTTATCTTGAATCAAATGTGCTTGTGATGATATGTCTGCAAACTTTGATCAAACGAAGCAATCATGGTCCAGCGAGTTTGATTGAAACCTTCATCTCAGTATTATTGAACAATGAATCTCTCAAGATGCTGGTCGAATAGCTGGGTAACCAAACATTCACTTCGAATTATCAAAGTTGATATGTTACCAGTGAATTTAATTTACAAACTATAACCCTCTCGGGAAGTACCGGAAGTTCTTTATTTTCCACAAAACCCTTCGAAGTTCTTCTCTCTCAATTTTCATTTGTCACACAACTTCAAAAGAGCTCTTTCTACTGTGTTTCAATCGACACAAGTAAGTTTGTTTGGTTTGTCAATGGTAGAAAAGCATGAGAAACAGTGGCTAACACCTTCTAAGACAGTCTATAATGGAACCTCAATCAAGTGGAGTCGCTACCCCCATAGCTGCAGCTTCAAGCAATAACATGAAAAGTGATATTCTCAAGAATACGAACTCGACCGCCAGTCATCATGATCATCAAATTGACTCACATCTCAAGAATGACCCCGTCGTCATCAGCAAAAATGAGCACTTACCAAAAAATGCTGTCTCCAATACAAGTCATGATTCGCGCTTTGCAAAATCAATCGGAAACACTTCTACAGACAAGATCTCATCACCATCCGCTAGTTGTTTATTCTTCCGCAAGATCCCCCCAGAGACACGCAACATGATCTACAAGCTCTTGCTGGTAAATCCTATACTTGGCAAAAGCTGCAGTGTGGCCGATCGTACTAGTTCGCCCAGAAGTCCTCCACCCAACGGACCAAGCCAGCCACCGCTGAAGTTTGAACTTGAATCCCAAGTTCTTCGGGTTTGCCGCGTAATGTACGTAGAAGCATCGGAAATCCTTTACGGGTCCAATACGTTCTACATCGCTTGCTGTAAATACGGCTACTCAACAGATTGTCATCCAAGCCGCTCTGCATTCAACAAAGGCATCGAAATGACACCCATTACAAGGCATTTTAACAGATCAGGCCACGGTCAACTTTTTCTATATGATCATCCAGCAGTGGCAAAGGTTCAACGCTGGAAAGTTATTGTCAGTTCATTTATGGATTCATATTCAATGGGAAGTTGTCATGAAATGAGGGTTTGGTCGATAGGAAACTTTTGCCAAGCCATCACTCAGTCCCCATCCATATCTCTCGAGATTGCACTAGCACCGATTGGTTTGGAGAAGTCTGATGAATCACATTGGGTTCGAGACGATATCAACTATCAAGAAATAAAGGATATGCTCAATCCTCTACGAATGCTACGAGGAGTCAAAAAGCTTCGATTTCGAGATGCAAGTTATGACGAATTACCAGATGTCTACCCTTTCAATGAATTCTGGGGTAAGGATTGTCGATCGATCATCCCTTCCTCCAGTTTAAGAAAAGAACTCAGATCAATCGCAATGGGCAACTCCGTGGTAGAGCTCTCTTACGGGATGTATCTTCGGCTCGTGCGTTATGCACAGGCGTTTGAGGCAATTGATACTTTCAGGTCTGAAATGCGTTACTCATCTACTGGCAGTATAGGCATACATTTGATGCACTTCGGATTGTGCCCTGGCAGCGATCGTTGGATGCACAGGCCCCACGATCCAACTATTCAAAACTCGCACCCCGTCGAAAGCGGTCTTTTAAATGCGAGGAATCTCTCATTCTCAGAATACAATCCAAGAGCATTCAAACTACAACGAGCCAGCATCGTACAATATCTAGAACCACAATATCAAAGGGCAAAATTGGCATGTTTCAATATTACGGAGTTCATCAAGTCCCAGAAGAGAAAGGACAGAATGCTTTCGCCCAGAATGACTCGCGAATGGCACGCTCCCCTGGTTGCAGCAGAGGCTATTCTACTACTGGAAAGATATCACCAAGCTCTTCAAAGAGATTTTCCTTATGCCGACCAAATCAAATATCGAGCCAATCGTCAAAGAGACACTCCGTTCTATAACAATCTCCCCCGAAACGTCCTCATGAGACAGGCTACCGACGCTTTTGAAGGGAAGAATTGGGCTTTTTTTGTGAGCTGCTTTAAAAGAATGGTAGATGATCTGGATAGACAATTCATGGAAATGAGAACGGCGAGGAAAACGCTCTTTTCAGACGATAAATCATTGGACATCGGGTGTGACATCGAGTTGGATTCGAAGCTATGCATTGAAATGGTTAACTGGACAAAAGACGAACCAGTAATTGAGCTAGCGCCTAAAGACCGGTTGTGGAATAGCTCGCAAGGTGGTTCGAATATTAGCTGGTCAGATTGAGTGGAGAGCGGGAGGTCGAGCTTGATTGGGATTGGACGATGTTGGAGCTAGGTTTCGTTGCAGAAACTGTAATGCGGTGGATTGGATGTGAGTTGAATGGGAAATGGGCAGATGATTAAGGAGATTAATGTTGTATTGGTTGACAATCAACTTGTAGATAGATACCCAAGGAGAGCATTGTGAAGAAACGCAAGTAGTCATGATGATATGATGCTTCTGTACCATCCATAATTTGTACTACTGACGCCTTCATGCCACTCGGCGATAATAAAATTTCTCCTCTCTTTCTAGCACAATGTTTAGATGTGATGCATTGCTATTTCGATTGAGTTCATAAATGGATGGTGAAATCTTTCCAGGGAGCTTGCACCAAAATAAATCGGAAAATTGTGATGTGAGCAATGTTATATCTCCTACCCTTCCCGCCCTTCCAGTGTAAAATCTTCCTACAACCTAGAAATCTCTTTCCCTCTGTTCTTAAACGAACCCACCTAATCCATCGCAGTGAGATTCCAATCTCCAAAATCTTTCTCATGCTCAGGTGAGTACCCAGTTATAGTTGACATAATAGTCCCTCACAAGCATCAATCATCAACCTTCCCACCGATTTCCCTACAGCACTTTACATTAGATAAACACCCAAACGAGTAGTTATTCTCACCATCGCATTATCAGCGATAGCCCAATCAACAAAAATCTAAGTCTTAATCAACGAAGATAAAAGCGCGATGATTCTAATTTTAATTCTAAAGTAGGAAAATTCGCATATCATTCCCAGCAAAGAAACATAGATGACTCAAAAAATCTAGGTGATGCAGAATTATAATTGATATCTTTACTATCTATATCCACTGCAAGAAAAATATCAAGAATAAACAAAGTTCAAACTTAAAAAACACTACCTATGTAAAGCTTGACTTACATTCAATTCGTCAAATTTTCAGACAGTAGGAATGGTAGACTAGAAAGTACACCTACACATCATGATTAGTAACCGATAAACCACAAGCCACAACTGCAAATTCCGGGGAAGACTCTCCAGCTCCGTTAACGAACGTATTCCATGCAAAGCTGAACAATCCTGGGATAGGTAACATAAAGAATTTAGATCTAGAACCACGATCGAGCCGAGGCCGGATATGTATTTGCTATCGATCGAAGCGGAGGAATGTAAGGGAAGAGGATGTAAGTGGCGGGGTCTTCGAAAGCTTGTTAGGAATGCCCAGATGGTGCATGTGGAGTTGGGGATTTGGCGTATGAGATGGTATGGGAATGTTGGGTGGATTCTGACTTCATGTGTGTCTTTTCCGGTTGAAGTTTACGATTGTAGATTTGGGAAGAGAGGAGCTCTGAGGATGGGGCAGGTTAAGGATAGACTAATGAATAGAAGGGATGACAGTATAGTGTATTTGACTCGTCTTTGATTGCTAACTAGATCACGCTGACAGGCAAATTTCATTGAGGCAACATTTGCAAATCAGAGAGAAGTGTGGAAATGAGAAAGCATGGCACTACCAGAATTCAAGGACCCTCTGAAAATAATCCTTCCTTGCCATCTGGACCATTGACCCCATCATCATCCGAGCTACCAGAAGTACTCGAACCATCTAATTTCCCACCCAAACTATTTCCAAGTCTGTTGACCAACGCAGATAAATCCGGGATGCTACAATGTTGTCTATAACATTGAAGTTGGTACTGGACCGGGAGCGAAGCGCAGAATAGTTTAAAACATTCTTTTTGGAAGCACCCTTCCTGATTTTCTAGGGCTCCGGTTTCACATCCACCCCCTAGAGTTTGAAGTACAGGAAGCTCAGCTTCAATAAAGAGTTCATCATCGCAATGTGCTTTATAGCATTGTAGTTGATAGTCCAGTGGTAAAGTACCACACGAATAACCAATAGGACCCGACATTGGACAATTATCACGGTAACATTGGAGCTGGTTTTCAGGGGCTACGCTGATACAGCCTCCATCTGCTCCAGGACTCTGCTGGGCAGTATTAGGTGTTTGTTGAGCAGGGCTGGGAGTATTTTAAACTGAATTTGGCGTTTGTAGAGCTGGTTCTGATGCAAGAGAAGTGTAGACTTCATGGTAGCGTTTTTTGTAACAATCGATTTGATATTGTTGAGGCAGTGAGGCGCATGAGAATCCAGGAGGGCCGGACATAGGACAATTCCGGTAAAAGCATTCTAGCTCATACTCAGGTGCTACCCCTTGACAATCTTGTCCTGAACTGGCACCCACGGGAGATTCAAGTGCTACTTCAACAGATGTTACCGCTTCGGGCTTTGGATCGCATTTTGATTTGTAACACGCTAGCTGATAATCTGGTGGGTAAGAAGCACATGATGATCCAGGAGGACCAGCAGGTTCGCGACAATTCTCCTTATAACACTGTAGTTGATATTGAGGTGCGACCCCACGACATCCACCGATGAGAGGCGGCGAAGTTTGTTGAATAAGAGCTTGACTAGTTGTGACTTGAGCGGCTAATTCGGGACATTTTGACTTGTAGCATGCGAGCTGATTTGCAGGAGGATAAGAGGCACAAGAGGACCCGAGTAGTCCATTTGTTGGTTGAGGGCATTGATCTTTGTAACATTGTAATTGAAGTTCCTGAGCGACTCCAGCGCATCCTCCAACTAGAAGAGCATTGTCTTCCACGGAAGTTGTCACTGCCGCGGTCATGGAAGTCTGCGCTTGAAAAGCCAAAACTATCAAGGCTTGAATGATATTAGATGCCTTCATCTTGGATGGAGATGTATTGAATGAATCTTGATTATAAGATGTGTGAAAATAAATCTTGTTAAATAGATGAAGAGGAGATTATTTAAGATATAAATTTGTGAAAAATAAGGGGCTCATTCAAAATTCCGTTGGCCAAAATTGAAGAATGACATTCGATCTTGAACGCCAAGGAATGTAATTTTTGAAACATATCTCTTCAATGATCAACGGCCACATATTTTCACTTGAATGTGAGTTGCTAAAATCGTGCACATGGAATTTCCCGTCAAGTTAATGCAGGAGGAACCAAAAGGGGAAGATTTTGTGAATTTACAGAATCAAACTTATGCTCAATGTTCTAGAAGAGAATGAGGAATCGATCTGGGTTGGGAATTTTGAAAGCTGTGAGCAATGCGGAAGTGATTCTGGGCTTTACAACGAACAACTTAAGTCCGCTGACGATTGCACTTGAATAGATCTTAGATTGCGATGCGAGAAAGTACTCACTTCCATGGTAGGGTAAAGGTGTAACACGTTATGTGATGATTCTCAACCACGATTTGTTGAGGAATGTTCCATCTTGTCATTTTCATGGTGAGTTCACAGATCTTGGTAGACTGAACCCCAAAAGACCTGCGACATTATGACTGGCCTATACCTTCAAAACAGTATTCGAGACATGCCATTTTGGTCAGAGCAAGTAATATTGATGCTTGTATGACTTCTGCCATATTTTTGCTGCGGGCTTGCGATGAGGATCAACTCCTCAGTCTTCAGATATATTGAACCCAAACAACAATAACATGGAATTCAAGAACCACACTCCTCGTTTCTCCTCGAAATATTGTCATCGATATGTTTGGTGTATATATGAGAAGAACCTTGATAATGGCGATTGCTTGAGTCGTGTCGAGGTTGAGAACGGCACGTGAATGAGAAGAGATGGCATGGGCTGTGGTTAAAGACTGCTGACTAACTCTCAAAACCCGCAAGGATAGCCCATGCGTCACTGGGATTAAAAAAAAGTCGGGCCCCACCAACATTACAATTGAACTTTTGAACTTTTGAAGCTTCCAAAATATTTGTCGCAATCATAAAATTTTGGTATTATATGATTACTCTTCAGATCTACTTCATTTATCCTCACATCTACTCATACATTTATCGAATCTAATGCGGTGACAACATTACTATTACATTACCTCCATTCAGATCAATAAATCGATAAAACATGCCACCAAAAGCAGAGAGGGGAGCTACCTCGCGGGGTAGACCCCGAGGTAGAGGACGAGGAAGAGGAAGAGGAATTGCAATTGAAGATATTGAGACCCCAGAGCTTAGAGGTGTTCTTGATGAATCTTCTCAACCTAGTCAATCTCCTGCGCCAATTGCGCCAGTTGCGCCGATGGCACCAATGACACAATCAACTGCTACCATTATTCCAAAAATCGAACCTAGTGACGATGCATTCGATCCAAATACCTCACCTGCAATAACACCTGACGAAACACCTGCTGGGACTCCTGCGCCAACAGCCGCGACTACCTCTGCGAGACTTCCATCAAGAACAGAAAGTGCGATTGCAAGAGGACGTGGCGGGGCAAGTACAAGGGCGCGAGGTGAAGCTACTACTGGAAGAGCCAGGTTTAAGCCCAAAAATATCAGAAGAGATCAAGCAGACAGAGACAGATTAGAACAAGAGGAGAGGGATAGAATTGCGGCAAATCAGGCACAAGCAGAAAAGGAAGCTCGTAGGTCCCAGAGAGGAAGAGGTCATATTGGAAGAGGTAGAGGAGATGCGATGGGACAAAACCGTGGCGCAGGAAGGGGAGCTCCAATCTCAAGTGCAACTGGTATTTTCAGTGTTGCGCCGGCGGCAATGGGTAAGTCAATCGCTAACTGCTTGCCAACTTTACTAATTTCAATTTACAGACAGAAAAGGTGGCATGGATGGCTTTGCAATTGCAAATGCAAGAGGCGGTGGGGGAGGAGGTGGTGGTGGCGGATTTGGAGGAGGAGGAGGTGGCGGTGGTGGCGGCGGTGGTGGAGGAAGTGGTGGTTATGGAGGTTCTGGACCAGGAATTGGAGGGGGAGTAAATGTGCTGTCAGCCGAAAACATGACCACTTTCAATCCAGAATATCCCGACGACGACGGACAAGCGAGGAAAATCAATATTGAAATGATCAATCTGGTTGACGACGATGATGAAATGGCTGGCTCTGGCAGAGGCGGGAATGGTGTTTTCAAATCACGATCCCTCGCACCGATTCGGATCAAGCGTGAAGAACATAAGGAACGTTCCAATATGATGGTTAGTGATCCAGAACTTGCAGAGATAGCCAAGAAGCAAGCCGATGAAGTGGAGGATATTCAATCTGGCGAAGATGTCGAGATGACTATGGATGGAGCAACAACAACGGATGAGCCAAGAACAAAAGGAGAACCTGGCCTTGAATCTCCGACCATGTCGAAATTTCCAGAGTTCAAAGCACCATCCTCCCCCGAAGATAAAAAGCATCCTAAGAGGGAGCCTATTTCACCACAACAATCCAAGGTACGACCTAGCAGAAAGAAGGATAAAATGCCAGTCATACAAACAGAAGAGGATAAGTTCGAATACGAACGTTATCTTGAGGATGTTGACATCCTTGCCGAGGAACTTCGTCTGTTGAGGGGAACAGTGGATAATACAGCCAAGGATAAAGGAAAAGGAAAGGCTGTCGATGTTGATGGAGATGTTGGAATGGACGGAGAACAGGAACAAGATGAAGCTCAACCAGAAGCCAATCATGCAGATGGTCGAATCTATCTATTCCAATTCCCACCTGTTCTACCTCGACTATTTAATCCTCAAGTCGAAAACTCGGATGATGTCGTCGTCACCCAATCTTCGGAAAAAGTCGATCTTACCGATGATAAAGAGAAAGGAATCAAAAAAGAATCGGAAGAAGTTATCATCAAGACTGAACCCAATCTTGCCCAAGAAAATGAAGCATTGGTTAGTGAACAAGGATATATCGGAAAATTGGTGGTAAGGAAGAGCGGCAAGGTTGAATTGGATTGGGGTGGAACAAGTATGGCAGTAGGTCGCGGTGTTCCAGCTGCCTTTTTGAGTCAAATTGTTCTTGCTGAAGATCCTAAGGGCGAGGCACCAGAAGGTGTCGCTACTGGATTAGGCAAAGTGATGGGCAAATTTATCGTTACCCCTGATTGGGAGAAGATTTTCTGATCGAATAGACTCTGGAGAGGAGGAAGAAGGTCAGAAGCGAAGATAGAGGATGCTACGTAAGATGTTGAAGCACGATGATCTGGAAATTTCTTGCATAGCAATGGCGTTGGGGCTTTTTTGGAAAGGTGTAATTGGACATTCATCTCTCACGATGATTCTAGGTTTATACCAATGAATAATAACGTATTACATATATCGGCACGCTCTATTGAAACCAGGACTCTCCATCATTGTGTGCTTTCTTGTCCAATCCTTTTTCGTTAAGGGTCCCACAATCCCCAGGTCTTGGTATTTGAAGAAAGTTTCCAGGCAAAGAGAAAATATGTCCACAAAGGCCAATACGTACTCGGGCCTCATTTCCTCGACCGAATGACCGAAGGCCGAAACTTTTTGATGCATAATTTGCTATCTGCGTGGAAGTTTTGCCGCGAACAGATTCCGAGACAGTATCTGGATCCAGATAGTGGGATGAATTGTCCTAAATTGTGGGGATGCGGGGATTTTCACCCCGCCATATCGAGCGCGTCCACATCTCGTCCACTAGGCCACATCTTCTTGTCAACCACATCGTCGTAGGTGCTATTTATTTTGTTTAATTATGTCTATATGTATATATATATATTGTTATCTGATTTCCTGTTCTGTTTGATTTGATACCATTGCCTTTCCTGCATTTTAATGTTCTTGTCCTATATCACAATAAGTGTATTCTTCCAGAACTTGTCGCTGAATCCCAAATCATTTGCGGGTTAAACATAACACGGGCAGAAGCACAACATTTTTACTTCGTGGCATATCAAAATTTTGAAGCTTTCAATGCCAGGTAGAAGAGAGTCTACAAAAAACAAGATGCCCCTTCGCGTCCTAGTAGTTGGAGCCGGTTTGGCCGGTTTAGCAGCAGCACTTTCCACAAAACTTGCAAACCCCTCGCATGAAGTAACAATTTTGGAAACTGTATCAGAATTAGCTGAAGTCGGGGTAAGGAAAACGTTTCAATTTCTTTATTTATATCTACGGAGCCAGACTGATCATTGTTATAGGCAGGATTACAAATTACACCCAATGCATCTCGACTCTTCAAGAAATGGGGAATCTACGATGATCTGGCTCCCAAAGCTACATTTCCAAAAACCCTCTCGGTATGGCGATTTGATGGAACAAAACGCTTAGCATATTCTCCAGATTTCCAAGAAAAGATAGATGAGAGATATGGAGCTCCTTTTTGGGGAATGCATCGAGTGGATCTACAACGTGCTCTGTGCGCTAAATGTGATGAGCTAGGTGTCACCATCCGTTTATCATCCAGAGTCAAGAGTGTCGATTTTGAGAATACAGTTATTACATTAGAAGGGGGGAAGACGGTGGAAGGAGATGTTATACTCTGCACAGATGGCATTTATTCGGCCACGCGATCACAGTTTTTAGGCCACAAATGTCCGCCAAATCCAACGGGAGATCTCGCATATAGAATTGTGATTGATAAATCTACATTAAGCGGACCGGATGCAGAGAAACTCACTGCGTTTATTGATTCCCACTCTGTCAATTTCTGGGCCGGCTCGGGTACTCATGTCGTTTCATATACTATGCGTGGAGGCGATCTCTTCAATATCGTTCTCCTCTGCCCCGACAATCTCCCACCCGGACTCTCGCGCACAGCAGGAGACTTGGAGGAAATGAAAGGACTTTTCGAAGGCTGGGATCCTATTCTTAGGGCCTTTTTGGAACAAGTCAAAGAGGTCGCGAAGTGGAGATTGATGCATTTGGAAACATTAGAACGATGGACTAGCGAGAAAGGAAATTTCTGGATGGCGGGTGATGCATGCCATCCTATGCTTCCATACTTAGCACAAGGTGCAAACTCGAGTTTGGAAGATGGAGCAGTGATGGGATATCTACTGGGGAAGGTCAGTGTGGAAACGAAAGATGAACAGTTGAAGAAAGCAGCGAGGATTTATGAGGAACTGAGGAAAGGGAGGGGAGAAGGTATTGCGAGGGAAACTTGGGGGCAGAGGGAAAGTTTTCACATGGTGGAGGGTGAGGAACAGGTTAGGAGAGATGCGATTTTGATGGCGGGACCAACTGAGGCAGGAGGATTCCCGAGTAGATGGCAAGATTTTGGGGGCGCCCAGAAGTGGTTATATGGGTATGATGCTTATGTGGAAGCGGAGAAGGGGTATGAGAAAGCGCCGTTTTAGGTGTGAGGGTTTTGAAATGTATTTGAATGTTAAATGATGAATTTATTGGAAATTGTTTTTTAAAACCTGTCCCTGTTCCTTGTGATTCTTGGTATGAGGTTCCTTTCTGTTTTCTTTTTTGATATGTAGCTCATGTTATCTGAAGAATCTATAAAGTCAAGCAATATCCCATTCCAATTATCACAATCGTAGTCACACGTATAACTCTGTCATCCATTCCAAGAATCATCTAGATGAAAAGGAATCCATCACAGATCGCGAACTCAAATATTACAAAACACCAAAACCATCGCAGTATATTATCCAAACATCACACAAAACCAGCAAGTCCACCACACACTGAAAAAATAACTTTATTCACCATACACAGAAGTATGTATCTATGAGAATATAGGTCGAATAACCATCCTCCATCCTAAATTTCCCCTATGTAAACGCCCTTTCTGTGCTCTACTCAGCTCTCTCTACTATCTATCCCTTCATCTTAACCATAACCACAATCCCCATTCTTCATCTTCAAATTTCCTAATTCTTCAAACTTCCGCTTCTATATCACATTACATCTCTTTCAATACCTACAGAGAGAAATTCCTGCAATAATGCTTTTTCTGTCGTCGATGAGTTTTCGGGGATAGATGGAGGTTTGAATATTGAGGGTGGATAAATAGATGAATCAGAAAAAGTGCGAGGCGTGGTTCGAGAAGATCCTCGCTAGATTCTGAGCGTGGGTTTGTAACTGTTCTGAAGTCTATTGCGATTCCTATTCCAATTCCAATTCCAGATCTATTGTAAGTCCAAGTCCATTGTAAACACATGTGTGTACGAGCACGAGCATGAGCATGGTAGACGTTCATACAATAGAACATTAACACTACATGGCAAAAATATAGTAGACACATAGATGAGCCAAACTAAGCTCTAAGAACTAGCTAGCTCCGCGTGGAAATCCCAGGTAGTCGGTCCATTTCAGACCGGAGGTTCGAACCGGGGTTTCCAGATATATTTGTTGGGGCCTGGGATTGATGTATATAGTGAGTGCAGGATAGAATGTTTACTTGTTGCCCGCCGATGGCTTTCCGGTGTTGGAATTGGTTTGGGATTTCTGGTCTCTGGAGCCGACATGGTGGGTGGTGAGTTTTCCAAGAGACGCGATGGATCGTGGGAATGATTCATGTATAGCGGAGAAGAGAAACACACAAACGAGAGCGGCCGAGACCGGCACATATGGATATGGGCTTGGTACACGACGGTCGATGGTTATATCTATGATCTTCATAGAATCTATCTGAATTCGGCTGTGGCCGATGCTAATTGGCGAAGACAATTCTCTCCCTGGGAATCAAGCTTCTTCTGGGGAATCTTGATGGATTTTTGATTTTCGTTGTTGTTGTTGTCTTTTTTTGAGCGCATATTCCAAGCTCGATGTTCTTCCCGTATGGACTATATACTGTCGTGCGTAAACTATGCCTACGCCAGCGACTGTGTTCTGTATTACCGGTCTCGGTAAAAAAATACACTTCTCTTCCGCACCTGTCTCCATCTTACCAACTGGACTGACTAATATCAGTTGGTGGTTCCTTTGATGTGTATGCGACTCTGATCACAGGATCCTCCATAACCCCGGGTGAGGGGTGAATATTAAGCAAATTGGAAGGATTCTGTTTGAAGGAAACAAAAAAAACTTCTTGCAGCCATATACTCATTTTTCTTGTTCTTCGTTCTGCCAAGTTTTAGAACACTGTCCTCGAGAAATAAGAGATCGTTCCATAAATGAAAGATCTTTCAATACCATTTTTTTTGTTTTTGAAATCTAACGAGATGGTTAGATCCTCCTTTATCAAGATTTAAAACTTCTGTGCTAATTTATCCTCCTTTCCTATTCCTTCGATGGACACATTGTCAGTCATTCTGACGTTTGTCGACAATAATAGGCTCGAGTTTCATCAGATTATCACTTCGGCTTGATAGATGCCTGGAGATTGAGCTGCAGAATGTTGGGATACTTGGAGAGGTTGGATTGCTCCTAGAACTGGTAGTAATCTTAGAGTTCGAGACACTTCTGGTTGATATAACCCAGGTAGCGTTTTCAAACAATTAAAGAACTTATGTTTTGCTCGTGTCGAATGACAAGAATATAGTGAAGTTGTGAAGATGTAGGTTGCGAGGAATGCATACAATCTTTGTAATGTTTCTAGAGACGAGACACATGTTTCGCCTTGGCTGAAAAGTAAAACAGCAGTGTCAGAAAGGCAGAAGCCAAGGCCAGCCTTGATCTGTTTGGCTGATTAGAATAAAGATGTAGCATAACACGAAGAGTGGAACTCACGGTAAGACTTGCGGTTATAATTGATTCTGGAAATATGTAATGAAGTCCATGTGTCAAGGAAGTAACTGGTCATTATAAGTATATGGCACAGCTACAAGAGAAACATAAGAAAGACTACTCACTTCCTGCGTCAGGTGACACTCTTTAAAAGGAGATTTTAGTAAAATAAAGCCATGCGTTGCAGAAAGAGAACATAAACTCTTACACTACCACTTGTCATCGATTGAGACACCTCCAGAGGTAAAAGATGCACCTCTGGAGTACTAAAGGTCTGGCAGATGGATGAACCAGCTTGGCTAGCAGGGCTAACAATCAGCGGTTGCACAGTAGAATTTGATTGCAAATGAATGCTTACCGCTTTGACGGGTTGAACACTGTTGCCAAAGAAAAGAAGCTGCTCTGGCTCCGAAAGCACACAATAACCCATTACACACAGCGAATAGAGAATGACTAGAGGGGGAGGGATTCGTCTTATAGCAGTAGAAAATCGTGAGAAAAGAAGCAAAATGGAAGGTATAGAACTGTGTGCGACGAGAACACTGTGGTGAAAATAGTCTTATCAGTACACATTCTGAAGGATGGTTGATTCACATCATGAAAAGGAATGTGGTAATGAGAAAGGCCAAGATGACAAATTGATGATAAGAAATGAAAAGATGCGTGATCTGGATGATGAAAATACGGTCATACTTATACCTCAGGAGAAACTTCGCTGGAATATTATCTGCACCATTGGCATTTTTCTACCTCCCAAAATATTATGATACATTGGTACAACAATTGAATGAAAATGGTATCTTCGAACTGATTAAAACGACATCTGGTAACACGAAAGCGGGCTTGTGTCACATTTCTGGATTGCGGGAAATGTTGGTCTCTCCATAAAGTATCCAAGAAAGATGTCTCCGATTCAATCGGGGAACTGAACCAAACATAAACGGCTCAACTAAACAGAGTACAACATCTGCTGGTACCAGTTGATAGGCAAAAATCATGTTTCGCGAGAGGAATGAACGAATAGCGCGAGGTTGGACGCGTGTGAACTCACCGAATTGATGACAACCTTGGTACTCCAAAGCCACTCCGTCTCGGAAGGCGCATCCATCCGTGTGGCGGTCTGAACCAGCTTCGGCAGATGTTGGTATCCGTGTAATGTTTCAAAGTTCGATCAATAGAAAAGTAATTCAAATCACGTTGTTTTGACAGCATGCGCTCCGTCGGGACCAAAGTTTTCATATCTTGGGTACGAGCGGAAGGCTGCTTGACCGTGACTTCAGGTTTGTTGAGGGATTAATCGCAACTTCAATGTAATTATGTGATGATTTCAGATATCCTAGACAACACCCTCGTGTCCACGGCTTCTTAAAGATGACACCACGATCGGGAGGGAGGGTAGCCTGAGAAGTCGTTACTTATCCTCATGCCAAGTTGTAAAAGCAAACAAATCGTGAAATCAAACACAAATGAGTCTCCGTCCAAAGTAAATTTCAAGGCAGAGATATCTCAATCGAGCATCATTCTATCTCACACCGGCAATCTGCTTCTCTTGAGGCTACTCGCAGGAGAAGTCCAAGCAGAAACATCATAATTGACACTCAGTAGACGGAAACATACCTTCACACTGAGCTTGGACTGCCAGCTATCACTTTCATCCACGCAACAGACTCCGATTCTGTAAGTATTCTCCCGGATGCGTGAGACAAGATTGAGCTTGTGAAACGAACAAGCGCGCAGTGAAGTGCGGGGTCAGGAAATGCAAATGTACGTGTAATTTGAATCATCGACGTATTTGAAAGACAAGAATGTTTTTGTGAGTTGCCTGGATCATTTCCGACACTTGCTAATCCTATACTGTTTGCACCCAACACATAATGTGTGAGTAGATGTGCCAAACAATGAGTATAATGATTATAAGTATTCTGAAAAGGATGCAATGTAGTGAATTTCTTGATGTCAGAAAAATGTCTGATAACAACCTTATGTTCAAGGGTTGAAAACCATCGTGATCTCCGTCTAAGGTTATCCAATCCCAAATGCTTGGGAGGATTCGCGCGCTTGTCAATAACACGTTTCAGGCTTTCTCCATAACTCCAGCGACGACCCCATACCTACACTACCACGTGACTACCTAGGTCCATCGTAATGTTATGTCAAACCTTATTAACCCTTCAACCCCCCAAAAAGGAACCCAAGTAAGATTTTCTTTACAGCTGAACTGTTCAAATCCCTTTCTTTCTTTCTTTCTTCCACGAGAAATCCTAAAGCCAAGAGAGGCACAATCGTCATTGACGCTATTGTAGCTCACAAAACAAATCCATCTTCAGATCTGCAAGGCTCTGAATAATCCTCCTCAAGTCCTCCACACAAGACTTATTAATTCGCCGGCTATCCGTTTCGGTCCTCGTATTCCCTCACCCTATCACTATCACTGCCTGGAAATATCCCCAAGTCACAGGAGTGCAAACTGCTGGCAATGCCAAGCTTATGATCTTATTTTATGCTCTGGATTTCAAAAATACCGACAAGTGCAGGTTCTTATTTACATTCCCAGACTTCTTTCACATGATAATTCTCGATTTGACATGATCCAAGAACTCACAAGAGTACAAAATCACGGAATGACAACCTCGGAAAGGCATCCCGACTCCTATACTAAGCCCCAGTGGCTTACCAGAAGGCATTCGCTTGGCGTCCAAGCCAATGACTATCCTAGGTAGCTGCGGATCTTTTCTTGAGCTTAAACTCATTAGGCTTTGATCTCGTAACAATTAATCTCATCGTATTCTAAGCGCTGTCAGATCTTACTTCTAGGCTATGTAATTGTTCGTCAAATTCATGACCCCTGGTCCCCGGAAGAAGTCGAGCGTTTTCCACTTATATATTCGTTGTCGCTGTTAAAGACATGTTATTCTCATGATAGCTTCATTCTACCTTCACTTTCATTCATCTTTTTGTTTGCAGCTTTTCAGACATGGTTTCAGTCAAGTCACTCGTTGCCCTTGCGGCAATTTCTGCAACACATGTTCAGGGCATTGATCTTGATCTTAACAGCACTGGTAAGTCATGATGGATGAAGAAATTCTTTCGAAATGAAGCTAATTCCATCCTGATATATAGATTCCATGAAATCGGCAGCTGGCACAATCGCAAAGGACTTGGTCGGTCTTTACAACCAGTCTCAAACGCCAGGAAATCCAATTGGCGTTTTGAGTGCACCTTATTACTGGTGGGAATCCGGTGCTATGTTCGACACTCTGATACAATACTGGCGTTTGACGGGAGATTCTCAGTACAATAAACTTGTCACCCAAGGATTGGCCTCTCAACGAGGTCCCAATGACGATTTCATGCCACTAAACCAAACGGCTTCCATGGGTAGTGATGATCAATCTATTTGGGCTCTTGCAGCAATGTCTGCAGTAGAGACACGACTAGTCGAAGATCAGAATGTTTCTTGGGTTGACCTTGCTCAGGCAACGTTCGATGAACAGGTACTTCGATGGGATGAGGAAACTTGCAATGGAGGTCTTCGCTGGCAAATTTTTACTTTCAATGCCGGCTATAGCTACAAGAACACGATTACAAATGGAAACTTTTTCCAACTCGCGGCTCGTCTTGCTGTTTCTAAGAACAACGTCACTTATTCGGAATGGGCAACCAAAGCATGGGATTGGACTAAAGCGGTCGGTTTTATTGATGAGGACTTCAATGTTTTTGACGGCGCTGATGTTTCCAAAAACTGCTCTGCGATCAACAAAGTGCAATTTTCGGAGAATGCAGGTACATTCATTGCAGGCGCTGCTTATATGTACAACCATACCAACGGAGATACTCAAGCTCAATGGAAAACCGCTCTTGACGGTCTTTTAAATAGAACTATCTCCGTATTCTTCCCATCTGGAATCGCCACGGAGACTGCCTGCGAATCCAAAAATTCTTGCACCATAGACCAACGGTCCTTTAAAGGTGTACTAGGAAAATGGCTCGTCGATACCGTCGTCGTTGCCCCATACACCAGCGATCTCATCACCAAGCAACTTATCTTCTCCGCCGAAGCTGCCGCAAAGACTTGCGGTGACAATGGATGTGGTTTAGATTGGAGTGGTAATGCCAAAAACAGTTCTTCTGGGGTGGGAGAGCAAATTGATGCTCTCAATTATGTACAAGGATTGCTTCATGGCCAGGCTTCAGCATCTACCACCCAGAATTCTTCCAGCGCGACTACAAATGGCTCTGGAGGCTCTACAAGCACAAGTGAAAGTGCCAGCCCGTCTGCTACTCAGAATGCGGCGGTTGGAATGGTTGTAGGACACTCGGCTTTGAGTTTCTCGATGTTGGGAGCATTGACTTGGTTGTTGTTGTAACATAGATAGATTTTGATTAGTTGGCATTCAAAGAGGAATACCAGATTCTTACCCACAACTCCTGTATAATGGCTATAATGAAGCTGAATTTTTCTCTCGCTCAGGTAAACATCTTCTGAGATGATGTTCGCGTGTGCCACTTTTCTACATGATGAGACGGAAAGGGAAGAACGCTAGCACAGTCTATCAGCTTATGTGGTAAAACTTTCATCTCAGAATCCCTGATTTTCTTCTATTCCCTATCAAATACCCTAAACCTCCAATGAGTATCAACTCGGAGGGAAATGATTTTGTCTTTGAGGTTTGCATTATTTGTGTGTGGTAAACATAACACAGCTCTGGCACCTTGGAACATTCCTATGCGCAGCGGATCTTTTCACCTTTCAATACCAGTAACAAGTGAATTGGAGATCTAAAATTTTCAGATAATGGATAGAGCGTGGTTGTTTTGTAGTCTCTACTGCCTAGTATACAGACAGCTTGAAGAACTCAAATATTCCATTTATAAACTTCTTCCACCCTCGTCAATTTTTACAATATACAACGTTCTTCAAAACTTTTCTCTTTGATTATTACTATCATTCGACCATCAATAACCTTCTATTTTGCGCTCTCTATCCTCAATCACCGGTGTTCAAACTGCCAAATCACATATTCGTATCAGTTCTGCTGATAGACATTCTCATTCAACTTTCGGTCTGAAATCGCTCCAGCTTCCAGCTCCTGTTAATTAGATCGCAAACCCATCAGGATCGATTATGGATGATTACGAGGACTCTGGAGAGGTAGATCTCGGGCTTCCAGATGACAATGATGATCACAGTACATTGAAACCATGTCAACAACGACTAGGTTTATCTTCAAAATATGTCAGAGATTGGACAAAATCAAATATATTTCGAGAGTTTTGCCAGAATTGGTGAGTCAATAAGTTTCTCCACCTTTAGTAAACTTCATTCGAGACTGAGAAACTAATTATTTTCATGCTAAAAGGAATGATGCGATGAGCAAAACTTCTGGGGTGTCTCGCGACAAGCTGAAGTATGTGCACAGAGAAGTCGCCAATGGGTTTAGAATCACCATTCACAATCCAGATACATATCAGATCCTTGGTTTCTTGGCCTTTGATAAGAAGAGAGGAATGGTAGAGCTGTGTAATTATAACAGCCAACTAGCCCGCGAGGTCCTCGATATGGGCGGTACAAGTAAAGCCGACGACGACGAAATGGCAGGAACTCATGGCGAAGGATTCAAGCTTGCTGCGTTGCTTATGATACGAGAGGGTCATCAGGCAGAAATTACAGCATCAAAGTTCTACTGGAATTTTCGCTGGGGGACCAAAGAAAAGAAAACACTATGGTGCTTTCTGAGCGAAGTCAAGAAGAAGCCTACCCAGCAAGAACTAAATCCACAGACTACAAAATCATTGATTTTCAGAGAGGCAAGTCCATGGAAAGATGTCTCTGTGAAGATCGGGTGTGTTCGCGGAAAACAAGGGAAATCAATCACGGAAGCCGAAGTGATGGGGTGGCTAAAAGTCTGCATTCATTTCGATCGCCCCAAGGAAATCGTAAGTACATCATCTGGTAATTTGATCTTGGACCCAAATTTTAGAGGCAAGATTTACTTGAAGGAACTCTTCCTAGAGAAAACATCTAGAATAAATGCCTTCAGGTACGGATATGATTTCTCACAGGGTCATATTGGGCGAGACAGAAAAGGGATGGAAGATCCCGAGCAAATGGCAACTCTTTTGGCAAAGGTATGGGAAGAGGCAGTCAAGAAGAACGGCTCCAGAATGCTTGACATGTATATTGACATGCTATTGGACTTGGAAGAGGCTTGGCAGGACATTCGCAATTCAGTTAATAAAATGACTCGGTACATGGCCGAAGCGATTTGGTCCAGTCTCCAACAGAAGGAGGATAACTTCTATTACGGCCCACAGAATGCCTCCAAGGTACTAGGGTGTATTCCATTGAACATTTATTAATATACTGACATAATAATCCTAGGATTCTGCAATGATCAAGTCATTGTTGAAGAAAGAACCCGTTCTTTTGCCAGACACATTATGGAAACCGTTGACAAAGTATAAGCTGCCTCAGACATCATTGGAATATAGAAAGAATATAATGTGCAATTCACAGACCGCATCCATTCTAGATACGCCGTATTGCGCAAGTCTAGCAAGAACTTTGCGGGTGGCTTTAGCGTTGGATCCACAAACCCAACCTTTCTTGCTGGTGTTCAAGAAAGCTGGAACTTCTGGACTCGATCCATACCTAGATATTGATAATTCGAAGCTTCTTCTGCATGAAAAATGGATGGATTTTGAGAAAAGCCATGGGGAGAACAGCACGGACTGTATCCTATCACAAATGCGAAATTCTGGAGATGTTGATCCGATTGAAATATTTTCCTGCGACCACATTGTTATCGAAATATGCAGTCAAGTACTACAAGAGCTAGACAGGATTAGAGCTGGTAAGGATCATATGGGTGATTGGAGCGTGAACTTGAAGTCACAAGTTGGCGAGTGCCTCAAGAACATGTTGCGAGGAATTCGAGCTTTTCCAGGTCCCAAGAAAGGAGAAATATGTGTATCTTGGGAAGACAACGAAGCTGAAAAATTATTCAGACTTCATCATTTGAAACTTCAATGCTGTGTTACACTACATCGAGAAAGTACATGCAGTCATAGGCGGTCGGAATTGTTAGCACGAGGTATGTCATGATCCACTTTGATTTTAATTTTTATGTTGCTAATGCAACAGAACTAGGGTGCAGGACTGCTCATAAAGATTCAATCAAGAATTTAGATGATGAAACCAGAACCGAGGCTTGTGGATGTTCACAGAAAATTGTGACCTGCACATCTGTGGACAACAAAATTACATTCAGCGATCTCAACCTGACAGAATCTTATTTCCCTATGGTATCTAGAGCACATACACCAATCGCGTTCATTGGCTATCCTCCTGCAGCTCAGAAGCCAGCTCAAAATCAGTCAGTAAAAGTCGTCAACACGCTTCGAGGAACCTATGTACGAATGAAGCCGAGCCTTAAAGGGAAGGGGTCACAAGTAGCTCGAGCTAGTAACGAAAGAGATATAAGTGAAGCCCTAGGTAAAGTTCAGGAGACGAAGGCTGAGCCTAACCGCACAAAACAAACTCTTAGTAGTTATGGAATGCTAAGCAAGGAGCTCAATCAAAAGGTCGTGAATTTACAATCGCAGAAAGAATCCGCTTCAGCTGATCTCGATAAGGTCAAGGCCGAAAATGCTTCCAAAATATCACAAATACTTGAACTCTACGCCAGAATTCAGGACCTTACGTCCCATTTGAATAACGCCAAGTTCGAGACGACAGCTCTCAAGACACAACTCGACACAATTCAATCTGAGAAAGAAACTCTGCAGCAAAGACTTGACGATGTCCAAATACAAACTAACTCCAGCCATCGGGATTCTGAAGCACAGGAGACCATCAATGACCTACAAAATCGCATCCGTCAAATGAAGCTCAAAATTAGAGAATATCAACAGATTAATGAGCAACTACGGGGAGACAACCAAGTGATAGAAGCTCGTGCAATAGAAGCAGAGAGCCAAAAAGCCGCCGCAATTTCGCAGAGAAATAAATTCGTTATCGAGAGATACGAAGCCACTATCCAAGGGCAATCATCAGTCAAAGTACGGCAACATTCAATAGACAGAGTTCAATCACCGGGTATGGACGCGTGGCGGGGATTAAGAGAGGTAGAAGTCCGAGTGTGGATGTGCGCATGAAAAAGGAGAGTGTTGTGAGGTGCGCTGCAAGTGATTCGCACACCGTGAATGAAGAACTGGAGATGTACGGGGCTAGTCCACCATGTCATTTGAGCGGTTTGGTGAAGTCTGAGCGAGAGAGTGTGAGTGCCACTAGGGGGTTGGCGAAGAGGCTTAGGATGGAAAGTCGAGAGGTCGTTGATTTGTCTGAAGATTGAGGTGGGAATGAGCGTGGTAATCGGCATTCGGTGGGGAGCAAATATTACGTGGGGAATGGATAAAGGTCAATCTGGGAATCTTTTTTGGGGGGGGGGGGGGGGCAAATTTCATCTATTAACAAAAGGTTTGCGAGATTTTGATGAACTAGAAAGATAACACGATACATCTTTAGCCAAAATCAAAATGACGACTCCGCGAAAAATAAACATCTGAAATTCGCGTGCGGTAAACAGAGCGTCTCATTAACCAACAGAATATTCTATACTGTTCATCCAAGAAAACCATCATCGAACCAATTTCCTAGATTTAGATCCCCTAAACATTCTTGTTCCTCCTCCTCTTCCTCTTCCTCTTCTCTCGTCTCTTCTACTTTCGCTTCCATGAAATCCAATTCCACTAGTAACCGATCCTCCCAAACTCTCATTTATTAATAACCCCCATCCCCACAACCCAGCCCCTATATCTAATCCCAAGCTTACTTCCACTTTTTCCTTATAATAATATTTTTTTGAACTTTCATTAAACCAACTATTAAAATCGTGATCCTCAAGTGTCGTTGATTCTTTTTTCCCTCTTCTCCCTTTTCCTCTTCTCCCTTCTACCCTCTACTTCCAGTGAACTCAATCTCGTTAATCAATTTTCTTGAATGTTTGGTTGTCAATGACTTTGAAGTTTATAGTTTGAGTTTGCAGTTTGATTTCACTTGTTGATTGCACTTGTTGATTTTACTTTTTGATTTCACTTGTAATATAGTTTTCTCGTGGGAACTTGGGAGAATGTGTTGGATTGGAGTTGTGATGGAAAAATCGTAAAAGAATCTTCTTTTCTTTTCAGTTGAGTCATTATCTTTATGATAAGTTGTGGATATGAGGATAACTTGTGGGTATACTGAGATGATTCAATATTTTTTCTTTGATTTTCACTTGTTTTGTAGAGGGGAGGGTTGAGACTTGAGACTTGAGGTGAGGTGTTGTTGGCGGGATATTCAGCGTTGCGTATGGATCTAGATCGAGTGATGAACCAGAAAAGATGAGGAGGCAATGATGCTGGATAAGGGGCTCGGTAATGTGTTTTCTTTTGGTGGTATCGGATGTCTAGTTGCGATTGCTAAGGAAAATGGTGATGGAGAGTTGGATGGTGAGGGAAGATATTTGAGAGGGTGAGGGGAAGAAGAGAAAGCATTTATACTAATCCAAAATTCTTCCTGGTCATGAATCGACGTCGCAATTAGAGAAAGCTTGAAGGGTGATGAAGGGAGGGATTCAAAGTTGGAATACCACTACCACGAAATCGTGGATGATTTCCCGCTTTTTTTCGTAATCGCTGCGGACACATATAGCTTGTTGACAAACGATGATATGTATATAATTTTCCAGTCTTGTTTTTTATCTGAAATGCATGCATCTCTTGGTCCGATAAAGTGAGAACAGTAGGATAGTCGGTTAGCGAGTAGGGAAGTCGTGCAACTCTTCGCTTGAGCCTATCCGTGAAGTAGTAGTATCTCTTACGTTCCAACAAACAGAGGCCTAAACAACCGCACATGCTTTTCCCGAAGACCTTGCTTTGAGAGTGATCACCTCGAAGAGCTTCATATGTACACTCTAATAGAAGTCGCTGCTGGATATCATAGACTTAGCTTCCTTTTCAGACCTTCTGTCTTGCCGGATGTGAACCGAATAGTTTTCCTGGTTATATCTGACAAGATGGTTGAATTTCCAACCTGTAATATTATTGTGGCAAAGGATGCGTACCTACTGGGGAGCATAGCATTGTTCGATATTTTTGATGAGAATCAGGAGAAATCATTAAATCATGGTAGTCATATACGCTTCCAAGGTTTTCAAGGCAGTCAATAATAGCTGGGGGGCTGGAAGGGACTTTCAAAGATGTGATAAAAGAGTGTAAAGAGTAGTTAGTAGAAAGAATCTGTAAGATACAAACAGGAAGTATCATTCTGACGGATAGAACGGTCCAATCTCACATTTATCATCGCTCGTGACATGAGCAAATCTCGGATTTGATCAGTCTACTGGGGGTTCTACTTCGATTTTCCTATTATACAAATAAAGCTCGATCTACATTTTCTAATTTGATGCAGCCCATCAATCCATATCTTGCAACCAAAATTTGCCTCTTGCAGTTCGACCCAATATATTTTCATTCAGGGCCCATTCCACAAACATCTGATCATCCGAATGAACGACATCCCAGTCACCGCACGGATATTCCTCTACATATATAACATTGTCTTTAACATGCTTCGCAATATGTTCCATTCTTTCATCCCAACAATTCTCTCCTTCGAATTCAAAATCACAGTCCCGCATCGGACATCCCAATGTCACCGACGGAACCTTTTCATGACGTCCTAAAACCTCCAATGCCTTCTTGGCTCTTTCACGTAGAGCTCGGTAGTATGGTTCCATCTGGGACTTCCTCATTATACGATAGTTTTGTTTCCAATAATGATTCACTGGCGAATCTTGCTTGCTGAGACATGCGCTCTCTCCGCAAACCCAGTTCATATGCTTACATGCGACATGACATTTCCACTGCGCTTTATTTGTGAATTTCGCAGTACATCCTGCGAAATGGAATATACAAACGTAGATATGTGTGCGTTCGATGACCATATGGCGACTTATATCATCATAGTAAGTGAATCTTGAGAACGAACAGATCTGACATTTCGGAGTAGACTGGCTAACAAAAAGTACACGGCGAAAATATTTCTGAAGCTCGAAAGCTTCCGTTTTCCGATTATTTTCTTGTTTTACAATATCCCATACTACTTTGTCAGGTGCTTTTCGCTGCTCCGCAAGCGCGAGATGAGCATATTCGACGTGGATGTTCTTATGCTTGTTGATATCTGGCTCCTCGATAAGTGTTTCTTCCGGATCCATGTCTAATTCCTTATAGGTCTCACGGGCTTCATTTCTTGCGTTCTTGATTTCGAAGTAGGTAACAGAGCGCGTTATTTCATATGATACTGAATACTTCGGACGTTGTACTAACCTCTTGCTGATTTGTGTTGCTAAGGTATCAAGGGCTGTGACGATATTCATCTCTAGTCCACAGTCGTGGCCTGCACTATTCGCTTTGGTCAGCTAATCACACAGAGTTGATACAACTAAACTTCTTACCATTTCACAGAAAGTTTCTCTGTGTTTCCTGGTATTTTGATTGCAGTGCTACACCTCGGGCAATGATCTCCAATGGCCATGCTATCTAGTATCACAGCCATTGATATTTGGGCTTTGGGTTTGACTAAGCTGTCCCAAGTAGTTTGATCAATCGTTCTTCCTTTATGGTCGGTCAACCAAAAGTTGCCCTCCATAATCTGGCGATTGCCAGGTATCCCTTCAAAATTCACATGTAGGAAGCGAGTGAAAGCCTGCCATCATTAGCACTAGGGCCGCATTGAATGGGATCACACCAACTCACTTCCCAGTTTCTGTAAACACCATACGGCAAGCTTCTTGGTCGATTGAACACATCAATAAACATTATGTTTTCACTTAAGAGAAAGCTAGGGGCATGGATAATGTGGACCTTCAACATTTGGAGATGAAGAAGAATGGGTGCAATAAAAGGCCTGTGGTGGATCATGATTAGCGTCAACCTTGCTTGAGCGGCAATATACACCTACCAAAATTGCCCCAAGAGCTCACGTACAAGTCGTGCCAATAACAAGGTACTGCATTCGTTGTCAGATCAAAGACTAATACGGAACAACTGCATCCACTGACACTTGTTTGAAATGCATTTGAACTTCTAATAAAGTCTGTTGTGGATTGGAGCCATTTGTCGCCAGCATCCGCTCTTCCCTTTCCTCGTTTGATGATACAGCGTTGCCAACTAGAGATGACTTTAGAGCCTTGATTTCGGATGTGTTATCTTGTAAGATCTTCTCTACTCTTTGCACAGATTGCAAGGTCGCAGAATATTGTGCCTCAGTTGCCCGCGTTAGCTCATTGATAGTTTTGAAGATCCGTGTAGGTAATTGGTCTAATTTTTGGCCCAGGAAATCTTTTGTAACTTTGGATGATTCTGAGATACCACAGAGTCCTTCTTCCAGGGGATGTAACGCATCTCCAATTGTTTTTTGAACTCTGTCATCAAGTTCTTTTTGTAGTCTCGTCAGATTACGAGGAATATTTGCAAGCTTTATATTGATTGCCGTATCACGATCATCTTGTACTCTAACTTGTGCGGCAGTAAAAGATCGAAGGGGGCCGATATGTTGTTCGAGAAGGCTGGGAAGAGTGTTGCTGATGTTTGATTGGATGAAATTTGCGATTTCAGTGGGTAGCTGATCTCGAAGTTCGCAAGCAATTAAACTAAGGAAGATTAAAATCTTTCGTACTCAAAGAGCACTTGTGATGCTGATATTTAAATGAATGATTCACTGGCCGGCGACTTACCGAATTTGATGAAGCTCACACAACTGAATTGATAGCAGAGGTAGCGAAATCTCATCCCTTAACTTATCCGCCTCCTTGAGCAGCGCCCATGCTATCTTCTTTCCGCTCCTAATAATCAATCTGTGAACCGCTCTTCCAGTTGGTTGTTTCCCGAGATCAGATCCATATCGTGAGATAATCTTCTGTGTGAACTTGTCGACCGGATTTTGGACGAGATCGAGTTGAGACTTGATAAACGTGAGATCATCAGGAGTAAGAGTAACGGCATTGAAATCACGCAGGCGTTTCAATGTATCATGCAAGCCCTGGAGAAAATCAAGACTGCTTTGATAGCTATCCCGAGGCACCACCAGCACTTTTTAATGATTCACATACTGTCCAAAGAACTCCAATTGCGGCAGCAAGATCTCCTGCGGACCAGCCAAAGGCGGCCATGTGTAATAGTCATAATGAAGCAAAAAACAAAACAATTCTGAATGTGGGCAATTTACTACATAAGAATGATCAGAAATCAGTGCAGCAGATAATCCCATATGCAGCACTTGCTACTAGGTATGCAGAAGCGGAAGGTTGCATCAGCGGGCGGCTGTAAACGCATACATGACAGGTATTGGATGAACATGAGTGGTTTTTTCCAGGGGTAATAACAACATGTTGTTTCCGTCTCTGCCAATCGTTGATAAAAGCAGTCCATGAGTACCATGGAAATTGCCTTCAAGGCATGTTCCCGTAAGCTTTTGCTGCTATTCCATTTTCTATTTCTGGAACATGTATGAATGGCAAAGCAGAAACAAACGAGGACTTCGCTCATTTTAGAAGCACGGCTATTTGAACCTTTACCACGTGATGTACTGACCGCCACAATGCCTAATATTTTGCCATCTACCAAAAGATAGTGCCGAGATACAGCTTTCATCCCCTCCTCCAGCCCGAATCCCATCTCCATCCCCGTCTCCCACTATCTCCACACAACTATCCCGCATCGAAGCGCCATCAAAATGGAGGTAGCCAAGAATCCTATAGTCGATATTGTGAGGCTGGCTCCTCCCAATGGTGACCCGCCTACGTATGTGCAATTCATAGATAAGGTATTCATCGAAGACCAACCCTCACCAGAGCTGCGTGTGGAACTCTTGACACTTCTCGAAGATCTTTTGCAAAATAAGGGACTCGCAGATCTCATAGGCTGGGATCTTGTGCCTACGTTAATTGATATTCCGGGCTCAGAATCTTGCTTAATCACGATTGCACGACTTGCCAATCCTCGCGAAGTTCTAATATCGGTCCTGGCAGAATTGAAAAGGCTAGACCTAGATGGAATTGAAGATGACTGGCATGGGGGAGAAGCTGGTGTAGAAGATCAGAATAAAACAGCTATATCGAACGACCTCGATCGATTCTGTTTCATACTTAGCCTTCTTTCCATCATTCACCCTCGAATCAAAACCAAACATCCTTCACGCTTTTTAGCAACTACCATACATGCCATTGTGCAAGCGTTCCATCCTTCACACCGAGCTGTCATGGCAATTGGCAAGTTTGCGCACATAGTCTCTGGCAAGAAGCGACCTACATTACCAGGACGAAAATCCAGTCTCAGTATCGCCAGCGTTATGCGACCAGAGATAGAATCAAATTTGCCTCCGGCACCCGACCCCGAAGCACAAGAAGAAGATACGTCCGAATCTGCCATACAAAAGAAACTTTTGCAGGGACTTGTGACGCATATGCTGGAAATGTACATCGATGTGTATCCTTTAGAATGGGCTGGAAGATTGCAGGAATCCTTTGATCCAAAAAGAGTTGTAGCAGGTAGGACGAGTTTGGCAGAGGCATTTCAAACCACGCCCGAGTATCAAACTCGAGAGACAGTTGCTGGTCAGCTTGTGGTAAGTGCCGATACTGTGTGTTTAATGTCTCAATACTAATTCATCTAGTCCCTTGCTCGCGATCTCGAATTGGCCAATTACGATCTTTTGTTCGATACTATCCATTCACAAGAACCCATTGCACATGCTCCAAATCCCGAAGATGATCTACCGGACTCGCCTGAAGACATTCCGCTTTCCCCTGTTGGCTGTCTGTTCCTTCTTACTTCTTTCATATTCTCATCCGTCATGTTCAAGTCGAAGACACCAGAACCAGTCATGTCTATATTCCCTGATCATGCCAAATTGGTTGCCCGATTTTTCGAATCTGCGGCTGGCTCATCTATTGCCATTGTTGATGCAGTAGTTGCCATTGGCTTATGGCTAGAACATTCCAATAAATTTGTATCTGGAGAGTTCAAAGACAATGACTATATGGCACATCTAAGGGCTTTATCATTATGGTCTGCCACAAACCCTTCTCCTGGCCTTCGTTATTGTACCCACAAACTAACCTCTGCCATTCTACATGCCCATCCTGTGGATGCCATGAGGTTGACTTTCATCTCGAAGACACTGAAGGGATCTTCGGATGAAATCGGCGCAATCGCACTTAAGGCATCTGCAATTACATGGCTTAAGGAAGAGTTAATTACAGCTCATGAGAGGAAGACACAAACACTTTTCTCTACCACCTCTGCACTTGTGGAGACACAATCCCAAATATTCCCAAATCTGTCATCGCTCGTCGATAAGTTTGATGAAGAATTGAGTGATGAATTGATAGAGTCGTTCCCAGTCCACATGGCCGCACTCAATTTTCTATTTTTCGTCGTAGGAGAGCAATATACAAATATCATTCCTCCTGGATTGATGTCGCGAGTCGAGAACGAGTATCTGACTCCATTAAAGACTGCTCAAGAAAGTGCATTGAAGTCTTTAGCCCTGGTCAACGATACAGGAGCTCCACACATGGAATTTGAATTATTGGGCGAACAGATCTCAATGTGTTTGTCAAAACTTCATGAGAAATGATTGATGATTGATGAGGTATGATCAATGTACAGGTGAATGAAAGAGACGATAGAATTTCTTGTACCGTGGTTAATCTGACCTCTTTATCGGGAAGGTTTGGAGTATGGATACCTGGAACATATGATTGCGAATTGTTTGTTTATTTACGAAGGAATGAAAACCTAAGACTATAGGCTATTTTTGAGATGTGCATCTTTCCGTGATAGTGATGGTAAGTGATTGGTTCAAGCATGATAGAAATGATCTCGCTTGGGTTTGACTGGGAAGTGATTGGATAATTTGAATAGAAATTCTCTACCGGCGATTGCTAGGGTACATTTGATGTAGACACTTGTATATCTCCAATTATCGATTTATTGATTACAAAAGTAAATCGTTCTTCATGAAAGCTAGATTTAGGCTATTGGAAGTATTCAGAGTATTTGTGTCTTGCAGGGCATTGTTTTCATTGAGCACGCTTCACATGACATGGGGAAAGTTCATGATTCAAAACGACAGTATACATTCCAGTCGTATGTCAAAGCAAATTCTGTATATACAAATAATAAAGTTCAAATATATACAACAAATAAATATCCGTTTTCCCCTTCCTCTTTCTCCCTTCCATTATCTTAGACCCGACAGTTTGAAGTCTAAATGCTAGCAAAAGCCGACAAACTAGATCTAGCAACTCCCTTGGAATCGAAAAGGATAGCATCAGAACAACTGCTTCCCAATGCCGCGTTATTAATCCACGCAGGTTCCCAGTAGAAAAGTCCCACTCCACCGCTAACTCCCGCGACTACTGCCGCAACGTCCTTGATCCAGGTTGTTTGGCCGGCAGCACTGAATGGAATCGATGTTGCATCGGATGGGAAAGCGTATGCGGGGGATGGACATGCGAATGGCCAATTGGTTTCGGCGACTACGAGTTGTTTACCCCATGTGGAAGCCATGTTTGTCAAGGAAGTCTTAAGACTTGCGAGGGTGGCGGCGGAGGTATAGAATGGATAGTAGGATACGCCCATCATGTCGAAATCGGTGGTTAGGAGAGGTCCTGCTGCAAGAACGGTTTTGTAGAAATATTGTTGTTCGCTCCAGGAATAGCCGTTGTCGAGGTGGATCATGATCTTGGGCTTGGTGGTAAGAGTTGAGTCTTTGATACCGGCGGAGGCGGAGTGGAGAAGACTCGCAATGTTGTAGTAGGATGATGTGGTGCCGATAGGCCAGAGAAGTCCAGCGCGGATCTCATTGCCAATGGAGATTATTGAGGGAGAGATGCCAGCACTGGCAAAGGCATCCGAGACTGCCAAAGTATAATTATAAACTTCCCATGCAAGGTTTCCAACGGTATCGGTGGGCCAGCCAGAAGGGATCGCCTGGCGAAGAAAGAAGTTAGTCTCGATTCTTAAAGAAATGGTGTGAGTAGCAGATTTGTTTACCTGATGACTTGGATCGGCCCATGTATCACTGAAATGTAAATCGAGGTAGATGTTCAGTCCCGCAGCCTTGGCACGTTTTGCAAGAGCCAAGTTGTAGGCCAAATTGTATTGACCACTGGAAGGGTTAACCCATATTCTTTGTCTCACAGTGTTGACACCAGAAGCTTTCAGAATAGTCTCGAGAGCTTGTGTGGTACCGGCGGTATTCTTGTAAGTGTAACCACTTTTCTCCTCAACAGAGACGGACGACCAGTCGACTCCTTTGTAAGTAAGAGCAGCGAAGACTTGTGGCGCGAAAGCCAATACGGAATAGAAAAACTTCATGACTGAGAACTTGCAAAAAGAAGTCGATGCAAAAGAATGTAGAAGTATATCCCCTCTGCTCTCATGGACGATCTCTCCAGAAGATATATAAACCGAGCCTTAAGTGATCACTATTTAGCCGACTTGATCAACATGTTTGTAGCCGAAGTACACCTGCGGTAATGAACAGGACACTCTCGAGTGTGCGGAGTGGATATTTGCGTCTCCACATCGAGGGCGGCACCGTCATTAGTCTGTGAGATGGATTGACAGGGAGACAGGTTCAAGAATGACCTCCGGAGAATTCTCAATTCAGTCCGGTTCCCAATCTCGTAACTCAGGCAGGCGTGGCATTTCGGTATATTATCCTTTAAAAAGTGATTGTTCATCTGACTTCCCCTAAGCAGCATACCTAGCCCTTCATCTGACTTATTTGTGACTTCAATGTAACGGCATTCATCTTCTGACCTGGTGCTCTCCTCGACACTTGTTGAGGGACATTGTTACATTACAGTATTGTCCATGAATACTACGTCCAAAAGAACTCATTTAGCCCAAACTCCCGTGTTTATGGAAGACGGCCCCAGATCTGTTCATGTTCCACCAAGGCGGAGTAGCCAAGTTTCCCAATTAAGACGTCTCGCTAACAGGAACGCAAACCATAAAATTCTGGGGAAACCTCAACATGGGTTGTACTCCCATCCCATCAATTAGAAACGACAATAACACGACGAAACGTGTCTGCCCCACAAAGCTCACAAGTCATGCAAGGGTTATTGTACCTTATACGTGAGTTCGAGAAAGTTTCTCACCCCTTTGATTTCACTTGCCTTTTGTTTCCGGTTGCAGACTTCCTTCTTTGTTCCTTTCTTTCTTTCCTTCCATTTTTGTCCGTCACCGTTCATTCAGTAAGTCAGCATGATAATGGGCGCGCGAATGGATGAGTTCCCCCGAAAACTATCAGATCGAATCCCGAGAAGATCAGACGACACGTGACGGTCTAATTCTTTTGTGGAGTCAGTCGGCTCCAAACATTCCCCCATCTTCGGCACGTAGGATGGATGACAACGGAAATTTTATTTTCCATTTCGACATCCTAAACAAGGAATCAAGAAACTTAAAGTCTTCCAAAAGCTTACGAATCACGAGGGTTTCCACTCCATCTCTTTCCCGCTCTCCCGAGGTACCGATTATCTGTCCCACTCTTGATATCTTCAATTTTGTTTGCCAGTCGCGCCAGTAAACGCACCCACTCGGCCAAGACTAGCCCGGACGTCATCGTTGCATTGCTACTTTGAGATTTAGTTTTCAGATGAGATTTGTTAGCGTCTACCAAAAGCTTGGTGGTGATCGAGGGTCAGCTGTCAGGCACCATCTTCCACGGGAGTTACTCCGAGATGTACCAGAAGCCATATTCGGTGTCCTCCGGTCCGAGCCGCCATCAGTCGCCTTCAGTATGGTCTACACGACGTTGGCGATTGAGATTAGACCACATTCTACATTCTTCACAGACAAGGCTTCGTAGTTAAAATAGCTCTTGAAGCCTTATAACACCTTGATTTTCTAGAAACTTGCTGTGGTCTTGTCTTATTACCTGAAGAGTCCACCTCATACAAAAATTAAATCGAGTTTCAGCCCGTAATGCTGGATTCCCAACATTGGTAGCTCCAACATTATGATAATCCCCTTTCGAATGTTTCAAAAAAAACTCAAGCTGCGATGCTAGATTCTACCGAAAGCATTGAGGGGGGGTTCATGAACTGCATCCATTGGAATGTTGTTAATCAATTCAAGTATAATTGGTAAATGAAACAAAGACTCTATTTTCATGACTACTCCCACTTGGTGGCTTCGTTAACGATCAAAGGAATTTTTGCCCTATGTTGCTCCAGATAATTTCTTCAATCCGGTTTGTCTAAGGTAGCTGGGTAATTGCAGAATTCAATCTATCATAATCCACACAATAACAATAATTGAGAACATCAGAAAATCATCAATATAAACTCATGGAAGAACAGGTAGTCCCGACGAGAGAGGGGGGAGCCGCCATAGCGAAAATTGAAGGGGAGCGCGACGCATCCCTACAGGCGTTGCGCAAATTTCGCGAAGAATCTCCCCCCAGAGAGAATTATGAACCATGGTATTCGACTATGGATGACCCACAGAGCCTTAGTATCTTTGGCGAACTGAAGGTAGGTATGAATCAGTGGAGTGTAAGAGAAGCAAAAGATCCCTCTCAGCTCAACGATCTCCAGGGCAGTGACCGTGAGTGCTTTTTTAAAGAGGTCGCGAAAATAGTCCTTCTGGATGGAGTGGACAAACAGGAATTTCCAACGGGTCTTCGGGGACGTCCCAGAGTATTAATCATTGTCCTTGAAGCTCTGCTTACCCATCATATGTTCACGACTGTCTATCCCGATCCTTTCTTCTTCTTAGGTGAAGAAACATCTCGAATTTTCAACGATATCATGTCGTTGGGCAACATCTGTAGGTTTTTCTCAACTCAAGTGTTGGTTACATAAAATTAATCATGCATAAGGAATCTAGGGTATTCCTAACGTTGGCGTGCAGACACCTTGAAACTCATTCATCCATCGCGCAAGTCTCCAGATGAAGTAATGATCAGATCGCAAACAGAAAAGCTTTTGCGCAAAGCTGCAATCTCCGGAGCTTCAAACTTTATGCGGAGTCCCGCCAAATATATCATAAATGGTCACCCGGATGCACTACAGCAACTCGAGGATCTGTATATGCTGGCCGCCAAGCATTCGTACATGATTTGGAAGAAGGATTCAATAATCAAGCTCCTTGACGCCTCCAACTTCTTGGGCCAGCCATTTGATTTACAGAATCCCAACATGGCAGCAGACAATAGGGTCTTCCAAAATGTCGATATCAGTCCAAATGGCCAGCAAATAACCATGGTTTCATCGCCTGCGATCCTGAGGTATGGGCTACGCGGAGCAGATCCTGCTTACTATGAGAAGAGATGGTGGCATGAGGTCTCCGCGTACCGACATGCAGGTGTGTCGTTTTATATTCCTAGGCCTGGGGATGCTGATCAAGGTTCTGAGCCAATGACTCTTCCTCCCCGACCATCGGGAGACTTGAAGCCAGCAATTCTTCCTTCCAGGAGTGATTTGAGCGCAGAAGCTCTATGTGAAAGAACACTTAAACGTTTCGACAGAGTGACTTTACTTGACCTCGTCAAACCCTACCTAGACGACTTCGCTGAGCAGCTAAGACCTGTGCTGGAAGGGCTACGCGGGGAATTAGCGCAACGAATTGAAGAGCGCGACGAAATGGAAAAGGAAAGAGACGAATTCAGAAGCAAACACCGCGAGGCTCTTCAATCAATAGAGCGCCTCAAATCTGGGATGTAATTTGACTTTCAATTGCAAAACGTATTGCCCTTTGATTTTTTGTCCATTCATAAATATGTACGTCAGTTCAATTTGGGTGTTTCTTTTTCCGCTTTGTTCTAAATGTTTGTTCTCCATGTCATATTTCAATTTTGTCTATTCCTTAGCTTCTTTTGTGAGACATGTTTGTGCAATTCTTATCAATTGAGCAAAAGATAATCATGTGTACGACCGGGTGATTACTCTCAACGAGTGCAGGGTTGCTGGTAGATAAAGATAAATATCATATGATTGTTCTACATTTTCATTACAAGTTAGAGTCATTTTTATTTGATACTTTGATGCCTTTAGTTTTTATCAACAACGTGAGGTTGTTTACCTAGTTGACATCAGTTTGGAATTACTTGTGTCATATCTGGATTATGTGATATCATCTACTTCATAATCTCATTTGCTAAATACTTACGGATATTTCGATATTTGTAAATTTGAGCAGAGATGGTAAACTATACTCTTGCCCACTCCTGATACTCATGTCTGAACAATAATTCAGATCCGTATCTTTACCAAAAAAGATAGCTAGAACCAGCCAGCCAATACACACGCAAATACTATGATGACCTCAATCACATATCAATGCTGATGTCTTTCCTAGGACAAATCACAATACTCCACTCGCAACCCGCAATTAAAACGAGTAATACGCTGAGCCACACAAATGAGATATTTCTCATTGTTTCTTGCCGAAGTTGACTAAAATTCAAAACTGAAGACTCAAATTCTACGCTAAGCATCTGAACTCAAGCTGTTGAAACCTCGCTCGTTTGCTATCTCCTCCTCATTATCAATCTCGACAGTTTAAGAGTATTGGTCATGATTCTACCATCGTCGATTCAATGATCAGGAAATTCGATAGTAGTGTCGGATACTAATCGCCCACCAACAGCGAGCCGGAATTTTAGATTGGCTCCTCTGTCACCAAATATAACTTTGGATTTGAAAATGGAACTCATGAACCATCTTGTCGAGGCGCTGGTTGAATCTTGACTTGCTGTCCATGCCGAAGTTAAAATCTGCGGGGAAGTTGTAAGGTATTTTGCCAACGCTCTTGACGCCTGTTTTACCAATTAGTCAACATGAATCAATCAAAGGGCCATGAACTCACGTGGATCATCCATCATATCAGGCTGTTGATCTCCTTCGCATGAATAAAGTTCAATCGTAGACTTGATGGCTTTACCAGGGCTGTAGAGGGACGAACAACCTTCTGAATGGAACGACCCTTCAGTAATCACATCGCCCTATAAGAATTAGAATGACTGTCATCATAATTATCTTGGGAGCCCTCTTGCCTTTGAAACACACCATATGGCTCGGCCTGCACAATATTTTAGATTTGAGTAGTCGTCGATGTATGTGTGCTTTTCCTCATCGATAAATTCCCGGAAGACACGGCTGATTCGGAAGCCGTAATGCCGACGAACATACTTAATGCGAGGCGCAAGTCCTTCGAGTGCACGTATTCCAGCACCCTTTAAAACTGCGAGATCACTATTCTACAGATTAGATGTGTTGGGCCACCGAAGCGTCAATATACTCACGGGCGCTCAGGGCATAGAAGCTCCATGTTTCCATTTAAAACACACCACGACGATATCCTTTTGTATAGATACTTTGAAGCTCCCATTCCACCCACAAGAGCTATGCGCTGCTTAGGAGTTAGACAATGAAACTGACTGCGTAGATATGACAAGGCCATGTTGAAACTTACATGGATTTTTGCTTTGCTTGGTCGACCTGCTTCTGAACTAGCTTGATTACTCGATCGATAATTGGATCGAACACGGATTTCATTTCTTCACTGGAAATATGTCAGAAACTTGCGATAGTGTGTGGACAAGACCGCTGAGTCTAATCCTTACTCATAGTCCGAGCTTGAAGCGGAAAACTATAATTATGGGAATTCACGCTTGCAAAAAGAGCTTAACTTACGGTGATAGGAAGACAACATTCTCATCTCTGTCATATTGATGCGAGCTCGGCAAATCGAGGTACAGTGGACCTAGTTCGAGGGTGTCAGGATTCTCCATGTTGCTGCCGAAGCTTTTCTTAAGCACCTCCCAATTGTTCATCAAAACACTTCCCGGGCCTTTTCTAGAATACGGGATGCTATCGAAAGCATTACCGAAACGATCAGATAGGAGAGCGTGAATATGACGGTCAATGTAGGTAGAGCCACATTTTCCACCTATGATGTCAATACTTAGATGTGAATTCGCTGTGAAGTAGATGACACATCTAGGCCGTCCCCTGTACAAGAGACAGCGTGAATGATCAAATGACCTTCACGGTGAGTGGATGTACTGACCTGTTCCAACGCAAAGTTCTTCAAAAGTCAACTTCGGCGCAACCGAAGTGACTGTGTATGTAGTAATATCGACAGTTCCTCCCCCGCAATCACATATCAAGACATTATCATCGCGCTGGAACATTGATCAGCATTTAATTGACCATTTGAGATGCTGCAATAGCTTACCTGCACAGCGTTGAGAGTTCCTGGTGCAGCAAGCTCTTTCAAAGTTGCAATCGCTGCCGCTTCCGGTTCCGCAATTGTGTGTATCTGATCCATTGGGTTTGTTGCAAATCCAGCCTTCCTGGCAGCGCTCAAGGTGGCATGCTTTGCCTCATCAGACCAGATGGCTGGTAAACTAATCCAGCAGTCTATTGGCGACACTCGAAAGGCGTCTGCTCTAAGCGTCCTTTCGGCATAACCAGCAAAGGAAACATACAACGCATGGAGAAAGTCCTCACAGACACCTTTGCAGCCGCGGTATGATGGCAAGTGCATCATTCCTTCATCGATGACTATCTTTGAGATTATATCGTCGCCCTCTCCAAAGACAGCATTCTTGTCTAGAAGGAGCTTCGTCCAAGAACATGACGTCTCTTTTGGTCCCACGTCAAAGCCCCATTTGTCTGATTTTAGGAGGCTCGGATTCTCTCGCGCATATGCAATCCTGGATGGGGCCTTCTTCATTTCGGTTCTGTGATCGGCGTGTAAAGACAGAACTTCAAGTTTATCGCTATCTTCTAGGGTGCTAAGGCCACAGATGATACCTAGACATGTATGAGCAAAGAGGAAAAATCCTGGTCATAATACATACCAGAAAACGTAGTTCCATAATCTATCCCAACAATGATTTTATGACGTGGCGGTAAGCCTGTAGCAATCGCTCTATTGGGACCCGAAATACTACCAGAAAATTGAGATGACATTCTGTGAATCTTGCGATGGCGTTGGTATTGTGCGTTGATGTTGGAGTTCAGAATTTGTGGCGAACTGATACGGGGGCAAACTTATTAATTTATTCCAAAATCTATCTTTTTCACGAACAATCGATCTCACGTAAATTCAAACAGAGAGTTCCAAAGCTTGCCACGCACAGTGAAATGTCTCTGCAGGCCGCATACTATGAAACAATTCTACTGCTACCTTAACGGTCGGCGGAAATTCCACACAGCCGGTCGAATTTCCCGGCAACTTTAATTGGCAAGGAAAAGTACTGAAATAACCTGATTACCATAAATGCTACACATGTTCCCCAAGTTTTCCATGTGAAAGAGGGAATCGCAAAATATGGGACTTCTTCCAGCTTCCATCATTTCATCTTCAAACTGAAGAGTGAAAATCGAGAAGGTTACATTCATCCCAGACGAGCAACAACATTCCAGGAGAAGCGACAGAACACTGGATCGCTGTTTAGAAAATGTTCAGTGTCTAGCAGGGTTAGGCTGATGACCGAGCTCTTCAAATCCCACACTACCTGTACTTCCAAATACAAAACTAAGGATGGAGAATGTTCTGTGCTTGATCATGTAGAAGATTTACGCGTTGGGTCCGCAGAGGCAATGAATCATTGTTCAGAAGTTCTTTCGGATGAAACTTCCCCAAATCAAACTGCATCTGCGATTTCCTTGAACTCAAGAAACAAGCCAACTGCATATGCACTCGTGGGCCATGATGTTACGCCATCCGATGAGGTTGATAGGCATACGGGTGCTGCAGAACGCGACCCTATTATGGTCGATTTCCTTTCCATACATGCTACACATCCTGGCAAACCTGAAGGAGATTTGCCATCTACCCTGAACGCTCAAGCTACCCCCCTATTATCTCACACGGATCACGACATTAATCGAAATAGGGTCCGAACCCCACCAACAAGCATTCTACCTGGAGATCCATTGCCTAACGCGATTCACGTCTCAAACTCAATGCAGTCTCATGATTTTCCAATGGCTAGCGGCCGAATTTTGAAAAGATTGGAAGACGAGGTGCACCATAGTTATGAAGAGCTTCGAACATTGAGGAAGGAGATAGTCGACCTGAAGGAACAAGGGTCAGAATTGCAGCAGCGAAGTCAGCAGGACAGAGAAGAATGCAGTCGAGCGGTACACGCTCTTCAAGAGATGGCCTTCAAGTCGTGGAAAGCAGAAAAATGGCTCCCTGCTGAGCATGATACCATCAACCTTGAAATTTTTACACTTCAGGCAGCAATGACTGGATGGACACGGGGTGCAACCAGAGACGACTCTTGGCTTGATGATTTATCTGAAGTATTTCAAGGAGAAGATCAGGCCAAAGATGCATTGAGGAAAGAGCTGTCGAAAGTGATGGTCTTCAAAAACGATTTACTCCCTGAAGGACTACCTCAGAAACGGGCTAAAAAATTCTTGCTCGAAGCGCTTCTTGCTCACCATCTTTTCACGGATGTTTTCTCGTCGCCATTCTCTTTTCTCGGAGATGAATCAACGAGCTTGGATTTTATTTATGAAACAGGGTTGTCATGTATGCTTGTTTACTCTATGGCAGACGAGCTAGCTAACAATTATAGGGAACATTGCAGATGCCCATAGATGGCGCTCTGATACACTGAGGCTATTATCCCCGGAGCCTTCAAAATATGACAAATCTGAGGCTGTCCGACTCAAGATACCACCTTTACTCAATAATAGAGCAAACATTCAAGCAGAGAACTTCTTCAAAAGCCCTGCTCGGTGCTTCTTCGTTGAAACCCCGGAACTAACGGCCAGTCTTCAAAAGATCTACCAGCAGGCCGCTGGTCTAGCCTACCATCTCTGGACTCGACGATCAATGCTCAAGATAGTGACGCGCAAGGACTTGAACTCCTTTTTCCACATCGATGACCAACAGATGGCTCTTCACACTAGCGTTCAAGAAGATATCGAAAACAGGCTAACAGGCCAACCTATCAGTTTGGTATTGTACCCCGGTGTTGTGGCATATGGCTTGGACGGTTGTGTAGATTATGAAACTCCACGGCCATGGATGCCAGCGAAAGTTTGGTTGTACAAGCCTTTGTCGGAAAAGCCGGAAGTGCTAGTTGGGGGGGATTTGGAGATCAAAGGATAAGACGAATCAAATTGCTTTCGGGGGTCATTAACAAATTCACAATTAATGTGAAGGGTTCATACCCCAAGATCACTTTCATCTGTTGTAGGTTCAGACGAGAGTGGGATATGAGGTAGGGCATAGGATCATTGCAGCCAATGTACTTCGATGAAAATGATAAGCGGTGTACCTAAACTTTGCCTTGGACTGCGAGATAAGTGAGAGTGTCATATGTGAACTTTGGTCTGCTACTAGGAAATAGTGTACCTTGAAAGTGGAGCGCGAAGGGAATTTCCACTGTATTTGCGCTCCTGTTCCCAGACTTCAGGACTCCAAATTTATGCCTGCAGTCGCATGTCCATATCATTAACGATATGCGTTGGCCTCCCCGCCAAGAACAGAGTCTGGACAAAAAGATGAAGCTTCCATCTATTTCCCAACGACTGAAAGTCGCTAATAAGAAAAAGAGAGAAAACGCATACAAAATCCAACAAACTTACTTGATATACTGACCATACCCACTCATCTCCATCATTTTCATTTTCATCTTCCCTCCAAAAAAAAATCAGAGAGAGAGAGAGAGAAAGAAAAGAAAGAAAAAAAGGAATTTAAGAACAATTCCGTTTGATTTATCTACTACACATACACACATTTCCCATTTTCCATCCCACCCATCCATCCATCCACCCGATAAATTCTAACCACTCCACCTTAAGAGAAGCGAGTAACTAGATTCATTACATCAAATAATACAAACCAACCAATACCGCAAAACATAACGAATTCAAGGACCTCCATTTTTCCTCTTTCCCTCTTTCCCTCTCTCCATCCCACCCAACCGACCAAACGCCTACTTCCACAGTATCCGAGTATCTAGCGTTCATCTAAATCCATACATACAAACATACATAAACCAAAGGAAAGAAAAGAAGGCCACAGAAAATAAGCCCGTCTCAAGATACAATTACACGATCCAAACATATCCATGTATCCAATGCCGTAAACCAAGAATCTAGAATCTAACCCCCACGCCACTCCTCGTTCCTCCTACTTTTCCTTTAACATCCCATGCCCAGTTCTTTCCCTTAGCAGCATCAAATGCCCTACCCACTCTAAACGCATCGCTAACCATTATTGGTTCTTCTAATAGATGAGCATAGGTATGATAAGGCACGGAATTACTTCTTGAGATCTTCGGTTTGGCTGGTGCATCCTTTTCCTTTAATTTTTTTTTCTCTTTGATGATATCTTTGAGCTCTTGATCGTCAGCAGTGATTTGTGCTTTGAGGAACATTAAGTCTGTAGATTTCTGAAGAGATTCCATTACTGGGATACGGGGTTCGTAGACAATATCAGAGGGATTTGGAGGGTCTGTGGAGACGATGGATGGGTCGAGATGGGCGGATGGTTGGAGAAGGAGTTGTTGGATATCTATTGATTCGCCATGAGGTATTGCAGTCTTATGTGAAGGTGTGATACAATCCATATCGACTTCTTTTCTCAAAACGAGATCAATATCGACTGCGGAGAAATAGGCGCAGGACTGTGGTAGATCGTTAATTCCCATTTGTTGAGAAAACATAGCTCGAGTCCAAAGGTTCGATACTTGCAATGCTAATGCAGCACGATATTTATCTTCCTCTTGAACTAGATATCTGATTTCATCATGAACAGTTATGGCCAGACGGGCATTAATATTGTAGCGACGAATGATGTAATCCATGGAAATGATGAGAAGGTGCAAATAATCTACACCTGAGGATTGAATTGCCCAATTGATGCGTGATGTCATAAAACCGCCTTTGGAAACAAAACATGCCATCAGGGCTTCTGTTATTCCTGCGCCTAGAACTGGAGTGCGTGGCCTTTCTTGCTCTGCAAATTCTTCCAGCTTGTTGAAAACAAAACTCTCGGTTCCTCCACGCCAAAAGGGTCCGGGATAAAGAATCTTTCTGCTGGTTTTGACACCTTTGGTAGCCTTGTAAAGGTTTCCAGCTGTGTGCGAGGTTTCAGCCTCCGTGAGACTAGGATTGAATTGCCGAAGTAGAGTTGAGGCGAACTTCAAACCAGCTCCATAGATTCGACCATAGTTGAAGACCTTGGCATCATTACGGGTAATACCGAGGATGCCAGCTGTGCGAGAATGGAGATCCGTACCTGCCGCTTTGGTGCCCTCTAAAGTCATAAAACCGACAGCATTACCTCCATGTAGTTTGAATTGGGCATCTCCAACAAGACTAGCAATCCATAGCTCTTCAGAATCCACATCTGCACCAACGAAGCAATAACCAGGTGGGGCCTTTATCATTGACTTTAGTTCTGAACCAACGCGGTTCGCTTTCGCATTACTTGCTGTAAGCCATGTGTTCTCCACTGCTCTTCGAGTCACAGTACCCATGGGAATGATTTGCGGTAGAATGTAGCCTGTTTCCAACTCAGATTGCGATGTTGCAGGCCCCTTTGCTCCATCTTTTTCATATACAGTCATCTGAGACTGTATACGATTTCTTGCACTTATCCAATAAGAACAAGAAGCATTCATCTCAAGTGCTTCCTTTGCATATGAAAACTCGGAAGAAAGAATACCTTTGTCGAAGTATTGCACATAACTTTTCGCCATCGGATTTCCACATTTAGCCAATGGACCATCCTTGTGCGGGATTTTAAAGTAAGCAGCGGATCTATCGTCTCGCAGAGCTATATCAGCTTCTTCGAATGCATTGCACTCTTGCGTCTGTTTTTGTTTATAATTGTGAGCCTCTTCGATAGGAACTCTAAAAGTCCAACCGTATTTGTCGGACCATACTAGTGGATACCCATCCCAAGCCAAACGCAGAAGTAATGGCGCAATTCGAGTACGGACGGATAAATTGATAGGACCGGTGACTTTAGGGTAAAGATCTTTATACCATTGAGGCTTACCAGGCATCTTCTGTCTTTTAGCTGGTCTTGGTGGATCCTTTTTTGTTTTCCCCTTCACCATTTTGACCTCTTGAATAGTCCAATCCAATTGTTTTAGCCAAGGGTCATTCTTCCATGACTCAGGATCATCTTTGATCTCTAACGCTCTATCTTTCAAAGCAAGAAGCCGTTCTTGTACTGCATCAGACAACTTGTGATAAGTAGCTTCGGCATTGGCGACATAAGATTCCCATGATCTATCAATTGGAAGTATGACCGATGAGAGATGTCTCAGTGCTGCAAAACTGACTGGATGTGGGCATGTCTCGACAAAATTGGGGAACACTCTCTTGTAAACTCTATGGGTTATGTCAACATCCGCTGCACAATAATGAAGAAGTTCATCTAGTTTTGCCATGATTCCTTCCCGATCACGTTCACCAAATGCATCCCTTGCTGCTTTATCGATTGTGACATTGAGATGAAATTTTGCGACATCTCTTAATGAATTGACGGAGCTTCTGCCTATCCATAATTCTGCTTCTTCCTCTTCCGAAATAGACTTGTGTCCAAGTAAAGCTGCTAACTCTGCACTATCGGTCTCTCCAGCGATCTTTTCACGTAATTCTCGATCCTTTCGATGTTTCATCCAAGTCGGTCTTTGACGTGAACACATTCCATTTACAGCAACATGTAATGACATAGTATCCAAGAAAAAGTTCTTCGATTGATTGATGTCGTATTCTTCAGCTACCCTGGCTCGATCATAACCAATATTATGCCCCACGATAATTCGTGGTTTCTTTGCATCTCCGAGAGGTATCAATTGACGATCATTGTCGGTCTCCCCCAACAGCCATGGCGATAGCCAAGAATACCAATTTGTGGGACTAACAGCACACGCCATGACAGCAAATGAACTTTCTTTCCACATCACTTCCGTGTCAAAACATAACATTTCTTCATCTGGGGCAAGTACCGCTTCAGGCGTGCCGTCGTCTTTGTACCTCGTCCATCCACTTTGATGTGCCCATTTGAGCGGCCGAGGTGGAGTTTCCGTCTTAACAAATTGCTTCGCAAATGTCATGTATGGTTCGGAAGCATCTACACCTAGTTTATAGAAATGCTCATCGAGTGTATCACCTTGTAGCTCGGGAAGGTCGAAAGATATTGGAGGAGTGTTGTCCGTATTCTTTCCAAGTAGTTCATGCCTCTGCAGATGATCTTTTGAAAGATCTACGAGCTCCGGAGAGGGAGGGGCTTGAATGTCCTTAAATACTTGATCGTATATACGAGTACTTATTTGTTGAATGCCTATCTCATTGAATCGAGGTTGCTCTGGGTCTTCTACTTTTTGCTTAGCTGACGTTCGAATTAATTGCCGCAGGTTTGTTCTACATACTGGATTGATGTTCGACTTCGGCCAGCACTTGCGTCGGCTCTTGTACCGAATCATGCGTTGATCCATTTGATTCCGTGGCATATGTTCGCCATCGCGCAAAAGATATCGAGGTATCTCGAGATTTATGAGCTCGATATTTTGCAAGACGAGTGAAGGTTGCGCTTGGTCTACTGGCACGACCAATGCGGAACGAGAGAAGCATAATATGAAAAGAGATCTTATTAAATCATTATCTTGACCAATTTACATACTTGGCAGGTAGACAGGTACCAATATCAATATGTCAAGCAAACATGAGACGAAACGAATTTATTGATAAGTGACGTCCTTTGCAAGCCTCAAAAAGTGTAAGGGTTATTTTTTTCTCGGGCGGGGGTGGCCAATTGATGATAAGGATACCAGATAGACAAGGCTTTTATGTGTAGCCTCGTGTGGCTTCACGAGGCTGATTGGAATCAATTCTGGGTTACCAATCAAATCGATTGGTAATCACTCACATCATATCAAGTATAGTTACATAAAATTTCAATCAAATTTTGACAAAATGTTCGATATTACGATATTATGATATTATATACTAATGCTACCTAGGTGATTAAATGCCTGCAAACACAAGGCTGATATCCGATTCATCAGTTTCTCGCTGACTAATATATCGACAGAAGTTTCTTATCGATAACTCGATGACTTCTCGCTCCCGAGGATCTTTCTAATCTGACCTGTTATCCATATTGAACTGCTACTTCTGGGCAAAGATCGTTAGCTAGGTACTTATTACCCAAGGAAGGGGAAATATTGCCGTCATTGATAATAATCATAATAATGAGACGCTTCCAGACATGAGTGCCGTTTTGAGCAATCTTCCATGAGTTTTCCACCGGCAGCGATGTTGATCCTCAGTCTCTTTCTTTCTTTCTTTCTCTCCGTTCGTATGAAACTTTATACTCTCCTTCGGGGTTTGCCATTGCTACTCGTTTGATTTTGATAGTGTAACATTTATTAAACTAATAATCGGAATTCATCATAGACATACACACACACACACACACAAGTACAAACACTACGTTCTTATTGAGTAGATTGAATTTGGTCCTGCCCGGAGTATAAGGGAAAGATAAAAACAACAACGACAACGACAATAACATCGACAGCAAAGCAAAGCAAAGCAAAGCAAAGCAAAGCAAAGCAAAGCAAAGCAAAGCAACCCATTCATTTCCAACCTCACTCTCACTCTCACTCTCACTCTCGATCTCTCTCTTGCTCTCGCTGTCACTCATCAGCTTCACTCCAACTCCCTTGAAACTTTGTTACGGTTAGACGAAATATAGATTACCTAGTACTAGATACCTAAGGACGGTTCTCGATTCTCCTTTCTATCTTTTAAACTCAGACCTTTCTATACCCATCTACCTACCTAGGTACTTTCTGTACTGTCAATACTCCCTCATTCCATTTCGCATCGCACAAAAGTTGGTACATTGATTGGGTTTCATTGTTTATCTTATGTATGAATGAGACGAGAAACTGATATTCTACTGTACTTGAATTTACGGAGTGCTCATGCTATCATCATCTTTCAGTAATTTTACATCCATACCAAAATGACCTCAGGCTATCCATATTCACCCCATCACAACAACGGCAACAATAGAAATCCAAATTCGGCATCGACTCCCAACTCGAACTCAACCAACCGTTCATTATGGAGCAACGAACCTTTGGCTGGTAGAGGAGAGGACATTGATGAATCTCTAACTTTACCTCCAATTAGTCGACCAAATCCCGAGAATAGATTGGATCTACCCGCAATATCATCATCACCACTTTTTGTATCGGATTCCCATACAGGACAAACACAGCCAGAACAATCGTCTCACAGTCGCGATTCAAGGAGCAATGCATCGGGAATGAGACTTGGAGCCGTATCCGCCTCTACAACAACCGCAAATTCAAATTCGGAGCCCGGTGAAAACCGTACAAAACGCACTCAGAGCTCATCTCCCCCCGATCTTTTTTCTTTTGATCCTTTCGACGAAACCATCCGGTATCGATCACCACCTCCACAACCACCATCGAATCAAGTGGGTCGACAAAATTCACGACCATCTTCACAACCAGGAAGAGGGTCTTCCTTTTATGACGACGACGCGGAGGCTTTAGCAAATTTTGACTGGGACACCTTTCTTTCACAAGACAACGAAAACGACGAGGAGATTGACGATCCATTTGCATCGCCACCACAAATACCTAGTGGAGCTTCTGATAGTTACGGTGTGGTTGATCTTACTGAATCATCACCAGCCATGGTTCCCCCACCAGAAAGACGCAGAGCTCTTAGCGGCACCAGTTTACGCCCAGCTACTCTCACCAGACCGAAATCCTCAAAACGACGAAAGCCAGTTCTCTCAAAGTCTACATCTGCAAAACGTCGCAAGCTCTCACCATCAGAAACAAAACCCGAGGAAGATGTCGAAGTGGTTGATCTCGCGGAGAATTCAAATCTAGAAGAATATGAAGCTGCGAAGGCGAAGAGACAAGAAGACTTGATCAAACAACAAAACCAAGATGAAGCAACGAAACCGGTCAAATTGGTGGAGTTCCAGTGTATCATATGTATGGATAATCCGACGGATCTGACGGTAACACATTGTGGTATGTTTTCCACGACGTTCTCTTCTAGCATTTCTAATATCTTATAGGCCATCTATTTTGTTCCGAGTGTCTTCACTCAGCATTACATGCAGGGAATAACGGCAGGAAATCATGCCCCGTCTGTCGAACCTCAATTAGCACTACGAGCCTGCCCGGTCGAAAGCCACCTAAGAACGGTACATTCCCTATAGCGATCAAGTTAATGACGGCGAACAAAATGGGAAAGAAACCCAAGAGGAACTGATGGCTTCGCTGAAAGATGTCTGGGGGTATATTATATCAGGGGTTTGTTAAATGAAAAGCGACAATGGAGGGACTTCTATAAATGGATTCATGGCAAAGACCACGGCGTTATGGGCTGGACTGGGATGGACTGGACTGACGAGATACCACATCTGGAAATTGGGACTTCAACACTTTGTACATTGGCAAGCTGGGGCGGATCAAATAAATATCACTTCTATGATTTTTGTGTGTGCGCAATAGCATTCTACAAAGATAGATTGGGGGGTAGTTGAGAGATCTCACCATATTTATAACACAATGCAATACTTTCTGCATTAAAATACAAGATATCGAGGAAAATATTGCCCTTTTCAGGTTTTGTTTCCGAGATCGGTCAATATTCATGATGCAATAGTGCTATTTGGTGCTATCAATTGTGAAGTTAGTGAAAAAGAGCATCATACATAAAGAGCCCTCAATCTGCATACATTCTCATTTCATCATACAGTAGGTCATGTATTTTCTGTGTGATTAACAGTTAGGTGCTGTCTCTATCTGAACACTCACAATCTCGATCAGGACTTCTAACATGCACCTACCTACTTATTACAAGGAAGCTACATTCCTCTGTTTGAAATGACGATATCTAATACCTCGCATCATTGGATGCATCAAAACACTCTACAGTAACTAAGTCCTTGAATCCCATATAATTTTCGTTGACTATCATCACATGCTTCTTATCTTGACACTACGTCAATTCTATCTACTCTACATATCATTTGTACCTAAACTAGAGCAACAACATGATCAGAGGCATGCATCAAAATTGCTACCCCTCTCTTCGATCTTCAATATCATACATACTTGAAACACTCCATCAACTCAATTGCTTAGAACTAGTATACTTTTCATAGATTCTCCAGTCCTCGTGGGTACCCAGGCAAACTGGGGAAATCAACCAACAAGCAAATGACTGACGTGGGCAATGAGTACTCGTCCAAGTACGGAGTGTTACTCTATGTTTACTTGGGTTACTTCCTCATTCCCACATCTCACGAACTATACCGAGCCAACAGAAGAGCCAACACTTGTGGTGTTCATGTGATGTTCATGTCTTATCATGTATTATCATGTCATGTCAACGCTGGATTCGAGCATCGAGATACCGAGGTTCGGAAGCGTGATAGGAGTTTCGAAACACAGCTACTGATTAGCTTAGCTATGGTGACCATTTGTTGTGTTGGTCGTTCCTTAATCTCGCGAGTCACTTGTACCTGCTCTGGGAGGGGGTCTGGGGTACTTATTTGAAATCTCTCATTCATTGGCACTCGATGCTGTACGATGTAAGAGAGCGATGAATCCATGATGTACTCCGGAGTCCGTACACACTCTGTAGCATGTACAAGGGGCAAACAAACGGTACGGGGAGCAGTCGATCCGTATCGCAACCATTACGCAGGTTTGCAGCCAGCCTCTCTCACCGTTATTTGAGGAATCCGATGCCATCTCCATAATTAAGCCAAAGCCTAACCGAGCTAACCTAACGAGCCAGCAATAAGCTGCAGCGAAGATTCTTCAGATGCAGCTAATCAAGCTTCAACATACTTTGTACAGGATTGTACAGGACGGTACAGGACTAGTCCATAAAGTACAGCAAATTCATGCATTGGAGCGGGTTCTTTGCTCGGAACGATGGATAATTTTGTCCATTTACCGGATTTTCCCAATGATGACTCCTCGTTGACTCCTCATTGACTCTTCATTATTATTCACATCACCCAATTCTTACCACCAAAACGGTCAAATGTCAAAATCGAGTTATGTAGGTCAGAAAATTCTCCACTCTAGGCTTTTTAAACGGAGTAGACTCTCGTGTTTCATCGTGAGGCGAGAAGTTTCGCTGGCAAGTTTTTGATGGTTGATCCGCTTACTTTTTGCTTTGCAGTCCTTTTTTTGCTTGTGAATTTCATTTGCGGGATGGTGATGATAGGAACCACGTCAGGTGAAAATGGAAACATTTTCAAGCGTCCCCATTCTTATCGAATGAAATCCAAGCCTTGTTTTCCGATGTGAAAAGGAAAAGAGATGGAGTTGGATATTATTAAAAAAAATGGAATTGTTTAGAATTCTGCCGCATTTGTTTGGATACTCGATAAGCTCAATCATTGTGAAGTGGGAATATGAATATATTTCACCGCATATCTTTCCTTTTCTTGTGCTTGCAGATTGTTCAAGCTTCATATCTTCATATCTTCGATATTTTTCATATTCAAGTGTGAGAAGTGTGTTCATATATCGTCAGTATTATTACATATTGAGGAGCTGCACGCACTACGCCTTTATATTCTTAACTTTTTCCCTGCATTTCCTTACCGATACTCTTTCCCCCCCCCGCCCCCTCGGTTTTATTCTAGCTGCTGGACAGCTTGGTTAGTTGGTTCCTTTTGCCACTGTCACATTATCAACACCGCTTTTTGGTCTCGTACCTATTTTTAACTTGGCGGAAAGGCGGAAAGGTATTCATGTCCTGTTGTAATATATTCAACTGTCTGCCTTCTTCTTCCAAAGTTCTTCGAAAGTCGAGTGGTAAAGCGAAGCTTTCCAATTCTTCAGATATGGGGAACGACGATAATTTGGCTTATGGTACGATGGATACCGATCAACCTCAGACTGGTACTGCTACCAATGAACGAACTGAGAGACCAAAGAATGATAGGAGAAAAGTAAGTTTGGTACCCCTCGTTCACCAAATTTTTTTTACATCACCTCGTCGACTCAACTACCATTTTCGATGCAAATGTTAACAAATCACCAGACAACTTACACCTTCCCCATCAAAATTATGCCCTCACCAAAATCCGCAACTACAGCCAGCACCAATCTTACTCCGGAATTCACAGAATTCGATACCCAGGCTTACTACAATGAATCTCTGGATTACAACTACATTTCTTCCCGATTCGCCTTCTCCCTTGGTTTGAAACCAGATGCCGATCGTGAAGCCAAACCACGCTCAAAATCTGTATCCAAACCAAAAATCCCCTTCAAGCCAAAGCATCTAGCAAGATCTCAAACAGCACCAGTCGCTGAAATTAAGCCCCTTCAAAGATCAAGGACAGAACCGCTTTCACGAAGAATTTTCTCGCCTTTAGGTAGAGAAAGTATTATAGAAGATACACCTCCTTCTACATCTACAACTCCAGCTCTTCCACCTAGAATACCACCCAGAAGAACTTCCACAACTGCTACTCTCGTACCTTCAAATGCTCAAGCTCCTCCCATTTTCTCACTCTTGGAACCGACGCCAGAAGCAATCTCAAGATCGAGTTTAACCAGTCCGTTATTTCCAGATGCTAATCTAAATCCTTTCTCGCCAAGACCGGGAGCCACTTTTGGGGCGATGGTTGTTGACACGCCACCGAGAACACCACAAAGACCTCAAATATTGCATACACAAACGGAGGGCAATCCAAGTATTTTTGAAGCACTAAATTCACATCCTGTGACTCCATCCATTACAAATATCCCAACAATTCTGACCGAAGAACCGGAAGGGGTGTCGGAAGAGCCGGAAGATGCATCTTCTGAAACAGAGCGAGAACGAGATCTCGAGGGAATGGGAACCGGTACTGGAATTGGAATGGGTTTCGGAATCGGAGAAGAAATCCGGGGTCGAGAGATTTCAGATCCGGATTCCATGACGGGTGATCTAACACTTCATTGGAAATCTTCCCCTCTATCACGCTATACACAACGAACCGTTTTCTGGATCGTTCCAAATGCGAAATTCGATCTTGTGTTTGGACACGATGAAACGGATTTCAACATTCCCATTCAAAACCCACCAAAGTGGGGTTTGAGCAATTGGGGGATTGGACAGGGGAGAGGAAGAAGAGGAGAAAGAAATCAATTTCGAGAGGGGATTAGAAGGGGAGTCCTTAAACAAGTGGAGGAGCAAAGTACCTTTTCGTTACTGTACAGTGCAACGAATCTGATGGATGCGTGGTTAAGACCACCTTATCAGATTAATGGACGAGCACATTCGCAACATTCGGACTCGAAACCGTTGCTTTCAAATGGAGATGAGAATGGAGGCATTCATGAAATAGCATTTACATTACCGGAGTTGGAATATCAACTCAGGAACGAGTTGAAGTGTACTGATGAAAGGAGACGCAAACATGAGGGGAAGAGAGCAGTTAATATCTGGGATGTTAGGGCTGGAAAGGCCGTTTTGGCCGAGCAGGCTAAAGGCGCTAGTGGAGAGATCAGAAAATTGGTGGGAGCTGTAGTAAAGGATGTTCGGGAGAACGGGAAAAAGAAAGTCGCGGAAAGTGCGAATATGACTTTGGTTGGGAGAGCTCCTCGTGAAGAACCGGAAGTGGAAGCTGCACATGATAAATTTGTTCATGTGGAGACTCCTGTTTCCGTAACTCCTGCTCCCGTTGTCTCAAACGAAGATTTCACGATGGTCAGCAGACCACAAGCAGAGTCTTCCCCCGCTACCTCTCCCCTTCTCCCCGTTGTCGCTCCACTTCCTAACCCCCAAACTTTCGATCTCTCCCCCACCACCGCCAATGACACCGCGAATCAAAGTCCCAGCTCCTCTCTCCGTGTCGAATTCACTGATGCTCAATTGCAAGCACAGATTCAAGCGCAAATGGAACGAGAGATGGAACGTGAAATGGAGCAGGAAATGGAACGCGAAATGCAGGCGCAGATTGAAGCTGAGATGAAGGCTCAAGCACAAACTCAACCTCAATCTCCATCTCACGACGAGGTAAGAGATGAAGTGAGAGATCTGCCACCAGCACTCCCTCCCCGTCCTAAAAGATTCGAAAGATCTTCAACTTTTGATTTCGGATCTGGGGACGCAAAGGATGAGCAGCCTAGACGTCTTGCCCGATCCTCAACCTTTGATTCTCCAGCTTCTTTCACGGCTTTGAGAAAATCAGATCGTGATATCCATGCTTCCATCTCGGCCCTTCGTTCGGCTCATAATGACGATGAGGATGATGAGGAAAATGAAGCGATGTCTGAGATTATGGTTTCGCGCATCCCGGTTCGTGAGTTAGTTTTGGAAGAGGAAGTCGAGTTTAGCGTTCTCCCGGATCGAAGTTTCGGGACGCTGAAAGAGAGGTTTGAGATGATGTGGCAGGGAGAGGATGAGAGAGTGCATTCCGAGAGGAAGGTTTGGAGAGGGAAATTCAGAGGGGTTTTGGGAGAATTGTGTAGAGTTGTTGCGGAGAAGTGAGGTGTGAAGTGTGCGGAGATGATGAGAGAAGGAGAAATTGAAAACGAGAGCAGAGGGAGTTGGGAATCGAGATGTTGCTCGCTCAGGCTGTTTGTTATATGAACACGATTCTCTACTCGGTCTGGAATGTTGGGTGGGGTGAGTGGAGAGGGGATCCACTTTGACAGCGCAGCTCGCGAAGCTGTGAGGATGGATGGGGAATTATGATGCGGGGGGCTTGGCGGATTGGGATAGGATGGATGGTTTGGAGTTGCTTTCTTTTTTTTTTTTTTTTTGTTTCTTTGCTCGTGGATTTGTGGTTGGTTTATACTCCGTGGTAGGCTTTCACTCGCTTGGTTACCCTATTTGTTTGTTCTTTTGTTTGTTGCTTGCTTGCTTGCTTGCGTGGATGGGTTGGCTGACTTGGGTTTGTTTGCTGAGTTCTTATATATCTATATATCTATATCATGGGAATTGCGGGATGGGTTTTGAGGAATGGATGGGTGTTTTTTGGGTATTTTTGGGCTTTTTGGAATGGATTTGTGGATTGCTTTGATGGACGATGAATGATGGATGGATGAATAGCATGTTTTTTCTTTGTTTGATGGGTGGGAGGGATGGGATGAGATATGAGATTGAGATGATGAGATTGTTGTGATGAGATTGGGATATGATGGGATGAGATGAGATATAAGATTGATGAGTTGATATACCTATACCTATACCTATACCTATAGTACGTATGAGAAGTGATATACAAGATTCTATACACCCTTTACAATTACACCCTTACCAATATTTTTTACTTACAAGATTTGTGAATATATAAGAGTTGAGGCCCCGGCTTATCGTATATTTAAGCAAGATTAGGGTAGTCATCTAATTTCGCATATTTTATTTTAAAAATTCAATTATTATTCTAAAATTCATTATTTTCAATTCAAATTCAAAATGAATATTGAATATAATCATGAAAATAATAATTATAAATTTTATTAAAATTGATATATTTCTCAACATTCTAGAATTATTTAAATTAAGATTAATAGAAAATCCTAGGAATAAATTGTTTTAAATTTAGATATATTACAATCTATTATAAGAAATATAATTAAATCTAATTTGATTAAAAAAACTTAAAAAGAAAAAACTTATTAAAAATTTATAATGATTATTAAAGAGATTCATCGAATTATAAGAATAATTACTAAAGATTAAAACAAAAGGAGAATAATTTTTAAATAAATTAAAAATATATTTGATATTAAGACTTTAATATATACAATTCAAAAGGAATTATATTAATATAGATATAAAAGATATAATATATTCTAAATTCTTTATTTCAAGAATGTAAGTAAATAAAAGACTAGATTTTGTATATAGATATTACTAATAAAAAACTAATAATATTACTATTATTAGATTAGAAGGAGGGAATTGAAGGTTAATTATATAATCAAATAAAAGCACTTTCGAATTAGGAAAAGCAGATAGGATATAGATTATTAAACAAATTAATAAAAAAAGATATATTGATTATATTAAATCAATATATTGATTAGAAAAGATATTAGTAATAATATAAAATATAATTAACTAGAATTATAAATCTTTATTAATTTTCTTAGAAAAACTTGAGAATAATAAAGACATTATTTCCAAAATATATATATAATAAATTCTTAAACCTATTATATTTCTATTATTCGATAAACTAGGATCTGAATATATATTTATAGAAAACAATTCTAAGATATATTCTGGGTATATTTATAAAGTTCAATTGAAATATAATATATAAGGCTTTGATTAATTACTTTTCTCTCTGGATTTTAATTTAATTAAGAAAATATAATAATGAATAAAAAAGGAACTAAAAAAGCTATTATTTATATCTATTTTTATAAAGAAATTGAAATATAAATTATAAACTCTCTAAAATATAATAAATCCCTTAGATTTCAGGTTATATACTGAGAGATTGATTTGTAAGATTAAAGATGTAATTGAAATACAAGGATTAGTTATTATTTATTAATATAATACTTAAATTTTATAAAATTATATTGTATGATTGATTTATTATTAAATTTTAAAAAATTAGATCGAAAAATGGGTGGTGTGCGATAAGCCGGGGCCTCAACTCTTACCTCTGTAGTCTGTACTTTGTTTTCCGCACTCTCGCTCCCTCTCCTCAAAAAAAGTTCTTAAAAATAGAAATCTTGAATGCAATTAATGCCTGTATGATATTTATATCTCCAATACGAAATACTTTATGCTATCTGTCGTATTTTGAGTAGTGAAGTAGTAGAGTAGTAGAGTTGATTAGGTATTTGGTTCCAATATCTATGAATTACCTAGGCAATTAAATACTATGATATGAATCGATTACAGAGCGGGATTTGGCGCTAAAGTGGCTTATATAATCACGACGAACTCCAATTGCCAGGTAGTATTGTGGAAAGACAACATATCGAAACAAATCCAATGCATCTGAAGAGCATTGTCCAACTTGTGAAGGATTTGAGAAAATAAACCACTTTTTTCCAGAGATAATCATTCTTCACATTCACATGTTAATCAAGAGCCGTTTCTTACTCCCCAGACATCGTTTTGAGGTTCATTGATCCAAGCCACGTCTCAGAAGAAAAGCCTCAATTCTAAATCTAGCCCATCGAGTCCATGTACGGTATTAGAGTTGCTTAGGGCCCTTTTCTTAGTGTCCTTTAGATCTTGAAACAACGGCGTGTGTTAATTCGAACGGCAGACAGGTGGGAAATGATGGGAATTTCAACTTTTATCAGATTGAAGCTTTTCTTGGCAATAATACTACACCGTGGCGGGATGTTATATAGATGATTGTTGGACGAACATTCAAGAGGCATGTAGGATCGTAACAATATCGGGAAAGTGTTCACCATCCATGGAGCTCTTACTCTACATACAAGTGTATGGGGCCATTCGTAACCTCAACGGGAGATGAACATCCGCATTACTCAACCGCGTATATCTTACAAAGTCTGATGAGGAGCCGAGCATCATTTCCTATTTCTCATACAAGACCCTTTGCATTCGTCAACTCTAATGCCTTGAACGTACAATGGACCAGAATCAGGGTAAAACAAAACATATCAAACTCGCACGGATGATCTGATGAAGCTCCCGGATCTAGTGATCTGTGCGTTATTTGCCGTGCATGCTTCTCTTAAATAAGCTTTTCTATCCGTTATCGCCTATGGGGAATATCATATAAGTACTGTCTCTTGGAATGCTGTACTTTGTTGTGGGTTGAAGTCGAATATTTCAATTGTGGTATCCTAGGGTTTGTCATTCATCGAGTAATTATCATGTCCTCACACGAAAGGTGGGTGAACTCCCTAGTGTCTTTGATGAAGAACAAGAAATCACGAGGTTTATCTTCTTTAGCTAATCAGAGAATGAAACAGGCATCTTTCATCGAGTTCCGTCTCTAGTCAAACCCCATTGAAGAAGACTCATAGTCATGGATCGATATATCAAGGAAGCGAAGAATCCCAACCAAAGTTAAAGCTACTTGAAAATCCTCTGGCTCATAATCGAAGAAAATATTCGGCAACCCCTCCAATTCCGAGTCCTATACATGAGATCTCTGGTCCTATCAATATTGCTCGAAAGCAATCATACGATGAATCGATCGAGAACCAATATGATGATAGGAAAGTCGATCCATTTTCAAAAGATGATGCAGAAGAAGAAATGTTCGAAACCCCTGAGTTTCGAAGATATGAAGAGACTACGAACATGGAACTTTTCTATGATCTCTTTTTCGTCGCCAATTTGACGACGTTTAACGATGTACATGATGTCAATGAGGTTGATGCACTCAAGTCATATGCAGGATTTTTTTGTATCCTTTGGTTCTTATGGTTACAAGTCAGTCTTTTTGATGTTAGGTTTGTTACGGATAGTGTATTGGAGAGAATAGGAAAGGCATGTCAATTTGGTGTAATGATTGGATTGGCCATTGTCGGACCGGATTTCAATTCATCAGATCAAAAGCCTGGTGCTTTTCGTTCATTGGCAATTATCTTGATGTTTTCGCGACTTGTTTTGAGCTTTCAATATGCTATTATACTGGTATGTTTCATGTGTTCTTCGGGAGAAATCTTTCATTACTAACGAGTATTCAGTATCACGTTTGGTATTATAAAAATTCAAAATTACCACTTTTTCTTGTTGTTGTGGCCAATGTCATAGCTGCACTAATATATTTTGGCACTTTTTTGTATGTTTTTCGATATACTAATTGGCATTAAGCTAATGATTTTCAAGTGGGTTCTCGGAAGACACATCTAAGACTGGCAAGGTGTTCATTGTTTGGTATGTCACAGCTATCTTAGAGACCGCCGTCAACATTGCTATATCGTCGAAGTGGAAAGTCTTGAGCTTTAGAGGATCTCATCTTGTCCAAAGAATGACTTTACTCACTTTGATTATTTGTAAGTAAATGATCTTGAGATTTAGAGGAGTCATTACTAATTCCGTTGCAGTGGGTGAAGGTATAATTGGAGTTAGCAAGAGTATTGCAGATGTAGGTCTCTTGAACTTCTTGAGTCTTGGCCATTCAATATTGACTATTAATAGATTGCAGAAAAAGAGGAGAAATGGACTGCACCTCTCATTCTCACTATTGTATCGGCTGTTGGAATAATTGTATGTATTAATATCCCCCTTATTTTGACGCCTATACTAACAATACCATTTAAGTACATCCTCTACATGCTTTATTTTGACTGGCTAAACCGATCTCAATTCGGTTCCATACGTCAACAAATATGGGCATTTCTCCACTTCCCATTCCATCTGGCACTAGTGTTTCTTGTTGAAGGTGCTGCCCAATTTATAAGATGGCGAAAAGTAGTTGAGGTTATCAAGTAAGCTTCAGAACCAGCCAAGTATTTCCTCCAGACTCTCCAAGATATTAACACTCCAATAGTCAAGTCAGCAAACAATACGTGGATCAGTTCAAAAAAATCCCCGCCATCGATAGTCTTGACCTCAAGACACGCTTGGCAAACGTCACTCTAATAATCTTCCAGAAATTCCCCCCAGAATTCACACAAACTTTTACAGATACCCAAAGGGCTTTATTCAATATTGGCAATACGACTCTTGGGTCCACAGAACAATTGGGCAATATTACTACACTATTTTCCACAGTTCAGGATTCTCTATTCGATAATTTCGGAATCGACCCCCCGGAAAGTGATAATGCGGTCACAGATCCTAATGAAGAATGGAATGAGAATATTGGAGTTCTCGCTCTTGTGGTACGAAATGATCATCTTTCCCCCTATACTTCTTTTCCCCTTTCACTCTCCCCCCACCATACCCTCGAACCTCACACTAACCCCCACACCACAAATAGTTCACATACTTCTTCCTCGCCTCCGGCCTCACCCTTATTCTCATGAATATCCTCCACGCTCTCAGTCGACCCCACATGACGCGTGCAGATAAACTTCGCAGCGCGGTCAATTCCATTCTGTCCATTACATTACTCGGACTAGCCGGCATATCGAATACCGATGCGGGATTTGCATTTGCGCAGAGTGCGGGGGTTTTGCCGAGTGTGGCGGGGGTGTATTTTTTCGGTATGTACTTTTTTGATTGTTTGTTAGGAGAGAGTGAGGGGGATGTTTGGATGATCTCGGAGATTTGATGGGATGTTGAGAAGAATGGATTGTGCTAACTTTTGGTTGTGCTTGTTATAGTTATGCTACTAGGATATACGAAATTGCTTTGGTGATATAAATATCAAGAATTGGTGGATTAGGAAATCAGAGGAGGGAAAAAGCAAAAATATGAATATGAATACAGAACCGTGTATAATTTCTTGGTATGTTACTTTGGATTTAAGTTGACATCATTGCCTTTGATTTCAATTATTTAAATAACTTTGGTGAAGAATCTAAATTTTAATTCTACTAGTTATATTGCTAGGACTTTCAAAATTGCTCAAGCAAAGTAAATCCATGGATATATAAAGAAATATTCCGAGAATATAGGGCTTATAGTAATAGTTGATAAATCGATGAGATGAGATGGAATAGAAATAAAGAAACTAAGATATAGATATAAATTATAAGAAAAAAAATAGTTTATAGCACTTCATATATAATTTTTAATTAAAAATAATTTTCGAGTTCTATATTTACTATTTAATCATTTCAATTCTTTTAATCATTGTAATTATTTTAATTTTCTAATTTTTTTAAGTTTTTTTTAATTAATTTCTTTTCTTATTTTCTATGCTTTTCATATAAATCTGATAGTTTATTATTAATTTCTATTTAGTTTTTTATTAATGATTACTTTTAATGTGACATTGTGATAAATGTTCTTTTTCTTTCAATTATATTCCTTTTATAATAAATTATGTCAAGAGATGTGAGATTTGCTAACGAATTTAAGATTCGGATTAAAAAATCTGTATGAAGTGCTACATTGACCACAAGCGAAGCTATTCAACAATTCAATCCTTCCCTTTCAATTTGAAGAATCAGAAGTTTAAATCATAATACACCTCAAGGCTATTCAACAATTTGTTTCAATATCATTTGCTTTGATGGATTTATTTGTACTCAAGCTTATGGAAACATCGAGCTAAAGTGATAGTTTACCCAAAAATGATACGTCCAGCCAGAATTCGAGAATCTGATACTAAACTTCCATAAATACTCAATCCTTCTCATATTTAATTTGTCCGTTTAATGGTATAGTTATGTAGCCTATTCGAAAGACTTTTGGATACATGCTATGGAGCAGGACCGGAGAATAGGTTGTGAAATCTTAGCTTATTTACCTTATTCGTTGCCCTTCTCATTGTACTGCTATGGCATCAACTCCAAAGAAGTGTGGTCATAAATGAAGATCTTGGCGAGAGCGGATAACTGCTGTCATTGCTAAAACTACTTGGATAGGCTACATATAAAGATTACTCGCCCAAATACTCCGAAAGCTCGACCTGATGATAAACAAACGCAATCAAGTGAAAAACAAAAAAGTGAATTTAAGAGGATTGAATCAAGAGTTTCAAAGCGGTGTGGCTTTAATGTTCACCCGTGTTCTGCATGCCAAACTGCCTCTAAGGTTAAGCCTCACATCCTCCTCCCTCTTGTACCAGCCATTATTTTGAGGATCTGCCTTAGATCCAGTAACTGGATCTTTGTACCAACGCTGAGCAGTGGTGGAATATTCTGTTGAAGGAATCGTTCCGAGAACCACTAGCAAGGTAGCAATGTAGCTACTTTTGGGCGGTGCATTGACGGTCTGCGAAACCGAGAGGTCGACTGTCTTCGTTTCGCTCGAAGACTCGGTGTCGGTTCGTTCGTAGGAATAATTGACTTCCACGGACCATTGAGATGTAGCTGAACCTATTCCTTCCAATCCTGCAGAGAGTGTCTGAGTCCAGCTTGTTGTTACACCAGTGACATGTTTATCGGAGGTTTCGACAGTGACGGTCTGAGAGGTGGAATTTTCAAGCGTTACAGTGATGGGTTGTGACTGGGAGGAATCATTTATTCGTCGATATGAGAGGTAAGACCTCCCTCGTCTGATGAGCTGGAAGCAGTGATGTCAAAAGGTTGAATAATCTCTTTTACAGGATTGATACCCTGCCATTTGAAAGAGCTTACTACGTCGTTGAGACGAACGTCCGAAAGCCTGGCTATCTCTTTCGTGTTACCCCAGCCCTTTATATTGTTATATGAAATTCCAGTGCCTTCGGCTGCATCGTACAATATTGCCGTCTGTCGATCTTTCAGCGTTCTCCAACGTACTGAACTGACGGTGTCTTGCAATTGCCATTTCACAATTGAGTGAACAGTATTGGCAGGCCACTCGCTGAGAAATAAGGTCGAACGTCTACCCTTGAAATCGAAAGCATCAAATAACTCAATGGCTCCCATGTTGAGATCAACTGTTCTCCAGAAAAACATTGAAATCTGGTCGTTCAAGCCGACCTGAATAAGATCAGCTGCTTCGGTCTTTCCAGTTCCAACCAGATCAACGCATGTAAGAGCATCGCCTTGATCCGCGATCGGGCCGCTCGTTTTGATGGCAGCAAGCAAAGTAATCACAGTGCCGACCGGCATATTATACAATATCCAAGAGGTTTTATCATATTGAGAAGCTGGAATTATATGACGCTGATTGGGAACATAGTCATCGAGGACAAGGTCAGTCCGCACAGAGTTCCATTCTCCCTAGAACAATGCTACGGTACCGCTGGCAACCTGGCAAGGGATAGGAGCGGAGGGTCGTGGTGGTGGGGTGAGAAGACTCACTAACTCGTCAAGAGTAGTAGTAGCTGTTTCTATCATATTGAAATATTTGGTAATGTTTGATCAGTGTGTATGAAGTCAGTATGCGAGTTGTTGATGATAATCGAGAAATCGAGGACAGATGTGCCTTTAATATAGTTTGACAATACCAGAGCTCTCGGTGTCCCACAACATCGTGTGTTTCTCAGCTGCCTTTAAAATAGTGGCATTCAGCAGCAAAACTTTGAAGCTCGCTATACATTCTCACAAGACCAATCTATGTCACTTTTTTGGACAATCGTATCCTTTGCAGTCGCCTTTGCACATGCAATCGGCGTAAAATTAAGCATTAAGCGTCTCGACCCCGCTCAATGATTCAAAATTACCAATGATCGGTCCTTATACATTAAGCTTCGAGCCAACAAAGCAATACACTAAGCAGTAGATTATATTTTAGGAGATATTTGAGACCAGATTGAGTTATAATCGAGTTACAACCTCAAACTTTCGTTCAGTTTTGTACATTCTCGACGGGCCAGGTCTAAGCCGGAGCAAGAACAGCAATGCAGTACATGAGTTACAGCTCATCAATGCAGGTCGCTTTTTAGAGTGCGGTTAAATATGGAACATGAGTCAAGCCACGGCTGGTATTTGTCCAGCCCCCTTTCAGTCAAAATTACATGACGATAAGCGAATGCATGCATTATTTGGTTCGTTGCTTTTGGAAAAGATTTACATCACCAATGCATCACGACTGCGGGGTGATTCTCTTCGCATAAAGCCATTGTTTGCACAAATTGCGGGGTTTGGTAAAGATAACCCAGCATCATCAACCACATTCCCTCAAACACTAAGGTCAAATACCACTATCGACAGACTCTTTAGCCAGGAGTATTTCACACTCCTTAATAACATCAAACGAAAACACATAATCATTGATATCATCCGTGGTATTGAGTGTTTTTCCATCCGGAAGATACTTAGCAGCCTCATCACGAGTAGCCTGTGATGCAGGTGGACTATGATTCGAAAGGATCTGCAGAGACGAGCCTCTGTTCTTTCTTACCTTTTCATATAGTTGTAGTCGCTTCTCCAGTGTTTCTTTGTCGTCGGGATTTATTTCATTCAATAATACTCCGAGTGCTCCCGCATCTTCAATGGCTTGGCACCCCCCTTGTGCTTGGACTAAGGTTGAATGTTAGGAAACGTAGGACAGAAGGGGGTTGCACAGATTTATAAAACTTACACGGAAGCATAGGATGAGCAGCATCACCTATCAAAACGAGTCTGTCCTTGTGCCATGTCGGGATTGGTTCTCGAGCAATCAATTTCCAAAATTTCACATCTTGTGCCTTCCTTTATTTTATGTGAGAGACTACTCAATGCCAATATAGCCATTAGAAATCGGACTTACCCAATCACAGCTTGCAAAGCGAGACTAAACTCAGGCTTTGCATATTTCATCGGAACACTTGGTTCTACAGACGCTCTGAAACCTAATATCAACTTTTAGCGTCATACAAAAAGACTGATGGGGGATTTATACTTTCTGTAGCATGGGAACTGTCAAATGCCTTTGACAAGTACAAGAAATTCTGCACTTCGTTACTGATTCGCGATTTAGTCAGTCCATAAATATCATAGAAAACGCCCATAAGACACTTACTCTCTACAAGGATACCATACGAAGCCACCCACACCGGAAGCTGGTGCGAAGAATCTCTGAACAGAATCGTCGACCAGATCGGCAGTCTCAGGATCTGATAACAGATCTTCTGTGGGCACTAGCCATCGCATACAAGACCATCCAGTATCGCCTGATTGAACTTTATTCGGGCCAAGAACGTGGTCTACAGCTGTTGAGTGCACCCCATCTGCTGCGACAATGAGATCTGCTTCTAAGATTTTCCCATCTTCAAGAGTAACTTTCCCATTCACAGCATCCTATAACACAAACCATTATCAAAATCTGAGACCAAAGCAAATCACGTTATCGCTAATACTCACATAACCAATTATCTTCGCCCTAACCATCAAATCAACCGGAATCCCCTCTCCATCTTTCCTCGTCGCTATTTCTCTCAACTGACTATGTAAATCAACCCGATGAGCCGCATACAGCGGGATCCCATATTTCTCCTCGGTATTCGCATAATAACCATCAACCACAACTTTCATGGCCATACCATCCCAAATATTTGCTTTGCTGAGAGGTACTAGTTTCGATTTCGCGGGCGAGAAACCCCACGATTTAAGTACGAGTGACGCATTTGGTGCTACTGTTATAGCGGCGCCTGTTTCGTGAAGAAGGGAAGATTGCTCAAGTATCTTGGGCCATGTTAGTATTTCTATATTGTGGGTATCAGATAGTATATTATTTGGCCGATGAGAGGAATGCAGCGAGCAGAAAACGAACAGTAACTTTATGTCCACCTCTCCGAAGAGCAATCCCAGCACCTAGACCAGCGATTCCCGCGCCTACAATTATGATTTCCATAATTTTAGTCAATCGTCGATTTTTTTCTAATGTGGTGATGATACCAGGGAGCTCACGAGATGTCGTCCTTTATGTATCATCAAATTGACTCGCGCTTACACGTTTCATGTATGCAGCACGGCTGATGAGCTGAAAGTCATTGTATGAAAATCCGTGCGAGATCACCAGCAGGTGTAAGAGTTGATAGGACACACTACAAGAATGAACTTAAAAACATCTCTCGATATATTGATTGATATGTCTTAGGAATTGTTTCAATTTTTCATTGGACATGAAATAATCAAAATATCAAATCTGATATCAAACCATCGAAGAATGAATTTAATAGAAAATTCGAAAGTTGAGAAGTGTCCAGTCAGACCAATGGAAGATGGCTTGGTTAATTTCGTAATCGGCGAAAGTAACTCGGAATACTCTGATAGCGACAGATGAGAATGAGTTGTCAATGAATCCCAACGATTCTATTCCACTTAGAGGTTAGTAGAAATATGTACTGAAGACTGTCAGTGGTAAAAGCTACGTATCAGAAAAAGAAAATCTTCGGACTTGGATCGATTGATCGGGAGTCCGAGTGGTGATCTAAATGGATTCATTATTGACACCCGCATGCAGCTGAAGTGAACAATGCATAGATCAGCAAGACTAGCCAATCACATCTGTAGTTTTCAAATCGAATTCAATTTTCGCACCGATCAGCAGTAGGTATTGTTTCTTCGAAGTGCTGAGTGCTCCACTACCCCAGAGTTGTTGTAAAGATTGTTTCAGATGTCTGTACCGGTATCTTACATGCAGGTCACAACTTGTAGTTTGAAAGGTATGCCTTGCGTAAGATGACAGAAGAATTCACGTAACAATAGCAAATAGACAGGGAGAACAAGGACTCTATAATTAGTGCAACAAAATATTACTCCTTACTATCATTATAACCAAGGTCGATATGTAGAGAATTTTTGCTAGTTTGTAACCATGTGATATGGTTCGATATTTATTATTTATTAATCCATCATAAGAGGTCGTAGCTCCATATCATATACATCCATTACGATCCCATCAGCCTTAAAAGAACGCAGACCACCCGATATACATAGCCGTCAATCTTTTCGGATCTGTGGCTTGTTTAATCAACTCATCAACATAGCCCTCCACGCTAAGCGGCACACTTTCCCCAGGTAATAGACCCTTCACCTTTCTCTGAATGACATCTAAAACCTTTTGCGCACTCAGCATTCCTTCATTTGCCATCTCTCTCTTCTTCTTATCGACTTTCTTCATGAGATCCAGGGTCGGATCATAAATAAAAGCTTCAAGAATTGTCATAAGAGTTTCTTCGTGCTGGCGTAGTAGCTTTATTGTAAGTTCCGAGGATTTGCGGAAGGGACCTTCGTATCCATACATACCCATTGCGTCGACCATGTTATGGGTTAAGCGGAAAGGAACCTGCTCAGGCTTTGCAAAAGTTTTACCCTTTTCAAAGAGACAATTGAAATCTACGTGAAAAGTTCCTCCGTTTCCTTCCTCGAAAAGTATGTTTTCCGTATGACGATCTCCTAGACCTAGAATTGTGCCAACCATAGACATAACAGCACATGACCGAGTATAGCGAAGTCTAGCAGCAAACCAGGCTGAGGGCTCGGGAAATTGCTTGACAAACCATTTGTGAAATACAGGTTTAAACTCGCCAAGAACCTTTTCCGTGAAGAATGGGAGTTGCTTCTCGCTTTTCATTGCTTCCTCGCAATACATACCAAGTTCTGTGTAATTTATTCGTTTCCCTTGTGCTCCATATAGATCCGTAAGTATTTTGCGAAGTGTTTGAAGTCCTTCTATCCATTCTATGATCCCGCATTCCTCATTCAAAGGTGTCACAGCATATGTCTTGACATACAATTGGCGTCTACTTGACTCCGCGTCACGCTTTAGAGATCTATTCATCATGCCATTGAATTCTTGAAGACGTTGATCCATACGAAGGTCATCTTTCGGTTTGAAGAGAAGACCGTAGTGTTGTCCATTCGAGGCCAGAGCTCTCACGCGCTTGGGCTTCGCCAAAGAATTTAACACCAGCACGTCATCTTCAAAAGAGTTGATAGTGATGACATCGCGGGAGAAAGCTTTGTGTGTCGCCACCTTGTCTGTGAGAGTCGGCAGGCTCGCTGTCAAAGCGGCTTCCACTGGGCATGCAAGGGCACTTGGCAAGACCTTGTGTTTGAATTGTAGATCTCTCGATAAACTCGATCTGAATACCCTAGATTCTTTGAAATCTCCAGCTTCGCAAAGCCTTAAAATTTCAGCAGTAAGAGCTTGTCCGTTTCTGATTAGAGCTCTTATGTCTATGGAATTATGATCTGCCTTCACAGACATGCTTGGCAATTTTGCGAGTAACTCCATTCCTTTAGTTCGACGATCCAGTTGCGTTGAAGTACTTAAAGCCAATACACTCCAAAGCGATTGCTGCGGATGAGCCGATACAACTTTTAGCATAATCAACTGAAGGAAGTAATTCACCTCCTTGTGTGGATGGGTAATTCTTGATACAATCTGTGGCAAAGCTGTGTAGAATATGTAGGCTGGCATTTTGGAGATGTATTTTTTGAATCGAATGTGAAGATCATCTAATGTCTTCTTTCGCAATTGAGTCATTTTGCTGACATACTCTTGAGAATGGCGCTTTGGATCAATCTTTTGACTGAGCTGCGTTCCAAGATCCAACCAGAGTGTTAATATACGAGGGAGGGTTTGGTGGACATACTTGGTACCATGAGCTAATGAGCGTAGGTAGTTTGAAATTACCAGCGAGGCGGTCTCTCCAGAAAGATAACTGTCATCTTGTCTTTCAAATGGTAAGTTACTGGATGATTCTAATAACTTGTTATAGTGACGTCCCAGATAATAATGACCCTTCTCCCATGCATTATGGGTCTTTGCAGCTAGTTGGTATTGGGCCCGAAGAGCGGATGAGTTTGTTTGACCAGCAAGGTCAAGCCACTTTGCAAGTAGAAGATGAGCTCTTGCTTCCAAGAGATTCTGCTGCTGCTTCCGATGTGTATTGTCAGCACTTCCTAGAGATGCCTTGTTTATCTCATTGTGAGATATGAAAGCATTACTGTCAATTGCACCCTGAAGACTTTGAATCGCTTTTCGATGCTGTTCTTCTTTCCATAGAAGTCGTGCATGTTCTATCTTGGCGGAGTCATCACCTAGCTGCGAGGCATGGAGTACAGCATTGAAAGATTGATGAATTGCATTTCCTTTTCTAGCGAGGCGCGCACTAGTTAACCAGGCGGAAGCGATATCTCCTTTCGTGAATTCAAGACTGTGTGAAAGTCAGATGCGTTGATGCAATGATAAGAAAGTTGACCGGGATTGATATGTAACTTACCTAGATAATTGCATGGCGGCTCTCCTTATGCCCAATAAATATTGCTTGTCATTTAAATAACCGCCAATTGTTTCAAGACGACGGTCGAGTGATTCAAGGAGCTCTTGCTTTGGTATCGGTTCAGTGTGATCGACACCAGCAATCATTTCTAATTCGGTGAGCACATGGAGCTTTAGCATGGGATCGTGGCAAGATCCTATCGATGATGTAGTAGCTCTCGATAAGGAGCAAGTAATCTGCTCTCTGAGATCCTCAATGGATGAAACAAATCTTGTCGTTTCTTTCTCGTGTAAAGCCAGCAATGCTTTGCCAATGCTGACGTTAAAGTCTTCTTCTAAATCCCGACCAGCAACTGACGTATATTTTTGCAACGCAGCCCACCTCCCTGTTGCCCACGAAGCCTCTGTGGCAAAGGGTAATAGCTTTCCTACTGTTTTGGTGGCAGTATGCATACCTTCGACATAATTAAGTAGAACATCTATGACTAATTAGCAGTAGTCAACAGAAGCGAGCTTTATTTAGATTACCATGTTGCCCAGACTCCTTCAAGCATGTAAGAAGATTGAGCTGAACGTCAACATCTTCAGGGTCTTCTGCAAGCTTAATCTCATACCACCCTTGGGCAGCTGTCCAGCGTCCTGCTTTGCGATGGCCGAGAACTATTTGGTCAATATCCAACACATGTAGATGTGCCGATATTCCTTCAATACCATCGGGCTCATCTATCTGGGTGTATATCTCCTGCAGTCGCTCTAGATCTGAAATTTCTCTCGAAGCATCCTGCTTCTTCGTTTCACGAACATGTCGGATATGCTGCTCCCAATTGAACAAAGCTCTAGAGTATGACTTACATTGTATAGCCCGAGCTGAAACAATTTCAGCAGGAATACTTTCGATAAGCTTGGTCACTTTTTCGATTTGTTCCTGACCACCGGGAATGCCAGCCCGTATTTCTCGATGCACTATCATCTGCTTCGCTTGTATCCAGCGGGAAAGGTAATCGAGGACTCGGAAAACGGCCTGTGGCCATTACGTTAATAATAGAAGCTGTATTGAGAGAATGACGTTACTTACTTCGCTGCATAGCCTTAATTCCTCTTGCTTAACATTTGATGTCAAAGTCGGCTGGTAATCTAATATTCCAAGCAATTCTGCACCAATGTTTCTTCTCTCTTCGTCTTCCCCTTCTATAACTATATGTAAAATTAAGTATGGCAAGAGAAAATTAGCAACAGAGAGGTCTTTGATTCGAATAGCTCGACACAAAGGAGGGAAGATCAATTCTGCGTTGGGGTTCTTCGGTTTCTGTAAAAGATCAAGAACGAATGTTTTCAGCCAATTATTGTACTTATTGATCCTATTAGGTTGAGAACTGTCGGGTCGAAATATGGGATATGTGGTAGTTGGAACTTCCATTTTTTTTATCGAGAACATAGAGCTGAGAAAAGGTGTAAGGGTTGCCTGGACACTTTCTGGAAGAGACTCCCACTTTTTGCAAAGGGGATTGTTCGGATCCTTATGGGCACCCCTCAAAGTTGGTGCGCAGACATCTGCGAACCCACCCTTCGATAATAATTCCTGCATAACGAAAGATAAAAATCCCTGTAACGTTGTATCGGTCGCAGATAGAAATGCCTTGATGATGACCTCTTCTAAGAGGAATAAAAGAAAATCTGTAGTTTCCTCGGGGTCATGAAAATTCATGACAACCACCATCTCTCGTTGATCCCTGACGGCTTCAACCCTGTTGGGATCAAGACAGCCTATCAAACCGATACATTCTCCCGAAAGCTTAGCAATATCATTATGAGATTCGTTGAACTTAACACATGCATCCAGGATTGAACGCACAAGCTTGCCAATTACAACGTCAGGCTGTTCACTCACAGCTGACGCCTGAAGGTAGGACTGCTGCTTTTGAAGTAAGACTTTTAATTCTGATAAAGCCTGCGCGACAACCCCAGCTGTTTCATGTTGAATCCGGCGGCTAAATATCTGAAATGCATTACTGACATCTGTCGGTCTCCTCATGGCGTTAAGTTTGTGCTCTACATCACGAAGTTGCGGGAGGCTGGAGAGGGATGGTAACTCGACTATTCTATTTCGAATAAGACGGGCGCGCTCTTTTAAGAGGTATTGCAAGATTTCCTCTGCTGCTTTTTTGGTATAGTCGTCAAAAGAATCCCAGTACTGTATTATAGTGACAAAAGTGCTTTCAAGCATCCATTCCACATCATCATCACCAAGATATCGGAGCATAGCTGACCAGGCTGAAAAAGCTGAGGCTTGGAGGTCTTTCTGGGCCAGGGCGGATTGTAGACAGGCGCATATCTAGATATGGTTAGCTAATATATAAAAGATCGTTGGGTGGAATATCAATACTTGTGGTCGAGCAGCTCCAGTGTAGGTCTTGCCAATTGTCACCATTTCTTCAATGGCTTTCACGTTTCGTTTCTTCTCGAAGCTGGACTGTTCATCCCTAGTATCATTCACGACTTCTGATATGCGAGTGACGAGGCCAAGGTTGTGCTGCTCTAAAAATGCAGCCATCGGGTTGTTTTTCTTTCGATTTTGATCTGGGCTTTGAACATTCTCGACAAGAAATTGCAAAGCGAGTCGGATCTAAAAGAGAGTTATTTCTCAGTTCATGTAGGAGAAGATTATTTACACACCCTTGATTTTCTACTGTTGTCCGCATACCCAGCAACCTTGAGAAGGTGAAGGAAAGTGCTCGAAGGATCCATCTTTAAAAGAATCGCAAAGTCAAGTCCTCGTTTCTCGAAGTCTGAAGAGACAAATTTCAGTACAGACATTGTGTGGCTTTCAATATTTTGAACATCCTGCACCAGCAACAAAGCCATAATATGAACAATATTGGCAGTGTCCGTACATACTCGCCAAGATTCCTCGTTCCGAGCTGAAGCAATCTTTTTGATGGTCTTTCCATCGCGCCATAGGACTAGCCATGGCAGAGTGTATGCTTGTGTGAGGATAAGAAACTCGGAGACTGTGATCTCTAACAAATCGGCCATTAACTGAGACGTTTGTGGTCGGCTAAGCAGTTCCTTCACAGCAGCAATGGCAATACTATCCCAGAAGGGACTAAATAACCGCTCGACGGGCTTAGCAACAGTTCCGTTTCGATTCGCCAATTTTAATATCTGATTAAAGGTCAGTAAAATTCTTGCCAACGAAGCAAGTCAGCTTACTTCATTGTAGGCCGCATTCGACACAATTGGATTCGAATGTCCTAAATATTCAACAAGCTTCAGAAGAACAATATTCAGCTCGCCATCAACTAAGACCCTGAAATTGTGAGCGTGAGAATATTACAGATAAGTGAGTTGAACAAACCTTGCAAGTTGACCCCAAGCAAGAACACATGTCTCTTGCCAATGAAGAGCTGGCTTCTCGCATAGATCACGTAATATAATGAGTACATTTGTTCTATTCTTTAGGATAAGATCCTTTGGGGCCTTCTCTCCTTGAAGGAATTCTGGTAATGTGCGACTAGATTCATCAGCAGAAGTCTAATGCGCTCCACTAGTAGACAATAACTTACCCTGCAGCGATTCTCAATTCACGCATGGAACTTTGAAGAGATTTCAAGCACCACTGTCCCACTGCAGAAGTTTCCAAGTCGAGAAATTCCTCATCTCGAAAATGTATGGCAAAGGCCTTGACGGCTATCATTGCAAGGACCCTTGATCGCCTTGATTCATGGAAGGCAGGAGACTTGATCAGCGTAGTAAGAATCAAAATTGCTTCGCCACCGGTTTTTTGGCATGAATCTTCGTCTAATGCTGTGACTTTGGGGGGAAGCTTTTGACAAACAAAACATTGAGACGATACTATGTTTTCAAATTTGTCTCGAGTGACTGTTAACGAGCCATAAGCGGCACATGGTATCATGGATAAATAGTCAATAACTTTGCACCGGTCAGGATCAGACAATCCCGCGAAACATTTCCTATTGAAAGTTAGAGAAAAGCAGGTGGCATCAACACAATCATACTAACTCAGCTAGATGACATAACCCGTCCATATCTAAAACCTCCTGGTCACCGAAGAGAGAATATAGCTTGGCGATGATTTCTTGCAAAAGGCCCTCTTCTGAATGTATTTTTCGACGTTTGTTGGGTGGAGCTGATTGGGTTGATCGACTTTTGATGTCCTTCAACACAAGAAGATTGAGATCGGCGTTCAAAGAATCAGTATCAAAGTTCACATGAGGTAAAACAAGCCCGAGATTGGAATTATCTGCTGATCTACAGGCCCAAAGCAAAGTAGCTGCAGCATTCTAAAGAAAATTTAGTCAAAGTCTTGAAGATATAAAGGTAACGTACCTGGAAATCATTCCCAACTATAATACTCGTATCTTCGTCATCAAGCACGGTGCGAAGCTTCGGGAGTAGGGACAAACGGATAATTCTACATATCGAATCTTGTCTTTTACAGATATTTGCCAGATGCAATAAAGTCCGGCAGAACGCAAAATTAACATCCTTGTCAATAATATTTGATGGATTTACGATAATATCTGCCCCGATAATGGTAAGGTAGGCATAACCCTTACGAACCAAAGTCTCAGGTAAAGAATCTTGGATTGATGATAGAAGTGCCTGAAGGCCACAGAAGAGAGAAATCGCTGGAGATTCGCGATCTTGAGCTGAATTCCCGGAAGATATCCATACCTTTTGTAACTCGTAGGATGTGTGGAACGAATCAAACAGCCACGCTAGGTAGTCTTGGAAAGCAGGAGTTGCATCTTGAAAGGATGCAGCTTGGATAGACACCTTTGCCAAGATAGATAAAATGCATATGGCATGTTGTATAGCGCCTGCTTTATTTTGCAATCTGTATGTGCATGGAGGAGATGTTTCGTTCATATCACCCTTGTTGCTAAACGAATATGAAGATACCTTGAATTGATCAGATGGTAGTATGAATTCAGTTTCCCCTCCATGAGTGATAGGACTAAGGGTTTGGAAAATGGTGAGAATAGCTGGAAAATATAAGTGGTTGTTAAGTAATGTATATGTGATGGTGTACTCACATGCTACACTATCTTTAAGGTAGATAAAAAAGCTAGAACTGAGATCCCAAAGTCTTGGTGATCTGCCAACGACCTCAAATGAGGTAGAGAAGAAAACCTCAATCTTTGCTGTGAGCTTTCTAGAATCCTGACGACCCAGACAAGCAAGAACCCGTGGGAACAACCATATCCAGAAGGGTTCTAGACCGCGTGATTTGAGTGGCCGATCTGGAGTGGATACATGATTAAGTATATTTGGGAGATCTTTAACAGTGGACGTGAAAACATCGAGGGCTTCACATGCCTGATTTGTGACGTTTTGGACATTCATAAAAGGGTCATCTTTGTTGAGTTTCTCTAAAACTACTTTTGCGACAACATATAGAAGTTTATGTTTGTGCTCAAGCATAGCTTCGGGGTCCGTGAAGTCGGATGAATCATTCTCTCGGTAGGAAACTTCAGTCATCAATAACTGTAAATCGTCATGCTCGACTTGCCGAGATTGTTTCTTCGTAGAGAGATTATTGATTAATTGTGCAGCCATAGTTGAAGGAGGGGCTTCCCAACGACCTGCTGTGCCAGTCGGCGGCTCATGAGGTGCCATCCTTTCATGACCATCTATAACTATGATGGATTTCACAAGGATTGCGATTGGTTGATGGAATATCACAATATGATGAGATATCACAAAAAGGAAGTTGTCGACGCGTTCCTTCACCAAAAACAATTAAGAGTTTCGCGCTTGCACGTGATTCGAAGGCTTCTAGCGATTTTTAGTCAAAATCATGGGCTTATTTATCGCATTGCGGCGATTAATACTACAGAGTATACCTACCTAATTTAAACGACTTAAACTTTGCGGATTCCCAATTCAACGTTTCCTGATATTTATCATTGGTCCTGCGGATATTCGGTTCTTTTAGTGAAATCACAATATGGCAGTCTTTGGAAGCAAGAAGTTTCGCGGAGCGGCAGAGTCAAATACCCTTGCCGCAAGATATCGTAGCGCTCTAGCCAGACATCCATTTGCCCTCTTCGGTTTACCATTTATCGCAACTATGGTAGCTGGATCGTTTTTCCTTACTCCAGCCACCGCTATTCGATACGAGAAACATGACAAACGTGTGCGAAGAGTAAGCAAAGAAGAAGAGCTAGGAATTGGTAAGACTGGGAGGCGAGTGGATATGAAAGAAGAATACTATGTGAGTGTGCCATCATATACTTGTGTTGGAGAGCAATTTTCTAAATATATTCATCGCTATTACAGAGACTCGCCGCGAAAGATTTAGATGATTGGGAACAAAAGAGAGTCAAGAGACTTCCGGGTGAACATGATGGTAAATTATAGGGTGATATGTGCGAAGGAGGAAAAGAGAAAGAAAGAGAGGTCGCAGAACTCAACTCGAACTCGAATAGTTATGCAAATTGCGGCTCAACTGCTTCGAGTTGTGTGAACTTTAGAAAGATACTTCACCATCTCGGAGGATAATATGAGCGATATCAAGTCCCGGCCATATAAGAAAGGCATCGTTAAAACATAAATGACAACGCCTTAGGTAGTAGGTCAAACATGCTCGATTGGAGGAGCTCTTGATTAGATCAAGAAAATACATCTCACCCACGTCTGAATTAAGATACGAGTCAGAACTCAGTCTATATGTGGAATCCAAACTTCGAACTTGATTCGCGAATCACAGGATATCCGATATACGTTGAAATCATCACGTCGTTCATTAAACTTGGGGCTTCCTTGAATTTTCACTATGTCTGAATCTATGTTGGTCATGTGCTCTCTGTTAAACACGCCTGCGTTCGACGTGAATAATTCTGTCCAGAGTCTCAGAGCCCATGATGCTTTCGTGATCTTTCCACGCCGTCCACGGCAACATAGCAATGCATGCTCTTTCCAAACATGATTCGCAAATATATTCCATCTAAGGCACCCTACTTCGTGACGATTATATTTGCACATTTATTTCAATTCAACTGGACGAAATTTTGGTACAGCCAAAAGTTTGGTTTCGACTCTGTGTACAGAGTATACTTTCCTGTTCGTTCTATCAATGATGACATCGTCGTATCTCGGGCCCTAGTGCTGCAGTGGGCATGGGAGGATACTTTTTGAATCTGATGAGTGCATCTACCCTCAATGATGCAGAATTAGGCAATAAAACATGTATAAGAATAGCCTGAATGACTGCAGTTCGGAGTGAATATCAGGACTTTGGGTGGCTTTGCAGCATAGATGTTATGTGGAATTACCGGATTAGCTACGAAATTCAAACCCATTACTCAATTCTCGTAGTTTTGAATGAGGATCCTATTCAGGGTCAGTACGACCCGACAGACTCCAATATACTCGGGATTCAATATTATGGGTGCAGTGGTATTGAAGTGTAGCATAGCCTTCGATTATATCAGATGTATCACCAGTGGGTGCATGGATTGATAGGACACTTTCTAACTCTCGAAATTTTTGATAAATTCATTCTTCAATTGTTTAATATCAAAACTTAAACTTTGATTGTGTCATATCTAATGGATGATTATAACAACCTTCAATATATCTAATTCAATACATTAAGAAATATTCACAAGTTCGTTTTTGCAGTGTCCCGTCAATCCATATACCCACCAGTGTACCGCCCAAACAAATTCATATGAAAGCAAAAATTCCTATCCGTTGGCATCTGATTTAAATGCCAATAGACGTCCTGGGATGGCATTGACTATAGGTCCGGGTAATTACTAATATGCCGTATCAGCTATTTGGTACTGCATGCGTATCATCTTACTTGGTCGACAATGTTCCTGCGTTCACATGGACACTGATTTGATTTCTCGAGGGGTTATATGGGCAGCCGTTATCTGCTTAGGAAATTTAACAGGGATTATGAAAGTACTATTCTATAGTATACATTGTCCACTACGTTTCCAAACAATATCATGTCTTTTCATTCTCCTTCTCGCATACTGTTTTGAATATTCCATATTTTACCTTCTACCTTGATCTCGACTAATTGCTGCTTCCCTCTTTGTCTTCAACTCCTCCAAAAATTGAATTTTGCATGTTCGTCCGTCTTCGATCAAATCCTAAAGACTTCCCCTCTACCTCGCGCCATCCTTGCTCTACATGAAGAAAACTGCCCATAGGACCGCCTCAGAAATTTATAAAGAAGTTTACTACCACTGGACGTATGCGCTCCCCCTTACCACTTTCAAAGTCTCCATCTTTCCCTTCTTAGTTAACACAATTCTTCACTTCCAATGTATCATCAAGCACATGATTGCCTCCGTCTTCCCTCCGTTGTAGAATTTCCATGTAATGCCCCTATTCTTTCACTTCTCTCATCCTCCAATCAACATTCTAACACCTCGTATGAAACTTTCGAGATCACATCTCCCGAGCAGCAGCCAACCTCCTAACACATCAAAATAGACTCTATCGCTTAACAGAAACCTCGTTGACCAATTATACTATTAAAATTCAGGAATATTTGATCGCTTTCGAGCAATCAGACTTTATCGTTCAGGGAAAACGCTAATGCTTGTTTTGGAGCCTATTATGGTGCTCTAGTGAATGATTCGACTGTTTTTTCTCATCCTCGATGTTCTTAGCAAGTGTGTCCGCTGCGGACCTAGCTGCTCCGAATGTTGCTCTGAAGAAGGTTGATGAGCTTGTTCCTAAGAAAGATTCCGAAAAACGCTGAGCTCAGCTACTTTCTTCATCCATTGTTTCTAGAGCATTTATTGAGGATTGAATTGCTTCAGGTGATCTAGGGAAGGGATTCGAGGATGGAGCTGGAATACATGTTTCCGAGTTGTATCCAAGTCGGTTACTTTGTTCGTTCTCTATTTTGGATAGATTTTCCGCTGCTATGTGAGCTGCTTTAAATACTGACTCAAAGAAACCACTCAAAGCTTTGGAATACTGTTCAGAAGGACAAAGTTCTGAGGCATTGTTGAGTGTTTCCGAATTATATCGAAGTTGATTACTTTGTTCGTTTTTTTCGTTCTCCATTTTGGATAGAGTTTCCCTTGCAACATGAGTTGCTTTAAATACTAACTCAAAGAAACCACTCAAAGCTCTGGGATGCTGTTCAAAGGAATGGAGTTCTAAAGCGTTGTTGAATATTTCCGAATTATATCGAAATCGATCGCTTTGTTCGTTTTTTTCGTTCTCCATTTTGGATAGAGTTTCCCTTGCAATATGAGTTGCTTTAAATACTAACTCAAAGAAACCACTCAAAGCTCTGGGATGCTGTTCAGATGGAAGAAGCTCTGATGCGTTACTGGACATTTGCGAAGTACAATCGATTGTATCGTATGATTCGTCAATCTGTTTCTTGATTGCTGGATCAACAAAGACTGTTTCGCTCTGATTTGTATGTGCTTGAAGTGAGAGATCTATATCAAACTGTTCCGAGATCTCAATATTTGGATGTGACTTCTCAATTCCTTTGCTCTTATCATCCGAATCATCCCCGAAAGGGTTTGGTGATGCAAGTCCCTTGATAATTAGAGGTGTCTCTTCGGTAGACTTTTCAACATCAATTGAATCGTTTCTATTCAGTGTCCTATATCCTCGTGTTATGGAACGTATGTATGCTATCAATCTAGAAAACATCTTTTTATGTCTTAGATATTGAAAGAGAACGTCGATTTCAAGTATTAGAATAGGGGAAATTTTAAAAGAATAAGATAAATTGTTCAGAGGTTGAAATGGGTTTATTTGATCATATATTTCAAACTATAATGTACGTGAATGCGATTTTTGACTAGATAATCTCAAAAAAAAAAAAAAAAGATCCTACTGAATCTCGTGGGGAATCTAAGTTTATATACCTAGGGCTATCATATTCAAGCTATTCTAGTCTGAAGCTAGGTATTTAGTCTCGCTTGAAATCTCTCCAACGAGAGACACATGTGCGCCATATTATTATTCTTATTTCAGACTAGAAACTTAATTTCTACTTAAACACTAAAGTTTTTCTGTATGATTACGTTTAGATTGTACAAGACCATCTTTAGACTTACTGTGACTCCGCTGTATCATGTCAGTAGTATGACGATCTTAACACTCTTCCGTTGATTCTATCCAAACAAACCACTATTATATTGAACATTGAATGAACTCCTCGAGCATCAAAGGACATCGGAAGATACGCAAATTCACAGAATTTGCTTGTTTTATCCTTCATTAAAATTTATTTCAACATGACGTTGCCATCTTGGATGGAGGTCATCGCTTGGTTTGTCACTGTTTCTATCGTTGTCCCTACTTGGGGGTGTTTTTTTCTTGCGCTATATCCACGGCCAGCATGGAAGATCATTGATTCTGCTTCTACTCCCCCTTCAACACCCAGCCTAATGCATTCCTCAGCTCCTATTCCTGCTCTGCCAGTTTCATTCCAAGCTCAGGCTCAGACACTAGCTCATGATCCAGCTCAAATCCAAGCTCATTCTCCAGCAGTAGCAGCAACATCTGCTCTTCCCTCATCATCCGACGTGTATGAAATTATGAAAGAAATCAGGGAGTTTTCTAAAGGGACAAATGAGCTGCTGAAGGAGATGCGGGATCTCACTCGTGGAACGATGAATGTATGTTTAGAAATGAGAGGTATTGCACAGATTCATGCCCAGTTCACATCAACGAAGGTTACTCTAGACATAATAGCTAGAATTGAAGAGCGGACTGGAATCATACTGAACACGAATGAAGATTTGCTTGGCTTTATTAAGATATTAGAAGAAGGTACACTTGGACTATTTCGTTCATGATCGTCAGCGCAGGAAGTTGTATTCTAATTAGGCATGTTAGACGTCTCAGACGTTAGCGATGAATAAAATTCTATGATCACTACAACGGTGTGAAGGTCTTGGAATATTTGTCATGCAGATAGATGTCATTGAACGACACTATTAGATAATAGTAATCATACGCAGCCCAGTCGAAATAGTTCTTTGTCTCTGAATCACTGCTATCATGTCATACGATCATTTTTTTGATTGGGGCCCTTTCGCCTCAAACTAATATTTTGAAGTTCTAATCTCTGTGCCTTTTCGGGAGTAACAATATTGGTATGATGCTTTCTCACACAGATCAAGCCGAAGACACCTCGCAGTCAATTGTTCGAAATCCGTTGAATCTATGAGAAATTCACATCTATATCTTTAACCAGGTATATAATACAAACACCAAAGCCTGTTTCTACTCATCCACCAACCTATAATCTATTAAGTCCCCCCCCGTCTATCGATTTCTCTCCCAAAATTCCCCTGCCCTCTTCGCCGCGAGCCTCGCCTCTTCCTTGAAGCCTATGAGGTTTCCAATCAAAATAATATCATGCACTGCCCCTTCTTCAATCTGCAATTCCGTCTTATTACCCGCTTCCGTGAACTGATTATGAACCTTCACCACATCATCGAAAAGCACTTCGCACTCCCCCGCACTAAAAAACAATGGGGTGGAAATCTTGAACGGATTCCCTACAAACGAAATATTCGGATGAGCTAATTCTACACCCGTTTCCTCAAGTGGTGTCAAGCCCTTTGCTCCCCAGATTCCAAATCCCTCGTCAAGATAATCAGTACGAGAGTGTGGAGACGCATGGAAGACCCCTTCGATGATCGTAGAAACTGGATCGACCCAGGGAGACCATAACCATGCACATCCTGGATTTGGTAGACCCACGTTTGGATTATCATGTAGATATCTCAATAATGCCATTGCCATATTTCCTCCCGCGCTATCGCCCGAGACGACGATATTCTCCGCCTTGATTCCCATAGTCTCCGTTAAGTAAGAGAAGCTCGTAATCGCATCCTGCAGCGCTGCTGGAAATCTCCCACCCGGACTTGAAGCAAGCCTGTATTGGGGACAAAATACAAAAGAAGCAGAGCTATTAGCTATTAAAGTCTCTGCGCAAAAGCCAGCATCTTGTGTTCGTCCATCTCCGATTACATATGCTCCTCCATGGAAATGAAGAACCACATCTCCGGCGTCTTTTCCAGAAGATGGTCGGTGTGGATACCACGTGCCACCGATAATTTCTGGTTTGATTTCAGAATTCGTTATAGTGACCCCTTGGTAACGGGATGATGAAGCAGGATTGATAGTTAAGAATCGTGATCCCTCGGCGCCCGGAAGAAGATTAATGATGGTAGCTGACTTGGTGATTGATACGGATTTGACGAAGGCTTTTATGATACGGATACGGAGGGCTTGGGTGTAGGTCCATTTTTGCGAGGGTCGGGTAATGGAGGGAACATAGTAGATAATCCAGAAAGGGATGCGGAGAAGATTTAGAGCTATGGCGCCGAAAATCCATAGATGTTTTCCTGGGAAGCTTGTGAATAGGGAGTCCAATTCCATGACGCGTGTTGTTGCACAATAATGAAATTGTGTTCTAAAAATTCCAATTATACTCAATTGGGGTTTAGATTTTTGCACAATGTCAAGAACATTTGATGAAAGAGAAGAGATATTTGATTAAGACCGAAGGTATATCTGAATACGATCTTGAGATACTAAAGTATGATGGAAGGAGAAACGTGAATCTGTAACAAATTATACCTCGAGACTTTGCCGAGGTTTGTTCATCCAATAGTGCCGCTCCGCTACAACTCCGCCCCGCTTAGGACGGACAACGGAGAAGGAAATATGCGAGCGAATATTGAGAATTAGGATTTCGAGTTTCAGTATCATATAATAAATACATTGTTGATTTCGATCAGGATATAATGTGGTCATACTTCTTTAACAAAAGAAAGCATATGTGGACTCATGCAGAACTCCGACTCCGAAACTTTTCACCAATACAATCAGACTTTACTATTAAGGCATTTCTCGATCTTCGGAAATTCAAATCTGTACTCTCCTAAAGATTCTTTTCACAAGGTAATTTTGCTTCTCTTCATGCCATATACCTTATTGATCCATCCAAAATTATCAGACGTCTTCTCATCCACTCCACTCAAAACATTAATCATCCTAAATTCCATTTCATATCCTTCAAATACCCAATCTACGAAACGATCATTAATCCAACAATACCACCTACAACACCAATCATCATCGCCACATTGGCATTGACAATGCGGACAGCTGCTCCTGTGAATGGTACATAAGTGGGGGAACCCAAGAATGAAGTCGTTCCAACAGGACCCACTGGAACAACCGTAGAAGTCGCTGGTTTACACCCGCCAGGTGGACAAACAGGTACTATAGTCGCTGCGTATGTTGGAGCTGGTGTCGGAGCAACATACGTGATGATTGTAGTAGGGATACCTTCGACTTCTGAGACAATTGCAGTTGCAGTTGGACCCGCTGGGTAAGTTATATAAGTCTTGACACCGACTCCGTAAATAGAGGTGGTATATGTAATTGGAGATGGAGCAGGTACATAGATGGAAGTCTCGGGGACACGGCTTACTGGTTCGGAGTGAGTGCCGAGGGTTGGGACTGGGAAAACGTAGACGGATGACGGTGGAAGTGTGCTATATACTGGACATGTTGGCATGGTGTATGGAAGACAAGTTTTGCATGGAAGAATGGTGGGTGGAACTGGAGTCCAAGTGTAAGAAGTTGGGACTGCAGTTTCATGGCATGATGTTGTAGTGGCTGTGATAAAGCCTCCAGTTGGGCAGGGAACACCGGCACTAGATAAGGCACATGCGTAGCAAGGATATCCTACGGTTGATGTACTCCAAATTGGTTTCTGTTCAGTGGAGCAATCACTTGTTATATATGAAGTAACTTTTTAATATGTCAGTGATGATCTCAGCGAAAGAGAATAGGGTTACGAACCAGTTTTATCTCCAATAGTATGACACGATTCAATAATGGATACATAAACAACGATTTCAACACCAACTATCTTGTCACCAGTTGGGCATGCGGGAGTTACATATGGAGGAGGAATGAAAGTTCTAGAGACAAGTTAGAACAAAAGTTTCCATCGCCAAAAGATTACTTACGTAGTAACAGTTGAAATATCATGAACAGTCTTGGTATCATGATCTGTAACGGTATCGTGAATAGTAGCAGTGGCAGTCCTGTTGTGATCAATTGTTGAAATGATAGTCTTGTTTCCATATGGGACAGGAACCCCACTAGATCCCGATGGTATATATGGCGGAAGAGTGGCAGAATGCGATGGAGTATGAACGGGAGTTGTTGTGTTTGGTGTCAAAGCTGGAAGACAATGTCCGTCACCAGTTGGACGACCAGATTCACATTTGCAACTTGCAGAACACCCATCACCAGCAACAGTGTTTCCATCATCACACTCTTCGTTTAATGATGCTTCCCATTTTCCATCGCCACATCCAGCTGGGGTCGCACCACGACTGATGATATATGGTAGTCCAATTGTCTTATCACCGAAAGTTTGAGATCCGACACCAATAACATCTTGTGCAATAGCAAGGGCTTGGAATCCATTGATTCCAACAGATGGATAGCTGGAGAAGGCTTCATGGACACTACAAGACCAACTAGATAGTGCAGCATCATTAAGAGTTCCGAGAGCAGGCGAGGATGCGACAATGTGAGCTTTGTTGTAGCAAGCAAGATTTCCTCGAACAGTGAAGTCTCCGAAATAAGAAAGTGATTCTACTTTCGCAGAATCTACGTTGTTATAATAACAAGATAACGCATAGTAGAGACCAGTCTGCTGGGTACCAGCGAGATTTTTCGCTGATGCTGCGAATTTGATGGAGTTATCAATCAGAACTTTGGCACCAGGTTGGGTTGAAAAGTGAAAAGTAGGATCCGTGCCTGATATCTGAGTTAGCAAAGTCGTCTTAGATTTCGAACTTGTTTGAGTGTTCTTACCGATAACAACGATGTTACCCTGGACTGCTGGTCCCCAAGTATTCTTGGTATCTGTCAAGAATTGGACATCACTGGGTGATGTGGAACAGTCTGGATCGGCAATGACAATGGCTTTAAAAGCAGCAAACTCGGCCGTTGTCATTGTTTTCCATTGTGCTTCACTGACCACCTTTGTAGTGTATCCAAGGACAGATGTTGCCTCCGCAAACTCTTTGAACTCGAATTTATCTACAAAGAGTAGATCTGCTGCAAGGACAGAAGCTGTCAGACTGGCCAATAGACCACTGGTGGAAAGCTTCATTATGGCAAGGGGTAGATAGTTGGAATATATTAAGAGAAATTATATGCGACAACGTTTAAAAACGAGCGTGTTTGTTAAAGAGTGACTAAAGAAGAAACGAGTGACGATGGTGAAAAGGTGAGGAAGGGGAATAGCAAGACTGGAAAGGACACAATATATACGCAAGGAAATCACAATACCTTCTTCTCACTTCTCCACATGATATTCTTGGCTTAAGGTAGTAGCTGCTAACATAATAGAGGGCTGATTTACTATCAACAAACTGAACAATAGAACAGTCGGCAATGTCATTGAGTCTCTAAAATTCTTGTATGACAGGTCGCATATCAACATCGTACCTGCATAAGCTCGAAGTCGTTTACGCCCCCAAAATCCTGCTTCTCCTTACCGAAGTATGATTGTAGGCAAGCCGATCATGTGTATCTTTTCAGCTCAACAGCCATATTCTTGGCAATGAATGGTAAGGTTTCACAAAATGCTTTTTTGTGCAAAAATTATCCAAATTTAGAGAAATGAGGAGATTATTCAAAAAACATACGATGTGTAAAGCATTGAATAATATGAAGTAGTCAGCCGTCGTCTTCATTGCCTTGTAAGGCTTCGCTAGGTTTCGGTCGATCAATGCAGGTACGATTAAAGTTACTACCCCCAGAAAAAGATATATTGACAAGCTGGGACATGCCAAGTGGCAGAGTAGATTGATCTTACTCAGGGGACAGACGGAGCCTCAAATTAAGTTATCGAAAATAACCAAAGATGGCACTTGCCATTGAGCCAAAGGTGCCACCAAAGGAGCAAGGGCATTTCTCCCGAGCTCATAGACTTCTAGATCTCTGATTCACGAATAGTTTTTCTTGAGAATTGTAAGGATTGTATCCAACCATCGGTCCTGAAGGATATAAGTTTCAATATGGGTGATGAAGTTGTTGCAGAAGGATGAAGGAATATCATTGTGACGCCAAATGGGACGGTCATTGCACAAACGGCAATAATTTCTGGACGCCGGATCAATTCACGTAGCGAAGTTTATCCGATGATGACTAACACAAGTGACTAGCCCCTGCTCTCATTCTACCTTTGACCTTAAATCACGAAGTTTCCGCATTTACTTCCACCTCTCCATTGAACTCAGGTCCTCAAGTTCTGATGAACTTAGTCGGCTCCAAAACAACATCGTATGAGTGTTGATACAAATCTTCAAGATAATGCATTTGCCCATCCATCTTATCATCAGGATTGCTCGAATTGTCTCGTACCGCGCGGTTACATCAAATTGCTTACTATGGCCGTGCTCCTTTACCAGCTTGACACAGATCACCAGGTGAATCTTCATCTCGTTTTCTGCATCAATGCTTAGTAGTAATTGATGTGATTGCTGCGGTTTCTCTGATAATCTACAAGCTCTAAAACATGGAGAAGTACTCTCCATATTTGAAGCCCTAAATGGTCATGATTTATGGTCAAACAATGGGGGCTTGGATCCTGAGAGCTTGTATTTAGATGAGACGCGGTGTCTTCGATACTCCTCCTTGTGTTTTTAGTTTCTTCATTGAATATTATACAATTTGGAGTTGAGTTTTAATTTCTTGTTTCCATTCAATATCTCCAAGTCCCATCAAAAATGACTGCCTCCATTCAATCCGCTCATCTTCCAATTGAATCGCGCTCTTCTCCTATTTCCAAATCAACCACTAGTTCAAACTTCCCAATTACTCACCTACCCACAGACATTCTCCTCACTCTCTTCCGTCTAATACCATCTCCACAAACACTCTCCGCTCTTTCCCTCTGTTCCCGCCAATTCCACCACTACGTCACTCCCTACCTGTACTCGCACTTCCTCCACCTCGGCGATACATGCACTTCGCTCCCAAATTTCCTACACACCATTCTCCACAATCCCCACTACGCACTCTACACCAAAAGCTTCACTTGCAACGCCCTCCTAGGCTACAAAACCGACATCTCCATCTCCAAATTCTCCCCCTCTGACCTTGTCCTCCTGAAATACCGTCTCAAATCTATCTACACCCTAGAAGATGGCTCACGCTCTCCTTTCTTTGGCTCCCACATCGCCTCACAATGGTACAATTTTATCCTTCAAGGAAACTGGGATGCCATCGTGGGATTCATCCTCTGTCTCCTCCCTAATCTCCAATCTCTCAATATAATCAACCACGCGAGCGGTTGTCCTTACGGATATCCCTATCTCGAAACCGTACTAAACCGAGCGGCAACATTACAAAATCAACGACTTCGCGATCCCGCCCGCGTAGTTCAGCCACAAGCATATTCATTACCGTATTTACGGTCTTTACATTTGGCAAAACATGATACTATACATTATCCCCGCATGGGATTTGAAATTCTGCGCGCCCTTCCCTTTTTAGCCATCCCTTCAATACGGGAAGTCGATACACACATGCTTTCGGATTATCATTTTCCATTCTCTGTTTTACCATCTTCTCTGACTTCTTCTTCCCCTACTCAACACGCGCAAACCCCATCTCCAATAACACCCTTCACACTCTCAACCTTTTACTCTCCTCCCCTTCCCAATTTTACCTTCCACATCACTCATCTCCACCTCTATCATACAGTTCTACGACAAGATTCCTTACTCCCATTTTTCAGCCACTTCAAATTCCTCAAATCTTTAGAGTGGGAATGGGATTACGATACTCAAATCGGTGAAAGAGAAGGATTGGAATTCTCATTCGATATTAATCATTTTCTGCATTCAATTGCACATTTGAGAGATCTTCTCGAGATTTTGAGAGTTCGAGTTTCTGAATCACCATCATCATCATCTGCAGAGATTCATGATGGACGCGAGGAGGAAGAAGATGATGAAGAAAGAGAAGCAAATGAGTATTATCAACAGCCACATCACAATTACGACAACGAGAGCGATCAATACCATTCCATTCTCACCCACCTCTCGCACTTTAAAAAATTGAGAATTCTAAACCTCTCCGCAAATCTACTTCCTGTCCCTAAATTCAAAACCACCTCGACTTCTAATTCCCAATTCCGAATCTCAATCTCAAGTTCAGACTCAAGCTCAAGCTCAGGCTCAACTTGTGAATCAGACGAAAGCGAAACCAAGATCGAAGATCCATATGACTCCTTCTCATTACCCAAAAGCAAAGAAAATACACACCTCACCTCTACCTCCACCTCCACCTCCCCCCAATCACATGAAAAACATAATCTCTCACCCCCACCCCCTTGTGAAGCATGCGCCCACCACGCCTCTCGCGCCCAGGAGATTCAAGTACGCACTAGAAAGATGATGCAGCGGACGCGGTATAATGGAAGGGCGGAGGAGAACAGCAATACAGAATAACACCTTAAACACCGCGCGTAGCGCACCCAGAAGTCTCCGGCGCGAAGGGGAATGAAGGGGTGGAAGACGATGTAACGATAGAGATGACATAATAGATAAATTGACTTCACGGATGGGTGTACGGAATTACACATTGGGGACAATACTATATATAGACTAGGGTTTTATGATAGATAGGGTTATATAGATATACATACAATATACATTTATACATTTATACAGTACTAAATACATACACACACACACACACACACACACACACACATACCCCTCCTCCAGCCCCATCACCAAAACCCCATCTTCCCATCTTCCCATCACATCGTATCTCCAACCCACCAATCTCGTCATATTCTCCATACCCAATCTGAATTCTTGCTTATAAAGTTCCGATTGATCTCTCTCCCTTTCTCTTCCTCGTCCTCTTCCTCTTCTTCTGTTATCTCTGATATTCAATCTTTTTTCAACTTTATATTATTTGCTTCTCTTGTTTTGCTCTCCGGGTTGAAGATCGGAAATTGTAAGACTATAATAAATAATAAATATAATATAACCTCACCCAAAACTTCAATCTCAACCAGAACCACAACTTCAACTCCAACCCAACCGAACCGAACCGGAAAAATATAAATTGGCCTAAATCAAATTAGTGGCGATGGCATTTCGGATGACATTACTCTTACAATTATCTCCCAAGCTAGATACCGAATAAGATCAAACCTCCCCCGCCTTTTCAACCCCAAATTCCAATCCAAATTCCCCAATTCCTCAAACTCTCTATTCTCTAATCTCTAATCTAATCCAAATCCGCAATAAGCCGCATTCAAAACCCCCTCAATTTACCTGAGAACCTCTCCAATATATAATCAAATCCCCCCCTCTCTCCCTCTCTCCCATTCCCCCATCTATCTATCCACCAATCCACTCTACAAGAACTTCACTACTTCACTACTTCACTACACTTCACGACACTATACTATACTACACAATATAATAAGACTACATACATACTTTAAATCTCATCCCCTCTCCTTCTCCCATTCCCCATCTCCCTTCATCCACCAAGTCAAATCATTAACTCAAATTATTCATCAGCTCAAATCATCCACCGGTCTATCACAAATACCTCCTACCATTTACGCTTATATTCATCCAAGAAATATCACATCGAAACACCATTTTAAAACACCATGAAAGTCAAGTCATTAAATAAGTCATCATCCATCTCATTGATATCAATACTGAAAACTAACTACTCCGAGCTATTTATGTTTCTTTCTCTGTTTCGTTCTTCGTTTCTTCCCCCTTTCCATGCATCATCCCATCTTATTTCATCTCAATTCATTCATTCATTTATCCCTACCAAAAGGTTCGTGTCCCATGCCATCCCATCAATCACATCAGTTCATTCTTTCCTTTTGTTTCGTTTCGATTCCTCATCTCTCATTTCTCGTTTTCGGGGGGTTTTTTTCTCCAAATCCTTTCAGATTTAGTAATACAAGCCAGTGCATCCCATATAGAAATATTTCCCCTCCTCGTTCAATCTCCACCCTCTCAAATCAAACCCCTCTTGCTATCCTTTGCCTTCCATCCCTTTAATTTACGCTCCGGTCTTGGGACATTCGGTCTACCAGCAAGAATATCCACAAATCCCTTCAAATCTATCCAAAATTCATCCTTTGGTCTTCTATTTGCCCAATCTGTTTCGTTCTCTTCAACATCAACCATACTAGAGAATACAACTTGTGCACCCTTGATACCAATAACCGTTGAACTTTGTTTATCCTCGATAATCTTTTTATCGGTTCTATCTTCATATTGTTCGAGATGTTCAATACATTTGATAGCTAAGCGAACGGCTCGGGTACGATCCATAGGAGATGGAGTACCACCTTGTTGAACGTGACCTGGAATACTATCTCTGGATTCGAAGCGATCGGCAGCTTCTTCACGAATCATATCAGCGATAAGTTTGGCGTGGTAAACCTTTGATGCTTTTTCGTTGATGAGAATAAGACGTCCAGCTCTTGATTGACCACTGTCTTTTTCGAATACTTCTTTGAGATGTGCGATATCTGCTGCGAGCATACCAATACTGACACCTTCTTCAGGAGTATAGACAGCTGATGCACCAACAGCGAGACCAGCCATGGTAGCAACATAACCAGATCGACCTCCTTGAGTTTCAATAACGAAAACACGACGACGGGAAGCTGAAGCGGATTGTTTAATGGTATCGCAATAACGGACAAGTTCGTTCAAACAAGTATCCGAACCAATTGAATATTCTGTTCCTGGAACGTTGTTGGAAATAGTGGCTGGAAGTAAAGTCATAGGAATGCAAAGAGAAGAGTAAGTTTCTCTTGCTTGACGGAGTTCAGACAAGGCATGGAAACCTTCGAAACCTCCAATGATGAGAAGACCATCAATCTTAAATTTCTCAAAAAGTGATGCGATCAATGGCATTCCAGATTCTGATGGCAGTTCGCGGTTCATACCAATTTCTGAGCCACCCTTGCTAGCCCATCCATCAACTTCTAACCAATCAAATTCTCGAACCGATCCTGGGTTATCTTGGTGATGACGGGCAAAACCAGCGAAACCATTATGAATAGCAATTGGTGTATGTCCACGAGTTAAGCAATAAGCAACAGCTGCACGTGTAGCGGCGTTAACACCACCAGCTGGGGCTCCAACGTGTACGATAGCAATTCTCATGTGCTAGATAATGTTAGTATCGGAAGATTACTTTTTTTTCTATTATCACATACCTTCTTGTCAGGAAGACGCATTTCATTGTTGAGATCAGTAGCTGTTGTAGTCATGTAGGAATCGTAAAAGTCAGAAAATTCTGTGTCTCTGAGTGACATAGCTCTCTCGAAGTCTTTTGCTTCAATAGCCTTTGCAACTTCTTGAGTGTCAATAACAGATTGAACAAGTGGTTTTCTTGTAATTTTGTTCTCGTTAATGGCGATGAAAGGGGTAACCGTTTCTGGCGTAGCATCAAGAACAGCGTTGACTGCTTCGATACCTTGTAAAGTGGAAAGGTATCGATCGTAAGCGCATGCAGAACCACCACGTTGAACATGACCCAGTGTTGAAATACGTGTATCAAGAGCGAGTCCATTCTTGTCTGCAAGAAGATCCTTGATCATTTCTGGAGAAATCTTATTTCCTCCTTGATCATGAGCACCTTCAGCAACAATAACAATTGTCTTTCTCTTTCCCAGTTGTCGATGCTGTGTACCTGTTAGTATGATCAAAACTCATAGAAATATAATAATCATACCTTTTGAATGACCTTGTGCATCTCTTCCTTCCAATTGTCTGCTCTTGGTTTTTCTGGAATGAAAACGAAATCTGCACCAGTAGCAACACCAGCCATCAAAGCCAGCCAACCACAATGTCTACCCATAACCTCAATAACGAAAGCTCTTGAATGTGATGAAGCAGTTTGTTCGATATAATCCACCATCTCACAAATCTTGCCAAGAGCTGAAAAGCAACCAATTGTAGCATCGGTACCAGACATATCATTATCAATTGAACCGACCAATCCAACGATGTTGAGATGTTTGAATGGTGCGACTTGTTGTTCCGATAATTCCTTCTTTTCAATCAATTCCTTGATCAATCCAGGCCATTCCGCTCTGAATTTATCAGCTCCAGTCAAGGAACCGTCACCACCGCAGATGATGAGAGCATCAATTCCACTCAACACCATGTTCTTTGCTGCTTGTAATCTGCCGGGTCGTTCATAGAAAGTCATACATCTGGCAGTACCAATAAGGGTACCTCCTTCTGATTGCCATCCACGGACATCTTCCCAGCCCATCTTCTTGATCAATTTTCCTCCTTGAACTAAACCTTCATATCCTTCATAGATACAGTATGGTTCACATCCTTTATAAATTGCCATTCGAACGCAAGCTCGCACAACACCATTCATACCAGGGGAATCACCTCCACTGGTCATGATAGCGATGCGTCTCTTCTTTCCCTCGAGGGGTGGTGGGGGTTGAGGAGCCATGATGGAATTTGAGTTGGTTGTTTTGTTGAAAGTAAATAGGTTGGAGGGGTATAAGATTGAGGTAAGGTTAAGGTAAGGTGGGAGGTAAGAAAGGGATTCTTGGGTGTAATGAATAAGTCGGGTCAGGTAAAAAGTAGTATGAGAGAAGAGAGAGAAAAGGAAGAGAGAAGGATGAAGCTTTGAGATAGGTATGAAGATTATTATTGTATTGACTAGTAGATTCTCTTACTTTTAAAGAATGACGAAAAGTTGAGAGATCAGTTTGAAATAAGATGGGTCCTTCATGTATTTTGGTGGGCTGAGACCTTGTCAATTTTTTTTACGAGGAGCTTTATCGGCTTTGTTAATGATGGATGATGGATGATGGATGATGGATGATGGTACGCATGGGCGGGGACATGGATACCTACGCAGTATGGCTACTTTGCTTATCGGGTTGGTATTAGGACTGGCTGACTGGTATCATCGGCATCGGTATCAAATTGGAGAAATCCGTTTGATATGGACAAAAGTCTTGGTAAAAGGTAAAAATCCCAATCATGATGAAGATATACACTTGGAGAAGAAATTGCAGGAGTCATCTGAGCGGACAAGATAATTCTTAATGTACGGGTGAGGCCATGCATGTTTCCATATATCTTCCCATATATCATGATAGTATATATCTACTTATTATGTGTGTATGCGTGCATCACGGTATTTATATATATATATATATATATATGTCTGCAAATATGTATGCAATTATCATTCTCTGCAATATACGAGTACACCTCAACCAAACAGTCAACATTTCTCTCAAACGTCGGTGACGGTGACTGCTACTCAGACTGCCACTCGATACCTTTCTATTCTATTGCATTCATTACCTTCATTACCTTCATTACCTTCATCTACCCTGAGTTCAACTTTCCATCTCCATTTTCATACCTCTTGTGTCATGTTTTTGCGGAAACTCTACAAGGCGGATACTGCATCAACCATCGTGATTGGTGAATCTCTGGTACCTGAGCCATCTGTACATCGTAGTGTCGGACTCAATTCGGGCACGCTATACTCTATCCTATACTTCTGACATCACAAGGAGAGTAAACAAGCTCGCACGCAAAGCTTTCCAACAACGACAATGCGAGGTGTGAAAGACGGCCCGGGGTGATTGATTCGAATGGTTGATTGAGTGGTCTGAAGTCGAAGGTTGATGCTACTCGATGCTACTCGAGTATGCTATCCATATGATGTAGATGCTAAGGGTGATCAATCCAGAGTACAGTAGCTCGAGTAGTATCATGGAACATCAATTTGAGATTAAAATATATTTATGTGATGAGATGTATTGAAGAGTGGGAGATGCAAAAGAAATACAAACCCGATACACAAGAGATGGATAGATGGCACGTGATGAATATTATTTTTACTCAAGTACTCGTACTCGTACAGCTTCCAGAGCTACGAGGCTGCCTAGGATTCATTTGTCTCTAGCAATAATATAAAGCGGTGAGCCTTCTTTTCTTTAAGCGGGGCAGTATTTTGATTGTTGTTGATGCTCAATCCTCAAAACAATAACCGTAGAACATTTCAATAGACCTTCAAAGCCTTATTAGAAGCTTTCAATTCTACAGAAGGCGTCGTGAAATCACGAATAGTAATCTCAATCTCATTGTCACAAATCAGTCAATCTCTCGACTCCTATCCGGCCTCTCAAAATGTCAACTCTCCCCAGTAATCATCCGCTTTCATTGCGCCCAGCACCAAATACATCCAACACCTCCATTCCATTACCCCAACTGATCGCAAGAATCAATGCCGAACGAGGTGGCTTTCGCAATATTTCAGAAGACAGTCTGCGACAAGAAATTGCGGAAGCCGAGGCCGGAGGAGATGAAGAGGAGAATGAGAGTTCCAGTGAGGATGGAGAAGCAGAGGAGGAACCGGATCGAATGAAAGAACTTCTCACAGCAAGAGATGAGATTCTTGGTCAAATTGAGTATGTTAAATCTTGTGAAAACCGATGCGCAAATACTGACTTGTCTATAGACATGCCCATAATGCGGCTATGATATCTCTTGATTTCATTTCCCTCCTTCTTTCGAAAGATACTCCCGTGCAAGCTAGCACATCAATATCACCATCACTTCGTGAATTGGCTGGGATGGGTACCTTGGGTGCGGATAAAACAGTAGCCCCACGGTTTACCAAAGAACAAAATAAAGACAATAAAAAGATAGCCAAGGGTTGGAAAGCATCAAATCTTAGCAAGACCGTAGATTCAATTTTGGCGTCTGCCACCCGATTGGAAAAAGAAATTGATGCAGAAACCAAATACTGGGAACAGGTACTTGCTGTTAGTGAAAGTGGATGGGCAGTATGCCGATTGCCCCAAGAAAAACATACACTGGGTGTTAGATTTGGATTTTCAGAGGGTCAGTACATTCATCTTTTCCCACCTTAACCTATGCTAATATACTATAGCCTCTCCAACATTTCGAAATCGTAGTCTCGGTGCACTGAGACGGAATCCTGATGGGTCAATATATTTGGACCAAGGGATTGCAAGTCCAGAGCCTCAGAGTATACGAGTTTTGATCGAAACCAATGGAGTTACAACCGGAGAAACCATACTTCCTAAAGCAGTACCACATGATGCACCAATTCAAGATTTAATTCTTCAAGCACGAAACACGATTTTTGCCTCTGAACTTTGGCAAGAAATGACTCGGGAAGTTCGAACTCTCGCATCTCATGGCCTCCAATCAGATTCCAAAACGAACACGATCAGATTTCCAGTTTCTTCAACTAAAAGGATCTTAATCGAGCTTCAGACAGTACCTACCGATCCTTTCCGGCCAGTTCTTGGTCCAAGACCGGATTCATACCTTGCCAATGGCATCTATCTAACTCTTCACCTTCTTCTGTCTCTTTCACATCGTCAACAATATCGTATTCGGACTCGTCCACCACCACCAATCTCTAGCCAACCGCGTCCAAACAACCCATTTCCTATTCTACGCTCTTTAGTGACTCGCCTCGCTCACGAAACGGTCGTTTCATCCCTTCACTCACTTCTCACCCCGCTCTGTAAGACACTTACTTCTGCCTCCCTTCCAACTCCACCAACCTATACCATTATTCCGGGTACTTCTTCACCTTTACAGCATCTTTCAACTCCCGAACGAATCCTCACAGCTTTAACAAATCAACTCGAATCCCTAACCACAATTAATTTCCCCTTTCCCCTATCATCACCACCTCATTCCTCAATCCCATCCTCCTTTTCACACACAACTCCACTCACTCCATTACCTTCGTCCCTTCAAATTCGTACTGTAACCACTACCCTCAATCACTCTCGACCAATCTACTATCTACGCATAACACCAGAAACTTCTCCTCTCCTCCAGATTTGTCCCCCACCCAACACAGTACCAGAGTGGGATTATGTCAAAAATTACATTCTCTGGGCCGTCAGCTGTTGGCTCGCACACATCTTCTCCTCTTCATCCAAATCAAGTGAAGATAAAGAAGAACCTTGGAGACCAACGACTCAGCCCAATATCCTCCGCAAAATCTTCTCAGGAGAATCACCACATGAAGGAGGCGTCAAACAAATCTGTTTCGACGTCTCGTCGGTTCCGATCTTGGGACCAGAAGCTCCGAATAAGATTGGAGAGATGGGGAAGGAGAAGATTAAAATCTCGGTGAGGTGGGACTGGACGACGGGCATGGAGCAGGAGTGGAAGGAGAAGGGCGATTCGAAAAAGGGGGAAGGGGTTTATGATTGGTATTATGGTGGGGTGCAGGGAGGAGAATTGGAGGAAGTGGTTAGGAAAATGGGAGAGGTGGTTGAGGAGGCTGGGAGGGGAAGGGAGAGGAATTAGGGAGTCGAGATTGGGGAGTAGGGGAAAGGGAACAAGCAGTATCTAGATCAGCGATGGTTCATCTCTCAGATAGAGTAGTGGACGACTTGCTCGCTTACTGCTGTGTGGTTTTCATGTTGTATACATTATATAATTATCTGTCTATGAGACACTATATACTATACATACACTCCCACCTACCCAAATACACTAGATATACCTACATCTCACACTCTTCTCATTTCTCTTTCTCTCCCATTCTCTCTCCCTCCCTCTCATCCTCTCTCTCTCTCATTCTCTCCCTTTCCCTATAAAGCTAAAATAAAACCTCACTGGATTTATGAATATCCGCCTTCAACATACAAAGCACTCTACTTGTGTGTATGTATATATTGGTCGCTATCTACCATCTACCATCTACCATCTACCCACACCTCTCATCCCACATCCTACATTTCACACCTTACATCACATACACACCATTCATGTTTTTCATTAGTTCCATTCATTTCATTTCATTCCCTTGAAATACATAGGTATATAGGTACATAGGTACATGGACATATACATAAACTAGAAAACACACCTTGATATCAACCCATCCATCTATAATTGTAGCAAGAAACCCCTCTTTCGTAAGCAATCAAGCAAGCAAAGCACAAGTAAATAAGTCAATAACTCGACCCCTCAATCTCTTAATTCCTCAAAATTCCCAAAATTCAATCACAACACTATATTCCATCCGCCACTCTACATGTAATATCTTTCCGGCAGATAAGCCCCACCCCTAAGAATTGCAGCCATAAGACGCAACTGTCTAGCGGTGAGACCACGTCCCCTAGTCGTATATATGCCATTTGGATATTGTTGGATTGTAGCTAGCAGATCCATGGTGCGTGGATCAAGCTCTTGTCTTTCTGACTGGTCTTCTACTTTACGTCTCAATATCACACACGAAAATTCATCAATTCCTGACGTATTCCAAAGAGAGAGAAAAAAAGGGGGAAAAATAAAATGGGAAAAGGATAGGAAACTTACCCTCTGCTCTTCTTAACGATAGGCTTAACTTCCTCTTCTTCCTCATCCTCATCCTTCATCTCTACTTCCTCAGCTTCAATCTTTTGATCCTTCGAAATCTCTTTATCAGAAGCCAATTCTGGAGTTACCGATGCAGCCTCCTCCTTAACTTTCTTTGGCTGTTTACGGACACCTTTCGCAGCTGCAGCTGGTTTGGTCTTGGTTAGGATCTCATTTTCGTCATCATCTTCTTCCATGACTTCCTTTTTGACGACTGGCTTTTTGGCTCGAGAGTTTTTGACAGGGACTGGTTTGCTTTCTTCTTCTTCGGAATTCTCTTCCTTGACTTCCTTTTTAACAACTGGTTTCTTGGCACGAGAACTCCTAGATGGGGTGGGTTTTGTATCTTCATCATCTTCGATGTTTTGCTCCTTCTTGACAGCAGGAGCTTTTCCCTTGGAAGTCTTGGTAGGGACTGTTTTAGTGTCTTTCTCGTCTTCGAAATTCTCTTCCTTTTTAACAGCGGATGCCTTTCCTCTGGACTTTTTGACAGGAGCTGGCTTGATATCCTCTTCATCATCTTCAATATCTTCTTCTTTCTTGACCGCAGCTTTTTTTCCACGAGCTTTCTTAGCAGGCATAACCTCTTCCTCGGATTCTTCTTCTTTCTTGACATTTCCGCCTCTCTTCTTCTTCGCGGGCTTTTCATCCTCTTCATCTTCTTCGTCAAGTTCTTCTTTCTTCACTCTACTTCTCTTCTTTGGTGTATTAGCCTTCTCTGACTTTACTTCGTTTCTTTCTCTTTCTGCCTTCAGTTTCTCCTCTTCCTTTCGGCGAGCAGTCATTTCCTTGGCATATTCTGCAATCTTTTTATTGAGAGCCTTAACTTTCATACCATTTGCCTTTCCATCATCGATGAGTTGCTGCTTTTCCTGTTCGGCTTCATCCCACTTGGCTTGGAGTTCATTTAGATCACCCATTTCAGCAGACTTTTGCTCCTTGATCTTTCTCTTTGATTCGGAGGTACGAGTTCCTGTTTGACCGAGGGTATTCATTTCAGGGTCCTGCTTTTGGTTAGTTATCCCTGACGTTGAGTGTTACGGGAGAAAGAGAAAGGGAATGCAAGTAAAAATGATCAAAAATACTTACACCTTTCCAATCTTCAGGATCAATAAATCCTTGAATAACAACTCGTCTAACCTTCTCCTGCATTTCAGGATGATCATCTAAACTACCCTTGCCACCATCATTATAACCATCCATCTTGTCAAACATATAGCCACCCTTGCCATCTTCAAGATAATTTCTCATATTCTCAAGTTGCTTTCCAGTGACACATCCCCTAATTTTTGATTAGCGATAGATTGTACGAGCAGGGTAGAGTTAAAGACTGTAGTCCTTTGATGAGGAATCTCAATAAACTTCACATCACCCAATCCTCGCCCCCCTCCAAAAAAACTTATAAAAAAAACTTACCAATGTTTCCACTGCCAACCTCCATGTTCTTGAATCTCAACCCAAGTACCAAGTCTCAATTCATTTTTCTGAATCTTGATACCATGATCTTTACATTCCTTATTTTGGCATCCAGCCCTCGCAGTAGTTGCGAGTTCTATAAAATTCAGTGATCAATATTCAAATCCATGCATTAAGAAAGATGATACTCTCTCGCCGTTGAGCACCAAACGCGTTATCACGTGAACACAAGAAGTTGGAAATTGTGACGCAAACGAAGGAGCCAATACATACCAACGCGATAAGACATATTTGTGGTGTAGTGTTTGTTGAAATAATGAGCGAAGAATAGTTGGAAACGAAGTGTAGATAGGTAGATATTTATATCAATAAGTACCCAAATATCCGTGGACTATCTCTTTCCCAGAGCTTCTGCAGCTCACCAGACGCGGGTGTTGTACCTTTTTTCAAACAGGGCGCCGAACCAATTTATTTCTATGGCTATATTTTCTTTGTGACGCGCGATATGGAGAAGTTTTGTTGAAGTTTCAAATAAACGACCAGATTCTCATAAAACCACAAAAAGGCTTTGAAAGCGTCTTGATGCAAATACTGATTTGATTGTATTGTATGAAGAATTTATCAATGAAGGGAATTTCCGTTGAAGAGGCTTGAAGCTTCCAAGATTGATTTGAGCTTGAGCTTGGACCTTTTCATCTTGAGTAGATTATGTAAGCGTCATGATTAGGCAGACGTCACATCCTAGGTGTCTCTACTTGGAAGAAAAAAAAGGCCAAAATTGATTACTCTAACGTAGTTTAACACCGAGTGGCCCATATCACCGAGTGGCCCACTTTCATCTCAATTTATATCTTTCTCTTTCAACACACGTTTTATTAATAATCTATAATGAATTCGAATAATTAAGAAGCTTATATATTCCTTACTATTAAAATTATTTATAAAAATAAAAAACTAAGTATTTAAAAAGCTATTATATTCTATAATATCCCTTATATAACTTTTCAATATAAAATAAAAAGTTTATTTCTTTATATAGAAACTCAAGCTAATAATCATAAGATTATAGAATTAAAAGAAAAAATAATTATTTAATATATATTCAATATAGATTTAAGAGAATTTCCATTTAAATTGAAGAATATAAAAGATATAGTAAATTATATTCTTAAATTAAGGGGTATGAAATATATTAAGAAACTCTAAGCACATCAACTCATAAAATATTGAATTGAATTAAAAATATGTTTTAGTTATATTTATAACTTTCAAAAAGCTTTTTATAAAGATTTTAAGCTTATTGAAAAATGATTTCAATTAGTTATGAATATATAAGCGAAATATAGTATTTTAAATAGTAATTTCTATAATTTCGATGAAACAGGCTTTATAATAGGGATTATATATATAATAATAATTATTATTAATATTAAGAAATATGGTAGAAATAAATTAATATAATTAGGCAATCGAGAATGGGTTATAGTAATAATATATGGAAATATGGAGAATAAAACTATTCCCCCATTTCTAATGATTTAAGAATAGATTCATCTTTTTAATTAATATATCAAAATCAATCTTTCTATGGAATAAGTTATTAAACCTATATCTAATAAATGAATAAATAATGAGATAGGTTTAGAATAATTGAAATACTTTAACAAGCATATTAAGAATTAAAGAGAAGGCAAATATCGAATGTTGATACTAAATGAATATAAAAGTCACGAATTAATAGCTTTTTAAATATATTATAAAGAGAATAATATTATATATCTAAATTTATTATTATATTTAAATTATTTAATTCAGTTATTTGATATTAATTATTTTAGTAATCTGAAATATTTATATGATACTTAAATCAATAAATTTATTAAGATATATATTAATTATATTTTGAAAATTAAATTCTTTATAGTTTTCAAAACTATATATTAAGAATTAATCATTTTTTAGAATATAAAAATAAAATTTCAAGGAATAGATTTAATTCTATTTAATTCTAAAATTATATTCTCAAAATTAAATATTTAAATTTGTATATTTATTCCCTTTTTTTTTAATTTAAATTAATGAATCTCTTAAATCTCTTACAATCTAATTAAAGCTTTTTTTTAATTAATATTAATTAAATCTCAAATAACTTATTATTAATTAAGCTCTTTTATACCTATATTCAAAATTATATTAGCTTTAACTAAGAATATAAAGAGATTAGTTTATGAGAATATACTTTTAAGTATAAAAAATCATATACTTCAAATAGCAAATAAAGTATTAAGCAAGTGTTAATGTATAAAAAAAACTTAATTACATTAAGAAAAAGTACTTATTAAACAAAAGACTCTTAATATATTATTTTAGCAAGAGATTGATATTCAGATTCAACACAATAAGCATTAAAAAAAAAGGAATTCTAATAGGAAAGTATTTTCTAATTAATATTATAATAAATATAGAAAGATAGGATATAATACAAGAACCTATCAAAATAATATAATAGATCCTAGATTATTAGATTCTTAATAATTTCAATTAATTGATTTAATTATTGTTAAATAATATGAATTTGAAAGTATAAATTGAAATGAAAGTGGGCCATTTGGTGATATGGGTTACTCGGTGTTAAACTACGTTAATAAATTCTATATAAATCAATAAATAATAAAATTATAGAAATTAATAGCTTCAAATGAGTTTCTGAGTACACTTAAGTTCGAAAAGTATTTAAATATTTGATTATCAGAGTTTCGAATGGATCAATTGGATAAATGAAGAGCTTTGCCAAATGGTTAATTCCGGCCTGTTTTTTCTCCCACGAAGAACCTATCCTATCCTTCCATTTCTGTAGGCGTAAGCATTCAAGTAATTACTAGATTGACATACGTGACTGTGTTGAAAAGAATCTAAAATGTCAATTCCACAATTAAAGATAGGTTGTTTCCATTTGATTTGATAAACGCAATGAGGATTGCGCTTAAAGTCACCTTTTAATCATGTTTCAAATGGGAACGACGGGAGAACTTGAGAGTCACATAGGCTGTTATTTGATACCGGAAGATTTCAGGTAGTCACGTCTAACTAACTACCTGTGATGACAAACATGACAAGACTGTGAATTGTATACTGGACTTTGAGGACATGGATTTTCCCAGAGTACAAACCCGTGTCTTGGTAGATGGAGGGGCTGGTATCCAATCATACCATTCCTGTGTCGCTCTATTATGAAGAGATAGGAGGGCATGGGTTCAGAAGAGCATAGGGATGAATGTTACAAACGACGAAGGGGCGTTTATAGGGGTAAACCGGTCGTTCTGCATGGCAGACATTGATACGTGAAGCAGTATGTTGAGTTACTTCTTTCTTGTGACTATCGAAGATAGTCCTGTTTACAACTTCCCACCAGGGGCATACTGTAACCATAGTTGATCAAAGATTCATCATCACCGATTGCTTCATCATTTGCCAGACAATCATAACTCCTCTCGACGGTCATTCCCTTTCACTCCAACATAACAAACCCTAAACAACGATCCCAGTCCGATAAGAAAAGGGATCAGCTGTCCGGCCCCAGCTAATGTCGTCACTCCAGTAATTTGATTCCATACTATGCTTTTTTCAATAGCAATAATGATAACCGTCATAGAAATGAAAAGAATCCCAAACCGCATGGAATCATATTTCGAGTTTGACTCTTTCGATGATCTCGTGCTGCTAGCACCGGATTTCAAGCTACTGTATTGTTAGGAAAGTGTGTTCATTCAATTTGAAACAAACTAAGGGGTAAGACATAACTTGAAGATGACGAGCTGAAATTACTCTCTGGCGCTTTTCTCTTCTGGATGTAGACATCACAAGCATGCAATATAAATCCAAAAGACAGTATCAACAACAAAACCCAACATGTAATATTGAAAGTATGAAATGCAATATTCTCGAGATCAATCCTCATGAATCCAAATCCAAAACTAGGACAAGTGTTAGACTTTCCGTTGCGATCCTGAAAGTCTCCACCCCAGAACCATAGCTGAAAACAAGAAATGACACAGAAGAATAAACCAGCTAGAAGAATAAATTCCCATACACGGTTTTTCCTTTGCCCCGTCTCATCTTTCTCCCCTTTGCTGAGAAGCTGTTTGATAAAGCTGAGGAGTGCCATAAACATCTTAGGTATGAAGTAATAATGATAGCCCATTACTAAGAGTAGAATAATATAAACCTCAGCCAGTTGTAGCGTCGATGTTTGAATGATCAGAGCCAGGAAAGTCGCAACAGTGAAGAGAACAATGGAAAACATGAGCCCTTGAACTTCGTCCGAAGCAACTTTTCCTGAAGAACCTCTGGGAGCAGATGCAAGAATTGAGGCATACCATTGGAAGTAGAAACCGATGCGAATACCGAGTCCATAAATATCAGAGTTACCATCTATGATACAAATTTGAGGCATCGACAGGGTATTGTTGGAGCTGAAAGTATTATTCGAGAAGGAAGTCTGGTTTGACATGATTGCATAAGAAAAGAGTAGGTATGCGAATTGAAAACGAGTCCTGCTCGTTCAATGCTGAATAGAAATATCAAAAAACGATATAGAGAAGCTAGAGGAGAAGATCGCGATATTTGTAAAGGAAAAGCCCTAGTAAGGGGAGGCTCTGTAAGTATTCGGGACCGTAAATGATTGTTCTCACACACCCCAACGGTAGAAGTGATCTATTGCAAGATCACATACCAGCTACGACGAAGGTATTGGGTGACAGGTAATGAACTCCATCCTGATACATTCAGTTTTGATCTCAAGAACGAGCGCTTCCGTAGAAGTGAACGACTTAATGTCGTGTTTTTGGCCGAATCATTCCGATTAGCGAAATGCTTACATGTCAATTGTCCACCCTAGATATATATATTGTACCATTTTGGCGGACTTCGCGCTATCTGAAAACTCAGTGCAAATTCGCAATTGGCTTTTGGCATTTGTGCGGTTTCTGATAGGCAAATAAGCTTTCAAAACAAAGTTAAGACCAAAACGCCAACCAAAATGCAGTCAGCGCGCAAAAATACCCGAAACACAGACTTGGGAGAAATGATGGAGGGGAAGCGCAATAGAGCACAAGAATGACCGCGAGTGAGAGTTTGAGCATCATAAAGCGGATTGAATTGCCAGTTTTGCTATCACGCGTGGTGAGGAGGTAAGATTCACCGATGCGGACCCTATGCGCGGCGCTTCAGTCGACATCAGCAAGAATCGACAACCAATGGAAGGAACGATGAAACGTACATCTACCACAGTAAGAAATTAGTTAAATTTTGATCTGTAGTTTCAAGATTACGTATGCCTGTCCAGAAAAAAAGGGTTGAGTTTATTGCTGATAAAATCGAAACATCGACGAGGCTCCGATGTGAGCACCTAGATTTGCGGTGCGACTACCTAGGTATATCTCTCTCGTCGAGACCAGAATGAATTTCTTATAAATACCCCGAGAATCTTTCTCAAAGAATTAGTCTTCAGATTCAAGCATTCCCAATACCTCCTGAATATCTCCAGCTACAATTTCTTGTTCATATACTCCGGCGCGCAATGAGAAGCTACAGGCGATTCAGATCCGAAGATGACTTCTCAGATGACGACAGATCATCAGTCATTTCTTACACTGATTCAGATTCAGAATCAGAAGTCGAAAGCGATTTGGGTTCCGAGCGAGAATGTCAAAGTTCAAGAACTCTTCCCAGAGGAAGATCACCGTCTCCTCGACCCAGCTCCCTTTCTGGTGACTACTCAGATGACTTAGATGATGAGGAGGCGCCAGATCAGGCTATACGATATTCATCATGGTCTTCCTGTTCATGTTGTGAGTGCAAGTATATCCCATCGAATTCTGTCCAATATGGCTATTCTGTACAAAACTCCATACCAGTCCCCATGGGATTATCGCCTTCCCCTCATTCGAAAACAACTTACTATTCCGGAAACCCCCAAGGCAGTGATAGATTTAACCACAATAACATCATGATAAGAGGACCTCGATCGAGATTGAATGATGGAAGCGGAGGGCAGGCCTGGAGGATGAGGAGACCAACCATGGGAAAGTACAGAGGGCCGAATCGAATCCTTCAGGACCTGGATAGAGAATACCATATGAACACAGAACTGGAGCAGAGATACCATCATGAGAGACCATGGGACACAGAGAGAGAGAAGCAACTGAAGGGTATCACCATAAAGACAACGAGAAGGGCGTAGATATAGGCGGAATTCGTCTTCTTATTCTTTAGGGATTTCCCAGATCAGAATTATTCGGAGGAACGCAGGAGTTCAAATAGGATTGTTAAAGTTGCTGGCAAGGTTGCATCGTGGTTGTTTTCTGCCATTTCAGGGGGGTAATAATATCGTGATGGTTATCTCATTTGTTATTGTTAGTGGTTGCGGTGTAGGTGTCAGCATTTTTCCCGAAGGTGCTAGGGCTGGTCGTATGGATATTCCCCTTTTATTTTCTAATTGAGTTATAACGTGTTTTATCAGTGAATAGATCATATCAATAAATGGGTTATTTCGAAAATTATTTAAATCAAGCTTTTTAAAATATTAATATTTTAATAATTAATTATTATTTTTTTGAAAAAAAGATCTTAAAAATTAATCAAAATCTAGATTTTCTATTAATCTAATTTTTATAAAATAGTTTTATTATTTTTTTTTAAAAAAAGGGAAATTGTTATGATTTTTATTACAAAAAAACTATTTCTATAATAATAGTTTTATAAATTCGAATTTTCTAAAACTAATTAGATTTTTGAGATTCTTATATATTTAAGTATTTTATATCAAATTTTCAAAAAATCATATGTATAAATAAAGAAAGTATATGGTTATATATAAATGAATTTTGTATATAAAATAAGTAATTCATTTATTAATATAATTTACTCACTAATAAAACACGTTATAGAATAAATACTATTACGATGTTAACATTTTGAATTGATAACTTATGTATGATATTACTAAAAGTATGGATTATTCAATCTAAAACAATTTTCATATTTTTATATTTACGATCTAATCTTTCCAATCCTTCCAATCTTTTACATAAAATTTTCAAAAATTTCAATTTTCTTTTTGAGATTTTATCAATAATATCGGTTTTTGTAGTTGTTGAGAACACGCTACTATTACTTAAACTTATAGTACATATGAAATATCAACAAAGCTTATAAGATACACCGTGCCAGCGCATCAGCTCAAAATCTCAGATCAGTCTCTCTTCCCCCATTGACTCCCCCATTCCAGCATCAGCCCGACGCCTTTTCAGAATCTGCCAAGGCTCTTCTGTACCTCCTACTAATCTTCTTGAACTCACCCCGTGTCTTCTTCAACTCAATCATCAATTCATCAATAAGAGTACTCAGCATCATCTCATGGTCCTCTAACTCCTCTTCCTTCTTGCGCAAAGTGTGGATTTCAGGATCTGGCTTCAATACTGTCTCGATACGTATCTTTTCTTGCTGGAAGCCTCGTATAATTCTTGTAGTTTCTGAACGGACCATCTCGGTAGTTTCCACCTTGTAGTATTTTGCCGCTGGAGACGGGGGTGCAGATTCTGCGCTTTCGGCTCGGCTCTCTGTGTTGGAGTGGAGATTTTGCGACGCAGATTCGAGATCGAATTGACCAGGGGGTTTCGTGCTTGGATTAGTGATGCGATTGACAGACCCCTGACTTGTTTTTCGCGACCCTTTGTCCTTAAATAAACCTGAAGGCTCTCCCCCTTTATTGAGGTCAAGTGAGACATCAGAACCTGACTCCCGACTTGTCTTTCGCAATACTTCGTTTCTTGCAAACCACATGGGCTTTCCACCTCCGTTGAGATCGAGCGAGGCATCCGAATCTGACTCCTCACTTTGAATGGCTTCGGTCTGGGCTGCATGCATAGGGGGATCCAGGAAGGGGTTTTGAGGCTCCTCAGCACTTGACATATGCAGGGGGTCATCTCCGACGTCCAATTCCATTCGGGCGCCTGATCTCGATGTTTTAATTTCAGTAGCAAGTGAATTTTCTTGTCTCGACCCATAATTCTGGGCAGCTTGATCACTTAATGCGGGCGCGCTTTCCCCTTCAGTCTCTAACTCATCGTTTCTGGTTGGAGATGCTAACTCCTGGGGTGAAACATAAGTAGACAAAGCTTCTTCTTGTTTCTCTAATATATCATGGACCTCTTCGATTAAGGCAACTGGAGACCCTACTTTAGGTTCTGCGCCCACAGCATCGGAGTCAGAACACGATTGTGTGCTTATCTGGCTTTCTCGGAGCTGGGCTTCGGGTCCCAGATCTTCTTCGTAGGAATCAGATTGTGATTGTGTGCTTGTTTGGCTTTCGCAGAGTTGCGCTCCAGGTTCCGACTCAGTTGGCGAATTCGATTGAGGTTCAGACTTGGGTTTGGCGGCTCGGTTTTTGCGTGGCATTGTGGTGGCACTTGTCCACTTGGAGATGGATGATTGAGAGGGGTACTGAGAGAGAAGATGTCGGGATTGATATGTTTGGGAATTTGTTTTGGATTTGCTGATGTAGGATGTGGAAGGGAAGGGGAAGGAAAGGTTTAAGTAGATTGATGGCTTCGTTGTTATTCGCTTGGAATATAATGATAGCGCTCAAAGGCCGAGATTGCATAAAAGAGTTGAAGAAAAAAGATGAAAAGAACTCTGAGATGAAGGATCTTCACTTAAAGACTTTTTCCTGTATTTTCATGTATATTGAAATGTGATTAACAGTAGATTTGTATACCAAACCATCTCTCTTTCAAGAGAATGACTAAGAGCACTACATGCAATCTTAGATGAGATATTTAATAAAGACCTCAATCTAATTCCTTATATTAAATCATGCAAAAAATATAAGAATTTCAGGTTGATCAAAGCCAAAAATGACGGATGGTACGGACAATGTACTGAACTAGGTATATAGAGAGGCATAGGTGATAAAGAAAGACTTTTTTCGATTTCCTTTTTCTCTACTTTAATTAGAAAAGGGTTGATGATTTCCTTTGCTACCACTAGTTCATGGATTGAATAAAAAGAAGTAGCTATCCAATTAATCGTTCATTGTGAGAGCTGGAATTCGAATTCTTTCCACACCTTTATTGCTATTCGCGCAATTTGTATAAACATGATCCAAGACCTAAGTTTACAACAATTCGAAATATAGATTCCCCTAATCATGAAATAAGCATCCAAGAACCCCTTCCAACTATTCAAAATGACCATTAACATGATGCGCAACCGCTATCTCATCGCCCTCAAACTCTCCGCACACCGGGCATGTACTCATCGCGGATTTGAACACATCTCCTGTTGATCTTCCCTCCAATACTTCTTCCTCGTCATTTCTACCGCTCTCTTCTTGCTCCATGATGCTCCCCTCATTAAATCTATTTTCTTCAGCTGTACTTTTCTTCCCCTTACGATTTCCTTTCACAACAATATAATCTTCCAGACAAGCCCCTGCACTGGTGCTTGCCGCGGAAGATGCGTCATACCCATCTGTCCTGAAATCCGAGTACGTTTTGCCACCGCTCCCTCCTCCCCTCCACATACCTCCTGTCCTCTCATCCTGACCAACACTCCTCCCACCCTCACCCCCACCCACTTCCCCATTCCTCCCCAATCCCCTCATTCCCCCCTCTCCCTCCTCTGCCTCCCCCTCTGTACACAACCTCTGCACCCTCCCTACCCGTCCATCCCTCAACCTAACCTTCACACCCCTCGGATGATCCCCCCTCGTCAAAAGCTCTCCCACAAACCCCTTCACTTCCCTCCCACTCCCCTGATCCATTTTCAAAACAATCGATACCGGTGTTCCGGGATGCAGGAGCGCTATGCGTGGGACTGGAGTATAGTTGGTATGAGAGCGTGGTACTCTATCGTTATTGCCACGGCCTCGTCCATAGCCTCTTCCTCTTCCTCGTCCACGAGTAGCGTTTGGTGGGTCCATTTCAGGGAGAAAATATTGACGGCGAGAATGTCGTGGGGTTGTATTCTGAAACTGGGGTAGACTTATGGTCTGAAAAGGTAAATAGATGGATTGAAGATAGATAGTCTCTAAATATAACCGCAACCTCTTATCACATCTCCTTCTTTCGCTTCGTCTTCTTCCCTCCAACTTGATGTGTAAATCCTGAGGCAAGAAACAATTTTAAGTGGATGGATTCGTTTATTTTCGTGACGTGTGGCTATTAAAATACAATCCACGAATGATATTGAGAGTTATACGATATAATTGTATGGATATCCTTCAGCCGATCATGGATGCTCGATGGAAATGGAAGGCCGAGGCTTTGAGATGCAAATTATGAAATCGTGACTAGACCAAACACGTGAATCACAATCATGTGATATTTGAAAAAATGTTTGAGATCTCAAAGAACTTGAAAGTTTGCAGACACTATAGATTTCATTTGAATGAAGCAAGATTATAAGTGGTGAAAACCCTATCGTAACGAATACATGTTTTGGTCGGGGAATGGCAAATGACATTTACGTAGAAGGAGCCACCAGTGAGTACATGGACTGACGGGACACTACAAACAAATTGACTTGTGAATATATCTTGATATATCAATTTGTATCTCCGAAGAATTGTTACAATTACTATTCATTAGAGATAAAACCATAAATATGAACTTTAATATCAAACAATTGAAGAATGTGTTTGTCAAAAATTTCGAAAGTTGAGAAGTGGCCCGTCACTCCATGCACCCACTGGTGAGCCTAAGCTTCTGGATCCTGTAGTTCATACTCATCTCTCATCGAATTTGGATCGAACTTCACAAAGTTCAAGAATTCACCAAGATTGAATAAGCTTCTCAATAAGCAAATCTCCTCATTCCCTCCCCAACTCTCTTGTTTCTCCACCCATAATAAAACCTCAATCCCACACATCCTACACACACAAAATACAACAAACCAGCATTCACCCAATGACCCAACGGAAAGCCCTCTTTCGCTTGATTTGATTTGTATATCCACACACCTGCTATTTGTCCCGGCGCTCCTACTGATATATTCAACGCAATAGCAAGTCCAATACCGGCTGTTGAGAAGATATTTGAAGAGAGGAAACCGAGAAGAGGAGGGATACAGGAGAAGGCTCCTGAGGCGGCGATAATGAGACAACCATAACGGGAGTTATAGGAAGCAGGGGGCAGGAGAGCAGAGGCGGTGAAACCAATGGCGCCAACGAGGGCCATTATTGAAGAATGGAGCGCGCGACTGAGGGAGATTAGATGGCTGGGAGGAGAGAAGAAGGGGAATTTAGCTTACGCATTGAAGCGATCGGCAGACCAAGATACGAGGATTGTCACAACATCTTTAAAGAGTTAATAATGATTGTGTAGGGGAGAAGAGGTAAACGCACAAGCGACAGCATATGGTGGGACTGTCATAAGTTGAGCCTCGAGGTTTTTGTATCCAAGTCCAGCGGTAATACTTGGTGTAAATAAGGACAAACTCGAGAAAGGCGTTGAAATACCGAAATAGATCTTAAACTTTAGGTCAGCGTATCATAGAACGTTATGATCATATTTATTACTTACCGCATAATGAGCATATAGTCTCCAGGTACATAGAATTTCCTTGGCTTCTTGCCACGTCAATCCTTTATCGCGTCCTTTAGCTCCCTCTGTCGCAAGTCTACTTGTGGCTAAATCTTTCTCATCCTTTGATAGCCATTTTACCGTTTCTGGATAATCTGGTAGATAGAAAAATACAAGAATAGATGATAGACAAGAAGGAATCCCTTCAATAATGAATAACCATCTCCAAGCTGACATTCCGTGGGTACCATTCATATGACCGACTCCAAAAGCGATAGCGCCACCAAATGCTCCTGCAAGAGTTGCGGAGGCTAGGATGAATGCGACACGAATTGAGCGCTCAGATGTACGGTACCAGAAAGTCAGATAGTAGACTAGACCTGGGAACAATCCTATTGCGATGTTAATGGCTGCCGGAGAAAGAGGGAAGAAAGTATGTACCAGCTTCGAACATTCCGAGAAGGAATCTCACAGCTGTAACACCAGCGAAGTTATGAGTAAACCCAAGTCCAATTGTCATGATTCCCCACGAGAACATTAAGAAAGATATCCATTTGCTTGGACTGAGTTTCTTGAGGAAGTAATTGGATGGTACTTCGAAAATTGCATAAGCGATCAAAAAGACCATTAATGCGATGCTGGAATGGGTCAGGAATCACAAAATCCAGGAGCAAGGTCCACACATACATATATTGAAAATTAGTCATGTGTGTATCGGAAAGGAGATCATCATGAGTGGAAGAATTGAGTGTTTTGGCATTGCCTATTTTCTATCAGCTCAGTACGGACGACACGAGGACGACAAGAAGTGGGACAGACCAATGTTGGAACGATCAAGGTAACACAACAAGTAAATACCAGCACATAGAGGTACGATTCTTAGATCTTGCTTCCAAACTAATGCTTTGGTATCTGCAACACTTTCTTCCACTGTAACATAGTCTGCTTCTTCAACTCTCTACGACACGTTATCAGATGGAACGGAATGCATGGATTTTTTCAACTTACCTCCTTTCCTCCTTCGAAACCGGACACGACAGTCATGATAGAAGAGTGCTAAAGTAAACCAAGCAACGCAGCAAATTGTGTACATGGAAGAACACAGTAGGGCAACATATACATGGCAAGAAGAACCAGAAAGATATATAAGAAATACTACACCGCTCGAAAGTGATCTGGCATTTAATGAACTCAATCAAGCCCTGTGAACCCCCACACGACACTACAAGAGTGGAGTGAATGGAGCGGGGATCGCGCGGCCTACGGTTATTGGCACGAGCGCTGATCAGGTCTGGGGTAAAACCAAAGGAGGACTAGCGTAGAAGCCATATATGATATTTCCTAGCCTTGCATGAACTGTGGCTGAGCAGAGAAAGCAATCAAATGTTTGACATAAGCCTTGCCCTATCACAGTGTGAGCAAACCGCAGTCAATACTGATATGGAGACACTTGTGAGAGTTAATGAATGCCATGAAAAAATGGATGATTGATTCTTGACTTCGTTTTATTTTGCCTCGAGTACTCAAATTTTTGAGAAAAAATTGAGGTTGCAAGCGAAATGGCTAGTCAAGACAGTCCTCTCTCTATAACATCCAGCGTCGCAGGAATATTAACTTTTGTTGCCGCTATTGCTGCAGCAATATACGTTCGATTCACCTACTTACGCAATGCTGACAACGAATACTTCCAAGTCAAAGCATCTCTTTCGTGGCATAAAACTGAATCACAGTGGCTTCATGATTTGGTTTATGCATCTGATGGCCCAAAAGATCGTTTCGGACATGAAAAGGAATATCAGATGTATGTCTCCGTGATGGAAGAACTTGGAAAACTTGAGGAGAGATTACTAGAGTTGGTAACAGAAGCCGAACTGAAGGCTAGCCCCGAGGATGATCAAGGAAAGAAATGGGCCTTGGTACCGAGAAGTATGGCATTTAGAACGAGTGTAGCCATGTCGTGGCTACCTGTGAGGAGGAAAGCTTTGGAATTAGTTAGGCAGAGAGATGCATTAGGAGCGAGAGTTTTATTTGCACAGATGAGTATGATGTCATCGTAAGTATTGAACCCCATAGTTTAAGGGCTCGAAACTGACCAAATTAGACGAGTTCGAGACCAAGAATCACAAGCAAAGAAGCAAAAGGAATTAGACCACGAAAGACTTGGGCGACTGGAAAGCACAGTCCATTCTCAACACGAGAAGCTAGATCGATTAGAGTCTCTAGTATATCGATTGATGCATCGTGATCGGATTGAGCCTGAGAGCGTTCGACGTTGGGAAGCTCAAAGAAATGATACTTTTGGAACCGATGATTCTCAGTCCGAAACCCTAGTTGCGACTGGAACGACTACCCCGTTACCAAAATCAGAAGCCAAAGACCTTGAGCATTTTCGAACCCCAGAATTGACGGCTGTCTAGCGGAAAGTTCAATTATACCAGTAAATTTAGTCGAGGAAACATGACTACTCTGTTCTCGCTTCTGCTCGATGAACTTGGACCACTAGCTGCTCCCTCGACTGCTCTCTCCGTTTGGCCCACCTTAGCACCTGCACCAGCAAACGGTGCACGACTTTGTCCAGTAAATTTGATACACTTTGTAATTGGCATTGGATGAAGAGCACCAGCCAGAACGCGATCCGTAGTTGGCGCTGGCGCTGGCGAGGGGTAGATGAACATCACATGGAACCTCCTCCCTCCAGCACAGGCCCTCTCCTAAACACTGCCCAAAATCTCATTCCTTAACGATTAAAGGAACGCATACCCCTTAACCTTCAGATAGATAGCACAAAATGCAACACTAGGTACTGCCCATAAAATGTTCAACTCAATCACCGCCCAAATCCAGATAGTCCCTACTGGTGGAGCCTGTTTCATTGTGGCAAAATGACCATATTCATTTACAATGTGTATAAGATAACATCCTGCTATTATACTAGCAGCGGAGAAAAAGATTTCGTGTACATAAGGATGTGCCTTGGCAGGTATTTGAGGTAATAAATTCGACGGTTCGGGATGTGGATGGAAGGCGTAAAAGAGAAGCCAGATGACTGTTTGAATCAGCAAATATTCTGCTACGTCCAAATATAATGTAAGACTCACCAGGACATGCTTGGAGGGTCCTAGATACTATACCCTTCCAGACGATTTCTTCGGCATATTGATGTGTAACCAATACATCTAGAGTGAAATGTAACATCGTGAGACTGATTGTCCACAAAACGGAATCCCCGAGTCTTCCAATTAGGATCTCATCATTTTCCCCATCTAATTCTGCTTGACGTTGTCGTTGAGCTTCACTTAAGTTTCGTTTTTCTGCGATATCCAGAAGAGTTTCGATGGAAGGATCAGGGCCAGATCTATCTGGCTTTTTGAGCTTAAATTTCTTTTCTTTGCCTGGCATGATGTTTGCTGTGCTGTCTCGGAATGAGTGATTGAATAAGGAGGTGTGTTTCGCGGCTTTCAAAAAGAGTATAAATACTTGCTATTCCCTCTGCGAGCCTTGTCATCTGAGGGTTGTGGAAAATAGATGCAAAGTACTTAAATACGTATACCGAGTTCCCAAGGCTGAAGATTTTCAACACATAAGACGAAAGGCTGTCGAATACTTGAATGATACTTGATTAGGTCGTGTTCATGCAAGAGCGATGAATTCCATTTCGTACATATCTAAACCATGTAGTTCTGAATGGCATTGGTCAATATTTGATCCGATCCCTTGCAGTGAACCTCGATTTATCCCTTAGCGCAAGGCTTAAGGACCCATATATTTCTTGACCGACAAACCGGTCATTTCCACTCGTTTCTATTCACGAACCCCTCTCAAATCCTAAACCTAAACATACTCGATCTGCAAGTTATTCGCGCATATCCACACCAGATCATACTTGTCGTCGCTCCATTTCAATATACACTTCTACTCTTTAACAAACGTTCCCCCATAAATACCTTTGAAATGCCCAAAATGCAATGGACCTATTTCCTTACCATCCCCATCATCACTTTCGCTGCATGGCAATATAGTGTCACAGTTGTTAACTCCAAATTTCCAAAACTTCGTAACAAGAAGATATGTCTATTGATCGCGCATCCTGATGATGAAGCTATGTTTTTCGCGCCAGCAATGCAAGCTCTTACGGATCCGGAACTTGGAAATCATGTTAAAATTCTCTGTTTGAGTAGTGGTATGTAAGGTGCATGATATCGAGTTAAGCATATATTGATGTGCAGTAGGTGATGCAGATGGATTAGGAGAAACTCGGAAGAAGGAACTTGTTAAGAGTGGGATGCAGTTGGGCTTGCGACAAGAGAATGATGTTTTCGTTTTTACGAGTCCGTAAGTGTTCTTCGAATCATGTCGCATAAGTACTATGTATACTAATCGCGTTTCTTAAACAGAGATTTCCCGGATAGTATGACGAAGATATGGGATAAAGAAAAGATCGCCAACCTTTTGGCATCTGCCTTTTGCCCTCCTCACACAAGAAAAACAGACCTTACAACTGCTCCAACAGCATCTATCGATGTTATTGTTACTTTTGATGCGCAGGGAATTTCTTCGCACCCAAATCATATTTCCTTGTACCACGGCTCTCGAGCCTTGATCGCATCTATGATGCGGGATCGTCCAGGATGGCAATGCCCTATTGATCTTTATACACTTACCAGTGTCTCAATCTTCCGAAAGTACACATCGATTTTCGATACCTTGAATACTATGGCAGTCGCAGCATTCTCGAAGCGAGAGATAGGCGATCATCCAAGTCCTTTGTTAATGATGAGCGGGGTCGGTCAACTTAGAACTGCGCAAAAGGCCATGACAACAGCACACAAGAGTCAGATGAGGTGGTTCAGATGGGGTTGGATTGGAATGTCAAGATATATGGTCATTAACGATTTAAAGTTGGAGAAGGTCGTTGTATAGATGCGATTTTGAACGGTACAGTTTAGGGCTATGAGAAAGAGAAGAGAGCTCTATTGTGCAGTGCACAGTACGAATGACTTTGGATAAAAATATCTTTTGCGCACAAGAGCGTATGAATGGATGAGAGATGAGTAATGCGTATACGAAGTCAGCATGCTTCTTTTGATCTCATTTTGTATTGTTTGTTATTTTCTTGTTCTCTTCCGCAAGATGCCTACAGACCGGGCTGTAAAGTCATCAGCCTTTCATCAAACTTGCTTGTTGTATTTAGACAGATATTTTTCTACTTTATGAGACGTCAATGTTATGGGCCATGATTCATTTTATTTTAATCTCCTTATTCAATGAATCTAGTCACAGAGCTGACATCCAAACGTCTAAACTTAATCCTGTCTGACTTGCGACATAATGAAAATATCTCAATACCTGGCGTCCATTGCCATTCAGAACCCGGGTGAACCTCTGGCGCCGCGCATTCTGCTGTCTCTAGTCTTACATATCTTAGCAATCATCACTAGTGACATCAACCTGGTTTCAAAATAAAGGCCAAACAGGAGCAATATAAAAGAAAGGCAAAGAAGTGCTCGCACCCAATCAACGCAGTATGCTTCCAGAGCAAAGTGGAGAGATGGTAAGAATTTACTTCATCTCCCGCTACTTTCGCAGAGTGTTCAAATCATATTTCGACATGAAACTAGACTTTCACAACATGGACTTTCCCTTCTTAGATCAATCTAGATGTAAATAGCAACTGTGCCTCAAAATTCCTCTGTTTTGAGGACAATAATAGATCGAAGTTTCATTCTTATTCATATTGGTATGGAATGTTTCTGATTACTTATTTTCTCATCTAGTCTCGCAAACTTCCATTAACGCAGCAGTCGACCAATCGACTGATGACGAAATTAAAGCTAGAGTCAAAAGCGAAATCAAATATTGTGTCATCCACCTTGCTATCTCAATTTTCCAAGCGGAAAATAGAAAATCTGAAGCAGGCAAGAGATCAAGATCAAAAGCTAGAGCCACATGTGAGTGTGCAGAAAGAGGAAATAGAACAGGAATTGGATAGCATCGGTATCCTTACTCTCGAAAAAGCACAGTTGGAGGAGAAGATTATGGGGTTGGAAGAGAGGGTGCGGGAGTTGGAGATGGAGAGGGAAAGGGATGTGAAGATGCTTTTGTGGATGAGGGTTGAGATGGCGAGGTTTGGGGAGTGGTGGAGATGGGTTGAGAGCGGGTGGGGAGGGGAGATACAGGGAAATCAAGGATTTTAGAGAGTATGATAGGGAATGGAAAACTGGACGGCTTTTGGGACGGGAGGGATTTCTTGATATCACTGATGATGGTAGATGGCATACATAGGAGATTCTGAGATCCACCTTTATAGATTTTTCTTCATCTAGCTTTCCTTTTTCTTCTACTGTTTTGCTTGTTTGAGTTAATGGCTTCGCATAAAATCTCCATCTTTACAATCCCCCAAATCTCTCTCTTCCCCCCAACTCACAAGCCCTCCCTCACAAAACTCGCAACCCAAACCCCCATCGACTCCACCCCCTTCACACCCCCCTCTACATTCCCCAAACTCGCATCCAGAACATCATACATCATTTCCAACACATTTCCCCTCTTCCCCTCCCTATCTTCCCTTCCCGCAACATCCTTCACTCTCTTCAACTCCCCCTCCTTCCACCTCCCCACATTCCCCACCTCCCAAACCCCATCTTCCAATCCCCGTCCCCCCTTCACCATCTCCCTCTCAACCCTCCACCCTTCCTCCCCCATAACTTTCCGCATCTGCGTTGCGCTGCGCACACATCTTACATTTCCACCTCCTTCTTCTCCTTCTTTTTTGAAGCCTTCTGAGACGGCTTGAAGCATGATTGCGAGGAGGTGGGGAAATTGGGCGGGGGATGGGGCGCTAAGATCCCATTCTGCGATGCAGATTTGGGTTTCTTTGGTGAGGATAGTGGGGGTGGAGTCTGAGGTTTGGGGGGAGGGTAATGATAGTGAGGAGATGTAGGAAATTAGTTGGGGGAAGAGAGAGGGAGATGAGAAGTAGAAAGTACTGTGGGAGAAGATGATGTGGGTGTATGGTTTTGAGTCTTGGTTTGTGGATGAGGAGGAAGTGTGAGAAGAGAGAAGTGATTCGAGAAAGGGAATTGGGAATGCGTTGTGAAATGTGATGCGGTGGCCTAGTGGGCCGGATTTCAGTTGAGATTGGGCTTGGGAGAGAGTCCATGGTGAGCCTATTGTTTGTTAGATTTTTGATTGATAAGAATATAATTTCATTTTTCTCAGCATTCGACGCCTGGGCAGGAGACAATATTGAAGCGTGAGGGAAGAGCAAGGACGATAATGATTAGCAAAGAAAGAATATATCAATACCATAATCAGGATCTCCGGGATCAACAGCATCAACATGTCCATTCTCCCCAACTTGTGCAGCGAGTACCAATGTTGTATCGCCCTGACCACAGCCTATTTCGAGGACTTTTGATCCTGATGGAATAGACCAGAAATTTACCTAGTTTTCTTTCAATGAGATTCTGCTGCTTTGTGGTTTTCACATTGTAGATATTTGAGGGAGAGAGGAAGAAAGGCTAGGCAAGCTAGGAAATCGGTGGACTGAGGAGGAAGAGGATGGATAGGTAAGAGAAGTGAAAAAACAAACAAGTTCAACACGATGCCTGATTTGTGCAAGCAGCATTTCTTTTCTTTTATCATCACGTTCAGTAGGTGAATCACTTGTCTTAGGAAAATAGGTGTCGAGTATTTCTTGAGGAATGATAGTTTCCGACATTGTGTACGATGTTAGAAGAATTGCAGTAATATGTCGAGATGAAGTAAGAAATCTTTATGGAAGATTCAAAAGAGATTTGTGAGAATGTCAAGTATTTTGATTGTGATAAGAGATCAAGAGAATGATTGAAAGAAGGTGGAAATACTTATCTGAGGAAGCTTGAAAGTTTGAGTCATACACTAGTGTGACTATGACCCCCATTCATGCATCGTGAATCACATCATCTGCATATGAGGATATAGGGCTGCTTGTTGTGGCATAAACTTTCAAAAGTTTCGAAAGTTTATCATGTGGTAACTTTTTTCCGTGTTGAAAATGAATTCGAAGATGGATCTGGCCTACGAGTATCTCCCAAAGTGGCGAAACTAGATTTAACAGATGAATGTATGGAATATCGTGGTAACCTATTTAATTTTTGAATCTATGGTCCTGCACGACTTTGGCTGCCAATTGAACTGGCCCGCCAACGGCCTTTCTGTCCCGATTATATCGGTATTCATTTTTTCTGTTGAAAAGTCTCGCCAAAGACTTTCGTTTTCGTCTCCTCTTTGACCTGGTATCTCCATAAACCCTTCTCCATATCCTCAATTTTGTATCTTCAGATTTCCCAGTGTCTAAACGTACATGACCTGTATATGTTTGATAAGTCAACTCTCCTCGTAAAAACGTTTTATAGTTATTGACTATGTCTGGAATCTTCTGAAATGCCCAGTTTGCATGATTTTTAGACAAGTATTCAGCTGGTCGATAGATGAGATAGTTGACCCATTGTCGCATATACATCCTGCTAACCCTCAATTTGAAACGGTAAAATATGAAGTCTCTTTGCCGAATTTGTGTTATTATCGAGTCTGGCTTTCTGCGTTTTAAACTACTTTCGTATAGGATCCTGTACCGATCTACTCTTTTGGCCAATTTATTGTGTAGTTGGCGAGCCCTTGCGATTTGAATTTGGGCAGTTCCAATTTGTCGGTTATAGAGAAGGTGCCGGATGTAGATGTTGTACATTGAAAGATTGGGTTCGACGTTATAATGCAGAATCATATTATTCCAAACTTCGTTCATGCTAGAGGAGGGCAACACTCCTTCGTCAAATCCTAACTCGCGTTGAGCGGCACTTCCCCGCCTTCTGGCAAACACTGCAGTCCATTCCAATAAGTCTTGCCAAGCCCGCGTCGGAATATCAATGGAGTACTTTCTTGATACTTGATCCATCACATGTATAGCCATTGGTAAATCATTATTGATACAAAACATATGGATGATCGTACGAAGTAATCTTCGTGATGGATACAATGGAGAGTCTGGAAGACGAGTATTGAGCCTCGAATTCTCACCATTCTTCAATTCGACATCAATGTTCCACACTCGCTTGAGAATTGTTTTAGCAGTCTCAAGGTCTCCCTCTCTACTTGCCGATATCATCAACAAGCAAAATGTCTCCTCATTCCCCATCAGACCTGCCTTCCCCATTTCTTGAAATAATTTATTGACTGAAAGTCTGACTCCATTGTTGGATCCGATTCGGTGTCTATTGAATTGATAAGGTCTGTTGTCCCATTGACGAAGATCCTTATGGTGAGATACGACTCTTAGTCTTTCAGAATGGTAAGGACTAAGAACATCCGACCAACACATGGTAGCCATGTAATAATTAAAACATTCCACATCTGGTAAAATCTTTCTATTTTCCATCACTTGGAATTGATTGGAAATTAAAGACTTCCATGTCAATTCTGCGACTTCCTGATGTCCTGTAAACTTTGCAGCTTTGAGGAGCATCTTGTATTCGGACAGATGGATTGGATACTTTATTTGTCGTTTCATAATGATTCGACGCAAATGCCAAAGATAGACAATGTAGGCACGATGAGTTCCGTCATAGTCAAGAGTATCCGTTCTCATTTCCAATAAATCTTTATGCTTGAAGTCTTGTAGCAATGCCTTGTATCTCCCGAAAAAATGTTTGGGATCTAGTAATCTAAGGATTTCGGAAAACGTGTTTGGAAGAATATCCAACAAAGGTGAATAATTCACACCAAAATTATCCACTTTGGAAAGTTTAACTAGTGCTTTAAGAAGTTCATGGGGATCTCGTAACTGGAGTGCTCTGAGCACATTCTTGTATTCAGATACCATTTTAGCTTCTTTGAGGAGTATTCTGCGCTGTGCCTGATTAACAGGCAACCCCACACCAACTTTTCGTATGACAGAGACCAGATCAGACCCATCGGACACTTCATCTTGTTCTCCGAGAGTCGGGATTTCGAGTGGGTATATATCTCCGTATGCTTCTTGACTTTGAGATTTTTCGGTCGCATGCTTTCCAACCCACCAGTCCTTTAGGTTTTCCTCTTTACTCCAGGGTGGCTTCATCCATTCCGGTGTTTTGAAGAAAGTCTTCACATTTCGATGCTTATTCCTTATCTCATATCGTCTCCAGTATGCTTGTTTTGCTGCTTGCGAACCATCGTTGATGATCTCATCTCCTTCCTCGAATTGCTCGATGTTCGTTGCCTCTTCATTTCCTCTTTCTCTTCCCACAAAAGTACTAGGACTATTTCTTGGTCCTGCAGATTCGTATAGCCATCTTCTCCCATTATATTTTTTATCGGACTTCGGAAACGGTGGCACATGAAGAGTTGTAGCGATTATGGACTTGCGCGTCGCAAAACCGCGCAAGAAAGGCCCCATTAGATGTGATTTTGAAAATCATCATTCTCCCACCCTTTCTACACTCTTCTCGCATTGACCATGTAATTGATGAGATCAAATGAATTGTAATCTGGGGAAACCTGGGGAAAGTTGAAAGGGTCCACTTGGTGTTGTCAATGGCGGGAAGTTAAAAGTGGTGGTTTGAAAGTGGTGGGTTTGGTGGATTTCGCTTGATTATTTGAAATTTTTAGTGAGCGCGGCAAGTCCCGCCGTCTAAAGCAACAACCTCTATGCGATTCAGAGGTAAATTCAGTACGTCAATCCTGGTGACCATTCATAACAACAAAAAGTTCGTCGGCATAAAACGAAATAAATATGGCAGATATTGATGATGGTACATCTGCACCAGCGGAACCTCTTGATTTGGTGCGACTATGTCTCGACGAAGTTGTTTACGTGAAATTGAGGGGAGACAGAGAATTGAAAGGAAGGCTACATGTGGGATATACCCCTGCAAGACTTTGCGGTGCTTATACTGACAAAGGGTAGGCTTATGACAGTCATTGCAATTTAGTATTGGGGGATGTGGTAGAGACAATTTATGTTGTGGAGGAGAGTGAAGAAGATGATGGAGAGGAGATCGTAAAGGTTAGTCTGTATCCTACTTGGCACATGCTTTCGACTAACATGTGTTCGCAGACGGTTGTCAAGAAATCTGAGATGTTGTTTGTTAGAGGTAAGTGTTCTTGGACTCTCATTTGGTCTTCGCTGTATCTGACATTTTTTCAATAGGCGATAGTGTTATACTTATCTCACCCAGATCCTCATAAAATCCAATACCGACATGCCATTACACGACGAAAACGAGTAATCTTTCTAGGAAGGAGGAAAGAGAGACCACGAAGGTTGGAGGATGAGAGAACGATATGGCAGGCAAAAATGGGCAAATTCCACCACGATCTGGCCGCAAATACCAAAATTCGAGGACCACAAAGGCCGGGAAAGATAGATAGGCGCGAGACGGAAGAACAAATAATATATGTAACAATTCCAGCCAAATAAGCCGGGTTCAGATATATGTGAGATTGTGTAGTACAGTGGGTACTCGACTGAAGTCCGGTGTACACTAGCATGTTCGCGATTGTTTGGCTGCTCTGACTTTTACAGAGCTCCTGCTTTGAATGTTTTGGAAGGTATGGGATGCTGTGAGTTGTTACACCTGGGTCCATTGTGTCAATGCATAGTTGCATCGATTCTCACAGAGTGTTTCTATCCGAGAATGGACGGATGAGATATACCTTGACGCGCTTGGTCCTGATCAAATTCAGTTGCGCAGCAGAATTGCTCCGGCACTTTGTTTGCTTATCATTCATTTGCAGATGTTCATTGCAAGCAGGCTCGTCAAGGAGAAAGCCATAGGCGACTGGGCATAGATATATGCCTAAACAATCTCAAAGGAAGGGCCAGAGCTGAAATTGTAGGTCGTGGTTGATTCTACTACATACTACCCCAAAGTGTAATTACCATGAGCTTTCTGTAAGAATGCTTCTTCAATGATGAATTTGCCCGTGTCAGCCATTATGAGAGCAGATTCTATATCATGTCCATCGACATTCTGATCACAACCTCGAGCTCAAGTTAATGCGCACCAGAGACTACTTCATTTAATCACACTAAATTAGACACGTACGCTCACTTTGGATAGAGAAAGCTTGGGATGGACATCTAGATCTAGATGTTGTCACGTTCTTGCTGACATCTCAACATGTTACTTTTTCCGTTCTACAGACTTCTGATTGACATGGGCATGAGGAGCTATTGTGGGGTTCAGGGGTTCTTGAGCCTCATGCGTCACTTGTACTGTGTTCGGCGCGTATATGTACAAATGAAATTGACGGTATCCCGCAACAATTGTAGATAATAATGTGCAAGTGTTATTGTGTTTTACAAGTTAAGTTAGACAAAATATGATTTATATCTTTCAGTCAGAAAAGATGTCGAAACTCAGCCTCAAGGCAATGACTCAAAGATCTATGATTCATTCATCCCAAGATCCTTATCGATAAAGCCACCAGTGGGTGTACGGACTCACGGGACAGTACAAAAATGAACTTGTAAATATCTTTTGATATATTGAACCATTTATTTTAAAATTTGTTCTATTTCTTGAATAAAGATAAAATAATCAAAATACAAATTCTGATATCAAACAATTGAAGAATGGATTTATTGAAAATATTGAAAATTGGGAAGTGTCCCGTCAGTCCATGCACCCACTGGTGAGCTTCACTTATTAGACTTTACACACCGAACAGTCTTTCGGTCAGTGAAGGGCGTATTGGATCGATGTACGGTTATTGATTGTCCAATCATATCATCAAGCGTTAGGGATCATTTGACAGTCCACTACTAAATTAGTGTCAATATCCCGCACTTCACTTCACTTCCCTTCAAAGCACAGACGGAGGATCCTAGAATTGGGAATCCTAGATTGTTGGAAAGTCGAGACATGTACATCAAATAGAAAAATTTCCATATGATGCATCAAGGGCGCATATCTGACAAGCTTGACTCATATTCAAGGTTTGTCATGGATGCCGTTATTATTTTTCTGGAGATGCTAGTCAATATGAAAACATCACTCAAGTAGGTATTGTTATATATAAAGATCATCCGTTATCTCATCCTGTTTCCAGTTTTCAAGAAGTCTCACCAAGATACGAAAACAGCTTCATATCAATCATATATTTGAATTCGGCATTTCACAACCGATATCAGCCTGCAATTGTCGATTCCTTCCTTTTTCTTATCAAAGTTACACCCAAGAGCCTTCAGGGCACATATTTCCCCGCATCATCATATATCCAATCGTACCTATCTAAACATCATTCCCCTCCTACATTGCACACCTTCTTCTATTTTGTCCAGCTTCTTTTCAAGTACCTTCAGACAAAATGTCTGCTTCAAGTATATCCTCTGGCTCTGGAACAATTGCTACTTACGCCAAGAAAATCAACACGACCAAGCGACCAGATGTCGAAATTCTCCTAGATGACCACCATGATGGAAAAACCTATACAACATTTGATGGCTTGTCAGGCAAGGCCTCAATCACAGCTCCCCATGATGCGGAATTCGATGAGATCCAGATTACCCTCGAAGGCGTTACTCGAACATATGTTGAAAACATATCTCACTCCAGTGCAGCATCCAAAACAACAGCCGTACACAGATTTCTAAAGCTCGTCATGCCAGTTCGAGAAGCTGCATATCCTCAACCACGAATTGCTCAAGCTGGCAAAACATATATCTTCTCATTCAACTTTGTCATCCCAGAACAACTCCTTCCAACAGCTTGCTCACATGCATGTGATGCCGATCACGTCCATATGGCACATGTGCAATTGCCTCCTAGCATGGGCGATCGCGAAACATCCATACTAGATGACTTGGCTCCAGAGATGACCAAAATACAATACTCAATCAATGCCAGAGTTATAAAACACAATGATTTCCCAAAGAAGCAGATTTCTCTGATTGAGGGCTCGAAGAAACTTCAAATCATACCAATGGTGGCGGAAGCACCTCCTATGAGTATCTCGGACGATGACAAGAATGATTACCAGCTGTCAAAGACAAAGTCTTTGAGAAAGGGCGTGTTCTCCGGAAAGCTTGGGAAAATAACTGTTTCGGCCGATCAAACTGGAGCAATTGTTCTTCCATCTCCTGAGAGCTCCTCAGGGGCTACATCAATGGCAACTGTCAAGCTGCAATTTGAACCACACGATTCTAACTCGCAACCCCCTCGTCTTGGTAGTCTAGCCACTAAAATCAAAGCGATAAGTTTCTATGCTACCAAGCCAGCCAAGTTTCTCTCTTCCAAATCGAGTATAGTCAAGAACTTCGATCCTGCCCGACAACTTTATCAGACTTCGGTTCCTCTTTCGTCAAGATGTGTTGAGCAGGTTGCTTGGGTGAAGCACTTGCCCCAACCAGATTTATCCCGACGAGCTTCTACCATATCGTCCAGTTCGTCTGAATACTCAGACAATTCACAAATGTCGCTAAAGGCACAGGATAAGATCTACTATACAGCAGAAATCTTGGTCCCAATTTCATTGCCTTCGTCAAAGACTTGGGTGCCCTCATTCCATTCATGTATCGTCTCTCGAACTTACTCATTGGATCTTGCCTTATCCATTCATACTCCAGGAGCAGGAATTCCCGCTTCTACGGTCAAACTCTGTCTCCCAATACAGATTGCAGCTCAAGGCAACCGGACTGCGCCACTCGCTCTTACCGCAGAAGAAGCTGCTGCTGAGCTGGCAGATGCGAATGAGTATCTCAGACCACGAGTTATTGAAATGCCAAGAGGGGACTTGGTTGAGAATAGTATCTTGCGTTCGAGCTCTACTGTTCCACGTCCAGAATTGCCTCCGAGCTATGAGCACACTGAGGTATCCAGCAGGACAGTTGATCCATCAAGATGTTGATTTGAAATGGATTCGGGGGGGGGTTTTTTTTGCGTCGTTCTTTCTATTTTTGGGTAAAATGGTTCGGGAAAGCAAGCACATGATTTTCAGTACAAAGTGCACGATTCTTAATGGGAGTTTGGGGATACCAACGTGTATTTTTGATTTGGGGGTTTGGGGATTTGGGAATTTGCTGGAAGGTACACTTACGAGTACAAGATACCCTTTTACTTATTTACTCTGTAGGTACCTAGTACACATTAGGAGGTATTTATAGACAAATAATAATAATTTACTATTCTGCCATATCTTCTCCCATTCATTGAACCATTGTGAGGACCCACTGGACGTCCAAATCTCTCCAAACGATTCTTCTAAATGTTCTATAGAATCCAATGTAAATGTTCTAAACGCCTTCCATATGATTCAGAGACCCACCGGTCTTCTGACGCCGTGTATAGCCCCGCGCAACCCCACTAACAATCATCATTTCCAGGGATATTGAATACTACGCGTCTAAATTTGACAGGCTCATAGGCTTTGAAAGCTCAATACAAGGCTGCTGTCAGTGGGCTTTTCCACGGATACTCTGTATATCACACTTGTGTTATGCTGTTATGCCTGCCAGATGGATACTAGTTGACCAGCCATCTTCAATATAGATCCATCATCATACAAACCAACAAAAACCATAATCGAGTAATTCATCCAAAGTATATTAATCTTAATCCTCAAGATCGAGTTGAAGAAGACCTTTCCATCCCGTCGTCACTTATCTGAATCAAGATCAACGAATGTCATACCTCTTCAATTAACCCTTGTATTATCTACCTAGGTACCCCAGAATCATCAGCATCCCACCGCTTGTCTCATCCACACTCGTCCCATATCACGGCAAAATCAGCCTACGAGACCGATACCTGATGATTTGCCAGCTCATGCCCAATCATTAGGATTATGACTGGTGATGAAATTTTGCGCAGCATCATTCATTCATGATTAAAAAAAGATCTTCCTCTTTCGTTGTACAAACCATTTAATTACCTGGTTCACGAATAAAATCCTACCGTCCCTTTATTCATACCTACCTACTTACATATAAAACATTCTCGCTATCCGCTCTATCGATGCGGACAAAACAGCCAGAGGAAACGAATGCGATGCCAAGATACAATAGCCAACAACAGCCATATCGAGATCTTATTGATTGATCGTTTTCTGCACATTGAGGGATTGAGATATCGACATCATATTTTGTGAATATGGCGCAGACCCAACCGCAACCACAGGAGGAATCTCCCGACGTGGATCCAAAAGAATTCTATGGATATTTGTTTGATGAGAATAAGAGTCCGACGCCAGTACTAAATGCGCTATTGAGAGGCGTCGCGAATCATATTGTAAGGATTGTTCAAACTTCCGCGATTTACGCTTTGAGTTTTATGCTTATCATGGTGGCAGATAGAGAATGTGGGAAGTAAAGAAGATAAATTCCTAACGCCAGAGAAGTTGGCACTTTTCTATAAAGCTGTTGGTGGAAATTATGATTGTAAGTCTTCTCTTTTTGGGAGGGGAGGGGTATCTAGTCTCGGGTTCCCGTCGTCTTCCTTGTCTATCCGCGATTTTAGAAGCGTGCTTGCTAATAGCTTCCGTTGCCTTACATAGCTCTTTTTGTGGAGACGACACATCCATCCATTTCTTGGATTTATGCCTCGATAGGCTGTCAACATACATTAAACCCGACGAAAGATGATTTTGCCCCTCCTTCGATACCATGTCTCACTGTGCGAGGATTCGTGCGATGGCAGTCGATTGAAATACTTTTAGGGCCCGAGGAACATGTGCCATTCCTCCAAACCGCAGTCCGAGATTTCGAAATCAAAAATCCAGACACGGGAGCGAGATTCCCAATTGATTTGCCAAAGGAAGCCTTCCCATTGGTACCGGATGCGGGAATAGAGGAATGGCATCGGACCTGTGCAGAGAAATTACGCAAACGAGCAGCGCCGGATGATGAAGAGGATACTCCCATACCGGACCTCCCGCCGAGACCCAAAGTGCAAGCAAAATACGTTCATGTTCGGCCTTCGCCCAGGATCCCAGAGCCAACTCCAACAAATGCTGCGCATCCCCGCAGCGGCTATTTCGAACCTTCTACTCGCGAGTCTACCCGCGAGTCTACTCGCGAGCCGCCTCGGGAATCTACTAGAGAACCTACTCGTGAATCCGCCCGGGAATCTACTAGAGAACCTACTCGTGAATCCGCCCGGGAATCTACTCGCGAGCCTCCTCGCGAATCGGCGACCCGGGAATCTACTACCCGTCGACCCAGTCGACCCATACCTTATACCCACGTCTCAGCATCTCGACCCCAACGACCCCCTCTCAACCGATCACCTACTCATCGAGTGCGTCAATTTCTTGCTCCAGAAGAGCCATATGCACCCCGCATACCCCGCGGTCGTCATCGCAGTTTTCCCAATTTAAGTTCACCCGTCTCAGAAGACGCTCCTATCTTCCACGCGCACCCCGCTCCTCCTACCGATCCCCACCATCCCCATCACCATGTCCCAGTTCCGGATCCTCCGCACCCCGCTCACCCGCGAAGACATAGTCATCCGCGACAATCCCGCCACGCACCCATCGTTTCCGACTCCTCCGATTCGTCCAGCGATACCAGCGTGACTTCAGATTCGGAAGATGATCCTTCCCCGAAAACTCGCACGATTCCGATCAAAACATCGACGGGTAGACAGTCCATACCAAGACATCCGCAAACGGCTTATATGTCGCGAAGTGCTGGAGCGGATAGTCCTCGGGTGTTTGCATTTCCATCTACGGCGCCGGGCAGTACGATGCCGTCTCCGGTTTCGGATGCGAGAGACAGAGAGAGGGAGAGGGAGAGACAGAGAGATATTGAGGAGAAAGTGAGACGCGGTCAGTATCCGACTAATATTGATTTGAATGGTAAATTGAGCGCGCCGTTTCTGGCGGGGAGGAGGAAGAGAGAGACGGGGAGAGGATCGGTTGATATTGATAGGGAGAGGGAGAGGGATAGGGAGAGAGAAAAGGGGAGAAGCGATAGTAGGGGTGTGAAGTGGAGGGATCTAGGAGATATTGCTGAGATGTGGAGGAATGGGGGGATGAGAGGGGAGGGTGTTAGTAGTCATTCTCATCATGTGAGTGGGGGGAGCGGCGGAGAAAGTGGAAGAGAGAGTGGAGAAGGGAGGGGGAGTAGGACACACAGTAGTCGGGAAGATAGGAGCGATAGGGACAGGGATAGAGATCGCGAAAGGGAAAGGGAAAGGGATCGAGATAGAGAGAGGGATAGAGATCGAGACCGAGATGAGCGGGATAGGGGTGATAGAGACAGAGATTACAAGAGAAGGGAACGACCTAGGTTACAAACGAGACATAGTAGTCATGAGGAAATCCCCGCGAGGAGAATCAGAACGGAAAGAGCGGATAGAGAGAGAGATGATGAATACGAAGGGAGGAGTTTCAGGGAACGAGATCGAGAGAGAAGGGAAAGGATTGTGAGTCCTGTGAGGGGTGTAGATGGGAGGAAATATCCGGATTGGAGATGACGACGATGATGATGATGATTTATGAAGATGGGAAAGGATGAATATGTGTTGACGATGAAGTTTCGGATGTGTCTTGAAGGCGTGCATGGATGCATTGAGCGATGGATAAATACATTAAGCGAGCGAAATGCGAATGAGCAATTAGTACGTATGTGATGGATGGATGATTAGTTTATACATTGTGTTCTTTACGTTATGTGTAAGTCATGTTAGCCAATACGAAATACCAGGATTGCCAATGATTGATAGATAGATGGATGCATGAATGAAAGGATGGTTCCCATCTCCTTTTGCGTAGAGAGAATTTGGGGCGGGCTTGTCTTACTTGCTCGTCTTGTCAGGGGACTACCATATCGATGTATCACTCTATCTATCTATCTATCAATTTATCAATTTATCATTCTATCAATTTACTTCGTATTGCAACAGATACCTACTATGAGGTATAGAATCGTATCTTCCCTTGGCTGCAGATACCTGCCTACCTCACTCTCGCTCTCGCTAGAACACACAGTATACCCAACAACGGTACTTGCTACTTTTCAAACCTTGCACGCTTTTGTATTGAAGCTTTAAATCCCCTCTTGTTGTTTATCTATCTAGATAGATACTAGATAGATAGACAAGTAGGTATGCATAATCAAGTCTAGATGTTGCTCTTGCAGCATTTTATATTTCCGTCACCACTTCGTATGCGATCGAGCAAGTCAAAGTTCTGCACTTTTTTTTTGGCTTCTTAAAATGCTTCTTAATCTGTCTCACCACAAAGACAGCATGAAACGAATAGAAAATGAACTTGTTTCTATAGTATCGATTTAATTGATGTTACTACCGAAAGCTATGTGTGTATCACATGCTAGACATCCATCGATCTTCATTTACTCAAATGCGAGATGTGTACTTTCATCGAAAATAGCATAACCGCAATATGAGGAGAACTGCGGGAGGTATTTCGAGTAAACTCCATGCTTGAAAACCACCCTGAAAACAAAAATGTCACCTGTGCACTCCTTTGCCCCTAAACCATCCATAATAAAACCGAACTGAGAAGAGAAACTTTCGCCTAGGATTAATTGTTCAAGAGAACTGGAGAATGGTTAGAAAAGATAATCAGATTGTAAATCCGAGTGGAGACGATACATACCTTCCAGCGATGACCACAAACTTGACATTCGCAGAAAGTCGTCATAGGTTCATCAGCACTGCGAGTCTGTGCTTGTGAATAGCTGACTTTCTTTTGACCACATTTTCCGCACGTTAAAGCATCACTAATACTCTTCTCCGCCATTGGTACCTGAGCCTTCTTCATGTTCTCCAACTCTAACGCGTCGTCCTTCTTCTTCATCTCCTCTGATTTTAATTCCTCATGCGTCATGACAACAAAACGAGCTGGTTCGATATCTCCCGACATGACTCTCTTGCGCAACTGCGTATTGGAGACTTGTTTGAGATTTTGAAAGAGGGAACGAAGCTTCTCTTTATATTCCTTTGTCTCACCTCCAAAATGATCAAACGCAGCTTGTTCAACAGCCATAGCCTTGATAATGACATGAGTGGGGGGTTCTTCGCATTTGAAGGCAAGACCATTATACATTAATCCAATGCAAGCATCGCGTGTTGGAAGACCCGTACGCTTAGTATCGACTTTATCAGTCTCCCATCTTCGCTTTGAAGAATCGCCTTTGAAGGCTTTCGTGACTGGGGCGCTAGGCGCGGGCGCAGGAGAGGAAGTACTGTTACTGCGAACTGCGGGAGAAGATCCGGATGCCATTTGCTTTGCTTTGCGCTTTTCTTTTTCGGCTTCGACTGTTTTTTTCCACTTGGTGACGATTTCAGTGGCAAGTTTGGCAATGTCTTTATTCGCGTTTCCTCGTTGTTTGGCTACTACCATTCCTGCTTTGGTTGCCTAGAGGATATATTGATCAGTCCATGCATTTGAAGGTTTATCGTGGAGACACAAAGACCCAGAAGAGCTTGGTTAGGAATGTAGCCGGTTGTAGACATACCCTAAGAAGTTCTTCAGTGGCATTTACATCTCTCTTCAGAGTTTCCATAATGGTAATGACGTTCGCTGCCGGCTCTTTGTCATTGATCGCCTTTTGAAGAGCCGAAACTCTTGAGGTAAGTTCTCTTTGATCCATCTTGAAAGAAAGGAGATAGAGGGGTTTCGATTGTATGCGATTGTTGTTTTTGCTGCAGACCGATAGGAAATGTTCGACGATATCGAAGAATCGGATTCGAGGCTGCGTAGATTCTATGTACGAAAATGAATTGAATTGGGTATCAGAAAAGTAACCAGATAAATTACAAAAGAAAGTGTGTCGTTGAGAAGGTTTTTGATAATTGTTTTCTACAAGTTTGATGATTAAATATCACAAGGCTGATGTTACGGCCAAAAATGGTATGCACGGGCCAATTGCTTGTGCTGTATAAACTTTCCCAGCAGCGAAAGGCAAAGTTTCCGTTTGCACTTCATCTCGCATTCTGTATCATATATAGTCAGCTGTACTTGTTCTTTTCTCAAAAAGATTGATATTCGAAGTTGATATTGAATGTTTGGTATTGCTCAAAGCTTGAGAAGACACCATGTGAATATCCTCTTTCTAGTCTAGTACACGAATTCTAATTGAATAGAAGAATTTCTTGCGGCAGGATTTTAGGATGTTTGATGATTTGTATCGTTCATAGGAGTCTTGACATCTACCAGAAATTCTCTCTGTCTTTCCTAGTGGGATTTAAAACATCAAGTATCTGCGTTGGCAGAAACACAATGATGGAAAGGATATATGGTTTACCTTTATCCCCAAACTCCGCGGTGATGAATCTATCTCGTGAGTACCTCCGTTTTTATATTGCGGATATTGCGGAATGTTCCACAAACGTACATATGCACATCTATGAAGCTTAGGGATCAAAATGATATCGACCGGCAAGTTGAACGGCGGTCTATGCTTGCAAAGTTGGCTTGTCAGCGCGGCATTTTGAGTCATCGTATGAATGAGTGTCAAGTACGCCCTTGCTCTGAAAGCAAGTATAAATATGTCAAGTTTTCCTCCGTTGTTTGTCCATTCACCGTACTACCAAACGAGTTCTCTTTAAATTACATCTCTTCTCTTCTCATCGCCGTATTCTCACATCCCATACAATCGCCACAATGCAACCACTCGCAGGAAAAGTCGCCCTTGTAACCGGGGGAAGCAAAGGAATCGGTCGAGCAATTTGTCTTCGTCTCGCACGTGATGGTGCAATAGTAGTCATAAACTATAGCAATGACTCTTCCGCAGCAAACGAAGTTGCATCACTTATCGGAGAGAAGAACGCTATGGTTATCAAAGCTGATGCCGGCAATATTGAAGATATTTCAAGAATGGTTGATACAACGGTTGAGAAGCACGGAAAGATTGATATCTTGGTTGCCTGTACTGCAACTATGAAGTTGAATGAATTGGAAAATGTCAGGGGCGAAGAATTTGATCAGACGTTCGATTTGAATGTCAAAGGTCCTTTGTTTCTCGCCCAGGTACGTCTTATATCCACTTGTTAGTCGTGTGGCTTTCTAATGGTTTCAGAAATCCGTTCCTTATATGACCCACGGTTCCCGCATCATACTCTTCTCCACAACACAATGCCATGCCAGCACAGTAGCACCACAATACCTAACATACATCATGTCGAAAGGTGCCATCGAGCAAATGACCCGAGCTCTTTCGAAAGATCTAGCACGCAAGGGTATTATGGTCAATACAGTTGCGCCAGGACCAACGGCGACTGAGTTATTCTTCAGAGGCAAGAGTGATCAACTTTTGAAGACACTTGCTGGCTTAAATCCTCAGAATAGGATTGGAGAACCAGACGAGATTGCAGACGTTGTGGCATTTTTGAGTAGTGAGGCATGTTCATGGGTGACGGGTCAGACACTTCAAGTGAATGGTGGAATGGCATAACTGTAGGGCACACTAGCAATTAGACTCGTTTTTCTATGCGCTTAGCGAGTTTGCATTCAGTGCGGTATGCTTAAAATACGAGGGCCTTTTGATCAAGAAACAGGAACATCCAATTCTACCTTTTCTAGTTATTATTAAAAGCCAGTAGTCCTCGGTAGTAATAAAAATAATTGGAATAATCATTACTATCCTCTATACTTACTAAGTGCAGCAATTCATTCCCACGTCCCTTTCACGCAGCTCCAGCATCCATCTTTCCATTTTCCAAAAGATCTGTCGTCCTACAGATGTAGGGGTCAAAATCCGGTTCCTCTTTTACCACTTCTGCTCCTTCCTATTTACGATATTAGTAACTCAATTTCATGCCGTCTCGTTCCCTCTCTATGCCCCTATGATCCCGAGGTGCCGAATCAAGTTTTAAGATCAAGATGTCCAGCTTTTCGCTCCAACCAGTTTTCTCATTTCCACTCTACCTATCCGCAAAAGATCCTCAAAGCTAAGACCAAACCTTTCTTTTGAAAAAAAAAGGGGGTAATGCAGAAACAGACTCACAGGAATAGGAACCATGGCCCTCTTAACCCAAATATGCTTCGCCATTTTCCAATCCAATCCCTCAATACACCCTCCCTTCACACTAACAACGCTCTTTCCAGGCGTGCTGTGGATTAACCGTGTACCACATGTTTTGCAGAAATAACAATTCACCGTGTGTCCTGAGGCCGTGGGACGACTTTAGGAGAAGAGACGTTAATTTTTTGTCACTATTTCCATAGAAGGAGGAGCGTATGTAATTGATAGAGGGAAAAACGGGAGAGGAGCAAGAATGAAAAGGAAACTAACGTATAAACCGCCAGAAACTCCGGACACGGCAATGGGAATCGAGGAAAGATAGCAGAGGCGCCGAACGCTGAGGAGGATTGTCGTTTGCATTCCTATAGATCCCTCGAGTTAGCTCCTGATAGCATTATACGTATTTGCTTCATCTCCATCCATCAAATTCTACAACACAACTCCAGAAACACACATATATCCCATGACTAACTCAATAACCCGAAGGATATAAACATAAACCCCGTACCAAAAAAGTGAAGAGAATAGCAAAATCTTACATTACAATGACAAATATAAAGCGCCAGTGGTTTCGCCAACGGAGTTTTGAAAACTACATTTTGGCATTCGCAGGAGACGTTCATGGTTGCTCGCTCGCTCGCTCGCTTGCTTATTGGTTGAATTGGATGATGGTAGGATGAGATGGGGAAATGTGGGGTAGATAGATAGATTGGTATGCGGAGGTGAGATTCAATTGCAAAGATTGCGATTGATATAAGGTATTTTGATCTCCTCCGAGCTGAAGAATCATTGAGAAAGAATGGAGATGCAGAAGAAAATAAAGTGCTTAGAAGATATGAGGTATTGTATGACACAATCTGGGAAATTTCGCAGATGAGAGATGCATGCACGGATGAGATGACTCTCTGCTTTTTTTCGGTTGAGTCATCGTCACATGATGACCTGTCTTTAATTTTGTGTTCGTGTCGCGCTTTTTTTGTTCCTTGGTAATGATCTTTGTCTTATTAAATAGTTATGAGGAGAGGTATCATTAGCTACTATGTATATACATGATTATTAAATAAATTGCGCTGGTAAACTGAACGCGAGCTTTGCTGTGACGTAGATATCAGACTGTATGAAACAAGAGGACATTCCTGGGCGAGAGTTGATTGAAGAAAGGACAAAAGCTTCGCCATTGTAGATTTCCACGTTTGAGTTCAAAACAACGGAGATTATGTGACAATGTTATGAATAGCCTATCTCAATGAGCCAAAGCATCAGTACTTTGTCGATCTCGTCCATGCGATTGACGACCTTCCTCTGCACCATGCTGACCTCTTCCAACATCAGAATGCTTTGCTGGATCGAATACATAAATGGGAAATTCCAAGAAAATTGTCCTTTTCAATATCGTAGGGAGTTTCTCATAAATTTGTGGTGGGAAAGGGATGAGAATGCTCGTTCGGTTCAGATATCGAGAGTATTCCTCCCAGTGATTGTCCTTCTCGTATCGTTTCTTTGCACCAGGTCTTTCTTGAAGTGTCAAACCGGATACGAACATGAGTAGGGTAGTGAGGAATATTGCGCCGAGAATTGAAGCATAGAGAGCTGAGCGGGCTCCACCATGAACATAGCCTTCGGCGGCAGGTGAGACTGCAATCATGTAGATAGCTGCAATTCATTAGCGAGAGAAGTATTTAGTTGGATGAGAAGGCCTACCAAACTGGATGATGATCTCTCCAAAATAATTTGGATGACGACTCCATGAGAAGAAACCCTTGTCGCAGATTTTCGATTTGTCGCTATTGTTGGCTTTGAAAAGATATTTCTGAATATCGCTCACACTCTCCATAATAATACCAATAGCGTAGAGAATGACTCCCGCGATATCACTAGCTGTGCCGAAAGCAGGCTGTGGGAATCTCGTGACTTTGGGGGAATTCAATATGGTGACCGGGAAAGAGACAACCCAAACCCAGAACATCTGGAATACCCAAAACCCAAGAAATTTGAAGAAGTTATCACGCTTATCATCGAATCTATCATCTTTTCCGGTTTTCAGGATTCGGAATAATAGGAAAGCTGATAGGCGTGCCCCCCATACCATGATAAAAAGAGAGGCGACGATTTGACGTGCATGGTGATGACCACTGAATGCAAGCGTTATGATGGCAAGTACAACGAAATTTGTTCCTCCAGCAAAATCTGAAATTAACATTAGCAGCCATTGAGTATATCTCGAGCAAAATAGACTTGTTCTGACCTGTAAGTTTATCAAATTTGAGAGAAAATGCAATTGCGAAGAAGAACAATTGATACGCAACTGTAATTAAGAACGTTATTGCGAGGTAGTAATCATCTAAAACATGGACGACGGTCATATCTGCGATATACAGTTGAACGTGTCTAAATGCGATGGTGGTTATGATCCTTTACAATGGTTCGAAAGTGTGGAAATGTCTCGAAGCAGAAGGGAAAGAATAGTAATTATGATGGAAGCTTGGGATGACAAGGCACTACTTCTTGCCGTGTTGGGGGGGAGCTTGATGTCAGCCTAAGTAGCTCCTAGAACTCGCCGTTCCTGTATTTGAGTCAAATAGTAGTAGATATTATTACCTCCTAGGATCGGTATTGGTGCAATAGTCACAAAGTCACAGCATCAAAGACTATGCAATGACCGATGTGGCTTAAAAATGTTTTGTTTGGAGATAGAGAAATGTAAAAATGCACTTCGGACACCCACGAAACTCCGTTGGGATTCTTTCTTCTCTCCCCTTCATCGTTGAAACATCTGTGAAATCGACATTTTTGGCTTGGTACTTGGTGATAAATTTTCGCTAGATCGTGACGTACTCTATCTAGATAGGTCAGAAGTCTATTCTGATTATTAATTAAATTTTATATATCGATCGAGGCTAGTTCGGCTAGTATCATTATAATGATCAGAGTCCTACGGGTACTGGCTCGACTGGTACATAGATTGTTTGGCTGGGAGGATCGGACACGGAGTATAGATAGCATCCATCGTACTCGTAGATAGAAGTCGGAAGTTACTACACCCGATCGTCTCAATTGACTTTTAAGCTTAATATGCTACCCGAGTCCCCGTGTCTGGAATTTCCTACTTTGTCACGTGTCGGTATCCTAGGCACTGCAGTACTGGTAGCATTTATCATTACTAGGTAATCTATGCAAGGCTGATGGTTTGATCATTCTTGGGATTGATGAACATACATATCCTGGGTTAATATGTTTCATGTTTCTAATCGTCTTCCATCCTTCTAGTCTTACAAATTGGTTGTGTCTCAAAGTAAGAAACAACTTCATATGGAAATCGCTTCTACCGGTTATCACAATCTGCATGTGATATCCATAGGTATACAAGGCTAATCTACAAATCCCATATCTAGCAAGTCGTCGTTAAACATCTTCCATTACAAAACTCTTCAGATTCGAGATTCGAGATCCGATAGGACAACAGCAGTAAAGGTTCTGGTTGCGAATTTCGAGTTCCTGATGGGGGTCAAACATTTCAGCGTAATCCTCCCTAACATCGTCGCGCACTCCATTCAATTCATTGATTCCACTTCCACTATACCTTATACACCCAAGGAAAACCGATGGAGTCTGTACAAGGCTTGTTTTGCATTCCAGGATTCATAATTCCCATTGGACAACATACTTGGAGTGTGCAATTTGTACAATGGTCTGAGAATTCTCACGCCACCAAGCTAGTCTGAAACCCCACATGTCTGGGATTCATTTTCCCCATACCAGGTGTACTTTCAAAAACTCTCTGACGTTTGAGATTCTTGCATCTCTTACATCCTAGGCAAATATTCTATCAAAAGTATTTCAAGCCACCACTTGTGAAGTATGCTTTTGCACTAGTCTCGTATCCTTGCTGGACTCCCCTGCTGTTTATGTTATGCGTCGACTTTCTTCACTCAATCGTACCGCCGGGACCCTTGAACTCTTTCGTTTTTTTTACCTGATCGAATCAATCATTTTGTCATGTCTTACTCCAGTGTGCCACTGTAAGTGTTGGCAAAGCTTCCCTTCTCATATAAAAGTTGAATCATAGACCCCTGGCGGTTCGTAGATTTGATGGCGCCACGATCCCATATCATCCGTCCATGATTCTCCCATGGGCGTCGGGGATCTGCATCTAGGACTACGCACTGCAGTGCTTCAACTTTCGATCATAGCGCCAAGGCTCATTGATGCACGGCTTGAGGGTCGTATGCATATCTGTTTCCACTTCCCTCATTGAATCACTTATCATCTGAGCACTCTCTTTTAAATCTCTTGTCATCTAATCAATTGTAATTCTGCAGCTGCAGGTCACGCTCACTCATTACTTTTCATATTCTTTGCTTCATACAACGGCTGGGCTGTTGACTACATTCATTAATACCTAAATTCAAACTTCGAAAGGCAGGATACCAAATTACATCATCTAACGGCAATATTGGAGGACGATGAAGGGCTTTATAAGAGCATCGCTATTGGTGGCAGTGGGGGCGGCAGGTCTTGCACAGGTATGGTTTGAGAGATAGTTCATGCTGTCGATGGTCGCTGATGATAATCTAGGGATATCGGTATGAAGCTAGAGGTTTAAGTGATATCATTGCCGCTCTCGAAGGAGGAGGGAAAGCGAGCGCAGCACCCGCGGTGACAAAGGAGATCACAAAGACAATGACTGTCACAAAGATTGCTCAGGGAGCGGCAGCGCCAACAGGAGCTGCAGTACAAGCTGCTGGAACTGGGTATGAAAATCAGTCTTTCAGAAACTAGTCGAAAACTAACAATTCCAGTGGCCAATTTTCTTTCCTCACCTCGACCGTCTTCGGTACAGGAGCTCCGCCCACCGTTACTGTCACTCCACTACCTCAAATGGTTACCCAAACAGTCACCGAAACTGAGCAAGTGATGGTAACTATGATGGCTACGCAAATGTCAGTTGTTACGTCTATGGTCACTATGACTATGATGCAAACAACTACCGTCATGGTATCAGGTATGTTGAATCCATATTGAAATATCTTCCATGGAACTAATCCGATGTCAAAGTTCCAATGCAAGGTGCTATAACGGCAGCATCAATTAGCACATCCTTAACTGAAGCTGCTATTCAAGGAGCTACAGTCGCGAGTGTCGCCACATCAGCTGCGATACAAGCTGGAGGATCACCAGCTCCTGCACTGGGAGCTGCACAAGTCGCACAGCCAAATCCTGTGGATATCAACACATTCTCCTTGTCCAGCAGTTTAGTCCTTGGAAATCTTGCTGTGGCGACAGCGGTCTGAGATCAGAGCTTGATGCTCGAATAGTAATGAAATGGGTTTAAAAGAGAAGTAATATTAGATTGTGCAGGGCTAGACTCCCGAAAGATACCAAATTCGTTGTAAATATACGTTCAAAAAATGACGCCACAAGGGGAAAAAAAAAATAGCAAAAGAATACAAAAATCAACTATTAGCTTTCGCTTTTATTATATTATTAGTATCTATGATTGCAGGAGCCGTAGGAGATGTTTCTTTCGATGAGCTCGAATTGGATTCGGCGGCTTTCAAGGCTTCCATCCTCTGTTTCTTTGCCTGTCTCTTACTTATCTGGGGTGGCTCGTTCTCTTTTGCCTCCTTATTATCATCGGCTTTCCTTTTTCCCTTTCCCTTTTCCCCATTATTTGCTTTAGTCTTCTGCGCCTCGCTGATTTCAGCGTCCTTCTCAGCGCTCCGTTCACCACCATAAACCACATCGACCAATCCTCTGTAGGAACTTCTTTTTAATCCCTCATTTATAACCACCGATCTTGGATTGTCGCCCAATCCTTCCATGCCTCTTTCTCTACCCAATCCCCATACTGCCATCAAATTGACCACATCTGCTGGGCCTCTGACACCCAATGCAGTCTTAGCTTCACTACTTATCACAATCCCTCTTCCTCTCGTAGCTCTGAATATTCCCAGGCAATTACTTATAAAGTTTTTGCGAGCATTTGAATCTTCCATCGTAGCTTGCGCGTAACATATTTCAAATCTAATGCCACGATGTATAGCAGCCATGAGAGGCTTAGGTTTGAAGTGAAATGGATATCGTTGTGTGAGGTCAAGGGATATGAGAGAGTGATCCGCTAGATTAAGACATGCTGCGACGAATGCCTTTTCTGTGGTAGGGCGGATTGCGACAATATCGTAGGCGGATGAAATAGCTGAGAGACGGTGGTTGAGGGAGGGATCGGAGAGAGTGAGGGTGCAACGGCGAAGAATGACTGTTTTGGGAGGCACTGTGAAAGGAAATGTCGTAGGTATTGGGTTTGTTATAGTGGAAGGAAGCGGTCCGCTTTGGAGATGATTGAGAGCTATGGTACCGTAGCCTAATTCTGAAAGAAATGAGATTGTTCTTTGTAGATCGAGAGCGTCTTTACTTGATGACCAAGGAACATTGAGATCGTAGAGCATATTCGCGTTAGTTCTGTTGTTTAATATGCCTTTGCATTGATAATCTTCCTGTAATTTCTTTGCGATGACGAAAAAGTGTAACATATAATCGCGAAAGATGAAGCTTGATAACAAAAATTATTATCCGTCACTCAGCCTTGGCCAACTTTTGAAAAGGCTGTCGGTAACCTTTTATTTAAGGCCGCCCGATCGAAAATAACTCCTGCGCTAGCGCGGGGTGTGTTTACCATCCATCAAGAATTCGTAGCACATCAACATCAGATCATTATTTTCTACAACATCGTACAAGGTCATCCTGCGAATCTTTGCCAGAACCATCCGGTCGAACAATCAGGTTCTTATCAATCGGCGACTCACTCCGGATCTCGATATTTTCGAAAAGGCGGTCTCTACACGATTTGCGCGGCGCCGCCTTCCCATACTAGGCCGGCCGCAAAATGGCTCGCGTCTATGCGGATGTCAACCAGCAGATGCCACGGGCATATTGGGATTATGATAGTGTAAATATTACCTGGGGCGTATTGGAGAACTATGAAGTTGTGCGCAAGATTGGTAAGTCGGCAATACCTCCTTCCCCAAGACTTGTTTTGCTTTTACCCGCTCGTGGCTATGTGTGTGCTGCTTACTGACACGCGGATGTGTGTCCATGTAGGACGAGGAAAGTATTCGGAAGTCTTTGAGGGAATCAATGTAGCCAACTACCAAAAATGTGTGATTAAGGTGTTGAAGCCGGTCAAGAAGAAGAAGATCAAGAGAGAGATCAAGATCCTACAGAACTTGTCAGGAGGCCCAAATATTGTCGCCCTCCTTGACGTTGTTAGGGACAGTCAAGTAAATCAAACTTTTCCTTCTCTCCCAGGCGAACCTTTTTCCCTAGTTGGGAAGACGGGCAAATGCGCGCTCACTGGCCTTGAACAACCCCTTGAAGAAGAAACAGACGACTCATTCATGATGCAGAGCAAAACACCTTCGTTGATTTTCGAATTCGTCAACAACACCGACTTCCGTAGCCTTTACCCTAAGTTTATCGATTACGATGTCCGATTTTATATTTATGAGCTCTTGAAGGTATGATCCCCCAATTTTCAGAAAGCATTGAAGTTACTAACGTCGATAGGCATTGGACTTTTGTCACAGCAAGGGCATCATGCACAGAGATGTCAAGCCTCACAACGTGATGATTGATCACGAAAACAGAAAGGTAGGATTCTCAATAGCTGGAAGAATACCTTGACTGACTTGTAGGATTAGTTGAGACTTATCGATTGGGGTCTTGCGGAATTCTATCACCAAGGCACCGAGTACAACGTTCGGGTCGCATCAAGATATTTCAAGGGACCTGAATTGCTTGTTGACTTCCAGGAATATGACTACTCCTTGGACATGTGGTCTTTAGGTGCCATGTTCGCTTCGATGATTTTCAGAAAGGAGCCATTCTTCCACGGAAATAGCAACTCGGATCAATTAGTCAAAATTGCTAAAGTTCTCGGCACTGAAGATTTATTTGACTACCTCGACAAATACGAGATTGAGCTCGACGCACAATATGACGATATTCTAGGCAGATTCCCAAAGAAGAACTGGCACAGCTTTGTCAATGCTGAGAACCAACGATTCGTTACTAATGAAGCTATTGACTTCTTGGATAAACTTCTCCGATATGATCACCAAGTATGCCTACCACTATCAAGCCTCGTCTTACATATACTGACATGTGATTTAGGAACGTTTGACTGCTAAGGAAGCCATGGCCCATCCTTTCTTCGCACCTATTCGTGCTGACGAGGCAGCTGCACGTGGTACCCCAGCTCCTGCTACATGATTCCACTTCATCCCATACGACTTTAAAAACTTACCCGACATTCATGTACGGGCTCATTTTTGACTTTTAAGGTTCATATGAGCTAGTCCAATTCTGAATAGCGTTATGCCATTTGGCTTGATAATGTTCTTCTCTCAGAGCCACCTTCCATACTTCACTTTAATACATCGAGTATGAGAATCATGGGGACGTTCGTTTCGATTGGGGGACCTGGAGGAGGGTTGCGGGACCAGGCGTTGATGAATTTTTTTACGCGACCGAAGTTGCATACCCTCTGCTCTTACTTTTCGTCGAGCATTGAAAGTTTTAATGCAAACTCTAGATAGGCTAAATCAACTCAAGATTTTGTGTTTATCGCATTATAGTCCATGCGCGGTCTTTCAAAATATAATATATTGCTTTTTACTCCTCTTGTCCCCATTGTTCTTGGTGTATTGGATGTTGTGCCTGTAAGGGATGTATGACATGATTCGTGGACCGGGAGCGGGGAGACGACTTTGCTCCGGTCCCGCCCCACAGCGTCCAACCTTTGAAAAGTTAATCCCCAACGGCGACGGCTTGAGATTACCATTTCCTCTCCGTTTAACATTGAGATACTATTCTTGATACATGAAAAGCGAATCTTGAAATACGTGATGCCAACAACCAATTATATAGGAAAGAGTCACCACAGCTCCCGGGCATGCAGGACTTGCGCATTGGCAAAAGCAAAATGTGTACCACGGCCGGGAGGATCCAGTGCGAAATGTGAAAGGTACATATGACTAGAGTTTTCGCTGCCATTATACTATGCTATATACTAATCATAATAGATGTCATCGTCTAAAGAAAGATTGTGTGACACAAACTCCTTCTGTACGGGCTCACAAGCCTCAAAAGACTACGTATTGACTGCTCTCTCCATAACTATCTATCATGCCTCTAATGTCGATTCTAGTCGAGTTGCACAATTAGAGAAGAAACTTGATGGAATTGTGAATCTCCTGCAACAGCAACAACAAGGCGTCCATTCCCAAGATACAACACCGACATTCTCTCCACTAGTCACCAATGAAAACATCCTCCCCAGATCACCACCCCTCCCCGAACCAGAACCGGAAAATCCAATCCCTAACAGAAGTACTTCTCATGTCATCCCTAAACCTCTTGAACCGAGTAAAAGGCAATCTGTCTACGAAAAAAGCACAAATGCCTGTCTCCTCGCCCACGCCAACTCGGATCTCGAGCCCAACGATAAGGAGATCGAGAGGCTGGTAAGATTGTACCAGGTTGAAATGACGGCGAGATTTCCATTTGTGGTTATTGAGACTGGACGATTGACAGGGAAGCAATGGGTAGCGAGCAAACCGGTGCTGGGAAAGGCGGTCTTGATGGCGGCAAGTTATTATAATTTGCCGAGACAGACGGTTTATGAGACAGCGTTGGTGAGGGATTTGACGGAAAGGATTATGGTGAGAAGGGAAAAGACTTTAGAGTTGTTGCAGACGATTTTGGTCTTTTGTGGGTGGTGAGTAGTGTATTTTTCTCTTTCGTTTCTGTAACTCCCTTATTGGGCTAGTGGGCAAGAAATGCGGTTTCAGTTGCTGTTTGAACGAATGAGACGGCTGCTGTGTATCAAAGAGGCTTGAAAGCTACAAATGACATGATTCGCCTGGAAGAGGTCATCTACTGACCAATATGAATGGTTAGGTATCATTACCATTGTTTAGGACATCCCCACCTGAACAATCTCCTAGGCCTAGCAATGGGTCTCGCTGGAGATTTGGGACTGAATAAGCCGCCATCGGCCGATAGATTCAAGTATCCATTTGGCCACAGCAGAGCCACAGCGGGAGATTTCTCAAGGAGAACCATGGAGCAGAGAAGAGCCTTAGCTGGTTTATTCTATCTAACCTCTTTGTGAGCTTCAACTTTTATTTTATTCCATTTCAATGCATCTTTGCTAATTTACGTCTAGAGTTGCCACAGGCTTTCAGCGTATAGATGCTATGAGATATTCCATACATCTCGATGAATGTGTTCGTTTCATAGAGAAGAAACCAGAACATACTACAGATCTCTTACTAGTTGAGTTAGTGAAGATATCGCATCTTGGAGAAAAGATTGGGCAAGCGGTCTTACTTGTTCAGAGTGATAGTGAAATTCAAGTCCCTACTGCGTTGAAGTTGGGTTCATTTCAGATGGAACTAGATATATTGAAGAAGGGTATTCCTAGTGCTCTGGGAGATGATGGTACGTATTTCAAATTTTTATTTATTTATTTATTTATTTATTTATTTATTTATTTATTTATTTATTTATTTATTTATTTATTTATTTATTTATTTATTTATTTATTTATTTATTTATTTATTTATTTATTTATTTATTTATTTATTTATTTATTTATTTATTTATTTATTTATTTATTTATTTATTTATTTATTTATTTATTTATTTATTTGTTTATTTATTTATTTATTTATTTATTTATTTATTTAAAGTTGAAGTCACACTTTTCAGTCGGGCGTCAACACTTGAATGGCTCTTGTGATTAAGGAATTAATACGTACAATCAGTAATCCTACAGCTTCACCATCACATTTCTACCATCCGTCTCTACGAAGTCGCATTGACTAATGGCTGGATACCCACAAATGCAACACAATCACCTCAATCTATTTCAGCAGCCCAATCAATTCACCCATCGCCTTTACATCCATCTCACCTACAATCTCTCTATACTTGTCTCCACCACACACGCTCTTTCCTTCACTTAGTCCTCTCAATTTCTCCGTCCACCTATCTAAGTCAGCCTATTGCTCCATGGTCCCTCCTCGCCTATGCCCTCATGGTTCTCGCCCGTCTATCCTTCTACCAAAATCCACTTCTCCCCTCCTGGAACCTCGATTTCGTCCGTGAAGTCTGTGATCTCTCCTGGGTGTTAAAAGAGCTAGCAGAGCGTAACGATAGAGCGAAATTTGTAGATATCAACATCACTACCGAAGATGGAGAATGGGGGAAAGACGCAGAGGTGGGTAATGATGGAAGAAGAGTAGGAGAGGGCTGGACAGATTGCTTCGACAAGTTTGCGAGGAAGATACGTTTGGTGAGGGGGTGGTATGATCAGAAGGTTGCTGCTTATGGGAGTTCGGCACAGTCACAGCCGCTAGGAGATGGGTTTAGAGTTGACAGGAATGCTGTGGAGGATATTAATGCAGGAGGCACGTTGACGCAGATTGATGCTGGAATGGAGGGTGTGTTAAATGAACAGGTGAGCTCAGATACAATGCCATTGTTGGGTGATTTGGATATGAGCCCTTGGGATGGATTCGATGGGCAGAATTTTTGGATGGATTTGGGAGAATGGAATGTAGATGGGTTGGAGGCTATGGGTGCGATGCTGTAGGTACATCAAACGCATGTCTCTGAAGTTCCATGTTCTTCTATTCTCCTTGTCCGACTGAATGACAGAACATATATGAATCGGATTCGAGAGGGAGCCTCTGAGACCTTCTGAAAATCTCGAAGCTCAAAATTACCTACTCAGACACACGTCGATCAAATCACCCCACCCCTTTCAAAATTGCTATTGTTTATTTCGAAACATGTCCCTCGCATTCTTCTTCTTCTGTTGCAGCGTTATTCATAATATCTTTGTGTTTTGTTAATTGTGGCGTAATACCCTGGAAGCTCGGTTCCCCGGGCTCAAACGCGAATTACAAAGAACCCCTAATTTTTTGCCACTGGCTATGTCGGCCTCGAACTTCTTCGTCTGAGAATCTTTGTCTATGGCTTTTCCTTGAATTATATAGTGTCTGTCTGTTGTGTCATTGTTCTACTACGGACTTCAGATCTTGAACAACTGCTCGAGGGAAGTATATAAATCTGAGAAATACCTCCCAGTATTTGCTTTTTTACTCCCCAGTTTCATCAATAACAATCACATTCGCAACTAAACAAACTTTCAAATCCTCCAAACCCTTGAAGTATAGCACCTGCTCCTGAATTCGTCTTCTCCAGATTTAACCTTCAAAACATAATAACAAAAAGCAACAACCGAAAGTCTTCACCCCCCTATCCAAAAATGTCTCAAACACGCGCTGCCCAATTCCTCGTCCAAAATCTCCCTCCTTTTTTCCCCCAATACTCTCCCCGCACAAGAAAACTCAGCTCTCGCGAAGATACTCGCGCATCCGTTTCTAGAGAGGTTAAACATATGATCAGAGTAACAAGAGGAGACAAGACTCGGGACATCCACAAACAGACTCGCAAAGTACGGGAGATGGATAGAAAGCTCAAGAGTCAGAGGTATCGGGAAGATTACGAGGATACTTTTAGGTAGGAGTGATGAGTGAATATGAAGGAGAGAGTGTGGTTAGTGTTGATGTTATTCTATCCGAGGTGTTTTCGTTGTTTGGTTGTTGTTTGAGGAGGAGGAGAGAAGCATTGATCCCCAGATTTGAATATTTGGATTGTGTGCATATTTTTGTTGTAATTCATTTCTTCCTTCCTTTCTTGCGCTTTCATTCTGACTGGAGCTATCAAGGGTAGACTACTCCTGAATGGAACCAGCCAGACTCTGTACAATTATTCCAATTAGATTTATAGAATTGATTTGCGGTTTTGAGGTTTTGACTTGACATATGCGTCTTTTTTATTTTCTATTTCTTTCAGAAAAGAGGAGATTATTGTGATGGCAACCCCTTTTGATTCGGATCATGCCCTTCATTTAATCTATAAGCTCAGAAAGCTCACCGTATGACTTCAATAATAACGGGTCTGGCTAAACGAAATAAACCTACTTTAATTCTATTATTTTCAATCATTGAGTCAGGGGTCTTTGAAGTGAAAAATGGATGCAAATTGATAACTGAATTTGGGACAAGAGAGATAAAATAGTAGTGAATTGGAGTTCGCTCGCTTGCCCCTATTTTGTAAAATCAGCGCCTTTTAGACCCCGATTATGCGATGCAGCAAATCATATCATTTTCTAATCGACAACTACTACCCACACCTCTGCATAAAATCTCCTCTAAATGAAGCCCAAGCCTCCACGTAATCCACTCAACTCATCCCTCAACTCCAAAACATCAACTCCTACCCTTCCAGCTACTTCTCCTCTCCTCTGGCTCCCAAGTTCCATCCATCTCCCTAGCACTCCTCCATCAATAATAGTTCTTCCTCCTACAATCCCCTCATTTGCATCTCTATCTATTCGGTATGCTCTGGGATTGAGACCGCAGGGATGATAGAGGGTGTTTGTAAGATGCGAAACGAGGGTGCCGAAACGTCGGTATTGAGATTCTGTTAGAGGGGAGAGAAGAGCGAGGGTACCGGTGCGAGAAGTGAGAAGGAGAGGTTGAGAAGGGGAGGGAGTATCTTCTTGAGGTGAGGGACTAGGAGATGGAGAGGGAGCAGTAGTTAACGGGGGTAGTGGTCGGGTAGTGGGAAGAAGTGTCATGGTTGTGGGGTGGTGGGCACCGAGGGAGAACGTGGTGCGGTGAAGGAGGAGGTGGCCCTGGAGAGATTTGGGATCTGTGTATTTGTAAGTCAAGGATTTAATACAAGCCAACTGGCCAAGAAAACAGGAAATCAAATAAAAATCATAACATACGTTCAGGATCATATTGCATAATATGCAAGTTCCCATCAGCATCTGCAGCCACAATGAATAGATCTTTTCCATCTGGTAATAAGTCTGCACACAGTACTTCCATCTTCGCAGCACTCTTTCCAAATAGTAGCATCCTATACGGTTCTTCCGTATATCCCGCGAACCAAACACCTTTCAAGGCGTCCGCCATTACGCAGAGACCTGTACCTGGTAGTTCTTTGACAGACGTAACATAGCAATTCATATCCATAAACGCGACTGGCAGGTTTGTGCCATCTTCCTTGAGACCTCTGACCATACATTTTTGGCCCTGCGCAACAAGCATGAAACCCTGAGTTCCAATTTCGGAAAGACCAGTCACGGGACCACCGGCACCACGAGTAATGATCTCGGAAGAGATCAGTTTTAATTTTTTGTTTGTCTCAGGCCTGTCTGGTTCTGGAACAACGGTGACGACATCATAAACGTAGAGGCGACCAGTGGTTGCGAGATCTTCTCCCTTGGTTATAGCTGTTCCTACGGCAATCAAGTGTTTGCGCTCGTTGGTGACTTCTGATATCACCAGATTCATGGTTTTTATGCAGGTTATGAGTTCGCAAGGCTCAAGTTCGATGGTATCGATGACGGACCAGTTGACAGGGCTGATTAATTTGAGAAAGCTCTTCTCGATCGATGGCTTCAGGGCAATGTTTTCCTCTTGCCAAGTTTTGCGGTGGTCATCATCCTTGGGCAATTCAAAGTCTGTGAAAGTGCTGGTACCTATAACATATGTTTGTAGAGGTGGATGATATGCCACAGCGTGAACATCTTCGCCTATCTCAATCTTTCGCAGCGCCATTCCAATCTCGGCAAACGTGGTATTTGGCGGGAATTGTGCTACGCGGGCGACTCCTTCTGTGTCGGCATAGATGAATCCTCTGTCGCAACCTTCGGTATGAAAACTGCTAAGACTGCGGACTCCTGTCCCTTGCAGGCTGAGAACTTTCGGTACTGTTTTAGAGCTCTTGATGATGAAGCTTGGAGATCCGCCTGGCATAAAGACGGTACTGTATCCACCGAGATTTGAGATAGCTCGCATCGGCTTATCGCTGGTCTGTTGAGCTCCATCGGCCTGCTCTTCGGCAGAGACATCAGGAGCTTGTGTCAGATGCGTGTTCTGTATTTTCAGAAATTGAAGTGTGGATGAGAGAAGATCCGGAGACGCAGACTTTATGCGGAACGGTTCATAGATGGTAAGATCATCGTTTGAAGGTCGAAGCTAAACCCGTTAGTACATAAATGAGTAGATTGAAGTGCAGATTCTTACAATAAGATATGGGGATTGAGAAACAGAATCCCCTAGGTTAGCTACCAATATCTCTGTCAAGGTTTCACGAGCCGCCGATTTCCTAGCTGCATAATCTGCTGAAAGCACAGGCGGAACAAAACATATTCCTTCCGCGACATAAACTGGCTTAGAAAGATCAGGCAGTGCGTAGATCTGAAAGTATTAGAAATTTGGCAGTGGAAAGCTGGGAAGGAAACTCACATGCAGTGCTCCACCCGCACTAAGTAAAAACATCTTGACATTTTCTCCTGCCTTGTTCGATTTGCCATCGGAGAAAGCTCCGCTACAATCATCATACAAACAGCCCGTCAGCCATTTCGTTGAAAGCAAAACATCATCAACTCTTTCTATCTCTTCAAGATCATTGTCGTCGTCACATTGTGCAACAAAAATGCTCGCATCGTCTCTTATTAGTAGGAGAAATGGATCTGCAAAGCTTGCACTGATAATCTTCGGCTCTGCTCCCGTCTCATCATCGAGCATCGGCAATATTTGTGCAAGACCAAGATCTACACCACACATACAGAGTTAGTTACGCTTCTAATCAATCATGTAACGGCGCGAAGAAGCATGTCGCAGGGAGCAGATTGCATAAGGCACAGTTGCAATGTTGATAATTCGCTTTCATTGTTGCTATAGGATATGATAGATTTCCAGATAGCGCCCCGGACGGCGAAAACATATAAGCGGAAAATACAAAATTTCTCCAAAACTTGTCCCAACCTATATGCCCATCCATCCGACCACATGAATTGAAAGGGGCATGATTCAAGGAAAGGTGCGAACTTACCACCGTCATAACTTCTCACTTCAGACTTTAAAATTTGAACAACACGCATGCCATTGCCAAGTGTACCAGCTTCGATTGTGGATCCAGCGGCTGGTTCGAATTCTGTCCCTGTTAAAGCTTCAAAGCCGGCATCCGTTAAAGCATATACAGCAGATTCGTCAATAGCATCTTCGGCATCAGATGCTTTGGAAACTATCATTAGTCTATCATATTGAGCATCGACGCCATAGTCGCCGCTAGTAACAGATTTCTCCTTATTGACTTGCAATCCTTTGAGTGTTGGTCTCTTTGCGCTCATGGTCCATATACCACGAGCTTCTGGGAACTCGAATCGGCCTATAACATTTGGCTGAATTTCACGATTAATGACGGCCAAGGAGCCTCCCTTTTCACGACCGACAGCAGCTACAAGCTGAAGTTCGCTCTGAACACCGCTAAGTTTAAGCTCTTCTTCCTTACCCAAACTCAATGCGGTTTCTCCGAACGCGATGTTCGTGATGGGAGCTATGTTGACCATGGAATCATGTATACGAAATGTGTAGTCACCCGTTTTACTGTTTGATGCAGTAGTATTTGCAGTAGCATGAGTGATTGCGGGTCCATCGCCGTACAGATCATCGTCATCATCTTCTAAATCTTCATCATCAAGCATGGCTTCATCAACTTCCGCTATTGCTGAACTGTCAAGCCTTGACTTTCGACGTGAAGTTTGTCCCGACTTCCTACTCCAGCCTAGAATGACAGAATCCGATACCTCACTTCCAACGAATAACGATCCTGCGCCAAGAGAACTTACACATGACGCAGCTCCAGTCAATATAGCGCCTCCTAACTCTGCACTTACTCGTCGAATGCTTAGCCCAGAGACCGATCTTCCATCCATACGAAAGCTCAGGATAGCAACATCGCCACTATGTAGTATAATGAGCATCTCTCCATTTTCGATAGATAGTTGATCAATTTTGCAACCTTCCAACCGAAGGTCAAGATCAGACTGGTCCACAAGACTGAAGCTAGTACATTGCTTTGCAAACATGTTGACAGCAACACCATTAGCTTTACCAGCTTGATCGATATGTATCAATTCATTAGTACCAACTAGAAGAGCTCCGCCCACAGGTGGGGCTAGTGGGACGATTCTGAAGAGGTCGTAAGGCAATCCTCCAACGGAAAGGATGGTGGTAGACGCCTTTTGATGTATATCCAGAGTGAATACCATATAAGTCAAGTGGTCTCTACGCTCTTGCAGTAAAGCCGAAGATGGAGCCATGGTAGACGAGAGAATTCCAAAAGTTGGCTCTCTATATTCATACAGAAATTCGAGGTGGATTGGAAAGATGATGTTGGGATCTAGTGAAGACAATCGTAAAACAAAAGAAGATCCATATGGTGTATCTAATTTTCCATCTTCCGCCATAGTCTTTTGTGAAATCTTCGCAGGGCGAGGGCCGTCCAACTCCTCATCCCAATCGTCCATATTGACATCTTCATCTTGTTTGAAAGGCAGAATTGCAAGGTTCCGCGCTCCGAATTTCAATGCAGCACACCTACTTCCTGGATCGACAGTAAGGTAATTGACACAGTCTGAAAGACTGGGTGCCCATGGACTTCCTTGCAGTTCGTCTTGTTCATAAAAATGAACAGATATTGTTGATATGCCGGGCCGTTCTGGGTCCCATTCCACCAGACTGAGCTTTGCATCCTTGAACCCCACTAAAAGTGCTTCACCTCCAGTCTTTGAGGATATGGTCTTCACTCGAACAAGAGATGTGACCGTCCCAGATAAGTTATATTCAGCTATAAGTACGAGTTTCGTTGTTCGAGCTAATTCTGGTCGTTGTATTATCGAATCTGTGCCGAGAAAAGAGTCTTCTACTCCATCATCGTTATTCACTCGAGGATCAATAATTGTGTCATCTTTTGCTGTCGAAGAATCCTTTCCGGATAGGTCGTCGAGGTCCACGGATACGGTCTTTGTTGTAAATATCTGTAGTAACGAGGATTTTGCGACGACGAGGTTTCTAGCATCTGCGGACAAGAACGGAAGAGTTAAGGAATGTGTGACAGCTGTAGGAGGTGTCAGCTCCGTATAGCATTGCATTATGGACCAAAGTAAAGCATGAAAAGCACCAAATCGTAGTAAATCGAACTTCTTTTGAAGTTGTTGATATGGATACTCAAGATTATCAGTCCAGTCAAATGTCGGTGCGTCGCGACCCGCGATTTACACAAATTTTAGCGTTCTCAGTGCTGGACCACTGTATTGACCTATCACTGTCCCTCGAAGCTTCATGCAGCTTTTGGAGGTCCTGGAGGTCCTGGCGGTCCTGGCGGTCCTGAATGGTGATCCCCGCAACCAAACGCCCATTTACGTCAGACGTCTAGAATCCTGAATGTCGACTACTGGTATAACAGGAAACAAAGCAGAGCAAAGCCATGCAATGAAAAACAACATAAAACACAATCAATATATTTTGAGATCGGATTTCTGTTGATTTCGAATGAGATAAAATCAACATTGTTTTGGTGACGATACCGATTTAAAAACAATATCAATACTTGAAATCCATTTGATACATTCGCAAGGTATATTAAGATGATCTTCTTCCCGTTATTTATACCGTCTTTTCCTTTTATTTGCTAAGTTTCCGCATGCGTACCACTCCAACTACTACAAATTTTTTAATATCAACACATCAAGCACTACTAATATCTATCTGCGATTCTAGTATCCATTCCTCGCCTGCGATATGGCGCTCATACAGACTGCATTTATATGGGTTGCGTATGCCGTTGCTGTAGGCATCGTAGCTCTCATAGCAGCCATTTTTACCTATACGTATCAAACGCCACGCGATCGCTCAGCTCTGGTTTCTACCGTTACGATTATCACATTGACCTCCTTGTTGGCAACAGTTCTCCTTCTTCCCGTTGATATTGCTCTTGTCAGCTCGACGACCTCGAAGCTTGGTGCAAAGAAAGACTGGGCAACTCCCGAGACTGTTCACAACATCCTCCTGACTCTAAAAATTGTTTACTATGCATTGTACAGCTTGGATGCCGTTTTATGCCTTCTTGTTATTCCATTTACATACTTCTTTTACGAAGAATACGATGAAATTGATTCAGAGGAAGGCACGCAGACATTCGGCCAGAGATTCCTCAGTGCAGCAAAATACACATTATTTTTTGTTGTCCTGGTCGTAATTTTGTTCTTGGTAGGATTCTTTGTACCCGTCGCAAAGAATCGTGGATCCGATATGGATCTAGACTATTTCAAACGTCTTTTGGCTGAAAACCACGGAGAGCGTGCCTTAACTTTCGCATTGGGACTATTAATTTCATTGGGCACGTTGTTATACATACTTTACACCTCTGTTGGACTGGCACTGTTGCCCATATCTTTCATCAAATCTGCACCTTCAATCAGCGCGCCACAGCTTTCAGAAACAACAGCGTCAGCTCTAGAGCAAAACAGGGAACGACAACGTCAATTAGAAGGACGAAATGCTGGGAGAGATGGCGGATTGTCGGCTAAAGACCAGCGAGAATTGGAGGCTTTACATCGTGAAGAACGCACTCTGGTTAGACGGGAACGTTTAGCCGCAGAAGCTCGTGGAGAAGGGAAGAGCTTTATCGTCAGAGCATGGACCAAGACTTGCGCAATCTTCAGACCTCTCAAATTGGTTGGAGGAATACTGCTTCTTATTCTTTCCCTGGTTATATGGGTTTCCATGCTCATTACAGGAATTGATAAGGCGAAGAACTCATTCTGTAAACAACATTGTGGTTACATTCTAGGAAGGTAAGATAATCTTGACCTGGTTCATTGAAAGTTTTTGGCTAATTCATACCTAGTATCAATATTTTCCAGCCGATCAATTGGATTTTCGTCAAGTCATCTATAGTCTTCCCAATTGACTATGTTTTGATGGCACTATTAGTTCTATTCCTCTTCAGTAGTTCAGTGACAGGAATCGCCGCTATTGGTCTTCGATTCTTATGGGTAAAACTCTTTGAAATACGAAAAGGACATACCTCTCCACAAGCTCTCCTCATGGCAACGGTCATGCTAACTTTGATCATACTCGCGATAAACTACTCAATCGCCATGTTAATAGCACCACAATACGCAATTTATGGTGCCCAAACATTCTGCGCCAACCCTACTAAATTCCCTGGCGACCAACCAGATTGTAGCAACCACCCAGAGTTGATCAAAACATGCAGTGAGCTTTCTTCGGGCGAGGGTGCCGAAAAGGTTTGCACACCTAGCGTCGTGTCTACTTTCCTCAATAGAGTTACCGTCAACTTCCCATTCTTCGGTGCCCTCGCATTTTGGGCTCAATTTGTCTTCCTCGCAGTCTTTTTGATCGTCTTCGTTACAGCGTTGTTCCGAACTCCCAAATTGGACCTTAGCGAGATGGATGAAGATGCTGAGGCTGATGAGGAAGAAGGTCTTCTTGCTAGTACTGGCAGGAGGTTCGGTGCCACATGGCAAGATATCCGTGGCAAAACGAAGAATACTAGTAGTGGTGCTGCTGGTCGAGGAATTCGTGGCGATCATGATCCTAACGACGATTAGTTCTCTATCGCGACCTCAAATCTTTCTTTTTGAAATTGCAATCTTCTTATGTAGGACGGTTGGATGGATGGTTGGTTGGTCGGATGGGTGGTGGTTGGATGGCGGTTGGATCTGGATAGGATTGGAAATAAGTTCGGAGTTGATTTAGGGTTTTGCATCTTTGTACAGTATACACGCGATTGGTTTGATGATTTTGTTTTTCAGTTCTGCATTGCGCATATATGAACACGGTATTACGCGAAGGAAAATGCGTGCCTTTCGAATACTCAAACGATTGCAATCAATGCCGCCAGTCAAGAAATTGTAGGACGAGGGTATGGTTATGGTTCCGGCGATGTGGCAGCAGAAGGGATGAAGGGGTTGTTCTTAGCATACTGCAACAGCGAAAATTAATTGTTTATACTCACTCATTTCGTAGCTTCTGAAATGTCTCCAGTTACCAATCGTGTATGAAGCTTAGCCACAGCCTATCTCAATTCCAGTCATAAAGCTCCAGAGCACAAAGCCTTATGTCCTACGTACAGCTGCAAATTTGTTTCGCCTATCTAATTCGTTTGACCATCTGATATTTTCCCTTGCGCTCTCTATCTGTTTATATTCAGCATCAGCATCATTTTCGTCTCAATATCTAGATGGTTTGTTATTGTATAGATTGTATTATCATGAATAAGTAGAGCATCCATAAAGATGAGATAATTGGTCCAGCCAGTTTGATCGTCTATCCTAATAATAAGTCTATTGGACTCCATGCAAATATCTGCAGCTGCAAAGTAACGTATTGACTTTGATCAGCCAGCACGATGTCATAATCTGCTTAGTATATTATGATTCTGGGCGATGGCTTATGTTGCGTTCGTTGATATTTCAATTGAGATCTATGATACTTGGGTCTTATAACGGCAGCACTATCGGCTCTTTTTCAATTCAACAGCGGGATGCACATCACTCATAAATAAGAATATATATCAACAGCGTAATTGAAAAAGGCCCATCTACCATTCTACCCCTCTCCCAACCACAGCCAACTAGCCAGGACGTTCCCATTTCCGCCACTGATGTCTCTTAAACTCCCACCCGGCATCAACCCCCATATGTCCCTCCTTCCAACATCTCGCACAATACAAGTCTCCCTCACAGCCCACACACTGAATCGTCGCATCATCTTGACAAATAATACACCACGTATCCATTTCCTCATCTGTGTATTTCTTTAATCCTTTCCCTTTCGTTTCTTTCGCCATTTTATCAACCGGCTTAGTAGTCGGTGCAGAAGGTAACCCAAGAGCGCTAACAGGAGTAGATCCAAGACCCTTCAGCGCAGCTAACCTCGCAGTAATATCGTCTTCGAAATCGATCGATTTCCTGCTGGGTTCCGGGAGCGTGGAGGGTGCGGATGGGAGTGTGAAGTTTGGTTCTTCGCTATCATCCTGCTTGTATTTGGGGAAAGATGAGAATTTCCCACCCGCATCCGCGTTCATAGCATTAGTTCCTTGGGGTTCCTCTGCTTCATTTTCATCCTCGGCTCCCCTCTCCAAGTTTACCTCATCCAATAACCTGGCAACAATATCCTGCACTTCACGTGATTCGCCCTCTAAGCCCTCGATCTCTTTATCATTCTTCCTAGATTCCCCATCATCATCGTCATCTATGGCAAACACAGACATATCAAGGCCACTAGTCAAGACATTAGTCCGAGTGTTCTCCTCAGAAGCACCCTTTGATGCCTCTTCATCTGTAGCAACATCCTCACGATCTGGCAAAGCTTTCTTAGCTTCATCAAGAAGTTTTTGAATATCATTCGGATCATCAGGATTCAACCATTCAGACCCAGATCCCAGTTCTGCTAAAAGGTCGTCCAATGATTTATCCTCGTGGACATCATCTGAAAATAGAGGAACAGCATCACTTGACGTGGCTTGGTTGTAAAAACGGGATTGTTGTGGAGGCGATGTGGTGCTAGCAGGCGTGGGTGTTTCACTAGTGCCAGATCTTGATGGTGTACCGTTTCGTAGGCTACGCAGTCTCTCAGACAAGTCTGTTTCGGGCGTCGACACTTTTGCAAAAACATTTAGTGGTGGACGACTGAGAGCTTAGCATGTGTCCATAGGTTTATATTGGTTTCTTGCTTACGGGGATGCGTCGAGCTGAATATTGGATTTCTTCAAAGCATTGAGCCGATTCAGTAGGTCATTGTCATAAGTTGGAGGATCACTCATTTTTCCAAAATAAAATTGACGATGGAACGATTTGATGGTCAGAATTATTGCATTGTAAGAAGCAAGAGCTTGGATCTATGTATTGATACCATATTTATGAGGCGGCTACAAGCGAGCCTTGTCTTGTTTCTAATATTGAATGAATATTCCCAAATCCACCTGTCATTCAAGACTACCTAGATAAATGCGAATATTCCATCATTCTTTGCACAATTATACACTCCTTCGTACATCACACTTATCCCCCAGCGTTTTTCTGTATGATCTCAAGCCAAGTGCTGATATTGATGTCGAATTTTGAGCTAGGAATAAATGTCAGCACATCGAATCGAATTTGATTGCAAAGACAAAGATTATGAAAGCTTTTCAGAACGGGTTTCTTCTCTCAGTATGCACTCTGCGTTTAATGTGAGGCACTCGACGAGCTGGGATTATTCAGGCCTCATGGCCCTTTGTCATCATAAAAGCGGGGGTATTTGAAAATGAAATATTAAATGCATACCTGGAAAAGAGTTTATCGAGCGAACTTGACATGGAGAATGGATTATATCATGCCCACATGAGATTCGTGACGAAATTTGATAACTACTACCATCAGTACGGGCTCTCAAAGCTTGTGCATAACAATGTAGAGGTGAAAGCTTCAACAATATTTCAGAGAGAAGATTATGTCTCATCAAGACCAGCAATGTATACAAGGAAAATACATCGACGAGCCAAGGCAAGCCAAAGCAAGCCGAGAAACCACGAATATAATTGCCAGCTCAGACTAAGGATGACGATACGAAAGTTTTCATCATTTTAAGTCGGTGACGCGAACAGGTTGAAATGAATATTACTGACCTTTTGAAATGATGAAGCTATCATCGAAGCATTGAATAGAGTCAAGCTGTGGATTGCTCAAGGATCATCATAAGTGATCTTCCTTCTTTGCGGCGCGGAACTTGAGGCCTGGCTATTACCACCACCCTCATCATCGTCATACGCAAGAGACCCAATAGACTTCTCAACTTTATCCCATGTCCTCTTTCGTAGATCGGGCTTGACGTTTTGCTTAAACCAACCTTTCTCTTTGGCTTCTTGCGCTTTTTGTATTTTCTTCAATTCCTTCTTCGACTTCTTTTTTGGTCGCACCGGTCCGATTGGCTCTGGATGCGAAAAGCTTTCAGGAATCTCCCCATCTTCTTCCTCGGCCTCAACCTTTTCTGTGCGGACTTTTTTTGAAGTTTCAGATTGAGGTTGCTCATTGCTAGTCTCATTCGACTCTGTAGCATGCCTGCGCTTTCGAAGAATGGCCTGAATTTCTGAATGTCGAAAGATTGCGATTTGTTCATCCGTTAAAGTTCTTTTGACTCCATCAGGATAATACCCAAGGCCATCATCCTCAACCTCTTCTCCATAGTAATCCTCCACAGGACCCAAGAATTGTTGCGCGAAATGTTCAGTTGAAATATCGCCAAGGTGAGAGGTATGGAAAGCTAATAGATCATTCTAAATTTTCATTAGCATTTTAAAAAGCATTTGAGTAGAGCATATTTACTAACCTGTGTTACCTCCGGCGCAGACATAGCGACGCGCAATATAGAGCGTGGTCGCGGGTGTTTGTGTGGACATGTTGGTTGATAATGAGAAGCTTCAGCCTGGGATAGAGAAAGTTTTCGAAAATTTATGGTAGACTACGGTGGCCGAATCACTCTAGCGTAGAATCTAGCGCGAAAGCTCTCGGCCCACAAACGAAACTGAGACATCAACGTGGGAGATCAAATGAACATTTGCGCGGTCGGCCACCACCATTTCATTGTGCTGAATAGATAGGAATTTCAAAACTTTCTCAAATCATGATGTTGCAAGACCAGAGAATGTTGAAAATTTCCAAGGAGGCGAGTATGGCTTTTAGTTTCCTAAGGATATGGTACATGGCTTAAATGTTAAGGACCTCCTACAACGAACAAATTCGGTATCAAGAGACACTTCAATTGAAACAATGAGATATGCAGAAAAGGAAACGTATTTTACTGAAGCAAAAGCCACTCTTGCAGTTGTGATTATGATCTGTATTATAGCTATTATTACAGTATATAAGCAAAAGAAAGAGGGTATCTAAGCAATATCCATCACAGCCAGTCCCTCATTACGCCTCATGTCCCAGCCAAATAGAGCAAAGATATGGCTTCTACAAAATCAACGCTATGATTATAACATGTAAAAATGAAAAGCAAAAGGAATAGTCACTCTCCAAATAGTTGGAGAGCCTGCTTGAATGCCTCGACAACCTTTATATCTGAAGGACAAAGTTTAGCATGGAAAAGATAAGTGGTGGTAGAGCAACTTACAATGCAGCTTCTTGTCTTCCAGTGACTTTTCCTGTATCTGCACATATCTTTCTCTTGTCTTCAAACTATAACAAAATCAGCAGCGCCTTGTGAACTATGAATAAATACAACTTGCCGTTTCCATGCCCTCCCATTGTCTCGTTCCGCCGAAGACTCTGCCCAGATAGCGAAAGCCTTCAAGTATCATTAGTTTGGCAATATAAATCAAATGGAAGAACTAACGTCAGAAAGATGCTGGAAATCCTCAATCAAACGGTCCTCGTTGTCACTCAGTTCCTGGATAGCCGTCGCGTAGCGGTTCTCAAATTCACTCCAGCTCTTTGGAGGAATGTCTCTCTTGGGATTCGGTGTATCTAGACTGATCATTGTTTCATCTGACCCGGCTTCTGGTTCTACTTGCGGTGCCATATCTACATCATCATCTTCGCCAAGATCATCGGCGTGGTTGTGATGTTGTAACACGTGTGACCTCTTGAGGGGGGAAGAAATTGGGGATTGCGCGGTAGGAGCTTGAATACTGGGGGTATATTGCAGACTTGGACTAACACCTCGAATCTTTTGAGGTAGTTTAGAGGAAGAAGGTGTGAGAGCTGGTGTATTTGGAGTACCTCTGGCGGCTGATTTCTCCGCGAGCTTTTCATTTACAATAGCCATAATGGGACGACGCGGGGTTTTTGGAGGAGAGTGGTTTATTTGAGACATCAGGAAATGTGAATAAGGATAATCGCTAAGAATAAGCTAAGAACCGGTCCACAAGCAAACTTTGGCAGAAACGGAAGAACCAATGGAGCCGATAGTATTACCGTCGTAGCTGCCGTAATAGTGAGGTCAGGTTTTAAGTTCAACAGTCTCTGTAGTGGAGACAGCCTTGTTTGGGAAATGCGAAGCTGACGCCTGGTCATGTGGTTGACTAGATAAGCACTAGATAAGCAAGCGAGTCGAGATAAGGCGAGGCGATGAATCCATTATTCTGAGGTCATTCAGCCTGACGTACCTTCATATACCACCGTACCTAATTGTTTTCATATATACCTATTCTTCAACTTTAAAAGTTCTTTGATGTATCCATCATTCATTGAAGTCATTACTATCAAATCTTTCTTGCATAGCACATTATGTATTATATGCCTCCCTAGAATAGACTAAACCTGCACCCTTGATAGCATAGAATTATTAATTGCCTACATCATATCCTACAACTTCCCTACAACGAACCTTTATCAAAAGCTGCACGAGATGCAGTGTGATATATGTTTTCGAACAGGCGGACATAAACTGCCATTTCTTTGCCCCACGGATGCGCGCAACCAACTATACGAGCTTCGAGTACAAACCGCTGGCGTTCACCTGGAAAAGGATGCGCTTGATCGAGAAATCAGCAGGCGCTACCCGATACCCCTTTCAAAGGCGGGGAAACATGGCAATGAACAATCTGCGGCTGTCACCCAGTCGAACTATGATGCGTTGATTACTGAGCGGCAACGAAGTATAGACCGCACGAATCAAATTATTGCTCATGCAGATGAGTTGAAAGCGAATCTGGAGCGAGCAAAGGAGGAGCGCAATAAGAAGAGGATTGCCAATGATCGCAGGAAGGCGGAATTGACCTCGGCTTCAAAGGGAATTGAGGCCCGTAGGGCTAAGCAGATAGAGGCAGTTGAGGGTTCCACTCAGCGGACTAAATACAGATGGAACCAGACATATGACTTTATCGGGGAGTCCAGGGCTTATCTTTGCTATGAATCTGCCAATCTGTATGGGCTTCAAAGATTTAAGGGAAGCAATGGAGGAGATGAATATAGAATAGCTGGCGTTAACATAGTAGACCTGAGGTTGATGAACAGTACGTCCTCCCTATCGTATACAGAAAAAAATGCTAATCATGGTCTGCAGCGGCAAGCCCAGCCCAAGTATCTACCTCCTTTTCTCACATCGCGCATGTCCTCATGCTAGCTACTTATTATCTCGCTATTCGATTACCTGCAGAAATAACCCTTCCTCATCGCGATTATCCTCGTCCTACGATATTCTCTTTATCTTCCTCATATATGCATACCAATGTACCATTTCCTGGCGGAACCAGCTCATCGAGTAATAGTCCCTCCACCTCTCGCTATACCGAAAATACTTACCAGCCTCGACCAAGACCCTTATGGATCAATAAGCCTCTCCCAATATTAGTGAATGAGGATTCAGTAGCCCATAGCTCCTTCCTCGAAGGGGCAATTCTTCTCGCTTACAATGTTGCCTGGCTGTGTAAAAGCCAAGGGGTTCCTGTAGGAGACAGTGATACCACAAGCTTTGAAGACGTCTGTAACATAGGGAAGAACCTATGGAAACTGCTCATAGGCGATAAACCTCGTCTCCCGCCAAAATCACGCTCCGAATCTCCCAGCCCTACTCCACCCAAAACCCTCGATTCCAAGGGCTACGTGGAAAGTGAAGACAAGACCATTCAGAAACCTGGGCGCTCATCTATCGGATGGGCCAGTCATGGGTCTGCATTCTCATTCCTCGGGAGCGCAGAAGGTGCAGAGTTCATACGAGGTTTCAAGCTTCCACGTCCAAACCAGATGGCCGACATACTAAAGAATAAGCTCATGAGCGAAGTAGCAAATGCAGAATGGGAACTTTTGAGCCAAGATGCGTGGGCAATAGAGGACGAGATGCGTAGCGATGGAGTTGTGGTGGGTGCTAGAAATGAAGGGCACGCGACTTTTGATACCAGCAAGGAGAGGGATTATACGGCTGGAATGCAAAGTTTCATGAGTATGAGAACAGTGATGGATGCAGTTGAAATGGTTGGCGAGGGGACTGGTATTAATGCGGTTATTGCTGAGAGGCTTCCATTTGGTCTTGCGAATGTTACTGATAAGGACAGGAGGGAAAGAGAAAGGTATGTCAGAGCCAAAGCGGCTAAAGATAAAGACCAAGACAAGAAACCTGGAACGAGCGGGTGGACGAAATTGAAACCTAGAGGGTAAAACAACGTAAACTGTTCTACTGAATACCTCTTTGTATCTAATGCTTTTCACACAAATGAGATGAAGGTTCTTGGGCTGAGTATTTTGGGACGGAATATGAGTATGGATAAGGTTATAGATATGGATATGGATTTGGATATTGATATGAATCAGGAAGGGCTCAAATCATGATGTATCTCTCCTGCATATGAGCAAAGACGAGCAGTAGAAAGCTGATCTAGATTAGCACATACATGTATAATGTAATTATATTGTAGAACTTCAGCATATAATACTAGACTACATCAACAATGTACTGCATTAAATGAATCCAGCCTACCAATCAAAACAGCGGGATGGGATAAGTCTGTTTTATCAATCTCGATACTAGTTCATCATATCTATATCATGTATGATAATTGAGATGATATATAACTGTACAAATGCCGTGTACCATCGTTCAAAGCAAACAAGGAATGATGGTCTTCAAACTCATCTCACTACATCCTATCCGTGTAATATCATCTCGATAGATCGTAGCAATCTCATCCGTCTAATCATTCCATACCGTTAAAGCTCGTCTCATCTCATCCCCTGACTACCGAAAACCATACCGAGTTCACTTAATACTCGAAATGTAGGTAGTTTATATAATATACAGATATGAACCTCTCTCTCATCGATGCTATTTCATTTTCTTCGAAGAACACATTCTCATCAAAAACACAATCGTATATGGTAGAAGTATTCAATTCACCAGTACACTACTATTGTTTACGCATTTACAACACTTACCTGCAACTCCTGTTAAAGTCCCTGTCGAGTACAACTCGGTCTACGATGAAGAGAATACTGACTCATAAGGCTCGCCGGTCAACCACAGGTCTGGAGGAACCCACAAATACACCCTACCACCACAGCCTTCACACTCATAATCAACGCCATCACCATCACCACCACCACCATAAAACCAACAACCAACAGCCAAACCCCTATAAACCTCCCGGCCATGCCCATTCAACCCAAAGCTCAATCAAAACCAGTTTTAACAACCACACACAGAGGTACACACACACACACAAACTCACCAAGCGAGCCCCGAATCCTAGAAACCCTCCATCCGTACTGCATACGTGATGGAAGCGCCGGGAAATCACCAACCTGTTCATCGAATGCACAAAACACCGGAACCTTATATTCCTACCTAGGTATTATTCTACTCTGTACGAGAGAAGTTGAGTTGTGTGTTGTAGTTGGGAGGGAATTAACCTTATGATTGCGTCACAGCCTTACGTTTACAAATTCGTAGTCCGGTTTGTTATTAGTTGCCTAGTTAGCTACACCGGTGAGCCGGTACTTGCTCGGTTTGTTATTGGATACTCCGTAGTCGTTGTCATAGTCATTATATCTCCGTATCAAATCCTCCGTAGTGTAAAGTCAACCTCTGTCGTTTTAATTGGCTGTTGGTCGTTGGGCTTGGATTCGATGATTTGATGATTCGATCGATGATTCTCATGATTTTGATGGTTTATACCGTATTTACATTTACATTTACATGGCTGGAAGCCATCACTAATAATTTTCACATCTTCACCACTGTAACGCATGTAGTGTTATCTACCTCGAGTCTATCTACAGATAGATTACTCGTACAGTAAAATATATATCACACCGATCCGGTACATGTTATGAAACCACATGAGAAATATAACGATCCAATCAGCAAAATACTGCTACATCCACAAGTTCTCGAATAGAGTCCAAACACACATACACACACACACACAAGCAATCCAAGCCCTACATGACCGGTACATCCGACGATCCTCCAGCACACCAATGTCAGTATCCATTATCCATCACCTATCCAACACCCATCAACGACCTTCATCCCATCCCGCCAACAAACCAAGCCAAACCTCCATTCAACGCTACCATACCATATCACCGACTATCCGCTACAGCAACTACCTAGCCCACCGCCAACCCTCCGGCACCTAAACCAATCCATCGCACCAATTACGCACCGGACCTCCATCAAACATCAAACACGCCGTCGAAATGCCACTTCACATGTTTTATTCTAGACCGTCTTTATAGTATCTATGTACCGGTACGTGTGTATGGATCCCTTTCACATACATACTCCCAAATTTAGTAATCTACTACGATATGGATCCTATGATTACAAAGAAGAAAAAAGAAAATTTGGTTCTGCGAATGAGAAGAAGAGCTCGATGCAAATTCTTTTTAGGCTATTCGGTCGAATAGCTGTTTAGCCAGCGTTCAGATACCTAAGTACTATACATTTAAGAATCCAGAATCCAGAATCCAGAATCTAGGTTCGATTGTAAAAAGCCAGTCCAAGAATTTACTCCATGACCCCCTCCCTCCCCACCTCTCTCTATGCAACAACCAAGAAGAAAAAAAGCAAACGCAAAAAAAAAAAACTTGTGAAAAGAGACTTCTGAGTATCTACTTACGGCCCAAGGAAAAAAATTTGTTTACTACTTACTTCGTACTTGTTTACATATTTGCATTCCCAACTCGTTTCGACTTGCCCTCTAGAGTCCCGTTTCAGGAGCTCCAGCACTTGGACCTACCGCCATCGTCCTAACATTCAAAACTAAGAGCTTCTGAAACGCCGGGAGCGACGGGATGGATATGGAAATGAAAAGTAACGCATGAGAAAAATTGATAGAATGCTTCCCCATTCTCATGAGAAACAGAGACATATCAAGATGCTGAAGATATCACAGAAAATTATACATTTATTAATAGTGTCATGGAAAATGAAATCCGACCACCCAAAAATTTACACAATCTCCTATTCTAGAATCATCACAGCTCGACTCTTGTAAAATCACTTGTACCAAAAGATCCCTAGGTGAAGAAGATATTTTCGGTTCTCTGTCTTGTCGTAATCAATACATTGCGGGGTGGGCAACTAGATCTGGAAGTTCGAGACAGTCAAATTTGGGATGTTTTCCAGATTTGCAGAGACGATAATAAGAAGTTCTGGGAGAAACGAAAGTGCTTGCGTTGCCTGTCCGTATCTTGCTACCTACCTGGGAAGTATGGTATCGGCAAAAGCACGGTGCGTTGGCCGGTGGTTGACAATCGCTGAGAATGGGAGAACCACCGGATATGACTTTAGGGAGCGACCCCCGTCGAACGATAATGCTCATGGAGGATTCCGCCTAATACGATTCGATGCCTGTAGAGATGACTGCCGATTATGTTGTGTAAGCGTCGAAAATTCTGTGCCTCGAATCATCGTTGGAAGCTGCTGCAGCTTTTTGAAACTCTTGGTGTATTATTGATGTAAAAGGGAAATTTCTGCGCTGAAAATTCCGTATGGATCATGATCTGTGGCCTTGTTTTTTTGGGTCCACGCTCTCTCATTCATCAGCGTGACGTCGCATTCGAGGCATTTCATTGTCATTCTGGAGCACAAAAAAATCTCTTCTGCATAGAGATAGTATTATGGACCACAATGCTTCGTCCCTATAGGGCAAGAGATGATTCATTACCACATGCATAGTTATTGCATTACCACATGGTGATGATCACAGCCACCTGTACAAATTGTGATTTGGCAAAATGCTTTGATATGAACCTTGGAAACTTAAAGATAGGAGTCTGGACTGTGGACAGTGGACACGCAAACCATCATTTCCTCAAAGATTCTAGTGTCCAAAACAAACGGGATCGAATGGGATTTAAAGATCGTTCTTCAATTAGGTTAGAACTTAGAATCCTCCCGGATCCATAGCATCCATTCTTAGCATGTACGGCCCTATCCAATTCAGTCCTGGAAGCGTTACCGATACCACTCGTATACGCAGGCTGATTGCGCGCCGATTGAAATTTGGAAATCAACGGGAACACGTCTAATCTCTCAATACATTTCCTGAAAAAAGAAGGTCTCCGTGATTCCAATCAATTAGATGAAACGATGCCTTCATGAAGCGATAAGTGTCATGTAAGCTATGATTAATTGAGTTGAATTGGGACAGACCTCCTACCGTGCTTGACACTTTGATTGTTGATCTGTGGGAAAGAAACAAGTGTGGATGCAGTGGCATTTTACCCCTGGAATAGCGTATTCGAGAAATAGTGGAAACTCTATTCGTCTGACCAATTATTGGTCGTTTTCCCCTTTTTTTCAGAGTAGTCTCTCAGGAACGCGTTTTTAGTGGACCACTATCCCCCGGCGTTGCTTGGGTTCATCTCAATCGAACCCCCTTGCACCTCATGGCTTGAAGCAAAATCTAAATGTTCCAGGGCTTCCTCCAATGACTCGGCTGACCCAAATCGTGGCCGGGTTGCCAAAGAAGTCCCAACTGCCCACAGGCACCCCCAGGAAATGATCGTCCCAATTTAAGATGACCTTTAATAAATAACTCTCCCGCTCTTCTCGTATCTGTCCTTCTCTTCTTCACCGTATTCAAGAAACTCGCCGTTCTCTCGTTCATTCAGTTCGACACACTCCTTTGTTAATCCAACCAACTGAGCAAAACATCGCTCTCACACTCTTTAACACCAACGGCCTCTTACGATCAAACCTCTTTAAATTCAAAGCATTATACCAATTAGCGAATACTTGACAGTTATTATTTCCGAAAATGCGTTACTCAACCACCGCAATTGTTTTGGCTGCCATGTCCATTGGCGAAGCCGTAGCTGGACCTACTCACGTTCACCGACACAAGCATGAGAAGAAGGCGTAAGAATATCGCTCTGATGTTTGCAAAGAGTGATTGCTAATCAGATGACAATAGTGCTGTCGTTGAAGATTGGACGGCGCTGGACTGGGCCGATATGGGCATCAACTGGTCATCCGCTTATGAAGCAGGCAAAGCCTCTAAGACTTCCGCCGCTGCTGCCGCTTCAACCGATTCTACTCCCGCTGCTGTCGACAACCTCGCAGAGAACAAGATTGCCGCATACACTACTTCCGCATCAGTAGCTGCCAGTACCACCGCCGCTAGCTCATCCAAAACAAGCTCTGCCAAGTC